AAAAAGGGAGGGGATGTGACCTACTTAGGTCGAGTCATTTTTATTTTGACATTGTATAATTCCTTATATGGAATGATGGTGTAACACCTGGGGTTTTTCCACTGACTTATTAAGGTGTTTGAGACATAGAAATTTTCCATTAAAATCTGATTGAATGATTCTGATCAGATGATTATCCCAACCAATGGCGACATGAGTTGAGGATAACCTCCCCTGTCACAGAAGTCTATAATTGCACCGCACACTCGCAACACGTGGCAGTTTATCTTGACCTGGCAGTCTACGAGGCAGTTTTACCTTAGTCAGGCAGCCGTCCATATTGTCCGGCTATAGACTCTGACCATTTGAACGTGAGAGTACTTAAGACCTGTGTGTGCCTTGCTTTCTTAAAGTGATTTAGTCTTCTAGTTTAATATTACTTGTCGCTCAGTAATTCTAGAAACTACAGCAGTGTTGTGTGGCCTGTAGCTGTTCTTTAGACAGTGTAGAAATCTGTGTTAGTGTTTTTTCCTACATTGTGTAAGTTGGTTTTTGATATTTTACACATTAAATATTTTATTTAGTTCAACCTTGTGTTCTGCCACTTCTGAGTTCGCTGATTAAAAGGTCGTATGTAGATTGGATGAGTGTTAATTACAATAGTATCACTAGCTTCCCTAGACATTAAATTCGAGCCCTAGTGGTCGTTGTGTTAAGTGTTCATCCACTTAGGCCGTAAGGCATTTGCATATGACCCCGAAAAAAGAATCCGGGGACGTTCTCCTTCTATTTGGCTGATAGATAGGTTAACGTTACATAGCTCTGCTCCATTCGCAAAGGTCTTGAGAGCACTTTTGGCTTTATTTTCATTAGGCTGTAAATATCTGTCAACAGCGCTCGCTTATGAAAATTATGTTGATCCATTTTAGAGTTCAACAAACAGCAACCAAATTCTGACAAATGAGTTAACAATTGACGCCGTTCAAAAGCTGATGATATAGAACTACAAATTTGATATAGGCCTAACATATATGCAATTTCGTCAACCTAACTGAAACGGTACTCAATTTATTATGTTCACAGACACACAGACAGACACACAAACAAACGGCAAATTTCCGACTCAGGGATCTGTAAAACGTCGAGATTTCACTTTTATTTTGCACGGTTACAATACTTCCTCTATACCTCGTATTCGAGAAAGTAAAAAGACGCCAATTGAAAGTTCTGTCAATCAAGCCTGTTGCGTCAAATCGTGTCATGTCGCCAGTGAATTAGCTCTCACTCGCAAGCATTCAATCAAGCAACATAAAATCTAATCATAGGTGTCGTCCATAAATGACGTCACACTCGTAGGGGGGAGAGGGGGTCCGTAATTTTGTGACGGTGCTTGGTAAGGGGGAGGAATTTTAGCCGTTATTTCGCGTTTCAGAAAACTGTTTTAATAAATTGTAATAGGAATTGATTAAAAAACTCTATGTTGAGAGAGTTCAGACAAGATTTTGGAAAAATGACGATGTTTTAAGAAAAATTCAACTGCAATTTTGAGGGGGTTGTATCCAGTGTTCCCTCTAAGCTGCGCGGCTGCGCGGCCGCGCAGTACTTTCAAATGTGCCGCGCAGACATTTTCTGACCCCGCGCACAGATTATCAGAACGTCGGGAGAGCCTGATTCACTAAAAATAATTGTGGTCAGTGGCTTGAATTAAGCGACATTTTTAGTGCCTGTTTTGTTAAACGAACAGTCTTTGTGTTTTGGGGTATAAACAGAAACGACGGTTATCACTGACGGGGGGGAGGGGGTGACCTCGGTTGTCATAGCACAGGTCTAGTTTATGACTTAACTCTCACCTGAGCGGGGCTGTGTGACACTCCCATTGCTTGATTTAATGGTTTACCCGAAAACTGACCGGAGCTGACATCTAATACCTGCATTGTATTGTGAATTGAAGCTGACCCTGCAAGTTTTTTAATCGTCGCTTGCCCCCGCGCCCCCCCCCCTCCCCCTCATCTTGAAACTTTGACGATTAAGCCAAGTCAGATGCAAGTTTTACGTTACTTAAGGTGGATGTTTTTGCTGTGTTTGGTTTAAAGATTTACATGTTATATCTCCGATTCTTGGGATTATTACGTGCATGTGGATCGAAATGTTTTAGTATGCACACACTACTTAGGTAAATCAGGAATAAATGTCCACTACTGTGTACTATTTAAAAATGTTGAGGAAAAAATGTGTGTAACAAGCAGTACAACAATGTGGCACAAAAAAAGCGATAGATTCGTTTAAACTGGAATGGCTCAAAGTTAAAGTAACAACTGATACGCCAGATCAAAGAATGTTTCGGTTGAATTAGAAAGCATCTACAAATATTCAGATGAGATTGGACTGAAGTGTAAGTTCTGTGCTGCTACTACTTGTAACAAAACCAACAAGAGCAACGAATTGGTCACAGGAAAGCTCTGGGAATCATGGGCGCTTGACTACTGAAAACGTCATTTATTGTCTCGTGTTTACGTAGGAAATGTTGCGATTTCGTACAACCGCTCACATGGAACTGACCTTAAACGTCTGCTGGTTGAAACTTACACTGAGCGAGGAAAACTAATTGAGCAAAACGAGCGCCAGCGGTCAAACGAGGATCAAGTTCGAATCCTAACGGATAATGTTCTTCTTATCATTAAGATGAACGCCTCGATGCTGTCGGTACAACTGATTCATAACCACATGGGGAAGTATGTTTCTATACCAGACAGTTGGCGAAGTAAGAAATACGACTTTGAGTTTGTTCAAGTAATCAACGAAGTTGTTGTAAAGAACATACTGACAGAACTTCGAGCAGCTTCATTCCACACGCTTATAGTTGATGGCATAACAGTACATAAAATGCTAATCCTTTATTTTAAATTTCGTCCAGTCAATTCTGTATTCTACAAAACCGTTTTTAATGGAATAACTCAGCCTACTGTAAGTGATGCCTTAGCTCTGGAGACAGCCGTAACACAGCACTACACTGAACATTAAAACCAAGAAAAGTGTGAGTTAAACGAAAGAATCGACACAAGGCAAACCACACAGTACATACAATCAGTCTGCGACCATTTAAATGTTAGGTTTTCAGGAGATGAACTGCAGTTTTGGTCATCTTTTTTTATTCTACAGGTTTAAAAAAATGTGCATTTGAGTTTGGCGTCAAAGATATCAAAGAACTGTGCGTAAAGTACAAAGACGGGTTACGTACAACAAATGATCAGTTAATTACCACCCAATACAACGACTTCAAATTTCGATAAAGTGAAAAACTCAGATCTGTGTCTGTAAATTATATGTCTGAATATGCAAGATTTGTCAAAACAAAGAACAATTTAGCTCACTGGCAAAGTTAAGTGACATTATTGTACCTTCCAAGCATGCTGTGCTGATTACGAACAAGGTTTTAGCCTTATTAACATAATAAAAGTGCAAGCACGAAATAGACTTGAGCCACACATTTGGAGAATCTAATGCAAATTAAATTATATCTAAATGCTGGAGAGGATGTGGATTTAAACAAAACATATAAGGTGTGGAAGCAATGCAAGGTTAGACGCGAGAAATTGCAATTAATGCCCCTGAAAGGTTAGCTAATATTTGTTTTTAAGTCAGCTTTATTAAATGTTGCATATGTTAAACTATTGTGTTTGTATTACCGTTATGGTATTAGCATTATTACCATATGACTGTCTTACTTTAACATAGTAAGTCGACCATATAACTTGTTGTCTAAGTATAACTCTGAAAGTTTTTATTAGTTGTTTTTTTTATTTTGATGGTATTCGTATCTCCATTTAATTGCATACGTTTCATTAGTTACACACATTATACTATTAATTTATCAAAATGCATGCCTTCATTATTATGCTTAATTGCAAGACTAAAAATACATATTAACTTGCCCAAGTCATTTTTAGCACCGCGCACAATACATATTTTTTGCACACACACTCTTGGTCCTTAGAGGGAACATTGGTTGTATCAGAGTTTCTTCCAGGCATCTCTTCTGGGGAGGGGGGGGGGGAGGGGGCTCTGCCCCGAAAATGTCAAGTGCCCCCCGGAGAAAAAAGTCTGGAAGAAACACTGGGTTGTATGTTGAGGTGTAACGTCATTTAAGGGGGGGGGTCTGGCTTTTTGTGACGATGTGTGACGGAGGGGTGGGGAGGTAAAAATCGTCAAAAAAGCGTGACGTCATTTATGGATGACCCCATAGCAATCAACAAAACCAATTTAAATTGTGCCCATACAGCACCACTGCGCCAAAAGTAGGGAAAGATTATTTAGCAATTTGTTATTAGAAGTGAAGTTTAGGATTGTCATATCTTTGGTTCAGGGTATGCAGTTATTTTTGCATTAACGCTCTGTTATAGATGCATTATGCAAAACATGCAATGATTCTAATTCAGTATTTTTTTTCTCCGGGAGTGTGTGTGTGTGGGGGGGGGGACACACTGGTAAAAGTATGTATTTTCTAGATAAATTATGTTTTGTTCAAGGGGGTGGGGGTGGGCGGTAGGCGTTCTTCGGTCCCCAAGGGTGGGGAACGATAGAGGTTCTTCGGCCCATTTCCTCCCGAAGAGATGCCTGGAAGGAACTGTGTAAGAGATAGCCTTTCATTAGCTAAAACAGAAGAAAAACAACAGCTTAGCCTAATTAATTACCATTATCCCCTGATTCGTTTACCATCTAAACATACATCATGTCAGAAATAATTTTTAAAACTTTAAAAAATTGTATTACTTAATATTTTTGATGCATAATGGAATCGCGTGAAAAAAAAAAAAGAATTTCACACCTGATGAACGCAAACAGTGTGAATATAATAGTGGTCAATAAGTAATTTCTATTATTTGTTTATCAAATGTAGACTACACATATATTTTCCGACGTCTGCACCCCGTGTACCTGTGACGTAACGGGTACAACACGCTCCAGCAGAAAGCCGTCACACGTCGCTGGATGTCTCGCCGCGTGTGACCCCGCACTATCTCCGTGTTGGGACGGTACACAAAAGGTCGCTTCATGGCGGCGGCACAGCACCGTGTCCTACTTTAGACGTGTTCGTTTAAATTTAATTGAATATACGTTATCTGCATCGCACTGTGCACGGCTTATATACAACTATAACCTCGTTTTCAAATTGAACAATCTACTTTTGTTTTCAATACTTGAATGGTGCTTTTATATCGAATTCGATGTTGGTCTAATTTTAGTCTATTTTATACTGTGTAACCGTGTGTGTAGGCCTAGTAGGATACCCTAGGTAGTTCAACTGACTTACATAAGTCAACAGTCAATGATTTAGTATGGATCGGGGACAAAACACCGTGGACAACTTTATCAGGCAATATCAGGTCGGTAATGTAATACCAAGTCTAGTCTGTTGTTTGGTATCGATAAAATGAACTGCGCAGGTTTAGCTGTAGCCTACCCATAGCCTATGTCTAAATCTGTAAACAACCTCATTTTATAAGTGCCCCTGTGACATAAAATGAATGTTGCAGTGTACACACTTGAAGGGGCACTAACTCTGCTTATGTCAACTCGTTCTAGCTTTTTTTTAAGAGTTCACTTAAAATTACAGGCCCAAAATACGTATTGTTACTGTCTATGTTTTTTGTTAAATTCTGCAGTAATCGAATTTCCAAACGGCAATTCAGGTTGGGCTTTATCTAAAATTTCAATGTTATTGTTATAGGATGTATAAAAGTGCTTCGCCGTTGTTTTGTTGGCAGATTTTTGCAATAACATCTTAAAAAAAAAACAAGGTGGTAAACAATAGGTAACTCTTACAAAAACATCGTGCACTTGATAGTTTACCGCAATAACAAATGCCGGGGTAACCCGAACCAAGGGCATATAATTTGTTTATTCTGTACGGAACCAGGCAAACAACATTCTAATGTTGAGCTTTTCATTTGTGGATAACCTAATACCAGATTTCACTATATAAGAATTTCTGATAGAAACTTGTAAGTTTAGGTTAATATCTATTTGGACAATAATTTTTGTACATACCCTAATAATTAGAGCTAAACTTTAGTGTTACATTACGCATTGTGAATTTTCATAGGTGTAGGATTTAATTAATTTTGTCTAAATATTCTTAAGCAAACATGTTGTTTAGCTATGGTGAATATGATTTGGACGTAGTAGATGGTGTTAAGTTGGTGAAGAATGTCTTGTTTGATTTATCTTAAGCTAATTATCGAACTAATTTGACAGGTGCTAATAAGCTTTTCATTGGTCATATTAATCACACATAGGTAGGTTAAGTAAAAATTGTTAAGTAAAAATTGCAGTATTTTAACCATCTTCCGTGTTTGACGCGCTGTAGAAATGATATTATTCCAGTACACATTTAGAAACCTTTGATGCTCAATCTAACACTTGGACGTAAGGGTGACATTGAACACACCTCTTTGTTCACATGAGTGTAACTACCCCTCTTTGTTCACGTGTTACCTACACCTCTTTGTTCACTTGTTACATACACCTCTTTGTTCACGTGTTACCTACATCTCTTTGTTCACGTGTTACCTATACCTCTTTGTTCACTTGTTACATACACCTCTTTGTTAACTTTGTTTACTTGTTACCTACACCTCTTTGTTCACGTGTTACCTACACCTCTTTGTTCACGTGTTACCTACACCTCTTTGTTCACGTGTTACCTACACCTCTTTGTTCACGTGTTACCTACACCTCTTTGTTCACTTGTTACCTACACCTCTTTGTTCACTTGTTACCTACACCTCTTTGTTTACTTGTTACCTACAACAAGTCCTATCCCAACCACCACTCCAGTTTAACCATTAGTTTGTTGGTCCTCTACTGCAACTTCGCCCCGAGTCGCATAGTTGGTTAACGTTTTGAGTGACTGACAATTTGTTTTAAATTGTGTTCAGATACTAATCAACTAGTCTATTGATCAGACAGTGTGTCCACTAGTCTATTGGTCAGTGTGTCGACTAGTCTATTGGTCAGTGTGTCGACTAGTCTATTGGTCAGATGGTTCACTAGTCTTTGGTCAGACAGTGTGTCCACTAGTCTATTGGTCAGTGTGTCCACTAGTCTATTGGTCAGACTAGAGATACCCCAGGTGTTTTGCAATACTTTCGACAAGCCGCACAATTTCACCACTTAGTGCCTTGTATTCTGATATCTGTTCATGTCATAGATCCACAACAACGTCATGATAGCAGAAGCCTACCATTTTTCTACGCCCATGTCAACGCCCCTCATCACAACATTAATGTTTGTGTCTTCTCAACACACATAACTCATCGAAACTAATTACCCCCGCTTTTAATCTGGCATCTAATTTCAATAGTTTTCAAATATTTTATCGCTCACATCAAGTAGCGTGTGAACAGGTGTATCGTGTAATAAAATCGTTCGCTGGATGCAAGCTGTGACCTTTTTCGCTCACCGCTAGATACCTGTGGACTCGTATACAGTGAGATCAGTAGGGTGGCTGATAATACTGATATAGGCAATACGGTTTTTAAGGTAGTGGTTTATTCAAATATGCGTGGTTTATTATAACAAAATAAACTTAATTTTCACGGAAAAGCTTCTGTAGTGAGCTTACTCGTGCATTTTAAAAGTGGGGAATATTATTGTATATTATATAGTAGTTTTTATTGTTTTTGTTATTAATAACAGTTGTTATCATCATACTTTCTCTATTCAGACTATTTGTCTGGACATACGCTTAATTTTATGTCATTAGCACAAACACACATTTTGTCTTAAATTGAAGCTATTTCAGTTTTGTATTTAAATTTTGATGTTCATATATTTATTACAACATTCATGTATTAATTTTGATATTCATATTATTTTTAAACGTTCGTATTTTTTATTTCGTATCATTATTTTGATGCTCTTATTATAATTTTCACAAGTCCTAATATTTTTTTATATCAGCTCCGCCAATGCTTGCAAGCAGTTCTGTCATAACACAGTGGTGAAATGACAACGTGATTTGAACAGAGGCTTAAATACCATATTTGATTGGACGGTTTTCATTGTTTTGATGTTGAACTCAAGGAATAACTACAGATTGTCCCAGTAGACTTTAACTCCATGATTTGTACCTAGAGCAACACACCAGCGACAAATCTAGTCTTTGTTAGACTTTACACCGGGACAAAATGCCAAGCTTGTACACCAGTTGTTTGGGCAGGAGACAGATGCCTGACGGGAAAGACCCGGATAGGGAGCACTTTCCGCTGGTCTTCTCAGAGAATGACCAGCAGAGTCTGAGAAGCGTGTCCGGCACCATGGAGAGCCGGAAGGTCAAGGTCGAGCGGTACCAGAGTACGGACAGCCAGGCGCAGAGAGACGAGGCACAGGAGCGGCAGAGGCGGAGGCTGAAAAGGAAACAGAGGGAGAAGGAGGTAAGTTGGTTGAAACATTTTTATTAAAGTTGGTCTTTGTTAAAGTTGTAATGTAAGGAGGTAAGAGGGTTGAAGTATTTCATTGAAGTTGGTCTTTGTTAAAGCTGTAATGTAAAGAGGTAAGATGGTTGGAGCATTTAATTAAAGTTGGACTTCGTTAAAGTTGTAATACAGTTAAGGAGGGAAGATGGTTTGAAAATATCATTAAAGTTGGAATTTGTTTTGTTAAAGTTGTAAAGCAATTTAAAAAGAAAAAAAAAAACATCGCATAACAATGGACGTTCGTTCATACAGCGTTGTTGGTTTTAGAGGCACACTGGAAGGACATAATGAGTTATGCAATACCCCCCCCCCTTTTTTTTTTTTAAATCCTTTCTTTCCGAACACACGCACACAAACATACCACTCCGTCATCACCCATTTTGACATGCTAAGTAAAAAGTAAACACAAGTAATTGTTCAGATTTTGTGTTGTTGCTGAAAAGAATAATCCTGTTGGAGATAAAGTTGTTACAATCGCCATTAAAATCAACTGTAACATTCTAATTTCGTGTCTAACAAACTAAAAAAACTTGTCTAATTAATGATTGTTTTAAAGATGACTCTATTCCAAAACTAAAAGGGAGATTATCAGGTAGTAGCCATAGCCCTTTTTTTAAAAGTAAAGTCACCTTCGACCCCAAAGCAATTAAAAGAGGCGTTAATCGTTAAATATGAAAACTTTCCATTCTAATGAATACTATTTTAGTTTTTTTCTTTATGTTGACAACCCCGTTGCAATCTGTCAATAATAAATAATCGATAGACAGAGAACAAAGTATTTTTAACACTTGGAGATAGGCAAACATTTCTTTGACAAGTAAAGGAGGGAGAATGCTTTGTGTTTCAATACTTGTTTTCTTTGTGCTTGTATATAGGCCTACTTGTTTTCTTTGTGCTTGTATATAGGACTACTTGTTTTCTTTGTATTTGTAGATGAAGAAAAGGGCCCACCACGTGGTCCACTCGTCCTGGAAATGGCTGAAAAGAGGCTTCATTGCCATAGCACCGGCGATGACGTCAATGCTGACGTTTTCACCAACCCCGGCCAATTTGATCTACGCCACTTCTGAAGTTCGGCGAGACATGTCCAGAAACAACATGACTTCTAGCTATATTTAAAGGGATGTTTGATTCGACTTTATCTAGGGAATAAATGCTTCATATGCATAGGTAACAGAAAAAGGTGAACTTTACTTGCTCTATGGACCGTCAGGCTCGAATGGGAGCTGTACACTATCATGCATACATTAGTTTAGAGCTAGTACTGGACTAAAGAAACGTTACCAACATGTATGTAAGGAGATGTAAGAAAAATTGTAAGTTCGCTGTGTAGCTGTGCTGCTCATTGTGTGTGTGTATGTGTGTGTCATGCTCATCGGAAAAGAAATTCTTAAAGAATTTACCGAATGTCTATTGTATGAACTTTAATGTCCCTTGAATTTTATCGAATGTCTAATGTATGAAAATTAATTTCTTTTACATTTTACCGAATGTTTATTGTATAAACTTTAATGCCAATTTCATTTTACAAGAAGGCTTGTTGAATGAAATTATACGTCTCTTACATTTTATAATTCATCAATTTTATAAACTTTAATGTCTCTACTATTTTAACGCTGACATTTTATCTGATGTTTATTTTATGAACATTAATATTTCTGCTATTTTGCCGAATGTCTTTTGTATGAAATAACGGATCAGCGTGGCATAACAGTAGCGCGCTAGACTGCTAACCCCAAAAGTCTTGAGCTCGAATCCGGGTTCAGTAAGTGAAACGTCCCTGAGTCCGCAAAGCCCTAATGGGTGCCTAATTCACGTTAGGGAAAGTAAAGATGGACAGCATAGTGCTGATTACTTTTTTCTTTCATACACCGAAGTAAAAAAACAAAAAAAAAACAAATGAACTCTACTTCTTCTGCCCAATGGATCGCTAGGTCTAAATAGGAATCTACCGAATGCATGTTGTATGCCCATATACTTGTATGTCCCTTACATTTAAAAAAAAAGTCTATTTTATGAACTTTAGTGTCTCTACTATTTTATTGAATGCCTGCTGTATACCCATGTATTGTATGTCCATTACATTTTATAAAAAATGTCTATTTTATGAGCTTCAATGTCTCTACTATATTACTGAATGCCTGCTGTAGGCACATGTATTGCATATCCCTAATATTTTACCGAATGTCTATATTGTAAGTTCTAGTGTCTGTACTATTTTACCGAATGCCTGCTGTATGCCCATGTATAGTATGTCCCCTACATTTCCCCCTGCCCAGCCAGTGTGTAGGCTGTAAGCTGTGATACACCCCTCATGTGTGTGACTCAAGATCAGCTGGTCTATTGATTATTTACATTACCATACATGTTTGTTTTTTAAAATGCAATTTTCAAGTATATTTATGTTCATTTGTTCATTATGGTCATGTATATAGAATGTATCCCTGTAGTTTCAATGAAGGCTAAATATAGATTCACGTGATCTTTGAGAATACCTGGGCTAAATAAACGGAAAGTTTCAAGTAATAGGCTACAGCAAATACAGATCAATACAGCCTGTTGTAGGCCTAGCTTTATAATTCTTGGGTGTCCTCTCACACAACGAACATTTTCTGCCTGTAAAACCCAAATGTACTTTCAGTAAACCGAACATTGGCTTTAAAATATCAGCTATTTACTTTTAAAATCTATTCCCACTAGCTGCCAGTCAACAAATACAATTTTTATACGTTGTTTGTATATATTTTTGTGATACTTTTGAAACATTTACTAAACTTTATAGAGAACACGAAATATATTTTAGATGTTAACAACATGACATTTTTAATATATTTACAAAGCACCAGTGAGAAGAAGGGGTATTTTAAAAGTGTGTACAGACTTTAAGAACCGTTTTATGTAAACAGACAATTATAAAATAAATAAAATGTTATATAAACGTTCCAATTACTCAGCGTTCATTATAATAATTACAGTAATTAATTCTGTTTTTTTAAAAATATTGCTGAAGGGGGTAAAATGATACCACCTAAGTGTTTGGGCTACTAATGGACGGTACGGTACTTAAACTCATCGTGCTTTTATACTTGAGAGGAGGCTCTAGTATCGGGTTTCATGTGAAATAAATTGTATATATTTAAATAACATTAACTGTCGGGGTATTTTGTTCACCATGTTATTTGTTCAACGTTTATTTATTTAGCACGCAGTTAAATTGTAAGCGGATACTTGCCATATGTCGGGGTGTATGTGTACTGTGTCTATCGCATAGCACAGTCGAACAGGGTTTTTATATGCAGTCAAATGGGCACTTATTGGGAGATGGGGAACTAGATCTAATATTTAAGGAAAGGCTAACAGATCTCAAAATATACTGGAACTGTCCTGTTATATACTTGGTCTTAGAGATATATCATCACCCCAGTGGCGTAGCGAGGTCGGGTGTCACCCGGTGCGGCACTTAATGGTGTCACCCCCCAGAGGCATAGCGACCCTTCCCGGGGACAAACTTTCAAAATTTTGATTTGCACCCCCCCCCCCTCCTCAAACTTTCGATTTGCACCCCCACGAGTTTTTCTCTATATATTTTGCTATTTTTTGCCTTGGTGTCACCCCCCTAAATGGTGTCACGCTGTGCGGTCCGCACCCCCCGCCCCCCCCCCTCGCTACGCCTCTGCATCACCCCCCTCACTCCGACACATATCACGTTAATCTCAAATTCTCAAGTCTGGGACCTCAACCAAACTTAATATGGTCGATGTGGTGGTCCACGATCAAGTACAATGTCATATTTCATAACCAGGCATTTAAACACTCGTTTATGCTATCATGTACGTCATGAATATCTTGACTGATTGAAACTGACACAATAAAACTGAACTATAGAAATTGACCTTTTAAAACTGATCTATCGAAACTGAGGTATTAAAACTGACCTTTTGAAACTGACCTATTGAAACTGACCTTTTGAAACTGACCTTTTGAAACCGACCTTTAGAAACTGACAATGATAACATGATGGTAGGTAACGATATTTGAACAACAGATTTGTGTGTGTGTGGGGGGATGTCCCAGGTGTACCCAAATTTTTGGCGTAATAAAATTGACAGTCCCTTAAACAGATGCTGGCTATACGGTTGATTCCAAAACTTGTCATCACGTTATACTGTGTAGGATACACAGAACAAGTGTTTTTTTTTTTTTTTGAGTTCGGATCCAGCTCTAATGAGGATCTGACTGTTTTTTTTTTTTTTGAGAAACTAAGACGACTTGAAATATCCCTGACCACAATACATGTATGCCGAGGTCATTGAAACAGATGAACTCTACTTCATCTGCCCATGTGTCATGGGCACGAACGCGAAAAAGTGGTATGCTATGTAAAGCTGAAACAACCAACGGCTAAAGATTTGGATCTACATCAGTCTACATGCAGCATATACCCAGTAGAATCTACATCGAATGTTAAGAAGTTTTGTGTACATGAATATGATCCTTAGCATCTACATCTAACATAATGAAGTTTTGTGTACGTGAATATTTCCCTTTTCATTGACATCTAACTTAATGAAGTTTTGTGTACATGAATATGACCCTTGGCATCTACATATAACTTAATGAAGTTTTGTGTACATGAATGTTTCCACTAGCATCTACATCTAACGTAATGAAGTATTGTGTACATGATTATTCCCCTTTGCATAATTCCACTCATTAACTGTTATCAGTGCTGCACCTGTTTATCCTTGCATAAAATGTAATTAATTAAGGTAAGTTATTGCAATTTATAATCGCTACAGCAATATGTTAACAGGTGTTCTTTGGCTGCAGGTTGACAGTGTGTAATTTTCTTACTTTAAACTAACACTGAAACCAGTGGCGTCGCTGGGTTGGGTGTCACCCGGTGCGGTACCTAATGTTGTCACCTCCCACCGACTATTGTTGCCCATAGTGTCTAGGTGGAGGCGGGGTGTGTGGACCGCACCGGGTGACACCATTTAGGGGGTGATGAAAAGATTTCAAGATGTATAAAATAAATATGTTTTTGCCAGTTCCATGAATGATTAATTAGAGTTTAAAAGTATTTTAAGTACATATTGGTAACCTCGGCAAGTTGGGGGGGGGGGGGGGGGGGGATGACGCCAACTGCAAGATTTACAGAGAAAAAAAGGAGTGACACCATGAGATGCCGCACGGGGTGACACCCGATCTAGCGACGACACTGAATAGTACCCCTGACCCGCTATGCAAGACGCACGATTAACGGAGGTCAAGTGCTAACATAGCCGCTCTGGAACCCTGGGACCGAATTGTGTATTGACGAAAATAGCACCCTCGCGGGCGGCGCCCTCTAAATATCTCATTTGTCATACACGATAAATACAACTAATTTCATATTCATACGTCTAGACTTTAAGTTGACAATGGGTTCTTGAATGTTAATATGTTATTTTATGGGTGTGTGGGCAGACCATGCAAATGTAGGTTGCATACCAGTCACACACTGATGTGTTTATAAACTTAAAGAAATTTGAAAGTTCTAATTAAACTGAACATGTTAAAAATGTGGGACTGATATAAGGACAGCTTGAAGCATTTTGTTCTAGACATTTTGTTGTCAACTTCAGTCAATTTTAGAATTACTACCATTCGAAATTTTTTTTTTCGCATTTAGCCAACGAGGACTAGAATCTAAATACAAACTGGCATGCAAGTAGCGAAGATATTACATTTAATTTAGTTTATGCTTAGGACCGACAGAAAAAGAATGTTTTTCTAATAACGAATCTAACTGGTTACTGTATTATTAGAAGTAGCAGATTCTATAGCTCCATCTATATTTCATTTAAATCGTTTTTCTGATAGACTGAGAAAGTTCCATCTATATTTCATTTAAATCGTTTTTCTGATAGACTGAGAAAGTTCCATCTATATTTCATTTAAATCGTTTTTCTGATAGACTAAGAAAGTTCCATCTATATTTCATTTAAATCGTTTTTCTGATAGACTAAGAAAGTTCCATCTATATTTCATTTAAATCGTTTTTCTGATAGACTAAGAAAGTTCCATCTATATTTCATTTAAATCGTTTTTCTAATAGACTAGGAAAGTTCCATCTGAATTTTTAAAAAAAAAAAAGTTTTTCTTATAGACTTGGAATGCTCCATCTGTATTGTACTTCAATAAGTTTTCTGATAGACTAGGAATCAACATTGCAAGACTTAAAGAAATGCCTTACGAGAAGTTCGTCCCGTCCGTCCACAAGCCGATCACGGTCCAGGAGGTCCAAGAGATCGCTGACCTTCTCAACTTCAACAGTTCTACAGACCAGGTGCTGGCGTTTACAGGTATCCACGTTTAATTGTCAACAACCATTCATACTCTTCATCCGTTGATCACGGAAAAAATTGTCACAAAGCGCTTTAAAATATATGACCTACACGGCTTTATTAATAAAGTAATTTTAAATTAATTTAATTAAAATGGTGTACGAGGGTTTCAACGGCTAATATTAATGGATATCGTGTTTATTAAAAATTTTGTAACACCGATGTAGGCTTGCAGTATACCCACATAACCTAATCTTGATACCTATGTAAAATGTAAATTGGGAACTTTTCACTTTCAAGGAGGAAAAACTCGCTTTTAGTAGAAAGTTAATATTTCGCTCGATTTTAGTTTCTACAAGACTACCTGCTATTCTTGAATAACCGTAAGTTTCGGGAATAATCCATTAATGACGTCACGTTTGTAAAAAGATTTTTCTTTTCCCTTCCCTTCCCACTGTCACACATCGTCACAAAAAGTCAGACCCCACATTCAAAAAGACGTCACACCTCAGGCAACATGTTATTGTCTTTTAAAAACACCGGTTTCGGCTGAGCAAGAGTCTGACCACACTATCCCTTAATATGCTGAGAACAATAGAAACAGGATAACTCTACTTCACCTGCCCAGTATCATGCCAAGTCCCGATAGTCAACGTTATCTTTTACATCTAAAAAAAAAATTAACATTGACATGATGTGTCCCGAACCCCAATTTCACTATTAAAAAAGTAACTGTTCTGAGCTTTTATAATTAAAGTTGTGTTTGTACCAATGGATATATCAATAAATTAATTAACGTCTTTAAATGAATATTTGTGATTAACAGTAAAAAAGAACATTATTCTCTACATAAATACGGATTTTTACAAATTTACACATAGTGCAGATTCTCTCATGTAGCCAAACAGACAGACAAATAAATAAATAAATATATAAACTTGTAAACAAACTTGAGTTTTAGTAGTATATAGAAGATAGATAGATAGACGACTTAATTGCGCTTCTAACACAATGTTCCCTTGGTAAAGTCAATTCTAAGACAATGTTCCCTTGGTAAAGTCAGTTATAAGACAATGTTCCCTTGGTAAAGTCAGTTCTAACACCATGTTCCCTTGGTAAATCTTAAGAAACGATCTCTGATGCTGTCAGGAGTCTGGAACTACTGGACACCCTCTGTGAACCCATTCCTGAAGTCAAGCACCCTCGGACACCCGGCTACAGGCCACAGCCGGAAGACCGGATCGGCAACGCCTGGTCAGTTGGCCGAAGCTCCTGAAGTTGTCCTCAGTCTTTAACCTATGCCGCGTCTCCATCTTTCATTTACTGCCAGTGTTTCTTCCAGACTTTTTTCTCCAGGGAGGAAGATGGGGGGAAGGGGGGGGGGGGCACTTGACATTTTCGAGGGGGGGGGCGGACTGAAATTTTTAGTAGAGGGGGGGGGGGGCGGGCACTGCTAAAAGTATATATTTTCTTTATGAATTCCGTTTTGTTCTGGGGGAGGGGGAGGGGACGGTAGACTTTCTTCGGGGTGTGGGGGGGGGGGGACTGGAGTATCTCGTGTCCATTAAGTGTTTTAGATTTTGTTGTTTGAATGTCTTAGATTTTGTTGTTTGAATGTCTTAGATTTTGTTGTTTGAATGTCTTAGATTTTGTTGTTTGAATGTCTTAGATTTTGTTGTTTAAATGTCTTAGATTTTGTTGTTTGTTCTTGGTAAATAAACCGGGAGTGATCTCCCCTAAACTTTCTCGAATATTCTTATACGAGAAAAATGGCCCGTTGAGGAAGGATACACCGGGCGCTAGGTTGATAGTGCTGTCTCTTTTCTCTAAACTAAAACCAACCCCCCCCCCCACACCACCCCCACCCCCCCCCAAAAAACACACCATCCCCCCACCCCCAACCCCCCCCCCCCACCCCCACCCCCCAAAAAACATGTCTACCGTCCCATTCAACGAAATATAATTATATACTTTTTCCAGTGTCCGACCCCTCCCAGAAAATTCTACACCCGCCCCCGAAAATTTCAAGTACCCCCACCCCTCTACGGGGAGGAAAAAGTCTAAATTAACCCCCCCCCCACTTACCCCAGCCCCCCCCCACTCACCCCAGCCCGCCCCCCCCCCCCCACACACACACCACCCCCCCTAAAAAAACATGTCTACCGTCCCATTCAACGAAATATAATTATATACTTTTTCCAGTGTCCGCCCCCTCCCCGAAAATTCTACACCCGCCCCCAAAAATTTCAAGTACCCCCACCCCTCTCCGGGGAGGAAAAAGTCTAAATTAAAACCACCCCCCACTCACCCCCCCCCCACACACACACCACCCCCTCAACCCCCACCCACCCCCTCTAAAAAAAAACATGTCTACCGTCCCATTCAACGAAATATAATTATATACTTTTTCCAGTGTCCGCCCCCTCCCCGAAAATTCTACCCCCGCCCCCGAAAATATCAAGTACCCCCACCCCTCTCCGGGGAGGAAAAAGTCTGAAAGAAACACTGGTGTCGCGCTTAGCCACTACCCGAAGAATTGCATTAAAGAAATTGCAAGAAAACCACTTTTCAGATTAGACACATTAATTAGGCGGTAATTTTCTTTTGAGTTGGGGAGGGGGGGGGGGCTCAGACGTTCTTACGCGTGGGGTGGGGCTTCGCCCCTACCCGAAGAATTGTATGCAAGAAACTCTTCACGCAAACCATTTAGATTAGACAACATTTCCTTTGTATTCAATGTTTACGCGATAATCAATGACGTCATTATATTACTGTGTGCACTTTCCGCCTTGATATTATTTTCAACTCTATGCTAAATGTGTCGACGTCATACTTCGTTTTCGTTTCACTGTGCAAGTTTTAAATTTCCATATGTTTTCTCTAGAGCGTTCTTGTCAGACAGATAGATAGATAGATAGATAGATAGATAGATAGATAGATAGATAGATAGATAGATAGATAGATAGATAGATAGATAGATAGATAGATAGATAGATAGATAGATAGATAGATAGATAGATAGATAGATAGATAGATAGATAGATAGATAGATAGATAGATAGATAGATAGATAGACAGACAGCGAAACTATTATTATAGATAACTCAGAATATAGACATGATTTTAAATTACTTTTAAAAATAGAACAAAATCTCGTAGAAAAAAGAATTGCGCACCAAGCGAACGCCAAAACAAAATGTGCATAATAGTGCGCAATATTATTAGTACTTTATTAATTTACATGCGTTTTTTGAGAAGTCGAAAATAGCGTAAATTAGTACTTCCGGTCAACGGAAATTACTCAAAATTTGACAGAAGGCAGAGAATTAGATCTTTTACTTACATGTGAAATTTCATTTATCTATCTGAAATAGTACTCAAGTTATAGGCTTTTGAAAAATTCAAAGTAGAAAAAAGTACCACTTCCGGTTATCGGAAATCGCTCGAAATTTGATCAGGATCTACGATTTTGATAAAATACCTATATGAAATTTCATCAACCTAGCTGTATCGGTACTCAAGTTATCGTGTTTACACACAGACAGACAGACACCCAGACACCCAGACACACAGACATACGGACAAGATTGCAAAATTATGTTTTTCCGTATCAGTGAGGTTTAAAACGTCGAGATTTGTAAAAATCTCGATTTTCTTTTTTGCACGATTACAAGACTTTCTCTATACGAGAAAGTAAAAAAGTAAGTAGAAATCACATTTTCACCATCATTTAATTTTAAAATTAGTATAATTAGTAAAACGTATGTATGTCATAATATAGTAAAATAGTTTCGGTGACCTCGCCATATGAAAGGGTGGTGTGCGGTGTGGTCAGTTCTATCTCCAGCCGCCTTTCCTTTCCTTAAGTTACTAGTAAACATCAGAGATAGGTGGACTCAGGGATGACCTTTGAACTTAGGCCTGGGTTCCGAAATCGAGATATTCGGGTTAACAGCCGTCCGCCTTACCTTTGGTAAACATAAGTTTTCCTTTATCGATTTCTCCATGTAAAATGAAATAACTAAAATTGAGAGCATGTTAAAGAGATTAATTTTTAAAACAAGTGTGCTATAAATAGCCACCAAAACAGGCTTAATGGGTTGCTTACAGGGTCTGACATTGGCTGTATGTATGTTGTCTTGCAGGGTCTGATGATGTCTATGTGTGTGTGTTGTGTTGTGTTGCAGGGCCTGACAGTGGCTGTATGTGTGTTGTGTTGTAGGTTCTAACAATGGTTATAGTGTGTTGTGTTGTGTTGTGTTTCAGGGCCTGGCGATGTGACGTCCAAGGTGCTCCCACAGGTAAACTGTCCGGGAAAACTTTTGCTATCAAAGACAACACGGCTGTAGCTGGTGTCCCCATGTCCAACGGTAGCCGGTTGCTACAGGGCTACATACCAGAGTACGATGCTACCGTCGTTACGAGAATTCTAGATGCGGGTAAATACAACGGTTCTTGTAATGTGAAGCGTAGTCTTAAAAATTTAACTTAAATTGCACTGAAGAGCATGGTTAAAATAAGTGAGGTACAAAAATGAGTGAGGTGGGCCAAAAAGGGATGTTGGACAAAGTAATGCATGGCGAAATTAAGCTAAGGAACTAGGTAAGTAAAGTTCCTTTCAAACCTGAGGTCTATAGGGCAAGTGAAGTAGAGATCACTAGTTTCTGTGACCTCGGCATATGAAGAAATAGTGTGGGCAGCTTTATGTCCAGCCGCCTTTACTTTCCCTAACGTGAGTTAGGTACCCATCGGACTCAGGGACGATCTAATGATTTGAACCCGGATTCGAACTCGAGACTTACGTGTTAGCAGTCCAGCTCTCTACCGCTAAACCACTCCGTCCCCATGTATGACGAAATTAGTGAGGTAAAATCAGTGAGGTAAAAAATGAGGTACAACAAAATAGGTGAGATAAAAATATTGAAATGCAATAAAAAACTTAAGAGAAAGTTAAAAAATGACTAAAGTTGAATACACTTGAATTAGATAAAAGAAAATCACGTAGAATGCCATATTCTCGCAGGAGGACATATACTCGGTAAGTCCTCGTGTGAAGATTTTTGTGTCGGTACCACAGGATTCTCCGGCACTGACGGCTACGTCACGATGCCGGACAAACCGGACGTCCGGGTCGGTGGCTCAAGCAGCGGCTCAGCTGTGCTGGTGAGGTTTACTTCTTGCTCGACTAGTTCTAGAACATGTCTGCAGAGGCGTAGCGACCCTTCCCGGCGCCCGGGGACAAACTTTTCGATTTGCACCCCCTCCTCGAGATTTCGATTTGCACCCCCCCCCCCTCAAACTTTCGATTTGCACCCCCCCCCCTCAAACTTTCGATTTGCACCCCCCTCAACCTTTCAATTTATTTTTCCAACCCATTTTGGCGCCCCCTGAGGTCGGCGCCCGGGGACATATGTCCCGTCCCGTCCCCCCACCCACCCCCCCCCCCCTCGCTACGCTACTGCATGTCTGTATTTACTGAAATAACTAGTTCTTTACACTTGAACATGTCTGTGTTTAAGTACTGAAATAACTAGTTCTTTAACTAGAAAATGTATGAATTTAAGCATTGGCGTAGCTATGTCGGGTGTCACCCGGTGCGGCACTTAATGGTGTCATCCCCCACCCCCCGTAATATATATATTGTATTAAATTCACATTTGCAATTAATTTGTACAATCTCAGTACAGTACATAACTTAAATTATAACAAACTATTTATTCAAATGAATGCTATACTTTGTGATTTTTGTTTTTTCTTTAAAATAGTAAAAAATATATTTTAAAATTATTACTTTAAAAAGTTACTTCCCCTCTACATATATCAAATGTCGTTTACTTTTTCAAAAACAATTGTTTATATAAGAAAATACGGCATCTGGAAAAATCTAACGGAGTTTTTCCGACGGGAATAAAGTTTTTTTGTTACCCTCCAGAGGCGGCCTACGACCTCACAAAATATTAGGGGGGTCGTTCGTCAATTTATTAACATATATTTCATGTAAGAAGAATTTTAATCGCGGTCATTTTTTTGCCCTCGTGGAGGGCTTTGAGTCATACCGACAGTTTTTTCATTTGACCTAGCCATTTACCTAGGTGCATGCAAAAAAATTAGCTAGATGTACAGACGGTAAGTGCCCTAAAATCTGTGTTGAAATTACCCTCTGTTTTCCCATAAATTACAAAGATTATATAGGGTCAGTTTAGACCACTTTTCTCGGATGTGGTTTTTTCTGACACCCCTAGGTGTTTTTCAAGAACCCCACAAAATATCAATGGGGGTCGTTCGGCAAAAGTTTTTTTCGTAAAACAGCTCATATAAGTTGCCGGTCAGTCGAGGTCAGTTTTGACCCTCTTTTCGTGGACTTTGCGGCCAACCGGTACCGACCCCCGTGTTCTATTGCCCCAAGGAAAATTTGAAGCGTCTGCTTATATATATATATATATATATATATATATATATATATATATATATATATATATATATATATAAGTAACTAAGTATGCATTTACGCATGTGCATATGTATTCACATATATTTTTTTTATCTATTTTAATTTTTTTTACCTCTTCTTCCCCCTCCCCCCCATAAATGGATTAACACATAAGTTATTACGACTCTCAACCTAACCGTTCACCTCAGGCATATTTTGCAACGTTGTGTTCATGTAACTTTCCCCCCCCCCCCCACCCCCACCCTCACGGCGATTGCTTTAAACTATGCTCATATATAATACTAACGATTTTTATCAATATTCGGTTATAAATACAGTTTGATATAGCATGTTTTCTCTATCATTAACAGGTTTACGTCATGGTGTCACCCCCCCCCCCCCCCCTCCACCTTTCTCGGGATTTGTCAATTTGCTCTTAAAAGACTATTTAACACTCTAATTAATCACTTAGTTAAGTGGAATTATATTGTTTTAAATATATTTTTCTATTTTTTGCCTTGGTGTCACCCTCCTAAATCGTGTCACCCGGTGTGGTCCGCACCCCACCCCCGCTACGCCTCTGTATTTAAGTTTTGTAAACTGTTTATTTTATTTTAGAACATGCCTTTATTAATAACTTTTTTCTGTATTTATGTAAGACTCAGATTAATAACTTTTTTCTGTATTTATGTAAGACTCAGTAAAACTACTTAACAATGTCTTACGTCGTACTTTGGGTAACTACGGTAACAACAGGTAGCCACAGGTGAGGTGGACATGGCACTGGGGGCGGATCAAGGCGGTTCTATCCGGATACCGGCAGCGTGGACCGGCACTGTTGGCCTGAAGCCGACCTTTGGACTGGTGCCGTACACGGGCCTCATCTCAGTGGAACCCAGACTTGATTATGCTGGCACCATCACAAGGGACGTCACCGACTGTGCCTTGTTTCTAGAGTTAAGTTTTCATTACCGTCTCACACGACTTAGTTGAGATAAACTCGCGGGTACATTCTCAGCAGTGGCGTAGGCAGGGGGGGTTAGGGGGGGTTATAACCCCCCCCCCCATGGACCCCCAAAATGACTACTTTTTTACGTTAAGCTATAGCTATTGACTTGTGTCAATATTATTTAGGGCTTAAACACTAAACACTTAAGCCTGGCAGCCTCTAGAACAACAATGTATATCATTGTGATGAGAATTGCCTGTAGAATTTAGTTATGAATTTTATTATCGCGCTAAAGTAAAGTATAATAATCTGGAACGCAGTAGGCCAAGGGAAAGTTGGCCAAGGTTAGATCAGTTAAGGAGTGTCGAAAGGGAGGGGTGGGCTACGTGGGTAGGCCTTTGTTGTCTAATATGATTGTAGTGCAATCGGAAAGCGTCTAGAAATGAAAAACAAACAAAGGAATTGATTATTATTCGCATTGAGGTTCTATAATGTGTATGTTTTTACTACTTCAAACCATTTGAAATTCATTTCACTTAATTTTTAAAAAGATAAGTAAACTGAAAATGATAAAGATGGCAGAGGGAGGAGTAGGCAGGGGTGAAGGGAGGGGGGGGGGGGTAGAACCTTCAAAATGACAATCCTTTACGTTAAGTTACAGCTATTGACGACGATGGACTTGTGTCGCTATCATTCAGTGCTTAAACAACAAACACTCAGGGTCGCAATAGGCGAAGGGAAAGCTGAACAAGGTTATCAGTTAAGGGGTGTAAAAGGGGGTGAGGGTGGGATGAATATTGGTACGTATCAATTATAAAATACTACCGGATGCACATCTGGCAGGAAGGCGTGGGCTTGACCCACAATTGTTGACACAAAACTTTGTGTTGGTAGGCTATATAAAAAAAACTGCGTATTTGGTTAAATATAGATGTAAAGCCAGGAACCTACAGTAGTCAATTTAGACAGAATAGAAGACCAATAATAATTTGCTTTCTTCTTCGTATAGTCGTGTTTTAATGTGTATCTTTTAACTACTTCAAGCAATTTAAATTCATTTTAATGATGGCGGAAGGAAAAAGGAAATTAAAAACTACTTTATTAACTGATTTCTTTACAAAGAAAAGTAAAACTGAAAATGATAAAAATGAAGATGGTACTATTGCTTTTCAAAGTACATTACATCAAGAAATTTCCATAAATTCAGCACCTTCGACTGTTTCTTACGCAAATGATATCGGCAATTTTATCAAAGGAGTTATAACAGACGATACACGGTTGTATTTATTAGAAAACATCTGGCGTCCTGATGAACTTTTAAAATTTCCAGCAAGCGGACAAAGAAATTTAAAGTTTCAATATTTGTGGCTACTTAGGTGGAACTGGTTGACTTATTCCAAATTACTTGATGGCGCATTTTGCAAATATTGTGTTTTGATTAGTTTGAATTATCGTGGTGTAGGTAGTCAGCCTATGGATAAGCTATCAAAAATTTCATTTTCAAACTGGAAAAAGGCAACAGACAAGTTTAATGAGCACCAGCAATGTGAGTATCATAAAAGAGCAATTTTACTTTCCCAAAATCGTAAATCGGTGATGGAGAAAAAAAATTAACTTATTAAAATCTCCTTAAATTTATCATAAGTCAACAAATTCAAGAAAATCGTTTAAGATTAGCGCCCATAATAGAATCTCTAATATTTTGCGGCCGACAAGGAAATTTTTAGTTGGAGAAAACTGCTGAAAATGATGAAAATTTGATTTTTATAATTTTTTTACGATAGTGTACATGTGTTACTTGTTACAAAACAATAGCTAATACTAAGATAAGTTAGTCGGTGGCACCCACGAGTTTCTATTGTCACCAGCCACCAATACTTTACACGCACGCACTTACACATGCATATGTACACACACACACACACACATATATATATATATATATATATATATATATATATATATATAAAATGCTGGACAAAATTTGAACCCCCCCCCCCCATGAGACGATCCTGGCTACGCCACTGATTCTCAGTTAAATACTTATAACTCTACATCAATTTACATTATCAAAGCCAGTATTATTAGATTATATTCAATTAATTTTAAAATACACTTCTTATTTTCTACCTTAAGATATTTTGCATGAATGTTTTTTCGTTAGCTACTGATAAGACTTACATACATTCAGGGGCTATAACTGCTGATTTTCATCTCTTTATTTTTACATTTTCCAGGTCATAGCTGGCTACGATGGACTCGATGGGAGACAACCAGCTCATGTACAAGTTCCCGAGTACACCAAACTTGTATGCTAATTATGGTTTTTATTCTTGACTTTTCCCGAAGTTGTTTTTTTGTTACCCAAACGTTGCCTTCATAGTCTATTCATAGATTTTACATATAAATTACTCTGTTTACACAATTTATACATTTTTACCAATACACTGAAGATAGAACAAGAAGTATCTGGAATCCGGATTGGGGTTTTGCAAGAAGGATTAGCTTTATGTGTACCGGAAACGCGACAAGCAGTCCAGAATTTTCTTGAAGAAGCTGCCAAATCAAAATTTGAACTGGTGGACGTTTCAGTTCCGTTACACGTACATGGTCAGTGGTCAGTTTGTAGAACTTTAGTGAGAGAATTGTGGTATACCAAATCCATCTGTTTTGACGTTTGGGACCCGTAGCTCAGAATGTATGATTAAATTGTATGGTTAACAGTTTTAATTCTCGAATCAAAACTAATAATAATTTGATTTAATTACTGAAAAGTAATAATTACAGATCAAGCTAAACTTCTGAAAGAATATTAAATTTTATTTTCCGTTGACAACTTCATAGGAACGTCATTGATCCTAACCTTGAGTGCACAAAGCTGCTTAAACTGCCTCAAAATGGGAGGTAAGATTTAAAATGTAATTTAACACTTACGCAATTTTTTTTACAACATGTGACTTACATTTTCTATCAACAAAACAACAACATATGTATGTTAACAAGAAAAAATGACATTAATGGAATCTTTAAACAACTTAAAATCAAGTGCCTATTTAGTTTCATAATGTAGACCCGCGGACAAAGGACGACTAAAGGAAGAATAAACAGAAGTTATCTTATATAAACCATGCATTCAGCTTAAGTATCACACCAAATTTGTTTTCCTTTGTATCTTTTACTATGGCGTAACACATAGCCTCCTTCATTATTGGACTAAATCTTATAAAGGTACACGAGGGCCCATGACAATAATGATATCCCATGATAGTTTACTATGTGGACCATAAGGTCGTAGGTCGCCAAATAGAATCCAAGTTCCCGTGCTCGCTTTGTAAAATAAATGAAGACCTATTTCAGATTTATTCGTACTACTTTGAACTAGTGTAAATATTTTATTTATATCCAAAAAAATCTAGATCAATTTTGAACACAACTTTTGTTTTATTCAGCGAGCCCACAGTTCGTGGATGGCCTGTTCTTATTTGCTCTTATTACTTTGACATAGTGTAAATACACAATCTATCTAGATCTATTTCGAAGACTACATTTGTCTCATTTAGCGAGCCCACAGTCCTTATATATTCTTATTACTTTGACCTAGTGTAACTACACAGCAAATATTTTGTCCAACAAATCTAGATCTATTTCTAACACTACATTTGTTTCATTCAGCGAGCCCCCAGTTCGTGGATGGGATGTTTTTTTATTTGATCTTATTACTCTGACCTAGTGTAAATACTTAAAATGATCTATTTCTAACACTACATTTGTTTTATCTAGCGAGCCCCCAGTTCGTAGATGGCCTGTACCCAACAAGCCTAGAGAAGGCCGTCCGTCAAGGCTTGCAGTGCTCGGCTGGCTTGCTCGCCCCCCGGGTTAAAAGCTTCTCCATCCTCGGGGAGCTCCTGCAACGTCGCTATGGCAACCACTACTACTGCAAGTCCCGGAACCTCGGACTGGAGCTGACCCGCCAGTACGACGAGGCGCTGACCGGATGTGACGTCATCGTGATGCCGACCATGCCCCACGGCGCGACACGGCTCCCGGAGAAAAAATCTACAGCCTCTGCTTCGCTTACAGGTTACACTTGATGTAAAAATAGCATGTTATAAAATGCTTACAGGTTACACTTGATGTAAAAATAGCATGATATAAAATGGGGGACGGTGTGGTCGAGTGATAGCGCTTTTGACTGATTGCACAAACGTCTCGAGATCGGATCTCGGTTCGGAGTCATGACGACAGGACGTTCCTGAGTCAACTCAGCTCTGATTGGTACCTGACTCACCTTTGAAGAAACAAAGGCGACGGGGTATATTGCTGACCACACTATCCCTTTGCAGATATGTCGTGTTCACAAACGGTAGCAGATAATGATGCTGTTATAAAATACCAAAATTTGCAATAGCATTCTAGAGTTATAATGGCACACTGCTTTTTTCAGTAATAACGAGTGTTTCAGTAATACATTAATGTTACAGTAATACTTTGATGTTACAGTAATACATTAATGTTATAGTAATACATTGATATTACAATAATACTTTGATGTTACAGTAATACTTTGATGTTACATTAATACATTAATGTTACAGCAATACATTGATATTACAGTAATACTTTAATGTTACAGTAATACATTAATGTTACAGTAAAGCTGATGTTACCCCAACTGTATAGAAATATTCAAACGCTACAGTAACGTACTGATGTTACAATAACATCGCGATGTTACCAGGACACCCAGAAGTTACATTAGCACCTTGATGGGAGGTCACCCTTAATCATTGCTCACGACTTACATCCGTACATCGAAACTAACCATTACAAAATGCGTAGCTCTTAACAGTGCATGAATATAATTTGAACAGTACCTACATAAATCTGGCATATCTTTTCATTCACAGCTAGAAAATTCTGATAACCAAAACTAACAGATACTCAACATGGTGTAAAACAATGTTTCTTTCAGACATTTGTCTCCGTGGGGTGGGGGGCTTGAACTTTTTTGGGGGGGGGGGGGGGGCGGATAAAATATCCGGGGGGGGCGGGAGGTATATATTATCTATATAACCTCCCCCCCTAAGAGATGCCTCTAAGAAACTCTGGTGTAAAACTATTATCTGTTACTATTATCTGTAGCTTATTTTTCTGTATCTGGTTCTAAACTTCACCAGCATACTTGAAAGAGAACATCGACCAGATAGACAACACGTGCCCTGCCAATATGACTGGTCACCCAGCCTTGACCTTGCCGCTAGGTCAACTGGGTGACGGGTCTAAAGACAGTCTGATGATCGTCGGCAAGAAATTTGATGAGGTGACAGTACTACAGGTGGCCAGGACTTTGGAGAAACTGATTGTTGCCAGACATTAGCACACGATATGGAAAGACAAAAACAAATAAAATGTTAAACATGACATAAAGAGAACTAAATTAAAATAAATGAGTAGGGTTCGATTTTCACAATGAGCTGCATGTACTTTTAATAACATTATTCTGGTTGATTATGTAATTAGTGGTAGCATAATTTAAAAAGCCTAGTGTAAATTACAAGAATTGTGTGCACTCTTGATTTAGTTTAAACCGACTAAAATAAAATAAAAATAACACCACGTGATGTTGTTTATACTTACCTAATCTAACGCACAACTTGTTGATTAAACTCTGACAGTGTCAATTATTCTTATCAGATTTTAGTGTCAAGGTTTTTAAAAAAAATGTACCAGGTTTAAATTTTGTCTGTGTTGTAGTTTACATACAAGTCGTACGATTCTTTAACGTATTGGAGTTTTGTTCATTAAAAAAACATACCTGTAAGAACCAGATGTTCCATGGGTCAGGTGAAGGAGTCCACCTGTTTCTCTTATTTGGACACATTAAAGTAGTAGTCCTATCAGCGCCATGCCCAACTACTTGGGTTTCTCCATTGAGCTTCTTTTTAGGATTGTCCAATGAATGAAACAATATGTGAACACTGAGTAAAAGAGCTAAACGATTTATACCAAAGATTTAAATTTAATTGAGTTTTAATCAGTTGACTGGAAAGAAAAAAATAAATAAAAAATTACTATTATGGAGTAAAGATGAAGTAGAGAGCATATTTTTAAATGCAGTAGGTCTATAATCTATAATCTATATATAAGATAGTTTAATAAGGTATGATGACAAGCCATCTTTATTTTCAATAACTTGAGCCAGATACCCATCATAGCTGGGTGGACTCAGGGACTTCCTATAGCCTACATACTGGAGCACGGTAAACGTTTTCAATTCTTAAACTGAGCAAATGATATTTAGATATTTACAATGGGCTATCTTAAAAAAAACTTCCACTAAAAGCCGATTAAGTTTTGTTTTACACACAACGTGTCGACTGATGCACCAACTTTCGTAGCCTTGAGAATACTCCATGAACTGGGTCCATGATCGAAGTTGTATTACCTTGACACTTTCAAGCTATGTTTTAAAATACATTTCCAGGATATTTTTCTTAACATAAGGGGACTGGACAGCTGGCTGATGATATAGCACTGAGTAAGTTTTTACAGTGATCTTAATAAATTTCGTAAATAAAGTCGCGTGGAGATTTTGTGATTCCTAAAGTTAGATAAATTCGATATTGTTGGATTATTCTCTTCACTGTCAGTTAGGGAAAGAAAATAGAGACTGGGGTTCAGAGCACTAGAGTTTTCACCCCCAACACACTAATAGGATACTAATAGGTGTTTCAACCCCCATCAAGTAGAGGAATACTATGGTTCAGAGGCGTAGCGAAGGGTGGGGGGGGGCGGGGGGGGGGACGGACCGCACCGGGTGACACCATTTAGGGGGGTGACACCAAGGCAAAAAATAGTAAAATATATAGAGAAAAACTTGAGGGCGGGGGGTTGCAAATCGAACAAATTTTTGTCCCCGGGAAGGGTCGCTACGCCTCTGTGGGGGTGACACCATTAAGTGCCGCACTGGATGACACCCGACCTCGCTACGCCGCTGCTATGGTATTCCCAGTTTCCAATACCAGAAGGATTGTGTCACTGTTCACGAATAAGTATTTTCGTACTGCTCAGTATACACATAAGGAAACTAATGTCATTTTATGTGGTGAATTATGAAGTTGAAATAAAACCAATTTCCACTTATGGTTAATGAAATACTACGTAACTTCCGTTACTAGTTGAATAAAGGCAATGGTTTAGGGATAACAATATTGATTTCGATGTGACGCCGACGTGTAAAAAGTGTTTTAATAGCGTATAGTTTGAAACTTATTCATCATAGGGTGAGTACAACAGTAAAACACGAGTAACATTTTCCTTCTGTCGAGTTCGAGTCGAGCTTAAAGATGTCGTACGAGAGGTTTGTCCCGTCAGTTCACACGCCGCCCACGGTTCAAGAGATGAAGCAGATCACTGACGATTTACATTTCAGCAGCTCTATGGACCAGGTCGAAGCTCTTACAGGTAACACTTTAATTTTGTAGGCCGTACCTGTTGCAGTTCTGTTGTTACACAAAGTAAATATAAACTTGAAATACACCCCCCATATATCGCAATTTATTTTAGCGGTTGCTACTGACGCCATTAATGTCTTGTCGCTGCTGGACACGTTCTGTGACCCCGTCCCAGAGGTCAAGTACCCCAGGACACCAGGCTACAGACCTCAACCACAAGACCGGGTAGGCAACGCCTGGTCAGTTATTTTACTATCATTTGTACACTTCTTTTATTTAAGTCGAGCACCCAATAGAATTTGATTGCGTAAATAAGGTTTTAAAATACAAAATATGTTTGAAAAGGCAAGCCAAGGAAAGCATAGAGACTCAAAACGGAGAGGAAACATAAAAGGTTACGATAGGTGAGTTTGAGAAGCTAGCTAAAGAACGATGAGTTACCGCTGTCCCTTAAAAGAACAATTTAGATTCATACTTACATCAGCAGTTTATTTCGCAATATGCGAGATAACTTCTTCCATAAACTCTTCTCGGTACAATATCAAATTTTACCAGCTGAAGGGATGACAATATTTTTAATATACATTTTAAAATGAGTAACTGTTTTCGACCTTTCGATGTAGATAAATTGTATATAACTTGTGAAGCTGGTAAAAAAATTTTTTCGACCTCAAACTCAGCGATAGCGGTTATGTTGTATGGCTGTGTTGTGTTGTGCTGTGTTTCAGGGCCTGGCGATGGCTGTATTGAGTGTTGTGTTGCGTTGCAGGGCCTGACGATGGCTGTATTGAGTGTTGTGTTGTGTTTCAGGGCCAGACTATAACTGTAGTGTGTTGTGTTGTGTTGTGTTTCAGGGCCTGGCGATGTGACGTCCAAGGTGCCCCCACAGGTAAACTGTCCGGGAAAACTTTTGCTATCAAAGACAACACGGCTGTAGCTGGTGTCCCCATGTCCAACGGTAGCCGGCTGCTACAGGGCTACATACCAGAGTACGATGCTACCGTCGTTACGAGAATTCTAGATGCCGGTAAATACAAGGTTCAAAGCAACATTTAAAAAATCTTAAAATCTTATTGACACCTTGACCACGGTACTTCTTGCTCCACTTTCAATATGTAGGCGTATGGTGAACGTATTGCAGAGTATTTAATTTACTTTTACAGAGCCAGCCTATAATTTTCTAAATCCATAATTTATTGAATATTTTTAGTCTGAGCTAAAAAAAATGTATACACGTAAATGTTTGTATATAGCCAATTTAACTTGAAATGACAATTCGTAATTTTATTTTTTATTAATTCAAAATAAAACATGCACACAACATCGTTAAAATGTAAATTATGTCACTACCTCACATAGGTGGGCGCATACTCGGCAAGTCTTCGTGTGATGACTTCTGTCTGAGCGCCATGGGCTTCTCGGCCGTTGACGGTTACATCTCCATGCCGGACACGCCGGACTACAGGGTGGGGGGCTCGAGCGGTGGATCCGCTGTTCTGGTGAGTAAAGTAATTTTAAATAATTGTCAGAAAATTTTACTCTTATACTTAGGTTTATAACTTTTAATGCTACGTTAGAATTAGTTTAGATCCCCTGGGTAGTGAGTTGTGGTTATTCCCGTGCGATTCTATCGTTTTTACCACGTTCGAACTAAGGACATCATTGATTCACCATTAACGTCTTTTATCTTCGACTACTTCTATAAATTGATAACATACGCTAGTTTTGCATATAAAATTTTGCGTTTATTTGTCTTATTGTATTCCGGAGTAAACAAAAAAAAAAAACACCAATATATTGACTATGCTGTGTATGCGATGCAAAATCCCAGAAACTTTAATTTTTTTTATGTTCTTCTCTACCAACTCACTGCATATTTTGCACTCAACGTTCTCAGGTACCAACCTGATACTTTTCCACCAACAGGTAGCCACAGGTGAGGTGGACATGGCACTAGGGGCGGATCAAGGCGGTTCTATCCGGATACCGGCAGCTTGGACCGGCACTGTTGGCCTGAAGCCGACCTTTGGACTGGTGCCGTACACGGGTCTAGTGCCCATAGAGCCGACAGTGGATCACGCCGGGCCGATCACGCGCAACGTGACAGACTGTGCTCTTTTCTTGGAGGTATTTTATTTTTGTTAACGTGAGATAAAAGAATTGCGTTCTCTTTTATACCTTAACCTAAAAACGTGTAACTTTTTATTTACAACTTTAATACTGTAGAGCAAAGTTACACTGGGCATATGAAGGCAGGTTTTGACGGCAGAAGACGAACTCTCTAGCCCGTTAGTCAGACGTTCTGTACCTTGAGACAGTAGATCCTTCCCCGACCACACACCACTCCCCGCCTCCTTATGATGTTTTCCTCGTCTGGTGTCGCGGAGTATAAATTACAATCCTCCAGGAGACCCAGGGGTCTTGGAAATAATTCTCCTTGATGTAGTTTGCGGTCTGACTAATTTATGAGCATCGTTCGATCTTGTTTTATAAACTACATGGCTATGCCTATACATGCTACATGTGTATGCCTATACAAGCTAAATGTCTATGTCTATATAAGCTACATGTCTATGCCTATACAAGGTAAATCGCTATGCCTATACAAGCTACATGTTCTTGATAACTGACTTTATTATGTCTTTATAATAAGTCTACAGAAAAATAAGTGACTTGTGCAAGAAAACTGTTACAAACTATTTTCTCCGTCTACAGGTGCTAGCTGGGAGAGACGGTCTAGACGGCAGACAACAGACAAATTTAAAGATTCCCGAATACAGCAAATTTGTAAAATATTCTCTAGATTTGTGTTTAAGATTAGGATACATTTTGAATATTACTTTTTTAAAGTGCGGCATCCAGTTATCAGATGATAAATAAATTTGTCATTTCAATAAGTTACCTGACCATCCCCAGGTTGAGCAAGAGTTGGAGGGCAGAAAACTGGGCGTGTTGAAGGAGGGGTTTGACACGTGTGTCCCTGAGACACGGGCAGCGGTTAGAGAATTTCTTGACGACGTCGCTACAACAAAGTTTGGCCTTGTGGACGTGTCTGTTCCCTTACACCAGCATGGTCAGTGATCACAAATTCACAACTCTATTGTGATAATTGATACTTTAGGTCTAATTAATATCTGCTTGGTTATTTGTCGATAGTTTGTTATTGTTATTTATCAGATATTTAACTTATCAAAAAATAAAATCAAAGCAGTTGTAGACTACGAATCTAAATATTTAGGTAATTCATAATTGTATAAAGGGTTCGGCGTGGTCGAGTCGGTAAAGCTCATGGTTGCTAAACCCACGGGCAGATGAGATTCGTTAGCTGGGGACAGCCACTCTTCTATGAGAGACAACTCCAAAATCAAACAATTGCTGCTTGTAGTTTGCTCTTGGTTGGACAAAGGCTATGGAAGCAAAAAGAAAAGCATGCTGAACTCAGAGTCAATGGCCTCAATAACGCAGTGGACACGTATCCTTTATTGTGTTGGAGGGAGATCCCTTCCAACTAAAATTAAGAACGAAGAAGAAGATAATTGTATACTTCTATAGTATGGCTTTAGCTCTGATGGTAATGTAAGTACCTTGTTATTACAGGTCTTGCTATTTGTACCGGCTTTTTCCCTTATGGCTGCTTAAGTTGTCTCCAGATGGGAAGTAGGTTCATATTTTATTTTAATTTATTTTTCTGTTGATACTTTGGTAGCTAAAATATGTAAAAGATCTTATGAGCGACCACTTTGAAATAAGGCAAAATAGTTTTATATTTTAAATTTTCGTTGCATATAAAAGCTTGTTTTAGAACAGTTTTTTAATATTCGTTTTATTGCTGATAAGACTTAGGTTGAACACATTTTTATACATGCCCTGCTGGACATTGAAGGCAAATTTGCTTTGTTTTGAAATAATACACATGTCATTCACATTTGATCATGTATGAAAACCACCAGATACGTGAGGATTATTTCCAACCTTCTCAGATTATAAAACAAAAATTAATATTTTTTCAAACAGCTATGTCTTTACTTTTTCTGTGTAATTTTTTTAAAGAAAATCTAGAGGTGATATCTCTCAATACCAGAAGAGTTAGACTGCCACCCTTCCCTATTACCAGCGGCCCCACAGTTCGCCCAAGGCTTGTACCCTACCAGCCTGGAGAAGGCTGTGCGTCAAGGTCTCCAGAGTTCTGCTACCCTTCTTGCGCCGGGCATCAGGAGCTACGCGGCCGTCGGCGAGCTGTTCCGTCGTCGCTATGGCAACCACTACTACTGCAAGGGCAGGAACATGGTGCTGGAGCTGGCGCGTCAGTACGACGAGGCGCTGACCAAGTGTGACGTCATCGTGATGCCGACCATGACTCACGTTTCGCCACGGTTTCCTGGGAAGCATAGCACTGAAGCGGTCACCCAAGAAGGTTGGTAGTTTCAATAGTTTGATTCAAGGGCTTGTAAAACACAAGCTTGGAAAATAAACTGGGACACTGAAGCGGCCACTCAAGAAGGTTGGTATAGTAAAGATTTTTTTATTTCAAGAACAGTGCGATCTAGATGAGCAATGTATTTACTTCTTTTGTATAATTTAAAAAGATTTTTAATGTAATGTGCTTTCGGTACTAACTATTTTTTAAAAGATGTTACGTAGGTCAAATTGTTTGACTATGGGTTAGTTTGTGGCTAAATATTGTCATGCAATTTGGAAAACACGTTTTCTTTAGCTATAATACAAAGCTTTAAAAAATTGGTCGCAAAAATGTATTGAGAAGATTACTTAGTGCATTTAAAAGCTAATCATTATAAAGGTAAACAAAAATAAATGTATTCATGTCATCACTTTTTCTTTGCATATCTCTATCTTGCGCAGGCCTAACCTGTCATCACTTCTTGTTGTTTACCTGCAGCTTACCTGAGAGAGAACTCCAAGCAAATAGTCAACACGGTTGTTGCCAATATGACAGGTCACCCAGCCTTGACCTTGCCGCTAGGCAAACTGGGTGACGGGTCTAAAGACAGCCTGATGATCGTCGGCAAGAAATTTGATGAGGTGACAGTACTACAGGTGGCCAGGACTTTGGAGAAACTGATTGTTGCCAGGGAGTAGTGTTGTTGGTTGTTGTTTTTTTTTTTTTTTTGGATTACACAATCAAATATTTTTACATAATGTCCAACACATTGCATTTATTGCAATGTTTATTCAGAATGCTGAAAGTGTTTTATTCTACTGAGTTTTATATATATATATATACTAGCCGTCCCGGCCAGGCCCTGCTCTGGCTTCTGTGAAAAACCTTTCTGTTAAAGACCATTACCTGTGTGTTTAGTAATCATCATAAACCCGGCATTGCCCACCCAAACCACAACCAACCAAAACCAAAACAACAAAACGCAAACATAACGCTAACACAATTACAAATACAAACGAAAACAAAAACTTAACAACAAACACAACCACACCCACAAACACCAATACAAACACAAAGAAAAAACAAACAAAAAAGCAATCGAAAACAAAAACCTAACAACAAACCCAACCACAAACACCAATACCAACAAAAAAAAAATCAACGAAAAAAGCAAACGAAAACAAACCAAATCCAAACGCAAAACCAACCAAAAACACAAATACAAACCCAAACAAAAAAAAAACACAAACAAAAACGAAAAAAGAAAGAACAAAAACGAACCAAATTAAAACGCAACCACTAACGCAAACCCACCTAAACACAAAGAAAACACTAACGCGAACATAAACGCCCGGGGCGGAATCACCTGTTTTAGCTTAATGAACGACTATAGTACCCCAACTTATTCACAGTCTTTTGCACTCACTTAAACGAACGCGCCTGTTTCAATTTAATAAACAATTTTAATACTCCAAGCTTATCCCTAAAATACCTAAAACATTTGCACTTGATCAATCCCCGCTAATTATGTAATTATTTTTTTTCCCAACACCAAAACAAAGTAATTAAAAAGTAAATGCTTTTCAACTAATGCAATGATTTCATAAAGGGAAGTAATTGTGTTTTGCCTAATTTATCAAAGGGAAGTAAGCGCTATAGGACTAAATAAAAACATAATTAGAATTTTTGTAAAAGATGATATTTTTTTAAAACTTGTGTTAAATGAACATGCCGACAATTATTACTATAATTTGAAAAATGAAAATGATTTCCCAACACTTTTAATAGTAATTTTTTAACTCATAAATTTAGACAAACGCGCACGATAATTGATCTAACACTTAAATCCGTAGAAATGCCAACGACAAACATATGCGTTACAGAATTGAGCTTTATATATTAGATATATATATATATATATATATATATATATATATATATATATACTAGGCATACTGCCTAGCTTCGCTTAGGTTTTTAAAAGGCATTTGAGAATTTGAATACTTAATTATTTAGCGATGGATTGGGTGTGGAGTGCTTTAATAAGTTTAATAAGTTTAATTTAAACAGTAATGCTAACTTTAGAAAAAATGTTTTTGTTAGTCATTTACATGCAGATTCAAAGCGAATTTTTGGAAAGTACGCAATGTATAGCTAAAATGGAATTAGAACTACACAGGTTTCATGAACAGTATATCTCATAGTTTATATTACATTGCCTTTGAAATTAATTAATTAATTTAATTAACATACTTAACTAAATTAACAACTTAATTTTATACTAAAACAAATGCTATACTTCGTCATTTTCTGTTTCTGTTTAAAATAGTATACAATTATTTGAAAAATAATAATTTTAAAAACGTTACCTCCCTTGAAAACTGAACGTATGACGTATGTCATTGTTTACTTATATTGTTTGCTTATATAAGAAATTACGTTATATGAACTTATTTAACGACTATAATGGCTGTTTCCGACGGGAATAAAGTTTTTTTGTTACCCTCCATGGTCGGTCTACGACGTCACATAATATTAATGGGATCGTTCGTCAATTTATTTATATATATATATATATATCTCATATAAGGAGAATTTCACTCAAGATCATCTTTTAGCCCTCGTCGAGGGCTTTGAGTCTGACCAACAGTTTTTCCATACGGCCTAGTCATCTATAGTAGTGTATGCAAAAACTTAGCATGATGTACAGACATTAAGTAACCTAAAAATTGTGTTAAAATTTCCCTGTTTTTCCCATAAAATACAAAGATTATATAGGGAAATACAACTGGTCAGTTTTGACCGCTTTACGAAGTTTTCCCAGATATGCCGAGTTTTTTGTGACACTCCTAGGTGTTCTTCTACCACCTCACAAAATATCAAGGGGGGTCGTCGGAGGAAAATTTTTTTCGTAATAGAGCTCATATAAAGAGAATTTCACTCGCGGTCACTTTTTAGCCCTCGTCGAGGGCTTTGAGTGTAACCGACAGTTTTCCCTAAAGGTCAAGCCATTGACCTAGGAGCATGCAAAAAATTAGCCAGATATACTGAGCTTAAGTACCCTAAAGTCTGCGTTGAAATGACCCTCTGTTTTTCCCATAAAATACAAAGATTATATAGGGAAATACAACTGGTCAGTTTTGACCGCTTTACGAAGTTTTCCCAGATATGCCGAGTTTTTTGTGACACTCCTAGGTGTTCTTCTACCACCTCACAAAATATCAAGGGGGGTCGTCGGAGGAAAATTTTTTTCGTAATAGAGCTCATATAAAGAGAATTTCACTCGCGGTCACTTTTTAGCCCTCGTCGAGGGCTTTGAGTGTAACCGACAGTTTTCCCTAAAGGTCAAGCCATTGACCTAGGAGCATGCAAAAAATTAGCCAGATATACTGAGCTTAAGTACCCTAAAGTCTGCGTTGAAATGACCCTCTGTTTTTCCCATAAAATACAAAGATTATATAGGGAAATACAACTGGTCAGTTTTGACCCCTTTACGAAGTTTTCCCAGATATGCCGAGTTTTTTGTGACACCCTAAGGCGTTCTCCTACCACCTCACAAAATATCAAGGGGGGTCGTCGGAGGAAATTTTTTTTCGTAATAGAGCTCATATAAAGAGAATTTCACTCGCGGTCACTTTTTAGCCCTCGTCGAGGGCTTTGAGTGAGACCGACAGGTCTGCCCTACGGTCAAGCCATTTTCCTATAAACATGCCAAAAATTAGCCAGATGTAAAGAGGGTAAGTGCCCTAAAATCCGTTTTGAAATGACCCTCCGTTTTTCCCATAAAATACAAAGATTATATAGGGAAATACGACTGGTCAGTTTTGACCCATTTCCCGATTTTTCCCGGACATGGCGAGTTTTTTGTGACACCCCAAGGCGTTCTCCTACCACCTCACAAAATATCAAGGGGGGTCGTCGGAGGAAATTTTTTTTCGTAATAGAGCTCATATAAAGAGAATTTCACTCGCGGTCACTTTTTAGCCCTCGTCGAGGGCTTTGAGTAAGACCGACAGGTCTGCCCTACGGTCAAGCCATTTACCTATAAACATGCCAAAAATTAGCCAGATGTAAACAGGGTAAGTGCCCTAAAATCCGTTTTGAAATGACCCTCTGTTTTTCCCATAAAATACAAAGATTATATAGGGAAATACGACTGGTCAGTTTTGACCCATTTCCCGATTTTTCCCGGACATGGCGAGTTTTTTGTGACACCCCAAGGTGTTCTCCTACCACCTCACAAAATTTCAAGGGGGGTCGTCGGAGGAAATTTTTTTTCGTAATATAGCCCATATAAGGCGCCGGTCAGTCGAGGTCAGTTTTGACCCCTTCTCCGTAGACTTTTCGGCCAACCGTCACCGGCCTTCGTGTTCTATTGCCCGAAGGCACCATCGTGCCAAATTTGACGCGCCTGCGGCGCCGGGAAGTGCCATATCGGGCACTTGACCACTTTGCTTTATATATATAGATATATATATTGTATTAATCTTTGCTAGAAATATTCTGAATACAGACGTTGTAGCATATATATTTATTATCTATCTCCTACGTTTACTGATGTTTTCAGGAGAAAGAAATTTTTAACCAGGCTTGTGTGTAATTAACTTTTATTAACATACAAATAAAGACTCTTTATGAATTAATTATGATATTTGTTTTCATGTTAGTTTACTTGCCAGTTAAGTTAATATTCGTAGCATATTGTAGCACAATTGTTTGAGAATTATTTCTCTAATACAATCTTACTGTTAAAATATGAAAAATTAAAAAATCTAACTCATAAAAACTTATTCTAAATAATCATCAGGGAATGGAGAATTTTTAGTTTTATTAATACATGATAACCCTCAGTGCATAACCAACTGCTATAAAGGAAGCCTTTCTTCATTTATACACGTGTAACTTAGAAGTCTGAGACGGTGTGTTTTTTATCTGTCTTTCGGAGAGATTCACAGAACAGTCAGATTTGCATGATAGTTTTTAATTAGCGGAAAGTGGAGACAAAGAGAAGATTGGGTGAGTGACGGATTGGGAGAATAATTTTTCATTATTTCTAACATAGTTTATTAATTATTTTAAAATTAATTGAAAGTATGATCCATGGGAGATAACAATTATTGACAGTCACCACAACATAAACAATAGCAGTGTAACAAAAATGGCTAACATCATTGCAACCCGAGTCTTTTGATAAGTGAACAAACTAAATGAACAAATATAAAATGGTACTGGTGGCTAAAAAAAATAAACGCGAGTTATTTTATTAGGCCTAGTGTAACATGAAGTATACAAGTCTAATAATTTGGGAACCTCTGATGTAGTCTACACTAGACGTAAGTGGGTCAGTTATCACCATCAGCTACTGAACACGGTGCTAATAATTTGGGAACCTCTGATGTAGTCTACACTAGACGTAAGTGGGTCAGTTATCACCATCAGCTACTGAACACGGTGCTAATAATTTGGGAACCTCTGATCTAGCTACACTAGACGTAAGTGGGTCAGTTATCACCATCAGCTACTGAACACGGTGCTAATAATTTGGGAACCTCTGATCCCATCTACCCTAGACGTAAGTGGGTCAGTTATCGCCATCAGCTACTGAACACGGTGCTAATAATTTGGGAACCTCTGATCTAGCTACACTAGACGTAAGTGGGTCAGTTATCACCATCAGCTACTGAACACGGTGCTAATAATTTGAGAACCTCTGATCTAGTCTACCCTAGACGTAAGTGGGTCAGTTATCACCATCAGCTACTGAACACGGTGCTAATAATTTGGGAACCTCTGATGTAGTCTACCCTAGACGTAAGTGGGTCAGTTATCACCATCAGCTACTGAACACGGTGCTAATAATTTGGGAACCCTTGATCGAGTCTACCCTAGACGTAAGTGGGTCAGTTATCACCATCAGCTACTGAACACGGTGCTAATAATTTGGGAACCCTTGATCGAGTCTACCCTAGACGTAAGTGGGTCAGTTATCGCCATCAGCTACTGAACACGGTGCTAATAATTTGGGAACCCTTGATCTAGTCTACCCTAGACGTAAGTGGGTCAGTTATCACCATCAGCTACTGAACACGGTGCTAATAATTTGGGAACCTTTAAGCTTGTCTCCCTAGACGTAAGTGGGTCAGTTATCACCATCAGCTACTGAACACGGTGCTAATAATTTGGGAACCTCTGATACCGTCTACCCTAGACGTAAGTGGGTCAGTTATCACCATCAGCTACTGAACACGGTGCTGCCTGCATACGTTCAAACAACAGCTCTACCCAGCTGGCAGACGATCACACTGGTAAATTTGTTTACTTTTTACGTTGCTTTAACTTGGTCTCTCGACTGGGATTCGAACCTCTGCTGTTCATTATCAGTTTAATTTTTTTTTAAATATATAAACCTGACATTGATGTAATTTAAACGTTCAGTCTTTAGGTTTTAAAATTCCTCCGTTAAGGTTACATTTTAAGTGACCTAAGAGACCGAATGACTCCTCACACTCACTAGGTAATGTAGATTGGTGCTTGCTGTTCATACAATCATAGACATAGATTAAACTTGAGTTATTTGTAGGAGACTGGGGTGCTTAGGACAGCAGCCTAAGAAATAACCCAGCAAAATAGAAAAACATGTTATCAAGCGGAAGGAAAGTTGGTTCGGGTGAGGGGGCGGGGAATTGATGGTGGTAAAAATCTCAACAACACCAACTACACATTGAAAAAATAAAAACTAATCGTTATTATTTTTAGCTTAACTGATGGTAAAGTTGTAGGTGTATAATTTAAAAAAAAAATTATTATTATTTATATTATTATTTTTACAATTCCTGTTCGGACGCAAAAAAAAAAAAATAAACCGGGAGTGATCTCCCCTAAACTTTCTCGAATATTCTTATATAAAATAACAGGGGATGGGAACTCGGGCTATAGACATGATTTTTAATCCATTTTAAATACTTAAAGTTTTAACAAATAGAATAAAATCTCGTAGACAAATTAATTGCAAGTGAACGCCAAATAAAAAAGCGCATAATAGTGCGCAATATTATTAGTACTTTTAAAATTTACATTAGTTTTTTTAGAAATCGGAAGTAGCGTAAAGTACTACTTCCAGTCAACGGAAATTACTCAAAATTTAACAGAAGGTAGAGAATTAGATCTTTTACTTACATGTGAAATTTCATTTATCTATCTGAAATAGTACTCAAGTTATAGGCTTTTGAAAAATTCAAAGTAGGAAAAGTACCACTTCCGGTTATCGGAAATCGCTCAAAAGTTGATACGGATCTACGATTTTGATAAAATACTTATATATGAAATTTCATCAACCTAGCTGTAACGGTACTCAAGTTATCGTGTTTACACACGGACAGACAGACAGACAGACACACAGACACACAGACAAACGGACAAGTATGCAAAATTATGTTTTTCCGTATCAGTGAGGTGTAAAACGACGAGATTTGTAAAAATCTCGATTTTTTTTTTGCACGATTACAAGACTTTCTCTATACTTCGTATATACGAGAAAGTAAAAAACAACCTACAGGATGGGGAATTCCCTGTATTAGGTTTAGTGCTAGGCTAGGTTGAAGGTAATAAAACTCAACGATCAATAACATCAAAGCCTGCACTCACTCATCCGTGGGGCTTCGGCTTCAGTCTGCAACACACCATGACCTGTTAGAAGCCTGGTTGAGCTTCACATCAGTGGCTCTCAAATCTGTATGGCCCGTCCCCAGGCTAATAACATCTGACATAGCCTAGCACCCATAAGATCGTATATATATATATATATATATATATATATATATATATATATATATATATATATATATATATATATATATGTGTGTGTGTGTGTGTGTGTGTGTGTGTGTGTGTGTGTGTGTGTGTGTGTGTGTGTGTGTGTACGTGTACGTGTATTATTTACACGTTAGATTTCCTCATCAGGACTTGAACTGCTGCTCTCTGAAGATGTCATACGAGAAGTTTGTCCCGTCCCTCCACCAGCCGCCCACAGTCCAAGAGATCCAACAGATCACTGACCAGCTGCACTTCAACAGTTCAACTGACCAGGTCGAAGCACTGACAGGTAGCACGAAACACTTCATGTGTGGATTGTTATTTTGTTCAAATTCTTCCTCGCTAGCTCTGTATGGTGTAGGTATACACTTATGTTGTGTTGTTTACGATTCTTACATCCAGCTATTGCGTCTGAGGCTGTCGGTGCCTTGTCATTGCTGGACACGTTCTGTGACCCCGTCCCAGAGGTCAAGTACCCCAGGACACCAGGCTACAGGCCGCAACCTCAGGACCGGGTTGGCAATGCCTGGTTGGTTGTTTTTTTTTTTAATATATTTTAATTGCTAATTTAATAGTTGGTTAACAGTTAAGTAATAAATGAGCAAAATATTAACAAAATATCTGCAAAACTTTCTGCAATACAACTAATACAGTCCCACCCCGAGTAGTTTTATAAATGTCTACAGAGCCGGTTGATTTACTTATCATTGACTGCTCCAATGGATGATTGGCTAACAGAAGGAGCTATTGACACGGTTTGTGTTTCAGGGCCTGGCTATAGTTGTATGTGTGTTGTGTTGTGTTGTGTTTCAGGGCCTGGCTATAGTTGTATGTGTGTTGTGTTTCAAAGCCTGGCGATGGCTGTAGTGTGTTGTGTTGTGTTTCAAAGCCTGGCGATGGCTGTAGTGTGTTGTGTTGTGTTTCAGGGCCTGGCTATAGTTGTATGTGTGTTGTGTTTCAAAGCCTGGCGATGGCTGTAGTGTGTTGTGTTGTGTTGCAGGGCCTGGCTATAGTTGTATGTGTGTTGTGTTGTGTTGTGTTTCAGGGCCTGGCGATGTGACGTCCAAGGTGCTCCCACAGGTAAACTGTCCGGGAAAACTTTTGCTATCAAAGACAACACGGCTGTAGCTGGTGTCCCCATGTCCAACGGTAGCCGGCTGCTACAGGGCTACATACCAGAGTACGATGCTACCGTCGTTACGAGAATTCTAGATGCGGGTAAATACAACGGTCACATATTATCGCCAGTTTGTCGAGAGAAGCTACATTTTTAAAACCTTAGCTCTAATAGGAAGTTTGGTCATGTTGTTTTTCTTGACATCACCAAAAACATTCATAATGTTATATTTTTGCATATTCTGTGTATTTTTTCTAATGTAATATTTTATTTATCGTTAAAACTAAAAGCTTTATATTAATTCCATTGTGCATAACGTTTTATAAATTAGAACTATTCAGCGAATTAGAACGCTTTATCTACTTTTTAATTTACGTGTATTTAAAAAAAAACCACAAAAACACTTAAAATGTAAATTATGTCTCTACCTAACATAGGTGGGCGCATACTCGGCAAGTCTTCGTGTGATGACTTCTGTCTGAGCGCCATGGGCTTCTCGGCCCTGGACGGTTACATCTCCATGCCGGACACGCCGGACTACAGGGCGGGGGGCTCGAGCGGTGGATCCGCTGTTCTGGTGAGTGGCGACAACAGAGGGCACCGCCCATCTGTGGGCAACTGCCCATCTTTCGGCAGCTGCCGGGCAGCATCTTTCTTCTTCTTCTTCGTTCTTAATTTTAGTGTTAGAAGGGATCTCCCTCCAACACAATTAAGGATACGTGTCAACTGGTTATGCGCCATTGAGGCCATTGACTCCGATTTCAGCCATAGCCTTTGTCCAACCAAGAACTAACTACAAGGCAGCAGTTGTTTGATTTTAAAGTTGTCTCTCCTATAAGAGTGGCTGTCCCCAGATAACGAGCCTCATCTGCCCGAGGGTTCGAAATCGAGACTTTTCGGTTTAGCAACCATGAGCTTTACCGACTCGACCACGCCAACCCCTCCGGACAGCATAACTAACGACATTAGAGGGCACCGCCCATTGTTCCGCAGCCCAACATAACTAGCGGCAACTATCTAACATAAGATCTAATCGAGATTTAACCTCATGATCTTAACTACACCATCTTGTTTAATTTGTTTATATTTATTTGATCAAGGTGATTCATGTCTTTTACTGGGTAAGCCCAACTCCCAACGTTCCCAGGTACCAACCTGACACATTTCCACCAACAGGTAGCCACAGGTGAGGTGGACATGGCTCTGGGGGCGGATCAAGGCGGTTCTATCCGGATACCGGCAGCGTGGACCGGCACTGTTGGCCTGAAGCCGACCTTTGGACTGGTGCCGTACACGGGTCTAGTGCCCATAGAGCCGACAGTGGATCACGCCGGGCCGATCACGCGTAACGTGACAGACTGTGCGCTTTTCCTGGAGGTATTTTTTTTTTTTGCTTTCTATTATTAAAAAGAGTTTAGTTGTAAGTTGAAAATTGAAAATGTATGTTTCCTTTTTTAATAATTTAACCTATCCAATAATGTAAATTGTTGTGTACTTTAGAACAAAATAGCCATACATTTGAACAGTTTAACATGTAACAGTTTTAAAATTGTGTACATTTTGATTACAATCAAAGATTCAAAAAGGTAGCCTACTATCTTTCATAACAGTGCAAAAACATTGATAAATTAGTCCTTAATATTGCTGTTACATTCAAGTGATTAAATTTTGGGGAAGTAGTATCTAAGCATTTTAATTGAAAAACTAATTTTCGTTAAACATTTTTTTTTGTTCGGATGTAGAAATTGTGTAGAAAATAATATCGCTCTTCCTTTTGTTTATTGTTGAATCGTGAACATTTTTATAAAAGTGACATAAAAGTGAATATGTAAACATTTTTTAGCGCAATTTCCATACGGACAATTGCGATTATTAACTCGTCATTTCTGGATGGATGGATGAATGAATGGATGTGTGTCCGCAGCTTTAAGTCGTATCTCCTCCTCAACGAAGCAATATCGAGGACTAGTTCCAAAAGCAATTATGTTAAGCAAGTTCCGAGGATGATTGTGGGCCAAAAAAATTCCCGGAATTCTTTATTGGATTTCCCGGAAAAGCCAAAACACCTCGAAAAAAATGCAGTTTTTGGCCCATATCTCGGCAACCAGACCACTTAGCGACTTGAAACATTTACCAATCAATTCCTGCCATAATTTAGAACAATATTGCAGAAAAAAGTTTTCAAAAATATCCTTCCGTTCGGTCACAAAAAAATATTTACTACTTTTTTAAACTGAGCATCGTGTAGGCCTAGGAAGAACATTTAAACTGAGCATCGTGTAGGCCTAGGATGATATTTACTACTTTTTTAAACTGAGCATCGTGTAGGCCTACTCGTTAAAATAAAACTATTTCCGTTGATATAGGTTAATATAGTTGTCTTTTTTTTAGCGCAAAAAAATATCCTTTCGTTCGGTCACAAAAAATTTAAAATTGTTATGGATAATAAAGGAAATTGCGCTTAAATTGTCACTAGACTTTTTATTCACTTGTTTTTATTATTAACCACTAATTTACGAGCATGTTAAATGTTCAGGTAATAGCTGGCAATGATGGACTAGATGGAAGACAAAGGACCAACATGGAAATCCCTGAATACAGCAAATATGTAAATTGGTTACTTGGATTTATTTTAAAAACATTTTAAAATAATAATATATGCTTTTTTAAAATGTTCAATTATCCGCGTTTTAATTCAAATTATTATCTTTGAATATTATAATATTTTAAAAATAATTTATGATGTCCACAAGTAAACTGACCATCCCCAGGTTGAGCTAGAGTTGGAGGGCAGAAAACTGGGCGTGTTGAAGGAGGGTTTTGACACGTGTGTCCCTGAGACACGGGCAGCGGTTAGAGAATTTCTTGAGGATGTTGCTGTAGCAAAGTTTGGTCTTGTGGATGTGTCTGTTCCCTTACACCAACATGGTCAGTGATCATAATTTTAAATTTTGTTGTGATAATTGGTACTTTAGGTCTAATTAATATCTGCTAGGCTATTTGTCAATAGATTGTTACTGTTATTTATCAAATATTCAACATATTAAAAAATAAAAATTTCTTGAGAATTTCTTGACGAGGTCGCTTTAGCAAAGTTTGGCCATGTGAACATGCCTGTTCCCTTACAGTACACCAACACCGTCTGACGCTTAAAAAAACTAAATCAACAAATCTTAACAACTGTTTTATAGATATTTGTCTGTCTGACAGCTAACCTACTTCTTGATGTGTATTCACTCGGGCCTTTAGTTGTTGTGTTGATATTTTTTTCAGCCCCCGCTATTTTCACGGGCTATTTCTACAATGGTTGTTTGAATACTCTACAGATGGGAAGTAAGTATGACATTGTTTAACAATCCATTGAAGTGATCTATACATTAGTTTGATATTTACCTCACCCATACCACATCAGTTTTGTTTATAGGGAAAATTAGTGAGTGGGTAAACTTTGAAAACGTTTTTCACACTATTTTACTGTCCCTAGATAACCAATCACTCTACTTGCAATGCAACCTTCAATACATGCATAAATAGAAAACAAATTGTGGAGATTTTTGCATTTGTGTAAAATGGAATTTCATGGTTTATTTTAAAAAGATTTTATACTGATAAAAAAATGTTTTTAAAGCGTTTGACTTTTAAACAAAAGTTGCAATTTTTTTTTTCGGCATATTCCTAGGGGTATTTACAGTGCAAACGTATGCAATTTTATTGTTAAGTTTATTCTATTATCAGTGGCGACATTCTTTTTGTGAACTTTTCCGGAGTTTGAACTTTTTAAGTTTCGTTACGTTCGACTTGCTCTAGTATTTTATTCTTTTTTTCAACTAACATTACTCTAGTTCCTTGTGCAACTTTTTTATTTTACTTCTATAGGGCTAGTAAGTAGGTCACCAACCAGTTCTACGGCTCAATAAAACCTGCATGAGCCATAGAACTGGTTGGTGACCTACTTACCAGCCCTATATCTATTATAAACTCCCGTCTTGACCAGCGGCCCCACAGTTCGCCCAAGGCTTTTACCCGACCAGCCTGGAGAAAGCTGTGCGCCAAGGGCTGCAGAGTTCTGCTGGGGTTCTTGCCCCTGGCATCAAATGCTTCTCGGTGATCGGCGAGCTGTTCCGTCGTCGCTATGGCAACCACTACTACTGCAGGGGCAGGAACATGGTGCTGGAGCTGGCGCGTCAGTACGACGAGGCGCTGAGCAAGTGTGACGTCATCGTGATGCCGACCTTGACCCACGTCTCGTCCAGGTTTACGGAGAAAAAAGCGACGGATGCAAAAACACAAGAGGGTATGTAAGGCGCAGTGACGTAGTTTGTGGCGATACGATAAAATTCTTTCTATATAATAAATTGTTTTGTTACTTTGAAGGCGTTCATAAATAACGTCAAACTCTCAAGTGGGGGGGGGGGGGGGAGGGTCGTTTTGGGGTAGTTGGGAAGAACGTAAGGTCTCAGTATTGAATAATGGTAAACGATTTTTTTACGACGGAATTATTCTAACTGGCACACAGTTAAATCTGTTGCATTATTTTGTTAAGACCATTTGTAAAGGGGAACAATTCAATTAACAACTTAGGGAGAAGATAAAGGGAAAAAACTCAATAATTTAGCAATTGAGAAGTAAAACAATTTTTTTTTAAAATAGTATGCGGTGCTGGGGTGTGACATCATGAAGTGGGCCGGTAGTATGATTTTCATGACACGTGACGATGTCTAGGTTTGGGGGGGGGGGAAGCAATATCGATGACTAGTTCCAAAAGCAATTATGTTAAGCAAGTTACGAGAATGAGCATAGGCCATAAAAATTCCGGGTTTCTTTCATGTATTTCCCGGAAAAGCCAAAATACCTCGAAAAATTGCAGTTTTTGGCCCATATCTCGGCAACCAGACCACTTAGCGACTTGAAACATGTACCAATCGATTCCTGCCATAATTTAGAACAATATTGCCGAAGAAAGTTTTCAAAAATAACCTCTCGTTTGGTCACAAATTTTAAAATTACATAAACACCTACAAACCGATCGTTCTTCTAGCTTGAACGCACCCCAACATTATACGTCAGAGCTATTTTTAGATAACATAAGGAAATTGCGCATAAATGTCACTAGACTTTTTTAATTAACTTGTTTTACTATAACATTCGAGGGATGCCTAAATTTAATTCCGATCATACGTTGTTTGCTTTGTGTTGTACACTCGCACATGACTTTTTTAAAACAATCAAACCATATCCTTACAGCCTACTTGAAGGAGAGCTTGGACCAAATTGGCAACACCCTGGTCACCGATCTAACAGGTCACCCAGCCTTGACCTTGCCGCTAGGCAAACTGGGTGACGGGTCTAAAGACAGCCTGATGATCGTTGGCAAGAAATTTGATGAGGTGACAGTACTACAGGTGGCCAGGACTTTGGAGAAACTGATTGTTGCCAGGCAGTAATTTCTGATGTGTTGCCATTTGTCATTGTATCAGTCATACACATATGGCCCTACTTATTTTTAACTACATTAGTCATGACAAAAAAAGAAAAGAAAAAATTACAAGCATAAGTTCAGCGACTGACTGGAGATTTATAAAAAAAAAACAACAATTCAGCATAACGGCGGTCCAACCAACCCGTTGAGTTCTTTTTAATTTTAGCGAAGTATTACAATTATGCTTTATGTTAATTGTAAGAGTACATTTACAATTCGTATCTAATTTTGTATAACACTGCACGTCATAACTAGGCTTCTACACAGAAAGCTAGCATTTTTTTAAAGTTAGGTAATTTAAAATTCGTGTAAAACACAAGCGTTAGGTCACGTTTACTTTTATTTATTAATGGCTACACTCGACTCGGTTGAAAATTACCATTTATTTCAAAATAACTGTTTAATTTTAAGAATATTTACAGTAATGGTTTTCATCCAGTATCTTGAGTGGTCCAATCATTGGGTTTAATCCACTGTTTATTAAGTAATTAGTTAATCTGTTTCATTGTATTTTTCTTTGATATTAATCTGATCTTAGTGCAATATATTTAGATTTTTTAGGTTTGTTTACTTCATGTGTTTAACTTTTTTTTTTCATTTTTAGTTTGTTAAAACTACAATATTTTATATGTTTTTGTTGCTTTTAGATATACAATATTAGCCTTATGCTACAGTGAAAAATAATCAATTAACATGTTTACATTTAATACGCTTAACTATTATTATTAATATTATATTTTTAAAATTTTCAGTGTTGTAACACTATACATTAACATAACTTTAGAAAGAAAACTATAACCAACTTTATAACCGATGTTTTTATTTTACTTCTTGGAATTTACCAATTTTACATTTTTTTTTTTGTTTTCATATTAAAATAAATATTTAACATAATTTTTAAATTAATAATTCTTTTGTATTTAAATTTAATCTTTTTTTTAAATAATCTTTTTTTTTAAAAAAAAAACAAAACAAATAAATATAGTCAAAATGACATGAAAGTAATTATTTTAGAAACTTAAACTCGAAAAATGTCATCCTACACGCATTTCATTTCACTTGAAGGCTGCTGACACCAGAGGTGACACCAGAGACCCTTCCCGGCGCCCGGGGACATACTTTCAATTTGGCGCCCCCCTCGGGAGCAAATTTTCGATTTGCACCCCCCTCGAACTTTTCATTTGCAACCCCCCTCAAACTTTCAATTTGGCGCCCCCCCCTAAGGTCGGCGCCCGGGGACAATATGTCCCCCCGCCCCCCCCCCCCCCCGCCCCCCCCCCCCTCGCTACGCCTCTGGCTGACACACAAACGCTTAAGTTAAAACGTTATGAGAAATGCCAAAAATTATAAATATTGCTCAGATAATAGTGCTTGTATTTTATTCGATTACGTTTTGGTTTGAAAGCAAACAGTTTATCAAACCCAGACAAAAATGGTAATGTTACACATTAACATTCATAAAAAGAAAATACGCAGTATTGAATAACGTTAAAAGTACTACTAATAAACAATCAGAAAAGAATATTATAATGAACACATATTTAATTTACAAAAACTTAACTAATGTTTAAAATAATACCCTACAACTGTTTGGAATTTTTTTTTTAAAGTCAGAATCCCCAAAGCTTTCATAGAGTTATTTTTTCCCTTAAACTAGTGGAAAATACTTTAGAAACGATCAAAAGTTTCAGTTTTCTTGTCAATTCGTGTCTCCATTGCCGTATTCGTAGTCCAGTGGGTGAGTTGAGGAATTTATCGAGACATTGACGGGAGAAAGTGTTTCCGGTTCAAGAACAACGACCTCGTGCTGAAGGTGTGGCTCTTCCCGTACACAGAAATAAACCCTGTCAACAAAGAATTCAGTCAACTGATAATGGCTGTAATAGCAGAGTAAGTGTGACTGTGGGGTAATAACTGGAGTTACTAAATAAAGAAGTAGTAATCTATAGGGTCATCAGAAAAAAAGTTGCAATTTTCTACGGGTTGAATAAAAAGGTGTCCGGTCATTACCCCCCCCCCCCTCCACATAATAAAATAAATTAAATTTAAATGGTATTTTGTTATGGCTGTATCGAGTTTTACTGATATTGCTGGTACTAAGCCATAATCCTATCCAGAATCTTATCAAGTTAAATTCTCAATACTAACTTTAACCCTAATCATAACCTTAGAATATTATCGATACTTATGGAAAACATAAAATTATCTTTTTTTGGACCTATTGGAGTTAAGTAACAGTTGCAACTAGTTTTTAAAAAGTAGCAAAACATGTCTTCCTCTGACATTTTAGACATCAGGGCCAGTAATTCAGTAGATGCAAAAAAAAAAAAAAAAAACTTCTCAAGATTTCAAGCCACGCGTAGAGTTAACTCTAGTCACTCAATCTCCAATTCTTCTTTTTCGTTCTCAATCGTAACATCGGAGGGGATTTCGTCAACACGGTTATGTAATCCTATTACTTGTCGTGTCGCCATATTTTGCGACATAGATCCTGTTGACTGCTTTTCTTTATGGGTTTGTTTTCATATCCTTGGTCCACTGAAGAACAAACTACAATGCAGTAGTAGCTTTTGTAGTTTTCTCTCCAGAATGGGTTACTGTCCCCAGCAAACAAGCTTCATCTATCCGGGGTCCGAACTCATGACTTTTGAAGATAGTAGACATATTCTCTCTCTCCCAACTACGCTCTCTGATGCAGTTATTTATTATTTGTATTGAATGAAACTTTTAATCAACTGTTTATGATGACATCGTGACGACTTACCAAAACAGGACGAAGGTTATACAACTGAAACCAGCCATGACCTGGTAGACGGCACCGGGCATGAAGCTAACGGTCAACAGGACAACAACATGACAGCAACACGACAACAACATGACAACAACATGACAGCAACACGACAACAACATGACAACAACATGACAACAACATGACAGCAACACGACAACAACATGACAACAACATGACAACAACATGACAGCAACACGACAACAACATGACAACAACATGACAGCAACACGACAAGAACACGACAAGAACACGACAACAACACGACAAGAACACGACAAGAACACGACAAGAACACGACAAGAACACGACATTAAAACGACAACAACACAACAACACGAAAACAACTCGACAACAACACGACGCCTTACCCAAACAGGACGAAGGTTATACAACTGAAACCAGCCATGACCAGATAGACAGCACCTGGCATGAAGCTAACGGTCAACAGGACAACAACACGACAACAACACGACAACAACTCGACAACAACACGACAACAACACGACAGCAACATGACAACAACACGACAAGAACACGACAACTCGACAACAACTCGACAACAACTCGACAACAACTCGACAACAACACAACGACTTACCCAAACAGGACGAAGGTTATACAACTGAAACCAGCCATGACCAGATAGACAGCACCAGGCATGAAGCTAATGGTCAACAGGACAACAACATGACAGCAACACGACAACAACATGACAACAACATGACAGCAACACGACAACAACATGACAACAACATGACAGCAACACGACAACAACATGACAACAACATGACAACAACATGACAGCAACACGACAACAACATGACAACAACATGACAGCAACACGACAACAACACGACAGCAACACGACAAGAACACGACAAGAACACGACAAGAACACGACAAGAACATGACAAGAACACGACAAGAACACGACAAGAACACGACAAGAACACGACAAGAACACGACAAGAACATGACAAGAACACGACAACAACACGACAACAACTCGACAACAACTCGACAACAACTCGACAACAACTCGACGACTTACCCAAACAGGACGAAGGTTATACAACTGAAACCAGCCATGACCAGATAGACAGCACCTGGCATGAAGCTAACGGTCAGCGCGTAGATCTTGTTGTAGATGGTCGTGGACACCAGCTGACACAGGGTCTCAACTACAGCGATACTGGAGAACATGGCGCCTGTGGGGGGGGGGGGGGTGATTGACAGATTAGAACCTGGAGCATAAAGTCACCGGGATGTTTAACAGATTGTAAAAATATACTCGCAAAAAGGTCTCCTGAAGTAAAAAGGTAAAGGAATGTTTCTGATATGAAAAGTAAGGCAACCTTTCACAATTTCAAATACAATACACCATTATGATTGTAAATTAAGTTTAAAGAAAGTTGATGATTTCCTTAGTTCTTATAACCCGTTTAAAATTTGTAACTAATTTTTAAAATATTATTTGAAATAATTTAGACAGTTTTAGTCTTATTTGGTTATGGCTGTGTTTAAATATTTTTAAATATACAATTGCATTAACGTATTCAATAAATAACAACCAGGTATTGTAGTCAGGTAAAAGCAGAGGTGTAGCGACCCTTCCCGGCGCCCGGGGACAAACTTTCAATTTGCACCCCCCCCCCCCCTCAAACTTTCGATTTGCACCCACCCTCAAACTATTTATAATGCAAAAGTGCAGCTAAAATGACATTTTAATTTGTTTTACAACCCATTTTGCGCCCCTTAAGGTCGGTGCCCGAGGATATATGTACCCCCCTGCCCCCCCCCCCCCCCCCCATCGCTACGCCTCTGGGTAAAAGCCACATACCTTGAGAGTCAGAACCTGCAAGATTTGAGAGCATGGAACGGACTATGGCTGTAAATGGCGAGGTAGGAATCAGCAGGATAGGCACTGTGGGTTATGACAAGAAATATCGGAGTCAGTAGGGATTTATATTTCGGGGCAAGAAATACCAGTCAGCCTTTCGTGAATTGTGAGATATAGCAAGACAGACAGATGACAGCAGTATAAGGTAAATCAACTAATCCTTTTCTCTTTTCAGTAGCATTTGGTTAAATGTGTAAACAATCGTTTTATGTATATCATGAGCAGTGTTTCTTCCAGACTTTTTTTCTCCGGGGGGGGGGGGGGGGGGGGCACTTGAAATTTTCGGGGGATGAAGGGGGGGGCGGTAGACTTTCTTCGGGGGGGGGGGGGCGGTAGACTTTCTTCGGGGGGGGGGGGGGGCGGACACAGTTAAGAGTATATATTTTCTATATAAATTTCATTTCGCTCGGGGGGTGGGGACGGTAGACTTTCTTCGGGGGGGGGGGGGGGCAGAGCCTGGATGAAACAATGATCATGAGGAGCTATGACAGATGTGGATATCAGTTGTCCTTAAACTAGTTTAAATATCTTTAGCCCAGGTACTAATCAAATGTTGACGTGGCTAAATTCAATATCTATCGGTCAGTGTTCTCTTATCAACTACGTGATCGTTTTATAGTACACGAAGCTGTTCAAAATAAAATGGTTGATAACTACATTATATTCAATTACACGACGTGTTTGCTTATTCGTAGATTTTATATATACATCCGCTGCTACCCCTCCTGCTAAAACTTGTTTGTTTATTTAACAGTAAAAACGTATTTTCTAATTATTACTTAGACCGTAATATAACGTGGATACAGGGTCTTGATCTACATGGTGGCTCGAACAACACTGTGCTCATGTGTTTAACAGAGGTAAACTAAACAAAGTATCGAGCGAATTAGAGAGAACGGTCAGTTTGATCTACCGTCGTGGGATCAATTCTCGGGCTCCAGCCAGTAGGCTAAAGAAAGTAAAGAATCCATTTTAGACCTAGCGATCCATTTGAGCAAATGAAGCTGAGTTCATGTTTCTTGATCTCAGCTTGTAATGGGAAGGTGTGGTCAGAACATTGCCATGGACGCCTTTACTTTCCTTAACATGAGTTAGGTACCCATAAGAGCATGGTGGATTCAGGGAAGTTCTATTGACTAGAACCCGGATTCAAGCTCGAGACTTTCGGGTTAGCAGCCTTGCGCTCTACCGCTAGGCCACGCCGTTTAATAGCCAGTAAGTTGTTGACAAAAAAAGGGTCATTCTGTGAGCTCCAATTTCCTCACCTTTTATTACCCCAAATCCTATTTTCCCACCGTCTATTGCCCCCACCTCTAATTGCCCCCCCCCCCCCCTCAGAGACATAAAGAGAAGAACTCTCGTTTATCAAAGTAATAAACTTTCCTAAAACCACAACGGCTACCTACCTAGATAAAAGTGCCAGGGCACCTTGATGAAGGCTTCAAACGTTAACGCCGCTCCCTGCGACAACATACCAAACATGCCAATCTTCTCCTCGCTTATACAAAGCTGCAGCAACTTCAAAAACAGGATGCCGAAAAACGAAGTTCCGGCCGACCGGAAAGCGCTATAGTTTCCTATCTGATCGGAACCCCAGCAAAATGGCCTGCCTAGTTGATAAAGAGCGTCCAAGCTACCAATGTTTAACCCGTTCATCACGCCAATGACGAAGATCAATAAACACAGGTTGAACACGAACCGCTTACGTAAGCTCCCGTCCAGCAGGTAAAAGGAAACGATCCTTCTCAGGTGTACACAAGGATTGCGACCTTTGCCCTTTGGTCGTTGATGTACAGGTAACGTTTCTTGAATTGTAAACAACAGGATTATAAAAGCTGAAAATGCCATACCCAGAAGTGGCAAGCAGGCGTAGAAGAAATCCAGGTATGCTATCAGGTAGCCTACGGCCACGTTGGCACCAGCGCTGGCCATTGTGGACAAACAACTGATCAGGTAAATCCAGAATGTTCGATCACTTTTCTCGGAGTTGATGTCCGCGGTCAGGGCGAACATACCCAGCAGCATGGCGAACCACGAACCTCCCACGCCGTCGATGGCGTAGGCGATGTACGAGTAACGAAGGTCAAGGTGAAATCTGGAAAATAATGTTTTTATAATTAAAACACGAAGAATACTTTGTAGAGGGACGGAAAGAATCAGAGTTCTACTCGTTTATATTTGAAATAATGTAATCGAATATTAATCGAAAGGTTGTCGTCCATAAATTAAGTCATATACCGAGCGCGGTATGATGTGGTGTGTGTGTGTGGGGGGGGGGGGGGGTCAGAAATGTATATCGATTTGTGAGCAGTTAGGGAATGTTTAGAGTACTACTCATAATTGTGATCCGGATTCGCAAAAATTTCTTGACTAAAAAGTCATAAGCGATATTTGGCAAATCGGTGTACTATTACGCTATTTATTAATTATGCGCTCTTGATAAAGAGGAACAGCTGTAAATAATTTGCTAATGAAAAGTTATTATACAGAAAAAAAATTGTTTTAGGGGCGGTAAGATAGGGTTCTAATTAACCTATATCAACCAAGAGTCTCCAGTACTTTATGACAATAGTGATGATGACCGTCCTGATGAGATTTGTCACGACCGGAAGTAGAAGCAGCAGACGACGACCCAGAAAGTCTGAGTATGACCCAATCATCAAACACGTGACGAATGCTGGTATACATTGAGTCCAGCTGAAGTAGGTCAGCATTTCAGAGGCCTACAGTTAAAAACAAAACAACAGAATTGTCTTAATCTAAGAGGTATATATATATATATATATATATATATATATATATATATATATATATATATATATATATATATATATATATATATATATATATATATGTATATATATATATATATATATATATATATATATATATATATATATATATATATATATGTATATATATATATATATATATATATATATATATATATATATATATATATATATATATATATATATATATATATACGTGTGTGTTAGAGAAATAAGGGACAGGACACGTGGGAATTCTTTTTTTTTTTATGGTGGGGGGTGCCTTTTAAGAAAACACCCCTCTAATTGTAGGCACGTACTTCAGCATGTATATTGTTGGCGTTCATAATTTCGGTGCCGTTGATGATGGTGTCGTTGAGTGTGGTGTTACCACAGGGACCTTGCTCGGTGGAGTTGACCGTGAAACCTTTGTCTTCGGTCAACCTCTTGACCAGGTACTGGGCCATCAGGGTGTCCCGGGCAATTCCGGCAGACCTGGAGACAGGAAACAATTGGTTAAACACACACCCACACACATACACAGAGAGACACACACAGACACACACACGCACACACACACACACACACACATAATGGTTTTAGTGGGCGGATAGTGAAAAGATAAAGACATGACTCACAGCAAAAGATTAACCTGTTAAATGGCAGAAGCCATTTTTGAATTTTTTTGCAAAAGCACTCGAAAAACTACTGAAGTAACAGAATTAACTACGAGTGAAATAACATAAATTTGTGTAATCATCAACATATAACTTATTCAAAAGAAAACAGTTTCGTCCTTTATCAGTTTAATTTAATTCATTTTAATGAGTTTTTAGGCTGGGTATATTTATCTGATGGATCTCTACTCGGAGAAGATATCGATGCTGTGAGGAAATGACCCTTAGCAAATCCCGAACAAACTCCCAACCACCGTGTGACCAGATAAAACTACATTGAATTAAAAAGTTCATTTAAATTCCCCTACTTGATGAGTTGGGCAGAAGGCCAAAACTTACATGCACAAAGCAGGTATGACCACTGATGTGATCCTCGCTTTGACAATGGAATAATCTGGTTTGTTGTCATGGTTACTTTTGGGCAGCAGTGGGAATGACTCGTCCTTGATGCTCCTCTCTAAGTCCATTTATGGTCTGAAAATGAACTCATTTTGACTATGTATGCTGTTTAAACACATAAACACACGAACGCATATTTATAGACACACTCATATATATATATATATATATATATATATATATATATATATATATATATATATATATATACTATGTATATATAAAAGACAGATGATGTGTCCTATCGCTTATAATGTCAGCGATTAAATTACGAAATACGTGAACATGAATTCAATTGGCATCCAAAGTTTATTTAATTAACTGATAATTTGCATAGCAATATTTTACTTAAGTCATACCTGATACGACGAACTAGTATCGTGATGTTACATAGCACTGAACTGCTGTAAGCTTATTCTTCTATTTCCTTCTGAATCGTTTTCAGTCGACAGATAATCCGCTCTTGCGCTTTTCTTCGATGTTGTATTTAATGTGTTGATTGTTTAGACAGGTAGGTCCCACGTCAATGAAGTTTGACAGTTGTTGTGTTAAAAGTTTGATTGTGTATCCAACGGTAGTAGGAAATGAAATGGCTGGCATGTAATGAGATACCAGGTCATGCGATAACCCACCTGGAAAACACATGTCCAGAGCTATCGGCCTAAATACGTGACCAACTGCTGTGGTTGGTGTTCTAGTTTAATGTATCTAGATAAAAACAATGATCAGGTGAATAACGCTTGGCTTTAATACAACTCTAACACTCGATGTATCGTTCTTTCGTAGGCAAATCAACGTACATTATTGGTTTTACACTTCACATCCTAGGGCGCCTGGGAGGTTGTGTGGACAAACCCGCGCCCCAACTACAAAAAACTAAATCGAAAATTTGATTTTAATGTAATGTAATGTAATGATGTAATGTAATGTAATGTAATGTAATGTAATGTAATGTAATGCCCTTGTCAAAACAGCGTAATGTTATTGTTTTTAAAATAAGCTAAAATAATTTTAGAAGATGTGACAAAACGGTAAAAACAAAAACAGTTTGCCTTTGAAGTTTGTTTCATACCGCCCTTTACCCACCACCCTACTCTTATCTAAGCTGATCAGGTTTTGTTCTGGTTCCAACTAAGGTCTGTCAAAAACCCATACCATCATTGTCTACTAGCTCTGGTCATAATGTCTTTAGACAGCAAAGAAAAAATTAAACAAAATAACAATAAAACAAAAACCTCATCTAATTAATATCAATCTACAATTTTATATTAAAAAATGCAGAAATTCGCATTAAGACAAACACGACGTGTGACAATAAGGCTTAATAAAATCAATTAACATAAGAATATTTTAAACCAACGTAGAAAAAAACAACAACAGAGACTAGATAAAGTTTGTGCATGTTTTTATTTTAATTAAAAGTGGAATCTTTAAAACAATAAATACCCAACAACATTATATACACGTTGTATTTTTTTTTTAATAAAGGAACATCAGGAGGTTAGAAAAGAGGTCCGAATAGTTACATCACCGGAAATTTAGACTTAAAATTGTATTGTAGGTCTCATCATTAAATGTTAATTATTTTTTAAGGAATGTCAGCTTATGTAGGCCCGTAAAAACAATCAGAGAATGATGCGTTAAAAAGGGAATTAAGTGACAAAATGATTTTTCAAAATTATTTGGGGTTTCATGCTTAAATAAAGGGCCGCACATAAAGCTAATTAAATTTTAAGATAATATTAAACCCCCAACCCCATCCCACTGAAATGACAGTTTATTCTAGCTTATTCTTTGTCCATGTTTCTATTCCCTAAGGGGATATAACCAGGCTAAGTAGATTTTGAAAAGAATATTTACTTAGTTATTCCCCTTAGCTACTGTTTATTAATCCCTTACATAGTTACAGGCTTATTTGAGTTGGCTAAAAACCGCTAATCTATAAATTATTAATTTATATTGGAAAGTTTAGTAAATTCGGAACCATTTTGGAATCATTTTTATAACACTTACATATTTTTTTTTTACAAATACCATATAAGTTACACAAAACATTTTTTTAAATAATTGTATTAAATACAAAAGCATCAGGTTACATTTCTACCTCACCCTACCGCCACTTCTCTTCCTCCTAACAGAGTCCCGAACCCCACCCCACCCCCCAATACTTCCCATTGGACGTGTGTGACACCATTTATAGACAACCCCCCCCCCCCCCTCCCCTTCTCTCCTAAAGAGAAATTTCAACAAGTGCTATGCTGAGTGTACCACAATATTAAAATTATCTGATTGTTATATATAAATAAAATGCATAGGAAGCCAATAAATAGTTTTAAATTTACTTACAAAAAAACAACTCATATTAAATATGAAATTCAGCAGTTTACATATCTCAAGCCTGATCTACACAAAGTTAAATACATACAGCAGTAACTGACAAAATAACTTTGTTAAATATAGATTATAAAGATTATACAGTGGTTGGAAGAAGTACATTTCTACAGAAAGTTGAGCTGAGATAAAGTTAAATTACCCTCTAAAGTATTACAACTCTGATTTTTAAGGTTACAACAGCAAATAAAAATCTAATTAATTAATCAATAATATTGAAAAAATTTATTTCATAAAAATATACAGCAACTTATTATGAACATATTAACAAACTTATATATAAATGATGTCCAGTAGACTATCATATAAATGATAATAAACGTATATAAAATAATTTGTAGCAATTAGTTTTTTTACATACATTATTTTAAATATGCAGTTAAGTGGAAGTCATTAAAATAATGAGACAGAGGATGGTTCATTGTGGTTTCATCAGATTAAAATAAAATTACAGGAGTATTGTAGAATGTTCAGAGGTGAAAACAACAAAGGAGGGTCTAAACAAAATGTCTTCATTGTAATTGAATAATGTATTATACAGTTAAATATTTTAACATCCTTTGCTTACAATCTATGAATTACATTGAGATGTGTTTAACTGCTTAGGCTAATAAAAGAGAAATAAGAGAAGAATTTTAATTTTATTTTAAACTTAAACCAGATTAAAATCATATCAGTAAGAATCTCTAATAATAAACAAGAATAAATCTACCAGTATTTAACATCAGCAATGATTCTCATCATGATGCCTTCTGTAAAATAATAAAATGATAAAAGTACCCATTTTAAGAAACAAAAAGCAATGCATCACCGGATTCTGAAAGTTCTTGAATATTTATTTTTAAGACACAACAAAACAAGAACTGAATTAGAAAAATAAACAGGTAAGAGAGAAGATCTTCTGCAAGACCAGAGATGCCTTTTCTTTCTATAAAGATTCCTATTTAGATCTAACGGTCAATTGAGCAGATGAAGTAGAGTTCACATGTTTCTTGACCTCAGCATGTAAGGGATAATGACCAGCTGCCTTTACTTTTCCTAACATTAGTTAGGTACCCATCAGAGCTGGGTGGATCAGGGATGTTACACTGACTAGAACCCAGATTTGAACTCCAGACTTTCGGGTTAGCAGTCTAGTGCTCTACTGTTCGGCCACACCATCCCCTTTTAATGCCCTTCAAAATGTATAGATTTTATAACACAATCAGACAAGTATGTAAAATTCATCATATAAAATGCCTTGTTTTAACTAAATACATGTAAGTAAACAGTTGACTTAATCATTTCAAAAACAGAGACTGTTATTTAAGGCAAATTAATGCCAAAATAGTAGAATGCCACAGCTTAATAAAAAATCTAATTAACAGTTTTGGATTTTTAGAATTTGATTAATGAACATCAACAATAAACATCATATTTAACCGATAAATAGTTGTATTTACTTCACTGCCACCCTTTACAACATTTACTAATTATTTACACAGCAGTGAAACATTTCTTTTGTAAAAAGGCGTACAAGGAAAATAAACATATCAATATTTACACACTTGATCACAGTGAGTTGTGGAATGTATTTAAAATAACAGGGTTAATTGCTATCACTATATAGAAGCACAATTATAGAGTGTCAAGCATTTTGTTAAAATAAATTTTATAACTATCTTAAAATAGATCATTTTAATCTGTTACTTTCAAACCCAAAGTACATTTTTGTACTTCCTGTATATATATATATATATATATATATATATATATATATATATATATATATATATATATATATATATATAGTGTAATTCAACTTATATCAGAAACATCACAAACTTTTCTCTAAACAATACGATTCTTATTTAATTTTTTAACCAAATTTTTAAAATAATATTTTTCGAAAAATTCCAATATTTTCTGCTCCTTTGTTAAATATCTATTTGACCAGATGAAGCGGGATCTTTATCAGCGTTGATTGAAGGATGTTCCTCTGGCTCGACAATAACAACAAGCTGTGTCTGTGGTTTTTCTCGAACTAAGAAATAAACCCTGCAGAGAAGATAAATATTCTATTGTGTGATGCTTAGCTATTAATTATTCTATCGAGATGTGTTTAGATATATAGATCTATATCTAAAGTCTGTTCTTGCAGTGTAATTTAAACTAAGATCCGATTATAATTCATAAATTTTAAAAAGTATATATAATAGGCATTACGTAATACAATGTTTTAAATACGAATATTATGGTAAGTAAAATACATAGATCTGTTCGTTTCATTTTGTTACAATAGACGTAACATTATTTATAAGGAATTTTAAACATATAGTTAAAGGTTGCACCCCTTGGTCGTTTAAAAAATATAAAGGGGAAGTTACTAAAACATTAAGGACGTGCAAGCTCTCACTCTCTCTCTATTTCAATCCTCACCCCCTCCATCCATCCTCCCACACAAGCACAAACATGAGCTAACATATAAACACGACGACAACACCATAAAACAACACGACGACATCACCATAAGACAACACGACGACAACACCATAAAAAAACACGACGACAACATTATAAAACAACACGACGACAACACCATAAAAAAACACGACGACAACATTATAAAACAACACGACGACAACACGACGACAACACCATAAGAAAACAGACGACAACACGACGACAACACGACGACAACACCATAAGACAACACGATGACAACAACACGATAAGACAACACGACGACAACACGACGACAACACGATAAGACAACACGACGACAACACGACGACAACACCATAAGACAACAGACGACAACACCATAAGACAACACAACGACAACACCATAAGAAAACAGACGACAACACCATAAGACAACACAACGACAACACCATAAGAAAACAGACGACAACACCATAAGACAACACGACGACAACACGACGACAACACGACGACAACACCATAAGACAACACAACGACAACACCATAAGAAAACAGACGACAACACGACGACAACACCATAAGACAACACAACGACAACACCATAAGAAAACAGACGACAACACGACGACAACACCATAAGAAAACAGACGACAACAACACCATAAGACAACACGACGACACCATAAGACAACACGACGACAACACCATAAGACAACACGACGACAACGCGACGAAGACAACACGACGACAACAACACGACGACTTACCCAAACAGAAGGAACGTCAGCCAACTGCAGCCAGCCATGACCAGATAGACAGCACCAGGCATGAAGCTAACGGTCAGCGCGTAGATCTTGTTGTAGATGGTCGTGGACACCAGCTGACACAGGGTCTCAACTACAGCGATACTGGAGAACATGGCGCCTGTGGGGAGGGGTGAGAAGGGGAGGGGCTGGTCAGTACTTTTTACATGTTTTAAACTTTAAACAATACTAGCTATATCAGTGATAGGGTGTTCGAGTATTATCTCCAGGTCCACCCTTGAGTCCACCCAGTTATAATGGGTACCTGGATCTACTTGGGGAAAACAACTACAGCGTGCAAAAAAATGCTTACAAAATTCGCTGAAGTCATAAAATAACCATCCCCTGTCTAATCTGGCATATTTAAGGGTATTTTTTATTTCTAAGACTGAGTATATTAGAATACCTGAATGCCTGAATACTATTAATGAAACACAGCTTGCATTACTAAAATATTGTAGTTAAACAGTTTGTTTTTCATTATAACTCAGTTATTCTGCCTACATAAAAAGGTCACTCGGTGTTGAAACGAATGATCCGGTACTTTTAAAAGGTCGTGTAGAGGTACTCACATGATTAATGATTCGGTACTTTTAAAAGGTCGTGTAGAGGTACTCACCCTGCTTGTCTGGGCCTGCGAGTGCTGACAGCATGGTGCGGACGATGGCCGAAAATGGTGATGTAGGGGTCAGGAAAATGGGAACTGTTGGAATAATAGATGTTGGGATCAGTATTATGGGAACTGTTGGAATAATAGATGTTGGGGTCAGTATTATGGGAACTGTTGGGATAATAGATAGTAGGGTCAGTATTATGGGAACTGTTGGAATAATAGATAGTAGGGTCAGTATTATGGGAACTGTTGGAATAATAGATAGTAGGGTCAGTATTATGGGAACTGTTGGAATAATAGATAGTAGGGTCAGTATTATGGGAACTGTTGGAATAATAGATAGTAGGGTCAGTATTATGGGAACTGTTGGAATAATAGATAGTAGGGTCAGTATTATGGGAACTGTTGGAATAATAGATAGTAGGGTCAGTATTATGGGAACTGTTGGGATAATAGATAGTAGGGTCAGTATTATGGGAACTGTTGGGATAATAGATAGTAGGGTCAGTATTATGGGAACTGTTGGAATAATAGATAGTAGGGTCAGTATTATGGGAACTGTTGGGATAATAGATGTTGGGATCAGTATTATGGGAACTGTTGGGATAATAGATGTTGGGATCAGTGTTATGGAAACTAGTAATACAAAAATGTAGGGGTCAGGAAAATGGGAACTGTTGGAATAATAGATGTTGGGATCAGTGTTATGGAAACTAGTAATACAAAAATGTAGGGGTCAGGAAAATGGGAACTGTTGGAATAATATATGTTGGGATCAGTGTTATGGAAACTAGTAATACAAAAATGTAGGGGTCAGGAAAATGGGAACTGTTGGAATAATATATGTTGGGATCAGTGTTATGGAAACTAGTAATACAAAAATGTAGGGGTCAGGAAAATGGGAACTGTTGGAATAATATATGTTGGGATCAGTGTTATGGAAACTAGTAATACAAAAATGTAGGGGTCAGGAAAATGGGAACTGTTGGAATAATATATGTTGGGATCAGTGTTATGGAAACTAGTAATACAAAAATGTAGGGGTCAGGAAAATGGGAACTGTTGGAATAATATATGTTGGGATCAGTATTATGGAAACTAGTAATACAAAAATGTAGGGGTTAGCATAATGGGAACTGTTGGAATAAAAGATGTTGGGATCAGTATTATGGAAACTAGTAATACAAAAATGTAGGGTCAGCATTATGGGAACTGTTGAAATAATAGATGTTGGGATCAGTATTATTAAATTTGTTGCAATAAAAAATGTAAAACTGTTCAGTCAACATAATTAAGACTGGTAATAAAAAAGGTGGTAGGTTTGCATTATGACAACTGTTTCAATAACGTTACGGATGTTGTGGAAAATGTTATGGAAAATGTTATGGAAAATATTATGGAAAATTATATGGAAAATATGGGAAAAAAATGTTCAATTCTAACACATCATTAAGTTGGTGGTCAAGATAACAGAAATGATTGTAATCAAGGCTTGAAATCCATACAGCTAAAATATGTTTACTCGTATTTTTTTTAAAAAAGGAATGAATTTAAAACAAGTTTAAAAACGAATGTAAAATACATTGATATATGTGTGCATTAAAATTTTTTTGTCTTCAGGCTGAAAAATAGTGTCAACACGACAGCACGTGCCTATTACGTCATGTAACCTTTGAACCGGGTGCAACACATTAAAATTTCTAGTTTCCACTCGATGACCCAAGTTTAGTTGGGTTATTTTAATACAAAGACTACCCCCCCCCCCCCTCCACACACACACATCCCGGCGCTTCAGTTTCAGCTGTGACATCACAATAGGCTCATCCATGCGTCGTGTGCTCAGTACTCACGTTTAATCACGTGCTTCATTGGTGAAAAAAAAGTATATTTCTATGTAGACCTGATGGTAATGTTTAACTAACCGTGGAGTGAGTCATAACTAGAGTGGGTACGACGAATAGATGTGGTGTGTGGTGTGGAGGGGGGTGGGGTATTTGGTTTAGAAACATCCACAACTCACTTATAGCTGATTTTTTAAAAAAAGTTTTAGTTTTAGTAGTTTGTAGAGAGAGTAGCATCCATAAGCCATTTATACATATTAAAAAACATGGGGGGAGGGGGTCACCTTAGAAACATCCATAATGTGACGTATAGCTAAAAGTAAAAAATAACTTGAAGAAGGGGAATAATTCATTTTAAAAACATTCCAAAGTTATGTAGTACACGTTAAAAAGATTTACTAAGGTAGTTGGGTGCAGGGTGGGGAATGGACATGATTTTCTGGCGTCTCGCCAACCCCAATAAGATCACTGTAAGCAACAAACTAGCGTGTAAAAAATATAACAATCTCGCGGTGTTGTAAACAAGTACCAACCAACCCCCTCCCACCCACACACGCACACACAGACATAAACGCCACATTTAAAAGGTAAACAAAATGGTAAAGGGACCTAACATAATTTACAGTATAACCACACAGTTGTTTTTATGCTGTGTTTAATTCCTACTTCAACTGACAGGCTCATTGCAATGGGATAAAGGTGTGTTCGCTGTTCATCATGAAACACATGTTACATTTCAATTTTCCATCAAGTATTATTTGACAGCTTTTATTATATCAGGGACTGGGATGAGTATCAGTTAATTATATGATTAAGCAATTTACATCGACTATATTATTAAGGGTCTCTGAATGTATGTTTTATATATATATATATATATATATATATATATATATATATATATATATATATATATATATATATATATATATATATATATATATATATATGCGTGTGTGTGTGTGTGTGTGTGTATTTATATTTTTTGTTTTCATTTGTGAATTTATTCGTAATATACTGTGGATCGGTTTGTTTTGATAGCGAAATAGCCTGCCCAAATACTAAAGGCTAGAAGATGGAGCAGCTTAATTATGGCACTAAGAAAAACGCCAAACTTCAATAGAATTTTTTTACTTAAAAATTTAAACCTAAAACTTAGTTTACAAAAAAAAACCCAACCCAAACCCTTATCTTAAATACAAACTCACAACTGTGACTCAGTGACCCTGCTAATTCAAGGGAAGTTCAAAAGGTGGTCGAGATTAAACTTCTGGTTATATGAAACAATTTTTGAAAAAAATTCTCGTATTTTTAAAAAAAATAGATTATTACGCACTGCGCATGTTCAGTCCACTCCTAGAAGGTAAATAAACCTCGTTTTTGAAAGATAATTAATTAAAATTTAAAATGTTTTCGCATTTGCGAACACTTATGTAGTCTGGTCTAAAATAAGTATTCATCTTTGCATTTTTTGTCGCCTGGAAATATAGGCCAAATAAATACAAAACACATTTTAAATTAGAAGTAGGTTTAAAAATTTTGACAGTAGGCTTTGGGAAAAAATTGAATTTTTTTTTAAATCCTTGTATACATGGAATGATAATTGCCGTGTAAGAAGAATTTCAATATCATGACGTCTTGTTATTAATTATTTTTATTGATAGTTTAGATGATCTATCGCATGACTATCGGTGATTGATCTCTAGCCTTAACACTGAAAATATTCTGAACACACGATTGTTTCTAATCAGTATTTTTAAATGTGCAAAGGTCATGTAAACAATGCAGAAAACATTCCGGTATGGGTTTTCTTTTTAAAATTTTTTAGGGGTGGGGGTTCCACCCCCTATTCTATGTCTTTTTTCTGGGCTGTATAGAAAAGATTGAACGCACCAATCTATCACAACCTTATCCGTGAATGTACTCTTAAATTTTAGTAGGTTGATTATAATTTTAAAAATGTGTGTGTAAATCAATGATAAACACAACACACACGACGTTGTAAGTAACACTAACACCTTGTACGCCAGCTTCTAATCTTAGAGAGCAAGATCTCTAAATCATAGCGAACATCAGGTTTTAATCAAGGTGAATTCCCGGTCTCAATCTTGGAGAATATCAGGTGTTAATCAAAGCGAACACCACAACTCTGAATGCAGCCTGTTGTATCAAGTTATAAGTTGTACAGAACAACGACAAGCAGTGGAAAGTTTCTATAAAACAGCAAGTTTACCAAACATACCAAGTTTAACAAACATGCCAAGTTTACCAAACATGCCAAGTTTACCAAACATGCCAAGTTTACCAAATATGCCAAGTTTACCAAACATGCGAAGTTTACCAAACATGCCAAGTTTACCAAACTTGCCAAGTTTACCACACATGCCAAGTTTACCAAACATGCCAAGTTTACCAAGAACACCAAGTTTACAAAAGACAATAAAATTACTTAATACATGTTAACCTTAAACCGTTTACTCAAAACTTCATTTTTTTTATCTAAAACACCGAGGTCATATAAACATTCCAAGGTTGGCTTTGATAGTTTACTATAAAATACCAAGTTAACTATAAAACATCAAGTTCACCTACCTAGATAAAAGTGCCATGGCACCTTGATGAAAGCTTCAAAAGTAAACCCCGCACCCTGAGACAAAATCCCGAACATGCCGACCGCCTCGTTGCTGAAGCACATCTGAAGCAGCTTTAGCAGCAAGGCGCCAAAAAACGCAGTCCCAGCCAATCGAATAGCGTTGTAGTTCCCAATATCATCAGCACTCCAACAGAAAGGCTTGCCAAGTTGGTACAGCGCATCCAAGTTGCCGATATTCAAGTCGTTGGCCACGCCAAATACAAAGAGCAGCAGACACAGGTTGAACACGAACCGTTTACGTAAGCTCCCGTCCAGCAGGTAAAAGGAAACGATCCTTCTCAGGTGTACGCAAGGATTCCGACCTTTGCCCTTTGGCCGCCGATGTACGGGTAAAGTTTCTTGGATTATGAACAGCAGGATTATAAAAGCAGCAAATGCCATACCCAGAAGAGGTAAGCAGGCGTAGAAAAAGTCGAGGTATATGATAAGGTAGCCGGCGGCCACGTTGGCGCCTGCGTTGAATATAATGGTGGAGCAGCCGATCAGATAAATCCAGAATGTTCTATCGCTTTTGTCCGTGGTGACGTCGGCCGTTTGGGCGAAGAGCCCCAGCAGCATGGCGAACCAGGAGCCTCCCACACCGTCAATGGCGTAGGCGATGTAGGTGTAACGAAGGTCAAGGTTAAATCTATAAAAAAATATATAAATATCCTAATAACGTCCAGGTAAAAATCTTTGATGAGTATAAAATAGTTTGCCGGAGAGCGGATATGTGGGATGAACTCAATCCTATAACCAGGTTTGGATTAATCCCAACAGGTGCTTACTGTTGGTGGAGAGGATAGAGGGGGGTATTTTTAAAATTCCTATATCGTGTTATAACAATTTTTTTTAAAATCCCAACAATCTTGAAACAAGTGAGACTTCAGAGTTTTTCATGATTACATCGAGATATATGGCATGTTGCATAAAAGAGTTTTAAGATTTAGTCAGCCAGTTTCGTATTTTTTTAACTTAAAGGAGAAGAAAACTTTTTTTAATCACAGGTGAATTAGAAAATGTTAAGTTGGACTAGGAGTATTTTTATTTTTGGGAATGTAAATGAAATCGGTCAATCCGTTGTTCTTTTATGATATGTCATCATCACTCCTTTGTGGCCCATGGGGAGCAAAGGGCTGCAACCACACATCTCCAGCGGACTCTGTTTTGGGCTGCTCCTCTAATCTGTGCCCATGAGAGCCCAGCTGTTTTTGCCTCTTCCTCAACCGTTCTCTTCCATGTTTTACTTGGCCGGCCCACCCTCCTTTTCCCCTGGGGATTCCAGTCCAATGCATGTTTTGCGATGTTTTCTTTTTCTTTTCTTAACGTGTGTCCGATCCATCCCCATTTACGGGCCTTAATATCTTTCTCTATCGGCTGTTGTTTTAAAATTTGCCACAGGTCTTTGTTTGATATTTTGTCTGGCCATCTTATTTTGAGTATATGTCGTAAGCATTTGTTTACGAACGCCTGTAGCCTATCAGTATTTGTCTTCGTAACCCTCCAGGTCTCCGAGCCATAGAGTAGCACTGCCTTAACATTCGTGTTAAAAATCCCAATTTTGCTCCGGAGTGACAGGGCCGTGGACCTCCACATCGGGCGCAGTGAGTTGAAGGCACATCTAGCCTTGTTGATACGGCATTTTATGTCCTCGTCTGCTCCCCCGTCCTTATTGATCACGGTTCCCAGATATGTGAATGTGTTTGTTTCTCGTAAATCTTCTCCATTTAGCTGTATGGGCAGGTCCTGGCTGTTATTGATTCTGATGACATCTGTTTTATTTTTATTTATTATTAGTCCAACTTTGGAGGCTTCTTCAGACAGCCGATTTAGTTTGGCTTGCGTATGTTGATGCTTATGAGATAGCAGGCAGATGTCATCGGCAAAATCAAGATCCTCCAACCTTTTTGTAAAACTCCACTGGATTCCTGTGTCGTTTTTTGTGGCCCTCAGCATGATCCAGTCGATTACCATCAAGAATATCATTGGCGATAGCATACATCCCTGTCTTACTCCCGTCGTCACCCTGAATGGTTTTGTTAGCTTTCCCTTGTGTATTACCTGACTGGTGGAGTCTTCATATAGTTTCTGTGTAATAGATATAAATTTTTTGGGTATTCCATAGTGGCTCATTAACTTCCAGATAGCATCTCTATTCACACTGTCAAACGCCTTTTCGAAGTCGACAAAAGTCATGTATAAGGGGGATTGCCACTCAAGGGACCGTTCGATAAAGATGCGCAGCGTGGCAATGTGGTCAGTACATGACCTGTCTTGGTGGCAATGTGGTCAGTACATGACTTGTCTTGACGAAAACCAGCTTGTTCTTGTCTCAGCTTTTTGTCCAAGGCATCTCTAAGTCTCTCTAGGATGATTCTTGTCAGAACCTTACTTGGAACTGAAAGAAGCATTATCCCTCTCCAGTTGTTGCATTGTGTCAGGTCTCCCTTCTTTGGCAGTTTTATCAGGTATCCCAGTTTCCAGTCAGATGGGATTATCACTTCTTCCCAAATCTGCTTAAGTAGAGGATGTAGTATGTCTGCTGATATGGCTGGGTCTGCTTGGGTGCCTCTGATGGGATGCCGTCCGGGCCAGCTGCTTTGCCATTTTTCATGTTTTTTATTGCTCTTATTGTTTCTAACTTTGTGGGTGGATCTGTACACACATCTAGTAGGTGATTTGCAGGTAGGTGGTATATCGGGGATGTTTGATGTGAGAGGATGGTTTAAACTTATGGAAAAAAAAAACGACACCTACATATCATCTTATGATATGTAGGTGTCGTTTTTTTTTAGACGGAGCGCCTACATTTGGAACAGTTTGGGGCACTTAAGAGTGTTAACCCGACCTTCCAGCAACTACCAGGCAACAAACTAGCCAATACGTTTAATACAGTAAAGCCAGGACTACACGACAGATTTACTAATAGTTCACTAGGAGGAAGCTACACTTAAAGTATCATGAGACTCAATTTTCACCCCACTCCAGGTTTTTGAATATTTTTTTAAAACTTTAATACCACCAGACACCAACACATTGTTTTGTCTTTTCTAAATTTTAAATACTTTTAACAAGAAAATTAGTTTAAAGATTATGTAAGTTGATCACTGGAGGCCAAGTAGTCAGTGTTTCTTCCAGACTTTTTTCTCCGGGGGGGGGGGGCGGTCTACATTTTCCGGGGGTGGGGGGACGAACACTAGTAAAAGTATGTTTACTATATAAGTTCCATCGTGTTCGGGGGGGGGCGTGTAGACTCTGCTAATGTTAAGCCTGAGTTATCCCTTACTTTATAACAGCAGTAGTGACCGCCGTCCTGAGAAGATTTGTCACGACCGGAAGTAGAAGCAGCAGACGACGACCCAGAAAGTCTGAGTATGACCCAATCATCAAACACGTGACGAATGCTGGGACACAAAGAGTCCAGCTTAAGTAGGTCAGCATTTCAGAGGCCTGAGGTTGAAAGAAAACATTCGATAGTAGTAGTACGATAATGAATAGTACGATAATAAAAGGCAAAAAAAAAAACAACAGATAAAACTTACTGTAAGGATAAACCTTATCTGGAAAGAATGTGGCTCGGATATTGAACTATACAAGGGAATCTCCTATCAGTGACGTCATACAAATGCGGTGAGCCGCGTGGGGCGGTACCACCCCTGGTGGTGACGCCACTCATTCTCCAGTAGAGCAGTATATTATAAGTATCCTTTAATAGAGTACAACGCCTGAAGCCCCCATATTTTATATACATTCCCAAAGACCCTAAAGTCCTTCTTCTTTTATTCTTATTCGTTCTTAATTTAAGTGTTGGAAGAGATTCCATTCAACACAATTAAGTATTACGTGACAACCTGTTATGTGCCATATAGGCCGTTGACTCCTATTGCAGCCAGCTTATCTTTTCAAACTGCAAGGCAGCATTTATTTGATTTTTTTAGTAGATCTCTCCTGTATGAAAGACTGTCCCCAGGCTACCGAGGCTCATCTGTCCGAGGGTTCCAACTTGGGACTTTTCGGCTCAGCAATTATGGGACGGAGTGGCCTTGTGGTGGAGCGCTAGACTGCTAACCCGATAGTTTCGAGTTCGAATCCAAGTTCAAGTTAGTGGAACGTCCCTGAGTCCACCCAACGGGTACTCACGTTAGGGAAAGTAAAGGCGGCTGGGCATAGTGCTGTATACATTATCCCTTCATATGCCGAGGTCAAGAAACACTTCATCTGCCAAATGGATCGTTAGGTCAAAACAGGAATCTTTAATAACCATGAGCTTAACCGTCCAACCCACACCGCCCTTGCCTAAAGCCCTGTAGTTGTGTATACTCCCACCACACTATTAAACGGAACCATCACTGTTTGACCCATGATAAGAAAGGAAAATATGTCCATATGCAATATCTATGCACCGGTATGTCAAGGTACTTAAAGATAAACTAGAAAGACATAGTACTCACAGAAGGACATCGTAACGAGAAAAAGATGCATGTAAGTATATTATACGAAGAGAAGGACAAGGTACTTACAGAAAGACTTCACAGATAGAAAATTATGTATGTAGGTATATAACACTAGCAGAAGGACATGGTACTAGCAGAAGGACATGGTACTTACAGAAAGACATGGTACTAGCAGAAGGACATGGTACTTACAGAAGGACATGGTACTAGCAGAAGGACATGGTACTTACACACTGAACAAATGACAACACAGCCAGACACACAGCCCATATAAGGACACGGTTCTCACCTCAGCCTGTACGATGTTGGCATCCATTTGGTTGCTGTCGTTGACTGCGGCGCCACACGGGTTGCTGTCTGTTGAGTTGACAACTAAACCCTTTTCCTCGGACAACCTCTTGACCAGGTACTGGGCCATCAGGACGTCCCTGGCACTGGCGGCAGACCTGCAGACAGGAAGCTTGACATACAGGTGGTCACTCGCACGATACATAGGTTTGGAATTAAAAATTTCATACATAGGTTTGAAATTTTAAAAATTCCAAATTTTAAAATAAGAAGAAACTATTTTTAAATATTTCTCAAGAATTGCTAAACTTATATTATTCTTGTTTTAAATCATCTACCACCGAATTAGTTTTAGCAAAGCTTATTCATGTTCGTAATGAATGTAACCACAGGACAGCTTTGGAGATATTTTTTTTAAAAACACAAATGAGATGGAGATTTGTAAAAAAAAAAAAAAAAAAAAAAAAAAAAAAAAAAAAAAAAAAAAACGATAGGGGTGGCTGTTTAACACCAATTAAGTTGAAACTAATGGGGCACCCCTTATACTGATGGAGCTCCACTGCTTATACAAAATAATTCAACATGAGCGTTTAGAGATAGAGAGACGTGAAGAGACGCTAACACTTGGTAATTTTTTTAAGGTGGGATGTCTTCGAATATATTTTTTTCTGAATTGTGCGGCCAACTCCTTATCCAGCCCACATTCACTTTACCTTGTTGCCCCCTCTTATTCTAGCTTCAATACTAATTAAGTAAAAAACGGGGGGAAAAAAACCCCACCCAAAACAGTAAAGACTCATAAAAGAAATAACGTCACTTACAAGGACAACACTGGTATGACCACTGATGTAATCCTCGCCTTGATGATAGAAAATTCCGGTTTGTTGCCATGGTTACGTTTAGGCAACAGTGGGACTGACTCGTCCTGGATACTCTTTTCTAAATCCATTTTTTTGGTCTGTCTGAAATATATCGATATATATATATATATATATATATATATATATATATATATATATATATATATATATATATATATATATATATATATATATATGTATATATATATATATATATATATATATATATATATGTGTGTATATATATATATATATATATATATATATATATATATATATATATATATATATATATATATATATATATATATATATATATGTGTGTGTGTGTGTGTATTTCTATCTGTGCTTTCTTTTCATTTGTAAATGAATTATGAGTTGGTAATATGGTAAAAGACGGGGGATCGGTGTGTAAAGCAAGTAGAATCTACAATACCATACTATATATATCTACTATAATACAATTTCTGTATCTACCTCTCATAAGTCTACCGCCTCCCCCCCCCCCCCCCCCCCGAACAAAATGAAATTTATATAAACATATATACTTTTAACAGTGCCCCCCCCCCCCCCCCCCCCCCCGGAGAAAAAGTCTGGAAGAAGCACTGGGAAAGATCCATAGGAGAAAGCTCTCTCTTCCCCCATTTCGTCTCCTCCTTCCCTCCCCCATACAGACACACACACACACTTACATACCGTATATTTTCAACGTGCTAATCCCCTAGCCGTGCTAGTTAAAAATAAGAACACACATTTACAGTTATCCGGCTTTTTCGTACCACTTATCAAAGGAAGAAGTAAATCAAAGTATTGAAACGAGATCTTTTCAGTGAACTCCCGAGCTTAGACTTGCTTTAGTTCTTTATTTAGCTTGGGCGTTGAATGATGAATTTATAAGCTTTTATATTCCTCCATATCACAAAGTAATATAGTAATCTAGATCTATGTACAAAACAAACACCATACTGACTATAGGATCTATTATATAAATTATTATTTTAACATTAGCGAACAAAGAGAGAAAAATGTCATACCTGACAAACAAGTCGTCTGCTAGATCTACTGCTGTGTCACATAATCAATAAATGACTGCATGTTTGTCCCTTCAAGCTCAACAACACACAATATAATTTCAGGCAAAACAGGTTTGTACGCCGAAGTAGATTTTTTAAAACGGTGTCGATTGTGTAACTAACGTAACTCGGAAACAACCAATGCTAACCGAGTTACACTTTTTCAAGAGCCGTCACGTGCTGCTGACCTACTTTTTCATTTAAAAGATGTAGGCTGGTGGGTGACGAATCGTTTTTTTTTTAGCTTTATCGATATCTTTTTATTGGTGATTAGATCTAGCTTTTGCCTCCAGATATTTTTTTTAAATAAGTCCTTAACACGTTATTTTATTTAATGACTTTATAAGAAAACGTTCCGAGTTTTAAATCATTTCAAAATATTCGACATGTCAACAAGTCCATCTGCACCTGCCGATCTAGATTCTAGAATTTAAATAATTTAAAATTTTGCTGTAAAGTAAATCATAGGCTTTCTTTTTAAATTTCCGTTTATCTATAAAGTTAACTAGTTCTGAAAATTATCAAAAAAGTATCATTCTCTTTTATGGTTATGAAATGGTCGCATAGTTTCAGCCTTATCTTTGTTACACAAGCGAATGTTTACCAACTGATCCAGGCTACACATGACACGCACACAAGTAAACACTGCAATCACGTGGGACAAGATAGCCAATAACTTTTCTCCTATTCGTGGGTGTGTCGCGATCTGTAAACTTCGGTATGACATCACAGAGGTTGGTAATCATGTGCAGACTACACATGTGTATTTATGTGTACCAAAGTACGCAAGCACTTGAGTTCACTGAAACTAGTAAAACAAAAGAGTAGCAGAAATTTTAAGTAGTCGATATTATTATCGCTTTTCTGGCGTTTGATGTTGGTATTGTTTGGTATTGTCTTCCGATGCAGTGTTTCTTCCAGACTTTTTTCTCCGGGGGGGCACTTGAAATCTTCGGGGGGGCGGTAAACTTTCTCCGGGGGGGCGGACACTGTTAAAAGTATATATTTTCTATATAAATTATATAAATTTCATTTCGTTCGGGGGGGCGGTAAAAAATTTTCGGGGGGGGCTTCGCCCCCCCCCCCCCCCCCCCGAAGAGATGCCTGGAAGAAACTCTGTTCCGATGTTTTACTTTTAAGTATTAAAGAGTTAGAAAATATGAGAAAATAAATATAGGAATTTTCATATTTATAGTTCTGGCTCTCATTAGAGGGGGGGGGGGACCAACATCACACACACACACACCCTCTCCCCCTCCATTATACAGATATTCGACAATGAATATACGAATTAGGTAAGTTAAAAAAAAATTCCTTTCTTTTGTTTGATAACCTCGTGACCATATGACCTACATACCAACAAGTTCACGTGCACTAGATTCTATATTTAGAAAGAAAACACTTCCGTTGCGGGATGAAGAAATATATATGTATTAAACATCTCTCGTTGTGTACACGATTGTTTTAACATTAAGACAACAGCACAATCTGAAATACATAAGAGTGCCTCATGTTTAGTATGTTGTTAACAAGTGTAGGCTATCTTACTAAGTTTTGCGCCCCATATCGTTCTTTAAAGTTTGTAGCCTACTTAGTAGTTTGTGTCTTTATAGCGTTATTGTTGGTAGTTACACAGAAGTTAGCGCCGTATGTTATATACAATTAGCTTGTAGATCTAGCTCGGAGGTACAGTTGTATATTCCATGGTGTCACTAGGGGGGGGGGCGCGGTGTGGTCCGCACTAGATGACAGCAACTTTAGTGGTGACACTAAATTTAAATTGTAAAATTTACAGTTAAAATAATGTTTTATCCAACAAAAAATCATTAATTAATTAAAAAGTAGAACAGTGTGGTGACATCAATCTGAAAATGCCAAATTGTAGGTGGGGGTGGGGTGACACCCTGGGTTATCGCACCTGGTGACACCCGAACTGGTGATGCCACTGCGTACATTAACTCGCTGTCTGGTAGGTACATTTCAGTAGCGTCACAAGGCGGGGGTGGATGTGCCCCCATCCAAGGAGGTAACACCATACAAAGAGGGACACCATCCAAGGAGGTAACACAACACCATACAAGGAGGTAACACCATACAAAGAGGGACACCATACAAGGAGGTAACACAACACCATACAAGGAGGTAACACCATACAAGGAGGTAACACCATACAAAGAGGTAACACCATACAAGGAGGTGACACCATACAAATTGGTGACACCATACAAAGAGGTAACACCATACAAGGAGGTGACACAATATAAAGAGGTGACACCATACAAAGTGGTGACACCATATAAAGAGGTGACACCATACAAGGAGGTGACACCATATAAAGAGGTGACACCATACAAAGTGGTGACACCATATAAAGAGGTGACACCAAAACGAAAACAAATTGTCCGCTTTAATAAGATCAGCTTTTTCTAGTTGATTGAACTATTTGCCAAAGCGATAGACAAGTTTAAGGATAGAGCGACAACTTCAAAGATTTACTAGTTTTAAGTTCACCCTATTTCAAGTCGTTTGAAAGTGACAAAAACACCTCAGGGGATGTCACCCGTCTAGTGACGCCATTGATACGATCGATCATTGACTCGATATCAGCTGGAGTCTGGTCTAGATCTAATATAGGCCATACTGTATATTGATAGATGTCATTCTTGCTTTGTGTTCATAATCCATATTTCAGAGTCCATATTGTCTGCGACCATTGTGTCGTGTAGTGGGTCCTTTTACACATTTTAAATATCGGTTATTGTGATGTGCTTGGTGGGAGAGGGGGGAGCTAAATGAAAACAACGTATTCGTGATGAGGGTTGGTTGAGTTAAGAATCTACAAGAAGATTTAGGTGGATCTTCGCCTTCTAAAGTACACTCTAGTCCAGGGGTCTCCAAACTTTTCAGTCCGAGGGCCGCATTAACTATCAAATTTCAGTTCGGGGGCCAGTTTCTTCCAGACATGTCTTTGATTTTTCTGGGCAAAGTTCCTCAGCCATCATCAACAAACGATTTTTCCTTGGACAAAAAGATCTCCGCGGGCCGGATGAGAGGACTTCGCGGGCCGCATCCGGCCCGCGGGCCGTAGTTTGGAGACCCCTGCTCTAGTCGATCAGAATGTACGACATATTGTTCTATAATCCGGGTGTATGTGGTATTATTATGCAGGTTGGGTTTTAATTATACCGTGTTGTTTTAGTATATGTGTTGTGTGTAGTGTATGTGATGTTTTAGTGTATGTAATGTCTTTATAAGTCGTACCCAAGTTTTCCAACAGTATGATTTAAACGAGTCATCTTTCATGTACGTGCGAGTTAAAATATTACTTGCACTTTAAAACTCTATAAGAACATGAATAGCATTTTAGTTTCTACATGTTCTACCGATTTTAATAAGTCAAAAGAAAATAGTTTTTTTAGTTATTATTTTTTTTTATTATCGCATACATCGGTCTCAGTTTAAATATATTTTCTTGCAAAGGTTGACCTAAAATTTCTCTGCAATTCTATTTTTGTTTATACAACTGATTTATTGATATTGCATAATTTTTTCCTTGTATCCAACCGTTATAAAAGGCATAATGATAGTTCAAAGGTATTTCTCCTGGCGTGTGGGGTCAGGGTGTGGCAGCTCTCATCCCCCGGGATCAGGTACGTGCCATTTCTCAGCCTCTGTTCAACTCACAGACTCTGGAACATTCGATCTGGTTCTCAAACAGGTTGGTGCCGACCCCGTACTGGGTGGAGCAGGTCAGGTAGACAGCGACCTTGACACAGGCTTGGCTCTGGTAGTCGTACGTGTACCTGTACGTCGTGTACTGCTCACCTGGACTGGCGCGACACCTGGTGGCCAGGAACCCGCAGTGTTCTGGGGAGAGATCGATTCATCGATACGGTCAAGTTATTGATTTAACGCATGGCGGGATGCTAGTAGGTCATAGTGCTATGTGTAAAATACTACATAATGTTAAATTTAATATATTACATAATGTTATATATAACATATTACATAATGGTATATGTAACATATTACGTGATGTTATATATATATATATATATATATATATATATATATATATATATATATATATATATATATATATATATATATATATATATATATATATATATATATATATATATATATATATTTATATATGTGTGCGGCACTTAAAGGTGTCACCCCCAGAGGCGTAGCGACAAATTTTCGAATTACACCCCCCCCCCCCTCAAACTTTCGATTTGCACCCCCTACCCCCTCAAGTTTTCGATTTGCACCCCCCCCCCCCCCTCAAACGTTCGATTTGCATCCCCCCTCAAGTTTTTCTCTATATATTTTGCTATTTTTTGCCTTGGTGTCACCCCCCCTAAATGGTGTCACCCGGTGCGGTCCGCCCCCCCCCCTCACTACGCCTCTGCATATAATCAAGCTGTTCTATAAGGGTCATTTTTAGGGGGGTTGGGTCGATTTATAGCTTTTTCAGTCTTTAAAAAACACGTAAGATCTCTTCTAATGTACAATGGCGTAGCTAGGATAATATAGGCATGCTGTCGGTGCCCCTAAAGTAAACGTCAACAGCAGCAAAGTCGACAGAGGATGACTTTTACAACAGATGTGTGCGGCATGCTAGGCTCCACTCCACCCCACGCCAGAGGGCACCCCCCCACCCCCCTCCCCTGGCCTGCAACTGCTCATCCGTATTTTACATTAATCTTTTAATCCTTCAAACAATTAGCGATATAATTATAAAGTATGACTAAGCTAATGTCACACCTGTCGAATGGCGGCAATATTGTAACCTTTGTTCTAGCTCATTTTTGTCTGGTCTACAAAACATAGAACTTTTCGATTCTTGTCTAGCAAGGGACACGCGTAAATACAGCTGCAGTAGAAAATCAAAGACTAGACATTACGCTAAAGTTTAATTTAATTAATCAAAACAACAGCATAAGACAGGGAAACATCGAGTTTGTTAAGACAAAGGCATTGTGTTCATTATGTTGTCAGATCCTTCAGTTATTTTTGGAAGCCGCCTATGACTACATCATTGAGGTTAAATTAGGTCACCGTGTACACATAACGCGTGATCAACACGAGTTATTGTTCTTTGTGTGTTAACAAATAGTTAACACGGCCATCAAAACCTGTCTACTTGTAGGTGACAAGCACTTCACAAATCACAATCTATAACATTTTGGTATTACACTTAGCGTCTTAAAACGATGGGGGGGGGGGGGGGGGCGGGGTGCGGCAAACTAAATATTGGGCTATTATTATGTAGTTTATTTACGATTTGAGTAATAGGTTGCCTGCTGTTGTTCTTTTTCTTCTTCGTTCATAATTATAATGTTGGGCGTGATTACCTCCAACACAATTAAGTATTACTGTTTAACTTGTTAGGCGCCTCATAAGCCTGCTTTTCTTTTTGGCTATGCTTCCATAACCTTTGTCCATCCAGAAACAAACTACAAAACAGCAGTACATTGTTTGAATTTGGAGTTGTCTCTCCTACATAGGGTGCTGTCCCCAGGGATTGAGCCTCATCTGCCCGGGGGTTCTAATTTGGTACTTTTTGATTAAGCAACCATGAGCTTTACCGACCTGACCACGCCAACCCATGTGTGTTGTGGCTTGACTTTCAATCCAGGGGTCCCTGGTTCGAGTACCAGTCACACAAGGCATGTACGTCACAACGGAGCGGTTGAGTTAAAGTAGATAGGTAGTCGGTTCAAATGGCCAACATGTTTACATCATGTATTCCAGGAAAAAATAAAACAGGAACACAATGCGTGTAGTCCGCGGGTTCTTGTTAACGTTAATCAACAATATTCAATTTGAAATCAAACAGGTTATGTTGAGTTACCTTTTCCTGGCACTTGACCCGCGGTCTGACCCCCGCTTCCATAGCGCCCGCCCCCGATGAGACGACCTCCGATGTGTCCACGTGAGACACAGGACGTTCGACCAAACTCTCTCTGGCACACAGTTCCGGCTGGACAGTTCTGGAATATTCCGTGGAAAAAGTAAAATTGAAGAAAATGTTGTTTTTATATTTAAATGTTAGATCGTGTTCACTAAACAACCATGGGAAACAACTTTTAAAAACATTCTAAAGATGTCATTTTCCATATCTTCCCCGTGGCCAATATATTCCATAAGTTCCAATTTTCAATGTTTTCAATGTTTGACGTATTCCCCATGTCCCATATGTTCCCAATGTCCCATATGTTCCCCATGTCCCATATATTCCATATGACCCATATGATCCCCATTACCCATATGTTCCCCATGTCCCATATGTTCCCCATAACCCATATGTTCCCCATTACCCATATGTTCCCCATGTCCCATATATTCCATATGACCCATATGTTCCCCATGTCCCATATATTCCATATGACCCATATGTTCCCTATGTTCCTTAAGGTCTACTTGTTCCCCATGCTACCCACATCTACTTACACAGTTGTGGTCAGTGTCTAGACTTGTGTAATCAAACTGACCACACTCGCAGCCCGCTACGTGGTTCTGGTTGATCCTGTGAGCGGTGTAGCAACGGTCATAGCAGTTGCCATAGTTACTGCAACACAGACATCAAATCAAAGGAATTTTTAAAATGAATTTTAAAATTTTAAGCATTTTCAAAAACCATTTATGATGATGTTTAGTGTGAATTTTCCTATTTTAAATCAGATGAATCATTTTCATGAATTTCTGGGCGCTACGGTATATGAAGAGATTTTGTGGGCAGTAATTAGTTACTACTCATTGATTAATCCTATTAAATGTTTCATTCACTTACACGTTTCCTGCCAAACCGCTTATAAAATCTTGTCCTACCTGAAATAGAGAATTAAAATTGTGTGTTCGTAGATCTATTGTCAGTAGCTCCGCAGCTTATTACTATTAGTATCGTTTAAATGTCGACCACCAACAAAAATAAAGACAATTTATAAATACAATTTTTAAAAAAAATCTGAGCTATAATCCTTCTTTTGAAAAAATTGTGGTCAAGGGGAAGTAACAATTAAATATTTCCACGCAGTAACAAGCAGAAAGAAACGTAACTCCGTTAATCTTTAATTTATAAAGAATTTGTATTGTTACCTCCCTTAGACTACAATAAATATTTCCACGCAGTAACAAGCTCAAAGGATAAAACTGCAAGTAGATATTGTCACCTCCCATAGACAACAAATAAGTATTTGCACGCAGTGACAAGAAGGAAGGGTAATAACTCTGCAAATCTTTAACGTCTAAAGTATTTATAGTGTTACCTCCCATTGACCACAAATTAAATTTTTTGTTTTTTTTATTTTAAAATTGACTTTTTTATGAATAATAAAAATTAATTAAACAAAACACAGGTTTTTATAAAAAGGAAAAAAAAAATTAATAAAATTTTTGAATAATGGGTTGGAACACTCGAAAACTTCATTCAATACGCTATGACATTGTTATGTCAATTACATTACTTTATGAAACATATTATACATTTTACACTATCAATATAATTTACACTAGCTAAATCTAGGCCCTACAATTTTTTATATTTTTTTTAAAGCTTCTCAAATTAACTACTAAAATAAATCTAATTTTATCTGATGCCTGTTGATTAAATTTTAGTTTGAATATTAGTTGATATTTTAGCGCTTGAGGTTTTTGTTATTGATGTGACGTAAGGAATCTTGAAAATAATATGTAACAAAACATAATGAACACATACCCTATAAACCCACTTCCCTATTACAAATAACGCTAAGTAACATTTTAAAACACCTTCCCCCTCAAATAATTTAACAATTCTGTGACATTACTCCTAATGACCTTTAAACGGAAAAGTTAAGTCGAAAACCAATTTATTATTTTCTAGCAGCTAGACTAAAATATGTACATCAACATACCCGGGGGTCACTAAACTATGTGTAATATTTACATCAACATACCCGTGGGTCACGTGCTAGTCTGACCTCAGTGACCTCCTGTTGTGAAGATTGAGAAACTGAAAGATACCCAATATAAATGTCCTTGTTGATTTAACTCAAACATAACCAAATAGAAACGTTTTAAATAAATTAAATAAAATATATTGATAAAAACAACATGTTTTGTTTATTTAACTAAAAAACAACAAAATAAAAATATTCTTAACCGTCCAAAGAAATAAAATGTTGGATTAAATAATAGCACACAAGACGTCCCCGACATAGGTAAAGCTGTTATTTAAATGATAACAAGAAAAAAACAAATGCATCTTCTCGCCCATCTAAATTAAAACCCAGGAGATAAATAATCTCAACCATAACCATGATATAGGCTTATAATTAGTCTATAAGACTAGCGTGGCACTCTTTTAATACACATTTGGTTCCCGAAAATTTCACAATTACTGTATTAACAATTCACAAGACACATTTTTATTTTCAACTTTTTAAACTGGTTTTAATGGCAACCAAAAACATATCAAATTGTCAAACCTAAATTAATAAGCACAGTCCGGCCAAAGCTATGTTAAAGTTCAACATATTTTCACTGAGCACACAAAAATGTCAGCATTTTTAAAAAATCAACAGTTCTACTCACCACACACGAGAACGCCCAAGAGAAGAAGTTTCATCGTTTTGTTTTTGTTTTTGTAACCAGTACCTGTTTAATGTAGCATTCGTTAAATGTTAAACTTATGAGGGTGGGTTTATTATATTGGCTTAGATTATGTGCAATGGCTTGTCTATTTTACCTTATGTATGCAGATTATGTGCAATGGCTTGTCTATGTTACCTTATGTATGTAGATTATGTGCAATGGCTTGTCTATGTTACCTTATGTATGTAGATTATGTGCAATGGCTCGTCTATGTTAGTTTATATATGTAGATAATGTGCAATGGCTCGTCTATGTTAGTTTATGTATGTAGATTTTGTTCAATGTTTCGTCTATGTTAGCTTATGTATGTAGATTATGTGCAATGGCTCGTCTATGTTAGTTTATGTATGTAGATTATGTACATTAGCTTGAGTGCTCATCTTACACATTTTGACAATAAGACAACAAAAAACTGTCACTTAACCTGAATGTGCTTGTACGTTTCCTCCTCTATTTCTTTCCATTGATAACGAGGCTCGCTAATCACACTAATTACAAACTCGCCTGAGGCTAACTCCACCGACCTTAATGACCAAACGGCCTTACCTTAACCCAAAACCGTGATGTAGCATAGTGGCAACATGCGTACATCGTAAAACTATTCAGTCACGGAGGTCTATTAAAAATTGTGCCTGTAGCTCTTCGTGTGGCAAACATCATACTAAATAAAATGCTTATCTTCTTGTGTTTCGATGTTTTCATTAGAAATAAGACTACAATGATAAACGTAATGTTTTGTCTAGTAAAGTATGTGATGTGATGTTATTAGAGACTTCTTATGAATACCAATAGAAAGTTAGTATTTCCTTGACCTATATTTTATACACTCATTAACTTCCTGTCGGCAGAGTTGTTTTTCCTTGTTTATTGTTGAGAAACATTTCACATTAACAGGATTCTCCATGGAAATTTCATTTCATTTCTGCCTGATAATCTTTCCATTGAATTAATGTGTTAACGTGAACATTTCTATGGTGGTTTACCAAGTATTAGTTTAAAAAAAAAAGTTTTACATTTAAATTTGTTCTTATCCGCCCTACCCGAACCACTACATTAGTGTGTGATCATTAGAGGTGGGAGGAGGACGGGGTAGAGGCTCGCATCCCCCCCCCCCCCGTTCATATCACGCCTCAGAGTCCTACGTCTGAGAATGGAACCTGTATATGCTTACACTGGAGCTACAACATCAGTTTGCTAAAAATAAAATACAGGAACTCTACTTCCCCAGCCCTACATCACCACCATCCTCCTCCTAAACAGGTTTAAATATTTTTTTTATTTCGAGAATTCGTAATTAACTATTAGTTTGTTCATTAATTAAATAATGCCTGAATCGGTTCAATGCTATAATGGGAAAGACGAATTAACTTAATTAATGTGTGTATGTAACCCTACAGTGTATCGCTAATAGATAAAAATTCGCTGCGTACGTAAAAGAAAAACTTACCCTAACTTAAACCCAAAACGTCGACACTAGATTGGATCGAACCTGTGTCCTGATCAAATTTTAGTTCCTACTGATTTCACCTAGTGCCGAAACTTGTATATCAAAACATGAAAACAGAGATCAATTTTTTTCTTAGCTGGTGGGATCGGTAGAGCCCTGGGAGGGAAATCTTGATCTATGACCTGTCAGGTTGGGTGACATCAGCGACAAGGGCGTCACTTAAGTGGGGCGAGGGAGGGGGCGGGGGTGAACCCGAGTACTAAAGCGGTCACGTGTTTTCGAATAAATTTTCTTTAAAAATGTTTGATGTTTTAGAATTGCTTTAACTCAGAAAAATAACTTTTAAAAGAGAAGGTGATGGGGTGGGGGTGGTGAATAATTATTAAGTTTGGTTTTTTATCGAATAAATCAAATTATTTCCTTTAATTTTATCATCTGCTCTAGTTTCAAGTATACCATGTTATAATTTACTAGCTTATAATATAGTCGATTATAATTTACTAGCTTATAATGTAGTCGATTATAATTTACTAGCTTATAATGTAGTCGATTATAATTTACTAGCTTATAATGTAGTCGATTATAATTTACTAGCTTATAATGTAGTCGATTATAATTGACTAGCTTATAAAGCAGTCGATTATAAAGTACTGATTTAGTCAATTATCATTTACTAATGTAGTAGATTACAATCTACTAGTTCCTAATGTGGTAGATTATAATGTACTAGGTTATAATGAAGTAGATTATTGTGTACAATGTTATGATGAAGATGATTATTGTATAAAGATTATAATGTTGCAATTTACTAAGGTATAATGTAAGGTCTTGTAATTTGACTACTTCTGTGCTGTGATTTAACTAACTGATCACCAATCACTTACTACCTAGTGTGAAACAAGCAGTATATCACTAGCCGTGTGTAGGGGCACGATGACGTCATGCATAGGGTGACGTCACTCATTGATGAGACTCTACTTAGAGAAAGGTGAGGTTCTTTGCGGTTGTTATTTATTTTTAAACTGATGATGTAGGCTTTTACAATAACCAGAGTTTTGTATTTAAATTAATAAAACATACTTCAAACCAGTTTTAGCTCAACCAAATAAATGAAACAAAAATTAATTTCAAAATGAACTTAAATAAAGTCACCCTCTCGGACTTAGTGATACTTAAATAAATCTTTAAGAATTTTTACTCCAATACGTCCTTCATCATCTTTGCATAACAGTAACGCTGTTAGCTAATCTCGACATTTCTTTTTTTAACAATAAAAACATTTTAGCGAAACAATTGTACACAACAACAAAAAAAAAAAACGAAAAAAAAATAAAAATTATGACTTTATTGAATATATTTGAACAAAATTTCAGTAGCCTCCCTTGATTGCCTGACAGGTTCTAAGACACTCCTGTTGGCTGGGGAAGATGTTGCTGGACACGCCCACCTGGTAGCTGCAGGAGCTGTAGACGGAGACCTTGACACAGTTCTGGAGCTGGTAGTCGAAGGTGAACCTGACCACCGTGTTGTAGTCCCCTGGGTTAGCCCGGCAGGTGGCCGACAGGTAGCCACAGTGACCTGCAGGGGAAAGGTCAACCACATAAAAAATAACTTTAGATCTAAACACTATGCTACATTTGTACTTTCATTTCACGTATCCCATTATTACAAGTACACACAAAGGAATATATATATATATATATATATATATATATATATATATATATATATATATATATATATATATATATATATATATATATATATATGTGTGTGTGTGTGTGTGTATATATATATATATATATATATATATATATATATATATACACACACACACACACATATATATATATATTTTTTTTTTTTATTTATCTATAAACTACATTAGCTGCTACTACACATTTCTATAATACATAAGATGTTTTGTCTCACCTTCCCTGATTGGCTGACCCTTGACCGGACCACCAATGGGACCTTGGGTAAAGTCGTACTGGACACAGTTGCACCCAGTGACCAGATACCTGTTGGGGTTGACCTGGTAAGCGCTGTAGCAACGGTCGTAGCAGTTGCCTTGGTTACTGAGGAAGATTTGTGCTTACGGTAAGCCATTTTTAGAATGCTGCGTTTAAAATGTGTATATATAATGCATTTAACATGTTTATATATATATGTTATTATTGTATCAATATGAATCGGCGTGGTCGAATGGTAGAGCATGTGACTGCTAACTCGAAAGTCTCGTGTTCGAATCCGTGTTCAAGCTAGTCCCAGAGTCCTCCCAGCTCTGATGTTTACCTGACTCACGTTAAGGAAACCAATGGCGGCTGGACATATTTCCTATCACACTAACCCTTAATATGGCGAGGTCACAAACATAGTTGGTCTACTTCGCTTGTCAGGTTCAAAAAGGTACTGACATATATCAATATTCTTATCAGACACAGAGTTCATTGTCTTGGAATATGCTTTTTAAACTTGATTCTAAGCAAAGTGCATTCAACATTTTTAAAGGTAGTTTTTGCAGTTTAAAACACTACAAAGATAACTATCATGTGGGCTTGCTAGACAATATTTTTTAAATAAATAAACTCGTTACTATTTCGCTGTAGAGTAACAAAAGAAAAAAAAAAACTTACATGTTACCTACTAGGCCATCAACATAACCCTGAAACACATCAAGTTTGGATTATCGTATTAAACATCAAGCTTGGGTTATCGTATTAAACATCGAGTTTGGATTATCGTATTAAACATCGAGTTTGGGTTAGCTTTTTAACCATTAAGTTTTGGATTAGCGTTTCAACTTTATTCTAAAACATTGTGGTATCAATTTGACAACAATCGCTTTGGTGAACTCAGAGCTTGAACTCATTTTTTATGACGCATCATTTAAGACACATTACATTCATCATTTTTAGCTCTTTAAGAAACCTACAGTTTTTACAGCTATGCATATAAATTCTGGAGGTAAAAATATAAGTTAAATTAACTCACGGGTTGTTGAAAGGAAGGGGCGGCTGGAAAGAAAAATATATAAAAATATTTTTTTAATACATGACACTAATAGAAAGCAATGTATTAAATTTACAAATATATTTTAACGAAACAAACCTGGTTGTAGTGAGAGAGTTTTACTTACCAAGTGCCAACAGAAACGCGCACACAGCAAGGAAAACCATTTTCAGTCGATCGGTCTGTCAGTAGATTCTATTTTAAAATTTGTAATTTTTGCGAAGGTTAGAAAAAGAAGTATACAACTTGTTAAATACTAAATTTAAAAAATTTGATTGACTTGGTGCAAACTGCTGAGGCTTGAGAGATGTACAAACCAAGAAAAATTTTACAGCGGCTTCTTGCGTTTAACCATGGACATATATTTTGTTCAAATGTTTAGTTTACTGAGTACGGAGTAAACATTTTCTCCTGAGGTTGAAACACAACTGACGTAATTAGAAACTAAATTATCCTAAATTTGAAACCACATTGTCAGAAATTTAAAACTAAATCATCTCTTTTTTAAAATCAAAATGTTCCTAATTTAAAAATAAATAATCCCTAATTTAAAATTTGAAACGAAACTGCACCTAAATTGAAACCAAAATGTTTCTAGTTTAAAGCCATATTGTTTATTTCTATTGTTTATTTTTATACACTAGTAAGCGTTAATGACAAATAACTGCTCTAAATGAGACCGATGTTCCTGAATAGCCTACAAGAAAGTGCATGAAATTAAACATTGAATGAAGTACCAAACCGGCATCTCTCACCTGTAGACTTGACGCTTGTAAAAATCTGGCCTGTCCTGTGTGAAGATCTCCCAAGAACTGGACAAGTTTTATACTGCCAGCAACTGTCACAAGGAAACGGGACACGATTTCCTGTTCTGGGATTGGTCAAGATGGACATGGATCCGGGTCAAACGGTCATGGCACTTGACGAATTATTTGCTAGAGGTTTCTGCAAAAACTTACAATAAGGGCAAACGTTGGGGGGAAAAAACTTGACTTAATTCAAATGCAGGGTTGTGAAGTGCAAAAACAGATATAAAATGAGGGTGGGGATAAATGTGCAAGGGGGGGGGGTGAGGGTGTGTGTGGTTAGTTAGTTTCCTGACAGCTATTTTTGTAAGCAAAAGTTTGGGAACATTTTTAAAAAAAAACAACAATAATTTGCACTAGGATGACATCTCTGATAAAAATATTTTAATATCACTGTAAGAACAGCTGTAAAACAAGGGTGGGGACAAATGTGCAAATACTTTGTGGGGGGGGGGGGGAGGGTGAATCTAGTTAATTTCCTGACAGCTAGCTTTGTAATCAAAACCTTAAGGTCATTTTGCACTAGGATGACATCTCAGTAAAAACAGCTGTAAATCAAACGTGGAAATAAAATAATTGCAGGGGCATGGGGGGGGGGGTAGTTAAGGTTAGTTAGTTTCCTGGAAGCTAACTTTGTAAATAAAACATTTGTTGTTTGAATTGCACTTGGGTAACATCTCGATTCTAATATGTTGATATTACCGCTACATTCTAAATACATTCTATCTTCCATTAAGTGTTAAACCCATTGAATGCCATCGACAAAACTATTTCTTCTTGTATATTAGTGATCAGTCAGTGTTAGCAGCTGAGTTTAACTATTGTGTGGCTCAAAAGCAGGGGTCTCCAAACTACGGCAGCGGGCCGATGCGGCCCGCAAGGTCCTCTCATCCGGCCCGCGGAGATCTTTTTGTCCACGAAAAAAATGTCTGTTGGAGGTGGCTGAGGAACTTTGCCCACAAAATTAAAAACAATTGGAAAATATAGCTTTGGGTGCAAATACCTTTGCCCACCGTGTTGCAGACATTGGTGAAAACGTCGTGACTCAAATAGCGAAAAATGCAAGCACGTTTCGCAATTTTTTAATTGTAATGGATGAGTCGCTGGACAGCTCAACTGCTTATGTTCATTAGGGGCGTGGATGAAGACATAAACATGACACAAGTGCTGGCTTCCCTACATAATATGTATGGCACTGTTACCGGAGAGGATATATTGAATAATTTAAAGAAAACATTTTCTGATTATAACTTGGACTGGACTAACCTCAGTTACCTGACTGTTGATGGGGAAAAGGATATTAGTGGCATAAAGAAAGGCTTGGTTGGACAAGCGAATGAGAAAAATATTCTACAACCAATGCTCCTGCACTCTATTATTCATCAGCAAGCTTTGTGTGCTAAATATAAGGACATTAGCAGTGTACAGAATCCTGCGGTGAAGATGGCGAATTTAATAAGATCACATGGGCTCGACCATAGATATAGAATACGTGAAGAATAATTTGAGAGCAAAATTAGACCTCGAGTGTGTTGTCGGCCCCCGACAGTGTTTCTTTCAGATTTTTTTCTCTGGGGGGGGGGGGCGGTACTTGAACTTTGTATATATTTGTATATAAATTATATTCTGTTGGGGGGGGGGGGGGGGGCGAGCGGTAGATGTTTTTTTGGGTGGGGGCTCCGTAACACCGAAGATATGCCGTGAGGAAACTCTGGCCCCCGAACTGATATTTGATAGTCAATGCGGCCCTCGGTCTGAAAAATTTGAAGACCCATGCTCTAAAGTAAGAGGTGAGACACTAAGTAGGTTCTGTGATTGTGAATTTTTTCGACTGAACTAAGAAAGCCTTTGTAGAAATCAAAGCAAGTAAATAATATTAAAGCTGCACTAAACGTCAATTTTGTACACACACGATTACTACAGTCTTGATTACTACGTGAAAGCAAAAGTAATGAAACCTGAATATTTTACGAAAAAAAAAATAAGCAACTGTTCTCACATAAAACGATCATCCTTGAATATAATTGATGAAGAATCAATTATATGATTAAAAACAAAAGCGTTAATCACAAAAGTTAAGTTTGAAATGTGCGGTTAATCTTTTAGTGTATATAAATAGAAAATATAGAGTATTTTCTTATACGTTAATTACAGAGTATACTTGCCTATGTACATAGTTACATACACATTCGCACACACGAACATATATATATATATATATATATATATATATATTTATATATATATATATATATATATATATATATATATATATATATATATATATACAAGATTATCAAGCTTTTCTTTAACTCGATTGCTCAAGCTTTCTTTACGTTTTGTCATGGATACGCTGAAAATTTCTCTTAAGTCAACAGAACCGAGTTATTTGAACTTCAAACGTAGGTAAAGTTTTACATAAGTTTTTTTTAAATTTAGCCCTACAATACAATGGCATCACAAAGACAATAGCTAGCAATTGGTTGTTAGCTAAAGATTTATAAGAGGACAAGACTGATTTTAGAAACTAAATTTCTTTTCAAGCATAACCCTAACCAACACTGATAAACGACAACATAATACACCATTTATAAAACACCATTTATAAAACACCATTTATAAAACACCATTTATAAAACACCATTTATAAAACACCATTTATTAAACACCATTTATAAAACACCATTTATAAAACACCATTTATAAAACACCATTTATAAAACACCATTTATAAAACACCATTTATAAAACACCATTTATAAACACCATTTATAAAACACCATTTATAAAACACCATTTATAAAACACCATTTATAAAACACCATTTATAAAAAACCATTTATAAAACACCATAATTTATAAAACACCAGTTAAAAGCCTTGCTGGTACCTGGGCTGCTCTCGCACGTGATATTAATTAAACCGGTGTTAATTTTCTGGCCGAACAGGTGGACACCGACAGGTGGGCTATGGATGGTGTCCTCTGACAGGTAAACTCTGACAGGTGGAGCGTCCTGTGTTTGATGACCCTCAGTAGCCAGAGCATTCAGATACGGTGGAAAGTTGTGTTTTCTCCCGTTTCTCACAGATAGATCCTGGCTGTTGCGCTACATAGTAACATATTATTTTTGCATAAGTATATTATTATATACCTTCTTTTTCACAAACATGATATATAATAATAATAAATTATCAATATATACTTTTTTTCACAAATATATAGGTATATATATATATATATATATATATATATATATATATATATATATATATATATATATATATATATATATATATATATATAATTTCTCGGAACATTTTTTTAAGGAACACAGTTACAGCCATATAATCTAATATATGCTAATTCGTGATGCATGTAACACACGTACATCACATAATCATCCAACCCCTTCTACCCCGATATAACGTTGTATAATGACGTTACCTCAAACCAGCCCACCTTATATAACACGACTAGTTACCATTGTAGGAACACTAAGGCCTCAACACAATTTACTCCTGGAAACTTTTTGTATGAGACTTAGATTTTAGAGAGAAAAAAAAACAACTAATTATTAGAAGCAGTGAGGTATCGTATTGGTAAAGAAGAAGTTATATATAGAGGTTAGTTGTGTTTAACACACACACCCAGCTGTTCAAAATTGCAGTTTGCAATTTAATATCAATCAAGTGAAACCAGTGTTGCATTTTAGCCAAGCTTATCAACAGTCTGTTCCCATGTTTTCGTTCGTTTAGAATATTTGAGCGGTCAATGCCATGATGTTTAATAGAGCAGGATTATTAATGATGACGTTTCGCGTGTAAGGTTAAAATATTTTTCATGTACTGCTGTCAGTAAAATGGCACAAAATGAAAATTTGTCAATTTTTTTTTTATAAATAAATGAGACGGAACTAGGTCAAGGTCAATTAAAACTGGATCCATCAAAGTCAAACAAAATAAATTGTACTTGAAAGTTCAAAGGTTAATTGACTGCAGGCAAATCTTAAAAATAAATAAACAATTTGGACTGCATTAACACTATGAGAAAATATATCTAAATAACCAATTTAAGAAGTTTATCCTTGACAAATGTAAACCTTATTTTGAAAACTTTCATGACGAATGTTAAACCATCTCTGTAGACTATTCTTGACCCGCGGTGTATTATTAGCTTTTTATCCCACGTGATCATTACAACAATAAACAAGACAAAACAAACTTCAATATAAAAAACACAAAAGCTGCCTAGATTCAGCTACCCACTCTAGAGACAGCTCTCTGGTTCATATTCAAACGCCTACTTAAAAAAAACAGCTGCCTACATTTAAAACAGCCGTCCATTATAATTACTGCTGCCCACTATGAGGAAAGTTGCCCAAAGCCACCCGCCTACTATGTATGTATAATTTATAAAATTATTTGCCTACCTGTCTTTTTCATAAGTAATAGATTTCTTTTGGAATGGGTAATAATAGTCAAAACACTTTTTTCTGAAATATTATCTCAGGTAAAGTGTCTAATATATTCTGAGAGTATTGTATTACTATCCTATTTTAAGTAACAGCGCTCTGTATTATATGAAAAGAATTCCTTGGGTAGAAAATTCACACAAAGATTTTCTCAAACTCCTGAAGCTTAATTATCATATTAGTATTATATTAGTTAAAAACGTTTTCACCCGTATTTTGAAAGCTATTTATGTTATTCTAATGCAGGGGTTCCCAACCCTCTGCCCGCGGGCGCCATGGCGCCCGCTGAACGGTTCGTATGTGCCCTCCTCTCACTATTTGACAGAGACAGAATTTTTTTCATAAACATTTTAAAATATGATCTATTTTTATTCATTTGTTACTGTTTTAATTTTTTTTTTGACTGCCTAGGTTTATTAAATATGTTCGATACTTGTCCCAACTTGTCTAGCGGCGGGCCAGACTGCACTATCTAGTAACTATTTACGTTTTGTAAATACATTTCTCTGTGTGTATGCAATTTGAAAAAAATGCCAAATAATTTTATTATTTTGAAACATTTTTATTATTTATTAATACATTATGACTATAAGAAAATAAGAAAATAAATTATGGGAAAATGACAAGTTATGGAAGGAGTTTGTCGATTTAAAATAGGTGGTGCCCGCCACCCTCCCGATATTTTAGAATGTGGTCTAGAGTAAAAATAAAGGTTGGGAACCCCTGTTCTAATGGGTTGCAAGTTTTAAAGATCAACCTTTTTTTCGAACACGAATTAGCAAAACAAAATGAAATCACAAGTCGATTCGTCGCTACAGTGATGTTATTAAATGTTGTGTCCAGAGATATGACATTAATATTTCATATTATGTAACATGAAATATAAGCAATCTTGTATATATTATGTTAACAATATTTATTTTTATTTAACAGCTGTCTGTGTCTCCTCAGTTGATTCACTTCTCCCATTTGGATATTTGTGCAAAGTGTTTATGGCGTAAAAAAAACATTCTGACTTTTACTACATTTTCTAAATATGGCGACTACATAATGAAAGAAAAACAGCAAAGTCTAGTCGGATTAACTATTATTTATTTACTAAACTAGTACTTGAACAAATACACGTGCAATGATAGAAACAGATCAATCACTGAAAAAAATACTTTCTCTAAAACATATTTTTTCTGATGTGTAACAAACAAAAAAATTCTTACACACTAAATTAAACCCTATCATACAATTTAACCATGCAGTCAAGGGTGCATTTTCTGCTAGACAATTAAACTACACCTAGTTTTAAATTAAGTACAAAAAACTAAATTTACATACAATTTTCTGACAGAAACAACTACTAAAATAAACAATTTTCTGTTTTCACAAATAAACAAAATGTTCACTTATTCATAAACGATTTTACTTTGAAAATTCTTTTTTTTTTTCAGAAAAGGCCATTTTATTTTTAAAAGAGCATTTTTATTAAAAATTAGTTGTTTGTTTTTAGATTAAATCTTCAAAATATTTTATCAAAGTGTTGGGATTGTGACGATCCTTTAATACTTCCTGTTGTTGTACTCGCAAGCCTGGGAACACTCCAACTGGGTCAGGAAGACGTTGCTAGCGACGCCGTAAGACGAGGCACAGGAGTTGTAGACGAAGACTTTGACGCAGGTCTTGAGTTGGTTGTCGTAGGTGTACCTGTACACGGCGTTGTATTCACCTGGGCTGGCACGGCAGTTGGGGGCCAGGTAGCCACAGTTACCTGAGTTTAGTTATACGATAAAAGAAGTTGCTTAAGACCAGACTTGAATTCTAAACCTGAATCTAACTGTAAATTTATTCCTTACCCTAGCCATTACCTAAAACGTAATCATAACGAGATAATTTTAGACAAAAAGGTTGAAATTAAAATCGTTATTCTAAAGTACTGTCACTATGGCGTTTTGTTTTTATCTATATTTCTTGTCACATATTTTGTTTATTTAGGGGAAAATAAAAAAGCCAAGTTGAAATAAAAAGCAGAACTACATTCAGTGTTTCTTCCAGACTTTTTTCGCTGGGGGGGGGGGGGGGCACTTGAAATTTTCGGGGGGGGGGTAGACTTTCTTCTGGTTGGGGGGGGCGGACACTGTTCAAAGTATATATTTTCTATATAAATTGTATAATTTTCATTTCGTTCGGGGGGGGGGGGGGGGGCGGTAGAATTTTTTCGCGCCCCCCCCCCCCCTCCCCCCCGAAGAGATGCCTGGAAGAAACTCAGACTACATTACTTTGATGAATAAAAACTGTTACTAATATACAACACAAGAATCTAAATTATTACATCAGCTATCAATTTAAGGCAAGTAAAACAAAAGTTATCCCCTGTTACCTCTGATGCCTCCACCAATGCGTGCATCATCTACGGGGATTCCGTTCTTGAAGTCGTATTGGTTACAGTTACAACCTGATACAAAGTAGGCGTTAGGATTTCTTCGGAAGGCCGACAGACAACGGTCGTAGCAGTTACTGTAGGATAAACGAACTAAAGTAAGCAAGCAATACAAATACAAGTTACATGAATGACGTTCTCATTGGTTCAGAAAAAAATATCAATCTAACAAATTGTAGACAGCTTTGTTATGTTCACGTTGTTTCTTGAAATTATAATCTACATTTTTACAGAAAACGCAAATATTAACACCCAGTTACATGTAGTTTAAAATATTTGAATGAAATTTGATTTTAAAATTAATAATTAAAAACTTACTTTGGTCCACCCTTGAAGCCATGGAATAAATAAAAAACATCAATTAGCCATATGACAGTAATCAGAAGAAATGGAGTGTAGAGTGTGTTTTATTTTTTTTATGATCGGTCCAATTAATAGTTGGATAAAACAATAATACATTTTTAGAATTCTAACAACAAATATAGGAATCTAAAATGTCTAACGCTACAAGAAAAAGAAGCAATGTATGCACGTTATAAGATTTCTAAAAACGTTTTTATTTTATGATTTTTTAAACATCTCAACATATTTTCTCTCCCTCCACCTTCCTATAAAGATTTACAGCTCTGTATTGCTATCTTAAATACATTTCTTTTGTGAATATAATTATAATTTGTTAACATTGTTTATTCTCAAAATATTTAGATATGCTTGCTTAAACACATTTAGTGATTATAAATACCCTAAGCTGGTAGCTAAAACAAGAATTAAAACTCATCTTACCGGTTGCTGGAATGATGGGGCAACTGAAAAAAATAAATGTTTTATTTAGATCATATTTTTACAGTATAGAGAAAATATATTTGATCATTGTACAGCTGAATATACACAAAAGAGTTTTGCAATATAGCGTAAATTTACATTTACAACATTTTAATATGTTGACTTTAAAACATTTAAAGAAATCTGCGCTTTCTTAACTGAAATACTTCTAAAAGTCTACACTAGCTGTAACACAAGAAGAATTATCTATGAAAATGATCTTCTTATATCGGCAAATTTCCTTTATCTACACAGTTCTTATAAAAACCAAACAAAGTGTGCCCGTTAATTTTTAAGATGTCACAAAAACAACTTACCAAGTAGAAGCACAACACCAAGTAGAGCAATAATGGCCATGGTAGATCTGAAGATAGAATAACGATTCAGGTTATATTTATTTGGAATTAAAAAAAACTTTAGTTAAATGGTAACAAGCCAGTCTAAAAATGAATATAGGCATATATATATATATATATATATATATATATATATATATATATATATATATATATATATATATATTTATATTTATATTTATATATATATATACACACTATATGTAATAAGTCAGTCTAAATATATATATATATATATATATATATATATATATATATATATATATATATATATATATATATATATAATACATCTGTATATGTTAAACGTAAATTAAAAGTTACCTGTGTAGTTGAGCTTGAAGCTGGAGAGTTCTGGCAACTGTTTGTGTTGTCTGTTGGTACCAGACCTGTAGAGTGACCAGCCGTTATATAGCATCCAGCAGAAGGACATTTACCTGTAGCAGGATAGGCAGGTAAGACATGATTGACGACATCACTTAATTTCCTGGTTACGTTACGACGAAACGGATACAGCTGAATGTTTTGGGTACTGCTGTTTTCCTCAGATAACGTACATCCGGTTATTTGGTCGTCCTCTGTATTTAGACGGTGTTTTTGTTCTGCTATGTACAAGACGATGTTCTTATATTCGGATAAAGAGAACATTTACGATTTCAAAATGTGTTAAATGTTAGAAAGTGGCCTACCGTCCGCTTACTTTAAAGCCGCAATCATTTAAAATAAGCAATTAAGCAAATGTCTACTTTTGTTAACAAATCAGGGTCATTTTTATTATTTTGACACAATTGCGTCTTAGTTACGCTAAAATATATTACCTGTGTTGCTAAGTTTCATTTATCAAATTATAATTAATGTACATAATTAATGAATGCATCACATTCTAGGTCTAGAAAAACAACACTGACAAAATGGCCAAGTATTTGTCATGCGGTCATTATCTCTTAACTATATACGGTACTACCTCACTCTCTTCTCCCTCTACTCGTGTTTTATAAGGTATATGTATGTACACAATTGTTTAACCTAATCTATATATGAATTTACATATTTTTAACGGTAGAGCTATATGTATGTACACATTTGTTTATACAGAGAATTTTTTATGTACAAACAGTAGCGTACGCAGGGGGGGGGAGCAGGGGGAGCGGCCGCTCCCCCTCTGGCCATTTTCAGCAAAGTGGCGCCTTTTTGGAAACTTTTTAAACTCTAAGTTTTAAACAATGATATTTGTTAAAAAATATTTTTGGTCGTCACATCTATGTAAATCACAAGATTTCTTTTCATGCAGCAATTAAGCATTTTTGTACTTGTCTAGTAGTGTCTACGTTTACAACACGTATTAACAGCTGCATCAGTTTGTCATTCTAAAAATAACCATTACGATGCATTGCAATGTTTAAAAAACCTTAACGGGTAGTACCACTTGGCAAGAGGGGTGTTAAGTTTAAGGCAACTGTATAATGTATTTGCTTACGAATAATTGAATTAGAAAATGTTATACATAAAACTTCACACATAATTACTTTGTATATACAGTTTGAATCGTGTGATCAATTAAAAAAAATTACAATACAGAAACAAATACAACTGATGTGGCACCTCTATTTAAATTTACTTATGAGCAAACTGCGTAGTGGTGGGGAAATTTTGACAAGGTCAAAAACGTTATCACGATGAAGTAGTAGTATTCTTACAGTTTGGGCGATAGTGATTACGATTACAAATTATATGAAACAGTTACAACCCCCCTCCCTATTTCTGTAATATGTATTTGTGTAATATATATTTGTGTAATATATATGTATGTTTAGAACAGTCATCTAAAAACTGACGCTATGTTCACTCTGAGTTCGTTATCTCCACCCCCCCCCCCCCCCAACAGACACACACCCCACCACCGCAATTGTGTAGAGCGACATTAATGTCACACCTAGGTATACTCTGGGTTGGATAATTGACCTAAAGTGACCGGACAGTGGTGAATGAAGTTGAACCCCCCCCCCCCCCAACCCGAACTGATCAGTTAAGTACATGTAGAAAAACGCGTAATGATGTGCCAAAGTAACATGCCGCCAGAAAATTAGCTTTTTAAACGTAAAACTCTGTAAATATTGTTTTTGTAATTACCAGTAAAAAGGTGTGTGATCAATACAGTGATCTAACCCATACCTATCACCATGTTAAAGAATGATCTTTAAAGAACACAAAGAAGCAGTAGTTAATTAAAAATATATGATTTGAACTAAAAGACAAAAATTTAGTTAAATGTAGGCTGGTATTCCGAGCGTTTTTTTATTGTATCGAAAAGTGTGGCTTTATACCAACTCTGATTTTAAAAACTTTCATTATGTTGTAATACCTTTGCATTTATGATGACGCTATATTAAATTCTGATTATAGACAAAAACATTTTGTAAACACGAATAGTGTTAAACAATTTCATTATATTTTAAAGTAATTATTTATTTGTTTTGACATTTATAATTAAATTTGTAGATATATACATATTTATATTTAGAGAGTGATTATTTCCCCTATTTCACTTGTCTTAAATAATTTCTCAGGAATTATTATGTAAGAAATTTTTTTTACAAGAATTACAAAACAGATTGTGATACTTCGTTGTTTTTGGTTGTAGTGTGTGTATATTTTTTTTTTAGATTGATACAATTTTTGTTTGTCGGCCTACATTGTGTTTTTCTTATTTCTTCAGAGTGCTACTTTCAATTTATTTTACATCATAGCGAAGTAATAACATACAGCTAGTAATTATATATATATATATATATATATATATATATATATATATATATATATATATATATATATATATATATATATATATATATATATATATATATATATATATATATATATATAATACACGTATATAGAACGTGTTAAAAATTCGGCGCCTTTTTTTGCTCTTTTCGCTCCCCCTACAATGAAAACCTGGATACGCCTCTGTGTACAAATTACTGCTAATTCTAAAATGTTTCTCATAAGATTACAGAATGACTTCAATATCGTGAACCTTTTCTTGAAGCAAACATGAATGTAGTTTATACTAAAATATTAGTAGCTTACACTACACCACTCCAGCCTGGCATAGTTGCTCTAAAAATAATAACAGTTGTCATGACTTTAATAATTATATTAATACTATTACACAAATGTCAGTTTTTATGTATGTAATGTTTTTCGCGAATGAATATTATGAATTGAATAAATGAACTTCCTTGTGTTTCTTTCTAGTTTAAATTATTTTAATTATGTTTCCGTCCAACTGAATAAATATCTAGAATGTTCACAGTTAAATATGTCTATTTAATAGGCTCCAGTTAAACATGTCTATTTAGATTTAGATTGTTCAAATTAAAGCTCGCATTTAGAAGTTGTATAGTTAAATGTTTTTATTTTCGAAGTTTACAGTTAAACTTTTCTGTTTAGAAAGTTTTCTTTTATATCTGTTTATTTAAAAAGTGTTGTCATCACTTTATACCATGTCATCTTCACTTTTAACGTTGTATTCACGTTAATCTTAACCCATCAGCGTTAAATCTCGTGTATTTAACATTTTATTGGGCTAGAAATAGACGAGCCTTAGCTAAAAAAAATCTCTCTTATATTCTGCTATAAACGAATTAAAGATTTTACAGCATTGCTAAAATGATGATGCAGTATTGAGATCATGTTATAACAAATGTAACCTGATCTCCGAAAATTATTATTGGAAAATGTTAACAAATCTTTGAAGACAATTTATGTCCAATATTGACCCATATCACTGGCCGCTATTCTTTTCAAGCTGACCCATCTCTGGCCAACATTCTTGTAAAATTGACCCATCTCTGGCCAACATTCTTGTAAAATTGACCCATCTCTGGCCACCATTCTTGTAAAATTGACCCATCTCTGGCCAAAATTCTTGTAAAATTGACCCATCTCTGGCCAACATTCTTGTAAAATTGACCCATCTCTGGCCAACATTCTTGTAACACTGACCCATCTCTGGCCACCATTCTTGTAAAATTGACCCATCTCTGGCCAACATTGTTGTAAAATTGACCCATCTCTGGCCAACATGGTTGTAAAACTGACCCATCTCTGGCCAACATTGATGTAAAATTGACCTATCTCTGGCCAACGTTCTTGTAAAATTGACTCATCTCTGGCCAACATTGTTGTAAAATTGACCCATCTCTGGCCAACGTTCTTGTAAAATTGACTCATCTCTGGCCACCATTCTTGTAAAATTGACCCATCTCTGGCCAACATTCTTGTAAAATTGACCCATCTCTGGCCAACATTCTTGTAAAATTGACCCATCTCTGGCCAACAATCTTGTAAAATTGACCCATCTCTGGCCACCATTCTTGTAAAATTGACCCATCTCTGGCCAACATTCTTGTAAAATTGACCCATCTCTGGTCAACATTCTTGTAAAATTGACCCATCTCTGGCCAACAATCTTGTAAAATTGACCCATATCTTGTCAACATTCTTGTAAAATTGACCCATATCTGGCCAACATTCTTGTAAAAGTGACCCATCTCTGGCCAACATTCTTGTAAAATTGACCCATCTCTGGCCACCATTCTTGTAAAATTGACCCATCTCTGGTCAACATTGTAAAATTGACCCATCTCTGGTCAACATTGTTGTAAAATTGACCCATCCCTGGCCACCATTCTTGTAAAATTGACCCATCTCTGGTCAACATTCTTGTAAAATTGACCCATCTCTGGCCATCATCCTCTGGCCATTTAGGGGGGGGGGGGCGAGCAAAATGTTTAATCGCTATTATCAAAAATACCTAATAATTAATATCTATATATATAATTCTCTTCTGGGAGACGTTATAAAACAAGCTGCAAGCACACCTTGCAGTCCCCTCTCTTTATCTCTATCTCTACCACCCCCCCCCCACCCCCCTCACATGGTCTGGTGAGCTGTGGTTCACGCTAAATGTTTACAAAACAATCATAGAGCCGGGTTTGGTGACGGCTATTAGGGGCAGATAATTTAGTTTGAAACGATTTTAAACTTAGAGGAGGTAACTAAGAGGAGGCTGCTTTAACGGAGGGGGAGGGGGGGGGAAGGGGGTTTAGTGTTTTAAAGCAGATATTTTCAGTGGCAGCATTGGTACTGTCGAATTCACAAATTATGAATTACTGAAAAGTAGAAAAAGCAACAACTAAATAGCGGCGTATGATGCACCGCGGGTCGGCTCGTCTTTAATAAAGGATCTATTTCGGCACCCAGAACGAACTATCAATTTTGCGCCCCCACCTCAAAATTAGGTCTATATAGGCCTATATATTTTGGGATGGTGAAAATACAACCCCAACTCCCTAATTTGGAAAGGTCGGGGCGCTTTTTACCAGTCACTTTGCCTTTTTACTTTCTCGTATATACGTAGTATAGAGAAAGTATTGTAATCGTGCAAAAAAAAAATCGAGATTTTTACAAATCTCGACGTTTTACACCTCACTGATACGGAAAAACATAATTTTGCAATCTTGTCCGTATGTCTGTGTGTGTGTGTCGCTGTGTGTGTGTCTGTGTGTCTGTGTGTCCGTGTGTAAACACGATAACTTGAGTACCGTTACAGCTAGGTTGATGAAATTTCATATATAAGTATTATATCAAAATCGTAGATCCGTATCAACTTTTGAGCGATTTCCGACAACCGGAAGTGGTACTTTTTCTACTTTGAATTTTTCAAAAGCCTATAACTTGAGTACTATTTCAGATAGATAAATGAAATTTCACATGTAAGTATAAGATCTAATTCTCTACCTTCTGTTAAATTTTGAGTAATTTCCGTTGACCGGAAGTAGTAATTTACGCTACTTCCGATTTCTCAAAAAACTAATGTAAATTTTTAAAGTACTAATACTATTGCGCACTATTATACACACCTTTATTAGGCGTTCGCTTGGTGCGCAATTGTTTTTTACTGAGATTCTATTCTATTTTAAAAAGTTTCAGTATTTAAAATGGATTAAAAATCATAACTATATCCCCAGTTACCATCCCCTGTTGTTTTATATAAGAATTGATATAGAAAACGATTAAATAAGTTCGTAATTTAAATTTCGAACATTTCAAACGGTTATTTAATTTTAATAGGGCTTGTAAGTCTCGTTTTCGCTGACTTTGAATTAGAAATCTGTCCTGGTGTGTAGAGTTTTGTAATGACGGGGTGTTCAAAGTATTGTACTTGCTTGGTATGTTTTGATGAATCGTTTAGATTTGGGAGTATCGGCGGAAGTCTGTTACTGATATGATTTCGTAGGTTTAAAGTATCGAAGTGTTACAGTGTCATAATTTTTATTCGGCTTTTTTGTAGTTGAAGGTCTATTTGAATTAGATTGGTAATAGAGAAATAAGAATGCAGGTGATGAAGCATCGTAGTTCTGGAGTTCGGGAGTATTGATTCCTGTGGAATTCAGGAATCGAATTATATTGACTGTTAAGGTGTAGTAGTAGGTCCAGTGAAATCGTTGTTGATTAGGAGTAACGTTTGTAGAGCTTGGTGAAGTTAAACGAGTTGGAGTCGTAGTTCAGGAGCATCGAGTCTAATTATGTTTAGGTATAAACGTTTGATATTTGTTGTGAATGTAGTAAAGTATATCGAGTAGTCGAGTTTATCGCAAGTTAGATTATTTCAATTCAGTACGGAACACACTACAAAGAAAGGTAGACGATCTCTAGTTGAAAAATCTTTAGTTTTTTTTAGGAATCTATATTAAAACTCTTAAAGTATTAACATTTAATATTAAATAGGATGGAATTTATAAGTAAACGTAAACTTTGTTTTTTTTTTCAAATTTTAATTTTTTTTTATATTTAATCAATAATTCTAGCAATGTCTATAACTGTTACCCGCGTTTGATTTTTGAAAGACATCCCTTTATTTAGGGGATCCAAAATTTATAACATTGATGTAAGACGAGGCGCGAAAATAGAAAGTATGTCATCAAAATTGAATAGATGTATGTTATAATAAAGCTACCAGTTTCGCACTTTCAAATAAAATCTACAGTTAAGTAAAATCTATTGTTTTCACCAGGTTACATGGCTATTATAAAAGATTTGTTATAATTATTATTTAATAAAATTTAAAGCGTTTTATTGTTTTTATTTTAAACATGTCTTAGTTATACTTGGTTAATTTAGCTATTTTTGTGAAAGTTATTTCCCTTGAATAAAATTTGTTATTTGGATTTTCAAATGGGAGATAATTAGTTGTTTAACTTTACATTTCTTTCAAATTCCTGCACCTTAGGCTGACCGCTTACATATAAATACACCTTTAAGTTATTATTTGCTATTGTGAAATTATATAGAGCTTAAATTCTAAGCTTTATTAAGTTGAAAAACAAATGCAGCATTAACCGTTGTAGATTGCAATAGTTAATATTAGTAGACATACAGTCTTAGTCGTAAACTAAACATCTAATTTTCATATTTTTCACCCTCTCCTGAAGGATTCATATTTAAAAATTTTAGGCTGGAATCTCTAACATTTATAACCTTTTATTTTTCAAAAACAAAAAAAAAATCGTTACATAATCACACAATATAGGCATTTTACAATTATTATAACTAAAGACAGAAGCTTAAAACAGGTAAGTTCCGTTTTGGAACATACCTTGGGAGGACTGTAGAGAGCCCAACACTACAAGAACTTTTTTTTGCAGACTTTTTTTCTCCCGGCAGAGGCGGGGGGGGGGGGGAAGCACTTAAAATTTTCTAATGGGGGAGGGGGGGGGGAAGCACTTAAAATTTTCTAATGGGGGAGGGGGGGGGGGGGCTATGTCGTAAAGTACAAAGTAGACTCGTGGTCAATAACATGTGATTATGCTTGCAAACTGGAATTGAAGGAATACACACTTTTGAGACGAAGAAGGCAAGTAAAATTTGATTTTGATGTCTACTTATAACCTGTATGCAAAATGATAATAATTTAATATGTCACTTTTAATTAATTGTTTTCTTATACATATGTTTTAGTAATTAATTTATGTGAAGGAGGCGTTTTAATAAGTTTTGTCTAGGGCGCTAAATAACCTGGCGCCGGCACTGCGTCTAAAATAGCTGTGCTTTGAGCCACTAACTTACACTGTAAGTTTTAATTTAAAATCACAAACTGTTTCTATTTCCTTGAAAACATCAGGACGCTTGGTCGAATGGTAGAGCTCACGACCGCTAGCATGAAAGTCTAGGATCAAGTCCGTACAACATCCCTGGGTCCACCCAGCTCTGATAGGTACCTGACTCACTGAGTCCACCCATCTCCGCTGGGTACCTGACTCACTGAGTCCACCCATCTCCGCTGGGTACCTGACTCACTGAGTCCACCCAGCTCTGATAGGTACCTGACTCACTGAGTCCACCCATCTCCGCTGGGTACCTGACTCACTGAGTCCACCCATCTCCGCTGGGTACCTGACTCACTGAGTCCACCCAGCTCTGATAGGTACCTGACTCACTGAGTCCACCCATCACCGCTGGGTACCTGACTCACTGAGTCCACCCAGCTCTGATAGGTACCTGACTCACTGAGTCCACCCATCTCCGCTGGGTACCTGACTCACGTCGACGTCATTGAAACACATGAACTCTACTTCATCTACCCCATGTGTCTTGGGCTCGAACGGGAAAAGATAGAATGGTACTGCAAGTTTTAACTGTTTACACAATGCAAAGAAAAACAAAAAATAGTCTTGTTTCTTTCTTTTATTAAACCATAACTTTAAAGAATACGCAGAAATAGAAATTGAGCAAATACAGATTTAGTAAGACACTCTCATCAACACATTTTTTCCTCATTCTTGTAAAGATATTTGTTACATACACAATGAGCAAATAAAAATAAATAATCAGCTTTCAAAACAAAGAAACTACATCTAGGTGGTAGGGACTAGATTTACATAAAGAATTGTGATGCATAATCAAAAAGCACAATGAAGTGCTACATTTTTGTTAACAGAGGTAATCAACGAGTTTTTAGATTTAGCTATTCCATTTGTTTGTTTTCTGTTAAGAGAAAAAAAAATTAGGATTGTTTTATTTTAACTACATTTTTTTCTTTTCACTTGAACTTTACAAAAAAAAAAATAGAACCTTAAAATTTGTTATTATAGAGTTGTCTTTGTGACAATCTTTTAAAACTTCCTATGTTGATCTAAGACTTTGTATCAGAGTGTTGGGATTATGACGATCTTTTAAAACTTCCTATGTTGATCTAAGACTTTGTATCAGAGTGTTGGGATTATGACGATCCTTTAATACTTTCTGTTGTTGTACTCGCAAGCCTGGGAACACTCCAACTGGGTCAGGAAGACGTTGCTAGCGACGCCGTAAGACGAGGCACAGGAGTTGTAGACGAAGACTTTGACGCAGGTCTTGAGTTGGGTGTCGTATGTGTACCTGTACACGGCGTTGTATTCACCTGGGTTGGCACGGCAGTTGGGGGCCAGGTAGCCACAGTTACCTGAGATGGGGGAAAGAAATCAGGTGTTCAAATGTAGCAAGTTTAATTATGATTTCCTTTAAGCTTTTAAAGTCTAGACTAGACTACAAAACTAATCCTGGAATTGCCTGTAAACCTATAACTAAAACCTATTTCCATAAAAAGTACGCAACATAATAAATTACTGTTTGTTTGGTGATTTTTATAAAACCAGTTATTATTTAAATTGCCATACCTACTTTTGAAAGTTAAATATAACATTTTTAAACCTAAATAATATTTAAACCAAATTTTTCTTAATGCATTTTTCATTCTCAAAATACTGCATTCAAACATTTTAGCTTAAAATGAAAAAGTAAAACAACATTTAAAATATTTACAATTTTTACATCGAGGTTGGTCAAGCTACAAGGATCAGAACTGAACAGCTGCTAATGAAAGTAAGTAAAAGTTATCTTCAATTACCTCTGATGCCTCCATTGTGTCCGCCACCAATTTGTCCACCGTTGATGAAGTCGTATTGGTTACAGTTACACCCAGCTACAAAGTAGCCGTTGGGATTTCTTTGGTAGGCCGACAGACAACGGTCGTAGCAGTTGCCCTGAAAATTTAAATATCTAAATTTTAAAAAAAACTTTTAAACACCACAAGACAGAAAGAAGAAAAAAAATTGCCGTGACCATTAAAAATGTGCTTCTAATCACATGATAAAACCTTTTCAGAGCCATAAAGTACATGCATTCGATACCAAAAGTAAAATTAAAACCAATCTTACCGGTTGCTGGAACGATGGAGCAACTGAAATAATAAATGTAACTGTTAGCATCAGTTAAGAAACGATTCAGTTTATCCTTGTTTAACTCACTATATTAGCATTACAACTGTTTATATTAATTATCATTAAAGACAATGTACTAAAGTAGGAATTATTTGTGAACATGTTTTTCTTAAAGTGACAACTAACGTTTTATTATCTAAACAGCTCTCCCTATTAAAAAAGTAAACTGTTCCCGTTAACGTTTAAGATGTCAAAACAACTTACCCAGTAGAAGCATAAAACCAAGTAGAGCAATAATGGCCATGGTAGTTCTGGGGAAAATAACCATTCATTGTATATTTATTTGTTATTTTAATTATTCTTAAGTTCAAATGGTAGCATGCATATCTAAATATGCATATATATATATATATATATATATATATATATATATATATATATATATATATATATATATATATATATATATATATATATATATATATGTATTGAACGTAAAATAAAATCTACCTGTGTAGTTGAGCTTGAAGCTAGAGAGTTGAGGCAACTGTTTGTGTTGTCTGTTGGTACTAGACCTGTAGAGTGACCAGCCTTTATATAGCATCCAGCAGAAGGACATTTACCTGTAGCAGGATAGGCAGGTAAGACATGATTGACGACATCACTTAGTTTCCTGGTTACGTTACGACGAAACGGATACAGCTGAATGTTTTGGGTACTGCTGTGATCCTCAGATAACGTTCATCCGGTTATTTGGTCATTCCTTGTATTGTGAGATTTTTTTTTATATTCATAGTGACGACATTCATAGATTCTGATAAAGAGAATTTTTGCAATTTAAAATAAGCTTCGTTGCGAGAAAATGGATTAGTTAGTTGACCGTAAAGCCGCTATCGTTTGGAAAAGCCATTAAGCAAGTGTCAACTTCATTTAACGCTATCAAGTTCATCTTTTTTATCTTGACTTCATTGCGTCTTCTTCAAGTAAAATAAATTACCAGTCTAGTAATTTTTCATTTATTAAACTATAATATAATTAATGTACATAATTAATGGAAACATTAACAATTGGGTCAAGAAAAACAACGTTGAGAATGTGGCCAAGTATTTGTCCTGTGTCCATTATCACGTGACATTTTTCAGCAATACTACACCCCCCCCTCCGCCCCTCACCCGCTGTAGGTCAGATAGTGCTCTGTAAGAAGATATTTATCATCAGTAAATATGTGTGCATATTTGTTTAATCATAAGTACATGCAGGTATACATTTGTTTAATCATAAATACATTTGTTTAATTATAAGTACATCTATGAATAAACACGCGTCTGATTCTAACATGTGCTTTTTCTGTGTTTTTCTGTTCGACTATGAACTCTTTTAACCAAACAATTACTACAAGGGCATTTTTATTTTAACATTTTACTCAACCCATCATTAAAGTCACGTGTGCTGCAATGTAAATTAAAAACACTAAATGAGAGTAACTTGGATTAAAATGGCACACACTTCAGAGACTTACCAATGAAAGTTGCAATGACATCTATGTATACCGATATGATATACGCCTATACGGTCAAGAGGAGTTGAATACACCACAATGGTGGTAGTTCACAATACTTTGATATTGATATAGGAAACAACTATTAATACGGCCACACACAAATGTATTTCTTTATATAGAATTTGTCATGCTAATAATTTTTGTGACTCAAGTACATTGATTAAAAGATGCATTCATTTTCTAGACATTTTTAACCAATCTAAAATGTCTCCGTTTGCAGTTAAATCTGTATGTTTAGAAAGTGCTTGTCGTGAGTTTATACAAGGATAATGGAGAGCGTCAATTTGTATGAAAGAGAAGACTTGACAACATGTATTAGTTACAGGTGATAGAAACACCCTTTATTAAAATATGTAAGAGATCTTAGGAGTGAACAATGCTTTTATTAAAAAAAGAAAGCAGTTTTTATTTTCTTATTTTCAGGGCATGTAAGAACTTATAATTAAGGTTTTCTTTTTATTTATGTTTATAACACCATAGGTATGAAAAGCTGGTTCAATGTGGTTCCGAATCGTTGTTGTCAGACAGCATATTTATCACCAAAATTAAATATTTAATAACATTTGTGAAATAAGTGCAAAATCACTTCCGATTGTATTAATTCAAACAAGTAGGCTAATTACTAGTAATATTATAGTAATTTAGCTAACACAATTATTTTTAATTTGGATTAGTAGAGTCAGCATGTTGTCGTCTTAGGGAGATGTTATATTATTTAATATACATAAACTATCGGGCTATACCCCATTGACCGCTATTGTGTATTTCACATGGAAAAGTACGATATAGATTGTAAGAGGTGAAGTTTAGAATATATTATGAGGGCACAATTTTTAAGTTGTTATGACATTTGGCCTTTCTGAAGTGCCTTGCATGGGGAAATAATATAACACAGAAGTTGCAACAAGATCAATTCCTCTTCAACGTTACAGACATCGTCGTCTTTATCATTACATCTACTATCATCAACAACATCATCATCACCATCGCATCCCTCATTTTCACCATCTACAAAAACTACAGTAATCTTTAATACTTTGAGACGGGACAATCCCTCCAGCTGTTCAGCGTTAGCTACTGCGCCATATGATTCCTCTGTCTCTTTGAACCTCAAACGTACCATGTGTCAACCTCCTGTTGATTATCAACTACTTGAATATTCATATCACATGAATCGTTTGTTCATTTAAATTAACGTCCAACCTCACCATCTTACTGCAGTCATCAACGTTATCGACCTTGACGCCCGGATAACTTCACAGCAGTAAAACTGTCTAAATTATTTGTCGCATTTGAATGTATGGACATAAACCTGTCGTCTGTATAATTTTCGATGCATCAGCATATTAGGCGGTAGTGATCACTCATCTGCTCTCTCGTATATTCTTAAATAACACTAAGGTGGGGGGCACTTTGCGTGCAATCGGGGTATAGAAATGTTTTGAATTTTTAAATTTTAAATATTAAAAATAGAATAGAGAAGCGTAGAAAATAAACCAGGAGTGATCTCCCCTAAACTTTCTCGAATATTCTTAAATAAAACAACAGGGGATGGGAACTCGGGATATAGACATGATTTTTAATCCATTTTAAATACTTAATTTTTACTTTCTCGTTTATACGAAGTATAGAGAAAGTATTGTAATCGTGCACAAAAATTACTTGAAATTTTAACAATTTTCACCGTATTACACCTCAGTCCTTCATCACATCAGAAGTATAGAGGACTTATTTTAATCGGGTAAAAATTATCAATCCAGATTTATCAAAATTAAGAGGTTTTATGCGTAATCCAGTCTGAAAAACTGGGCTTTGCAATTCTGTCCGTATGTCTGTGTGTCTGTGTGTGTGTCTGTCTGTCCGTGTGTAAATACGATAACTTGAGTACCGTTACAGCTAGGTTGATGAAATTTCATATATAAGTATTTTATCAAAATCGTAGATCCGTATCAACTTTTGAGCGATTTCCGATAACCGGAAGTGGTACTGTTTCTACGATGAATTTTTCAAAAGCCTATAACTTGAGTACTGTTTCAGATAGTTAAATGAAATTTCACATGTAAGTATAAGATCTAATTCTCTACCTGGTGTTAAATTTTGAGTAATTTCCATTGACCGGAATTTACGCTACTTCCGATTTCTCACAAAACTTATGTAAATTTTTAAAGTACTAATAATATTGCGCACTATTATGCACTTTGGCGTGCAATTCTTTTGTCTACGAGATTTTATTTTTAAAACTTTAAGTATTTAAAATGGATTAAAAATCATGTCTATAGCCCCTGTTGTTTTATATAAGAATATTCGAGAAAGTTTAGGGGAGATCACTCCCGGTTTATTTTTAAATAGAATTAAATCTCGTGGAAAAAGAATTGCACACCAATTGAACGCCAAATAAAGATATGCATAATAATATTCTTGCATAATAATATTATTAGTACTTTATAAATTTACATGCGTTTTTTGAGAAATTGGAAATAGCGTAAATTACTACTTCCGGTCAACGGAAATTACTCAAAATTTGACAGAAGGTAGAGAATTAGATCTTTTACTTACAAGTGAAATTGTATTTATATATCTGAAACAGTACTCAAGTTATAGGCTTTTGAAAAATTCAAAGTAGGAAAAGTACCTCTTCCGGTTATCGGAAATCACTCAAAAGTTGATACGGATCTACGATTTTGATAAAATACTTATATATGAAATTTCATCAACCTAGCTGTAACGGTACTCAAGTAATCGTGTTTACACACAGACACACACACAGACACACACACACACAGACACACGGACAAGATTGCAAAATTATGCTTTTCCGTAGCAGTGAGGTGTAAAACGTCGAGATTTGTAAAAATCAAATGATCTAAAGAATGTGTATAATAGAGAGAAAAATATTTATTATTTTCTGAAAGAAATTTTGATCGCAAAATGCAGTGTCATAGAATCTTGACTTCCATTAAAAGTTTTAAGGAAATCGGTCCAGGTAGAAGTAGTCAAAATTTTTCTTGTAGGTTGCTTCTTATAACGAACTATAGACAGAGGAAGCAAGTTTAATACATTCTATAGGTTTCTTGAGAAATCTGGAACAGAGTAAAATACTACTTCTTGTCACCGGGAGTCATTCGAAATTTGACAGAAACAAGTGAATAGGATCTTAAACCTATGTATAAAATTTCGTCCATAGTACTAATCGGTATTTTAGAAAACAGAAGTAGAGTAAGTAACACTTGCGGATATCGGAGGTCAGTCCAATATTGAAAAAAAAATTCAAGGATAACTTCTTATACTTACATGTGAAATTTCGTTTACCTATCTTGTAAAAGTACTCACTTTATTGCGTTCTCATGGAAATATAGTAAAGCACAGCTTTTAGTAACCGGAAATCTTTGAAACGCTAAAAGAAATCTCCTCATACAATATTATTCATGCATTTGAAATTTCTTACGCATAACGTAAACGGTTCTCATGTTATAGGTTTTTCAGAAACCGGAAGTAGATTAAGTACCACTTCCGTTTACCGGAACTTACTCAAAAGTCGATTAAAAACTTCAAATTCTATACAGTATTTAGATTTAAAATTTCGTAAACCTAACTTAAACGTTACTAAAATTATTTTGTTTACTTACAGACAGACAAATGGACAAAGTTGCAAAACTATTTTTTTCGATAACAATATTTACTTTATACTTCGTACACGAGAAAGTAAAAAGGAGTCATTATAAATTGCAAAAATGCTACAAAATGAAAAAAAATGCTAACATTCGGTATGAGAAAAATTATGTTGATTACATGAAATAGATGAAATGACAAAAAATGAACTACATCGATTGAAAATTAGCCTCTTGCAAAACTTTTATTCTGCCTCACTCTTGAGTATATCTGTAAACGTTATTGTCTCCAGTTCCGTCCATAAGGTTTGTTCTGCTTCACTCAAAATTGTATCTGTAAAAGGTATTGCCTCTAGTTATGTTTATTCTGCGATCACTCTAAAGTATATCTGTAAACCCTTCTGTAGCCCGACATGTGCTTCTTGTATTCTCTATCGAATTCTTCGTTTAACGACTCGGAAAACCAGTTCTGCCAGTCACCCACATCACCTAGAAATATTTTTGATTTTGTTTTCAAAACTTCGGCATGCGAATATTATATAAAACTAAAAATAGTGGGGATGGTTTTTTGTTATTTTTTAAATATATGATAATGGATATTTAACAATTTGAACAATTGATCTATTTAAAAAAATGTTCTCACCTTTTCTGAGGAAGTCGGGTTCTCTATTGCGGAAATAACCATTGACATTAGCTGACGCGGTAGATTTTTTGAAGGGTTTGAGGCTATCAAAGCTACAGGCCTCTGCTATCTTCTCACACAGCTCCTCGCTACAACCCGTGCCTAGAAACTCATTCAACTTCTTCACGCCATCTTTTTCATCCTGTTTCGAAAATCAACAAAAAATACAGCTGTTGTTTGAATACAAACATGATATAAACTTTTATTTTATCTGTCTTTTTAAAAATTTAGAACACTTATAAGAACTTTTATTTGAAATGTAAGTAGGCCTATATTTTCCTAAACAAAAACAGCAAAGCTGTAAAATCGACAAAACTTGATCATATTTTACAATAGTTTTTGTTCCTTTCTTTCCATAGGAATTTTTTTAATTCTAAGACATTTGGTATAATACAAGAATAACTAACTCACTAATTTCATTTCTTCGTATACTGATGTATAGAATGGAACTTCTGGTTGAGCTTCAATACCCTCTTGCCAATCCATCATATAAGTGAACAAATCTCCGTACAAATCTGTAATAAACAAATCACTGTACAAAGCTGAAACAAAAATACTCCGTACAAATCTGAAATAACCAAATCCCCGTACAAATCTGAAATAATCGAATCCCCGTACAAATCTAAATTTAAGAACGTCAGGATTAACATAAATAACTATATACATGTTTCATATTTTCTTTCTGTTTAAAGTGTTGAAGGAACAATTAATTCTATTCAGGACATATCTCTCATTTAAAAGTTACAGGATTGAAAAACAAAATTGTTGATTGAGGTCATGATCGTATTGATATCTGTACTCACACCCAGCCTCCAAGTTGAGACGAACAAAGTGCTCAAAAGTCCCAGGGTAATACAATGGCTTGGCGGTTTTCCGATGTAGGTTGTAAAATGAGACCAATACATCCTTGGGGTTTCTGTCCAATCGAATTATTTTTATTTTCTTCTCTAAGGCTTGCTTGGGCAGATACCTAAAACGTGAACACAGCAAGCTTGTTTCTTGTTGATTTTAGATGTTATAATTGAACTAGGAAAGAGATCATCTTACGGCTGTTAAGCCAAAAGTCTCGGGTTCGGATCCCGTTCTCGCGTCTGTAGGATTTCCTGGTTCCAACTAGCTCTGTTGGTACTTGGTACCTGAATCACCTTAGGGAAACAAAGGCGGCTGAGCGAAGTGTCGACCACACTACTACACTGTATGCCGATGTCATTGAAACCGACGGACTCTACTTTATCTACACCTTGTGCCTTGTGCACAAACTGGATGCGGCGTAGGCTATACATTGTGTGTGTGTGTGTGTGGTTTTTTTTAAAGCTGATGTTTAAGTAATATTGATCATAGAACATATGAAGTAAGTAAAGTTCCATTTTCTAACCCGACGGTTCATGGGGCATGTTAAGTAGAGTACACATATTTGTGTGACCTCGGCATATGAGGTGATAGTGTGGCAGCCTTAAGCCAAGCCGCCTTTATTATCTAACGTGCCCATCAGCTTTGATTTGGGGACGTTCTAAAACTTCGAGTTGGAATAAGGGTTGAAGTCAGTAAAACGTTCCTGAGTCCACCCGGCTCTGATGGGTACCTAACTAGCGTTGGGGAAAGTAAAGCCGGCTGGGCGTGGTATTGACCATACAACCCCCATCATATGCCGCTGTCATAGAACATGCTTGTTTCCATGGCACAAAAACGTAAAATTATCTGAGAATTGTTTTGACTGACCTAAACGGTACATGGGTTACTATAAGCCTCGGTGAAGGCATGCTGTGTAAAGTGTGCATTGGCTTCCCGTCTAGAAAGTGCAGTCTTTTCTCTGTCTCGGCGGTAAGCGTTGCTGTTTTGTGCATCAACATGGCGACGATTTCACGGTGCCAATGGAGACCTGGTTGGAAAACGTGGAAACAAAAACACAAATTGGATTGTAATGTAGAAAACTGCTTTAATATACACAGCTATTTAACAGAAATGTGTGGGAATAAATTTCCGGAGTTGACTAACCTGATCTGGGAAATGAGCAAATCATGACGTCATCAGGTCGGATCTCCATGTTCCTGATGTTACGTAGGTGTGTCCTGTAGTCAGTGTCGGCACCAATAGGGAAGGATGGCTGCCAGTAGCCACCAGTGTTGCCAAAGTAAAAAATGTTGCCGAATCTGAGATAGAGAAATACAACAGTGTTGCCAAAGTAAAAAGTGTTGCCGAATCTGAGGTAGAGAAATACAACAGTGTTGCCAAAGTAAAAAATGTTGCCGAATCTGAGGTAGAGAAATACAACAGTGTTGCCAAAGTAAAAAGTGTTGCCGAATCTGAGGTAGAGAAATACAACAGTGTTGCCAAAGTAAAAAGTGTTGCCGAATCTGAGATAGAGAAATACAACAGTGTTGCCAAAGTAAAAAGTGTTGCCGAATCTGAGGTAGAGAAATACAACAGTGTTGCCAAAGTAAAAAGTGTTGCCGAATCTGAGATAGAGAAATACAACAGTGTTGCCAAAGTAAAAAGTGTTGCCGAATCTGAGGTAGAGAAATACAACAGTGTTGCCAAAGTAAAAAGTGTTGCCGAATCTGAGGTAGAGAAATACAACAGTGTTGCCAAAGTAAAAAGTGTTGCCGAATCTGAGGTAGAGAAATACACCAGTGTTGCCAAAGTAAAAAATGTTGCCGAATCTGAGATAGAGAAATACAACAGTGTTGCCAAAGTAAAAAATGTTGCCGAATCTGAGGTAGAGAAATACAACAGTGTTGCCAAAGTAAAAAATGTTGCCGAATCTAAGGTAGAGAAATACAACAGTGTTGCCAAAGTAAAAAATGTAGCCGAATCTGAGATAGAGAAATACAACAGTGTTGCCAAAGTAAAAAGTGTTGCCGAATCTGAGATAGAGAAATACAACAGTGTTACCGAATTAAAAAGTGTTCCCGAATCTGTTCACTGTCTAAATTAGAAACCGGAAACGTATTCATTGGACTACATTACCCGCATCTTAGTATTATAGCAACAATCGCCTACCTGTCGGTTATTGATGAAAGTTTAGGTAAATTCTGCATCATCGCTTCAGGAAATTCAACAGAGTCATTCTCTTGGGACATATTGCTGGCGGCGTCTAACTTTAAACAACCGGTGTAGCGGGAACGTTATACCACAGTGGCAGATGCTTTTTATGCTTATAGAAGACACTTGGCGTCTAGCCTTAAACAGCCGGTGTAGCGGGAACGTTATACCAAAGTGGCAGATGCTTTTTATGCTTATAGAAGACACTTGGCGTCTAGCCTTAAACAGCCGGTGTAGCGGGAACGTTATACCACAGTGGCAGATGCTTTTTATGCTTATAGAAGACACTTGGCGTCTAGCCTTAAACAGCCGGTGTAGCGGGAACGTTATACCAAAGTGGCAGATGCTTTTTATGCTTATAGAAGACACTTGGCGTCTAGCCTTAAACAGCCGGTGTAGCGGGAACGTTATACCACAGTGGCAGATGCTTTTTATGCTTATAGAAGACACTTGGCGTCTAGCCTTAAACAATCGGTGTAGCGGGAACGTTATACCACAGTGGCAGATGCTTTTTATGCTTATAGAAGACACTTGGCGTCTAGCCTTAAACAGCCGGTGTAGCGGGAACGTTATACCACAGTGGCAGATGCCTTTTATGCTTATAGAAGACACTTGGCGTCTAGCCTCAAACAACCGGTGTAGCGGGAACGTTATACCTCAGTGGCAGATGCTTTTTATGCTTATAGAAGACACTTGGCGTCTAGTCTCAAACGGCCGGTGTAGCGGGAACGTTATACCACAGTGGCAGATGCTGTTTATGCTTATAGAAGACACTTGGCGTCTAGCCTCAAACAGCCGGTGTAGTACGAATGTTAGCGAATCTACGCCGGTGTCAGGAGTATGTTGTGTTTATATAGGACACTTGATGCCGATTGCCCCAGCCTAAAAGGGGGCGGTTTGAGTGTCACTAGACTTCACTTTTCAAAAGGATTGACCAACGATGGGTTGTCAGCAGGGATTGATGATGGGACTTTATAAGGGACTGATGTTGACAGGTGGATATCAATGACGGATAGAATTTGGCATTAAACTATGACACATGGATTTGTAGAAAAAGAAATTGAAAGTCAGTGCAGCTTAGGCAGCCCTATAATTGAATGGAGTGAGTTTTTTATTGAAATATATTTGTTTTAATTCAGTAGATCTCTTAGTAAGGTTGTAGACGTATTAAATTACACACAGAAAAACTTATGATCAATACACGTGTGTGCGGGAGGCGAAGACACGTCCTATTTGTCTGAGAGATGCTTTCGTCGTTGGCACTAAAAAAAAAATAACTGCACATTATGGTCGGCTTGGATATTTTTAACATAACGTGTTCTTTCCACGTTGAAAACTTGTAATTTTGAGATACATATTTTTTTCTATGTACGATGATGTTTTTTTTTTCTAAATTTGGGGGGGGGGGGAAGGGGGGGTCATGAAAATCTGTGCCTCGGATTTTTGTCTGCTCAGACCCTTCTTCACCCTCCACCCCACCCCCCACCACCACCCCCCCCCCCCCCCCACACACACACCCCTTAATTCACCAGTGAAGCTAATAAATTATCATATTTCCCCTTTGGTAGTTGACAGTGATGGGGGCTTGCAAAGGATGTAGAGATCAAGCTGTGGCCGAGATAACATTATGCTCAATTCGTTTAATGTTCTTTACTAGTGTCACTCACGTAGCTGATCAAAGACCATTTAGCTGTAAGAACACAGCACACGTTACTCAATGTGTATGCCTAGTTTGGAAGGAAATTGAAACAGAGTTACTAAACTTGTGAGGACGTCTATGGTGGGGGTAGGAATCAACCATAAGTGATAAAAAATTCCAACTTCTTTTTTCTGAACCTCGTAAAGTGATGACCCCCCCCTAACAACAAAAAAGATTTCATTTTGTGGGTCTTGGCGTGGGGTATTGCAATCTGTCTCCTCATAAGAACCCCCTCCCCCTTCGCTACGCTTTTGCTGACCAAAAAGGGTAAATTGTCTTGTTTCAAAATGATTTCTTTTTTCTTGAGCAGATCAACACAGAAACAGGCATCTGAAAATAAGATTGGTTGCAATGATATAGGAGGTTAATCCTAAACCCTGTTCTTATTAATAACTCATTATATATATATATATATATATATATATATATATATATATATATATATATATATATATATATATATATATATATATATATATATATATATATATATATATATATATATATATATATATATATATATTACATTCAAAATTTTGAATGATAGTCCGCACCCACTCCCAACACCTAGCCACTGGTCTAGCACACGCCGCATTTGCCCTAAACGTACGCAAACATATGTTTATCAAAGTAACTGAAATTGTAACCATCTGTTAGCTAAACGCCACATTTCTGTCACATTCGTCTCAGTTGGCCCAAGCTAGAACAGATCAGCTTATCAGCACTGTTTGAACTAGTCTTTCCTCATTTGAGCTGCTAATGCTAATTGTCAAATATGATAAATGTTCGTATGAATTTCAAATTATATATATATATATATATATATATATATATATATATATATATATATATATATATATATATATATATATATATATATATAGGGGCGTAGCGAGGGGGGTGCGGACCGCACCGGGTGACACCATTTAGGGGGGTGACACCAAGGCAAAAAATAGCAAGATATATAGAGAAAAACGAGGGGGGGGTGCAAATCGAAAGTTTGAGGGGGGTGGTGCAAATCAAAAACTTGAGTGGGGGGTGCAAATCGAAAGTTTGAGGGAGGGGGTGCAAATCGAAAACATGACAGTTTGTCGCCGGGAAGGGTCGCAACGCCTCTGGGGGGAGGTGACACCATTAAGTGCCTCACCGAGTGTCACCCGACCTCGCTACGCCACTGTATATATATATATATATATATATATATATATATATATATATATATATATATATATATATATATATATATATATATATATATATATATATATATAGTGCAGCATATAACCATCTGGCTTATAGATATATTTCTCTTACAACCGTTACCTAATTACATTATTGGTATGTGTGGGCTGCATGAAGAAGGTAGGGTTGGCACCAAAATTATTTACCCTGAGTGTTTTTCTGGGGCCCATAAGCCCTAACTATATATGCATAACTAGCGGACCCATGGAATTATTTTAAGACATTAATCAAAAGCTATTGTTATCAAACTTTTGTGTGTTTATTGAAACAGGTAGCAGTCACAGGTGTATTCAGATCCTAAATGGAAATGCAAACATGAACAGTAAACAAAAAGTTGACGTAAATTTGAGTCCTGATACTCTGTGTCAGCACATTAAGTTAAACAATTTACTTCGGTATTTTTAATTCCATACGGGCGAGATTAAAGTTACGGTTGCAGTAACATAATTGCTGTAAAAAAACGAATTATTTTAACGAACGGGTGTATTTCTTCTTTATAAATCTTTTGTATCAGTGGCGACGCTAGGTCGGGGGTCACCCGGTACGGCACCTAATGGTGTTATTTACCACCATCCTTGTTGGGATTTGTAAACATTGCTCTTAAACTCTATTTAACTCTAAATAATCCTTTTATTTAACTGGAATGGTCATTTTCTGTATATATGTTATTATATTAAAAAAAAACATTCTCCCATATCTCATTAATATGTTAATTTTTCAAATCTATTTTAAATATTCGTTTTATTTTTGAGTCTATCGTCTTTAAACGAATAGATAGTATGAGAGTTGTATTTAATTTGTTTGTTATTTATAACGACATTTGTGGCTGTCATAAATGTCAATAAAACCTGTATTTGTTTGTTTTATGTATAGTAATAATAAGGTTGCGTAGAATAGCCGATCAACATGAACGCTACAAAGTGAAAGAGTTCACTCAGTGCTACTATAAACTGGCTTACTTCCCCTATCCTGGTGCACTGTCCTTGAAGCTTAGTGTCACGATATTTTTGTAGTTATTTCTTGTTTTTCTTGTAAGCCGACATTGCATAAAAATATTATTTTTTTATCAAAGACGCACTAGTGTCAGGGGTAAGAATGACGTCCCTTGCGTGAAAGCGGCTGACATTATTTTATGATGGTCGCCAAATTCGTAACTTCATTTTTTTTTAAACAATAACTTTCTTGGGAATTAAGTTAATCCCGTCCCATTTAATCGCACGACATAATTTTAATTACTTCAAATAAACGATATTTTTTTAAAAGAAAAACTATTTTCTTAAAAGTTTACAAAACATACATTAGGAGGAGAAACCTTTTAAGCGAAAGTCTAATGAACGGAAGGCGACAAGCGACCCAAAACGTTCAACACGCGCTAACGTAACCAGGAAATTAAGTGATGTCGTCAATCATGTCTTACCTGCCTATCCTGCTACAGGTAAATGTCCTTCTGCTGGATGCTATATAACGGCTGGTCACTCTACAGGTCTGGTACCAACAGACAACACAAACAGTTGCCTCAACTCTCCAGCTTCAAGCTCAACTACACAGGTATATTTCTTTTTACTTTCAAGATATATATATACATATATATTTATATGTATATATATATACTTATTTATTTATTTATTTATGTATATAAACATATATATGCTATATATATATATATATATATATATATATATATATATATATATATATATATATATATATATATATATATATAAATGAGTATAAAAATACATATATACACACACACATATAATATATATATATATATATATATATATATATATATATATATATAGCATATATATATGTGTGTGTGTGTGTGTGTACATTTGTGTGTAATGTATACATTGTAGGTATACATTAAATTTTATAAAATATGTCCACAGATTAACCATGGCCATTACTGCACTTATCGGACTAGTACTTCTGTGTGGTAGGTTTTATCTTTCAAAATATCTACGTTATTTAAATGTGCAGTTAACACTTGAGATTTTTGCAATAAGAAAAGAAACAAATGTTCTGTTGATTACAATGTCTTTCCCAAGCAATTACATTACACAAACGTTATTTCATAGGTTTTAATTAGACTTTTATTACAAGCGTGCTTTAGTTACAAAAATTATATGACTTTTTTTTTTGTATATGGCAGTTGTATGTGAAAATTACATCGTCTATCACTAGTCGTGTCCTTGTAAACAGATCAATGACATCGTTAAAAAATCGTTACATTTTACTACTCTCGTTAGTTTAAATAAAATTTAAAAAATCTCGTTCAAGATTAAATGTTAACCTTAATTTTAAGAATTGCTTTATTTTTTCTTTTTCAGTTGCTCCATCATTCCAGCAACCGGTAAGATTAGCGTCCCCGCTTACAGATTTAATTCGTTGTAAAAGGATTCAGTCATACATGTCATACATTATTTTTGTGAACACACTTAAAAAAACCAATGATTCCTCTTTATTAGTGATCATTTGGGCAAATGAAGTAGAGTTCATATGTTTTTTGACCTGGACATTTGTAGGGACGGTGTGGTCAACACAATGCCTGCCCCCCCCCCCTTTACTCTCCCCAACGTAAGTCAGGTACCCATCAGAGCTGGATGGACTCAGGGACTTCCTACAGTCACAAGTCCGAGATCTAAACTCGAGACCTACGGCGATAGCCAACCACTATCCTATTCGACCACGCCGTGTAAACAACAGTTGTAAATAAATTTCAGAATTTAATGTTGTAAAACTAAACAAGAAACAATCACATTCGCGGGGAGGGGGTGAGGAGGATGATTGCGATCAGAAATTACATCAAGCATATTTAGCTTTGCCTATGATGCTATTTATATTTTATTGTTATTTCAGGGATTTAAAGGTGGACCAATGTAAGTGTATTCTCATTTTTCTACTTTTTATTTCATACTTTTATGTTTAATTTAATGCTTTAATATTTATTGTAATACTTAAATATTTAATTTAATACTTTAATATTGTATTTAATACTTTAATAATTAATTTGATACTTTATCATTTAATTTAATATGTAAAACAACAACTGAAATGCGTTAGGTTATGGAGGCAGCCATACAAGTAGTTCCCGTATGTCTTGCTTTACTCAGGATTCTGGCTATAACTTTTGTCGAAAACGTCCTGAGCATACACTTGTATAATTATACAAACACCTGTTACTGGGTCGTATATGTGCGTATTTAGCATGCGCTGTTTCTGCTTAAATGATAGAATAGAAAAATATTAAACGTGTAGAAGTAAACATACAAATATCTTGTACAAATCAAGCAATTTATAACTTAAGCGGTAACAAGATTGTTTCTTTTTGATATGTCAGTTTCTATAGGTTTGTTTTAACCAATAGCCAAGACTACTACTGAAAAGCTATTAGTCTTTATACCGTCTTAATCTGCTATTTATATGGGGGTGTGTTGGTATTTTTAGAAAAGTCACACAATTTTAACTATGTAAACAAATAGAGTTTTGAATTAGAAAGTAACCACGTTTTATTTAGATATTTGTTTCGTTCATTAATACACGTATTACAGTTTAGAATCATCCAGGTTTTTACATGTTTTAAAACCTGCAGGCATTTTTTTTAATTTAATTTTTAAAAATGTAAAAATTACTTTTTTTCTACAGTAACCATGGTAACTGCTACGACCGTTGTCTGTCGGCCTACCAAAGAAATCCTAACGCCTACTTTGTAGCTGGGTGTATCTGTAACCAATACGACTTCAAGAACGGTGTCCCCATTGATGGCGGACACATTGGTGGAGGACACATTGGAGGCATCAGAGGTAGGAGACAAATATTTTCTTTCACTCAACCCCTCAGACAAAGCTTCTAGTTTAAAAGTCTCAGAATCTACCCCATTTTACTTGCCTGCTCACAGATTAAGTAAATGAATGGTAGTTCCACATTGCTTTATTCTTTCTGTGTGCTGTCGGATGTTAAGAGGAGAATTTAAAAATCCAAACCTATTCAGACAATTATCTATATATATAATTCTCTTCTGGGAGACGCTAGAAAACAAGCTGTAAACGCGCTCCCTACCATCCCCACCCCTGCATGGTCTTAGTGAGCTGTGGTTCACGCTATGTTTACCTTCGTGGAGTCGGGTTTAGTGACGGCTATTAGGGGCAGATAATTTAGTTTGAAACGATTTTAAACGTTTGGGGGGTTGGGGGGAAGGGGGGGGGGTTATGGTCCTTAACGAGCTACTTATAGTGTTTTAAAGAAATATTTTCAGTGTCAGCTTTGGTACTGTCGAATTCACAAATTATGAATTACTGAAAAGTAGAAAAAACAACAACTAAATAGCGGCGTATGTTATGCCGCGGGCCGGCTCGTAGCTTTTAAAAGGAGACCGCGATAATTAGGGGTAGCACTTGCAGACAGAGCTTTAAGTCCCGATTCGTTCACGGGTCCTTCAGCTCTAACAGCTACCTGACACAAATCGGGTCTACGTGGCTTAGCTCTGACTTTTTTTTCAAATCGTTAGTGAAATAGTCACGTGTTTAACAATACTTTTATAATAGTAGTAACAATAGTATGCCCATCTGCCTTTACTTTCCCTAACGAGAGAAAATGTATTCATAAGAGCTGGGTGGATCCAGGAAAGTTCTACGGGTTTGAACGTGGATTCGAAAAAGAGACTTTTGGGTTAGCAGTCGTACGCTCCACCATTAAATCACGTCGAGATGTAAAAATATCGGTTTATTCTATCCAGCAGTTCGAGTAAACTTTATTTGTTTTCCTCCCCTCAGGTAACTGTGGCTACCTGGCCCCCAACTGCCGTGCCAGCCCAGGTGAATACAACGCCGTGTACAGGTACACCTACGACAACCAACTCAAGACCTGCGTCAAAGTCTTCGTCTACAACTCCTGTGCCTCGTCTTACGGCGTCGCTAGCAACTTCTTCCTGACCCAGTTGGAGTGTTCCCAGGCTTGCGAGTACAACAACAGGAAGTATTAAAGGATCGTCATAATCCCAACACTCTGATACAAAGTCTTAGATCAACATAGGAAGTTTTAAAAGATCGTCATAATCCCAACACAAAGTCTTAGATCAACATAGGAAGTTTTAAAGGATCGTCACAATCCCAACACTCTGATACAAAGTCTTAGATCAACATAGGAAGTTTTAAAAGATCGTCATAATCCCAACACTCTGATACAAAGTCTTAGATCAACATAGGAAGTTTTAAAAGATCGTCATAATCCCAACACAAAGTCTTAGATCAACATAGGAAGTTTTAAAGGATCGTCACAATCCCAACACTCTGATACAAAGTCTTAGATCAACATAGGAAGTTTTAAAAGATCGTCACAATCCCAACACTCTGATACAAAGTCTTAGATCAACATAGGAAGTTTTAAAAGATCGTCATAATCCCAACACTCTGATACAAAGTCTTAGATCAACATAGGAAGTTTTAAAAGATCGTCATAATCCCAACACAAAGTCTTAGATCAACATAGGAAGTTTTAAAGGATCGTCACAATCCCAACACTCTGATACAAAGTCTTAGATCAACATAGGAAGTTTTAAAAGATCGTCACAATCCCAACACTCTGATACAAAGTCTTAGATCAACATAGGAAGTTTTAAAAGATCGTCACAATCTCAACACTCTGATACAAGTCTTAGATCAACATAGGAAGTTTTAAAAGATCGTCACAATCTCAACACTCTGATACAAAGTCTTAGATCAACATAGGAAGTTTTAAAGGATTGACAAAATTCCAACACTCTGATACAAAGTCTTAGATCAACATAGGAAGTTTTAAAGGATTGACAAAATTCCAACACTCTGATACAAAGTCTTAGATCAACGTTAAAGGAGCGCTATATCGCCAACCTTTTTGTCACCAATAATAATTTAGAAAAGCCAGTATAGTTTAAAAATAATGATGTTACACACATTTTTTTCGTTTGCCATGATAAAAAAAACTTAATTTTTTTTCTGTTAAAAGCTTCGAAAACTGGCCGATTGTCATATGATTTTGATTCAAGAATAGTTTGCCTTTATCTGACAACATCCAGTTGTAGATAGATTGTTTAGAATTATAGCGTGTGAATGACTGTTTGATGAAGAACGCTAGTTTATAATTATGTTTTTTTCTTTACTGTAAAATGTTTAATGTCAAATACATCGACCAGTGTGTGGATACAAATGTGTTAAGACAAGTGAGAAACAAAATATGTCATTGCTCAATTTCCATCTGTCATATGTGATCTTTTATGTGAGAGTTGAATAAAATTTTTTGAATTATATTTTTGAACTTTTTATACTCGTGTCCATTAATTTGTACTTTCCCGTGTATACGAAGTATAGAGAAAGTCTTGTAATCGTGCAAAAAAAAATCGAGATTTTTGCAAATCTAGACGTTTTAGTGCTCCCTGAGTCGATAAAACATAATTTTGCAATCTTGTCCGTATGTCTGTGTGTGTGTGTGTGTGTGTGTGTGTGTGTGTGTGTGTGTGTGTGTGTGTAAACACGATAACTTGAGTACGGTTGATGAAATTTCATATATAAATATTTTATCAAAATCGTAGATCAAAATCAACTTCTGAGCGATTTCCGATAACCGGGAGTGGAACTTTTTCTACTTTGAATTTTTCAAAAACCTATAACTTGAGTACTATTTTAGATAGTTAAATGAAATTTCACATGTAAGTAAAAGTTCTAATTCTCTACCTCCTACCAAATTTTGAGTAATTTCCGATACCGGAAGTAGTAAATTACGCTATTTCCGAATTCTCAAAAAAACGCATGAAAATTAATAAAGTACTAATAATATCCCGCAATTCTTTTTTTACGAGATTCTATTCTATTTTTAAAAGTTTAAGTAATTAAAAATGGATTTAAAATATTGTCTATGCCCGAGTTGCCATCCCCCGTAGTGTTATTAATACTAACGAGAAAAATGGCCCGTTGAGGGAGGATACAACGGGCGCTAGGTTGATAGTGCTGTCTATTTTCTCGGTACTTTAATTTATTCAAAATATAGTTATAGGCATATCCCTAAAACATGCACCTAATCTCAATGACAAAAGTCGCATTAAGAGCATTAAGAGTTTCTTTCAGGCAACTGTACTTGGGAGGAGGGGGTTTCGCCCCCCCCCCCCCCCCCCCCACCACACACACACTCCAAAACATGTCTACCGTCCCATTCAACGAAATATAATTAGATACTTTTTCCAGTGTCCGCCCCCTCCCTGAAAATTCTACCCCCGCCCCCGAAAATTTCAAGTACCCCCCACCCCTTTCCTGGGAGGAAAAAGTCTGAAAGAAACACTGGTCGCATTTGTAGATCATACAAACTAAAGGAAGAATCTGGGCGGGGCTTCGCCCCTACCGGAAGAGGTGCTTGGAAAAAAAACTGCACGCTAAACACTATTTAGATTAGAAAAAGTTTCCCCCTCCGGAGAGGAAAAAGTCTGAAAGAAACACTGGTGTCGCGCTTAGCCACTACCCGAAGAATTGCATTAAAGAAATTGCAAGAAAACCACTTTTTAGATAAGACACATTAATTAGGCGGTAATTTTATTATAGAGCAGGGGTCTCCAAACTACGGCCCGCGGGCCGGATGCGGCCCGCGAAGTCCTCTCATCCGGCCCGCGGAGATCTTTTTGTCTAAGGAAAAATCGTTTGTTGGTGATGGTTGAGGAACTTTGCCCACAGAAATCAAAGACATGCCTTGAAGAAACTGGCCCCCAAACTGAAATTTGATAGTTAATGTGGCCCTCGGTCTGAAAAGTTTGGAGACCCCTGTTATAGAGTATCAATGACGACATTTCTTTTTAGTTGGGGGGGGGGGGAGGGGGGCGGCTTAGATGTTCATTCTCGAGGGTGGGGCTTCGCCCCTACCCGAAGAATTGTATGAATGAAACTGTTCACGCAAACCACTTTTAAGACTAGACAAAATTGCCTTTTTATTCAATGTTTACTCGAGAATCAATGACGTCATATTACTGTGTGCACTCTCCGGCTTGAGATTATTTTCTACTCTATGCTAAATGTGACGACGTCATACTTCGTTTTTCGAATTACTATGCATGTTTTTAATTTGCTTGTGTTTTCTCTAGAGCGTTCTTGTAAGATACATAGATAGATAGATACACAGCTAGATAGATAGATAGATGTATCTGACAAGAACGCTCTAGAGAAAACACAAGCAAATTAAAAACATGCATAGTAATTCGAAAAACGAAATATGACGTCGTCACATTTAGCATAGAGTAGAAAATAATCTCAAGCCGGAGAGTGCACACAGTAATATGACGTCATTGATTCTCGAGTAAACATTGAATAAAAAGGCAATTTTGTCTAATCTAAATGGTCTGCGTGCAGAGTTTCTTGCATACAATTCTTCGGGTAGGGGCGAAGCCCCATCCCCGCTTAAGAACGTCTGAGCCCCCCCCCCCAACTCAAAAAAAATTTCTTCATCGATACTCTATAATAAAATTACCGCCTAATTAATGTGTCTAATCTAAAAAGTGGTTTTCTTGCAATTTCTTTAATGCAATTCTTCGGGTAGTGGCTAAGCGCGACACCAGTGTTTCTTTCAGACTTTTTCCTCCCCGGAGAGGGGTGGGAGTACTTGAAATTTTCGGGGGCGGCGGTAGAATTTTCTGGGACGGGGTGGACACTGGAAAGTAGAGTTGCCTGAAAGAAACTCTAAATGCGATTTTTGTCATGAATGAGATTAGGTGCATGGTTTAGGGATATGCCTATGACTATATTTTGTATAAATTTTTGTATAAATTAAAGTACCGAGATAATAGACAGCACTATCAACCTAGCGCCCGTTGTATCCTTCCTCAAAGGGCCATTTTTCTCGTATTAGCATATTCGAGAAAGTTTAGGGGAGACCACTCCTGGTTTATTTACTAACGCAATATATCGGTTTCCTATGCATACATAAATTACGTCAAGATTTTATTTGGCAATTGTTACCTCCCTCCCTACCCTCCGTCACACATCGTCACAAAAAGCCAGACCGCCCCCTCCTGAATGGCATCACACCTCAACATAAACCCCCCCCCCCCTCAAAATTGCAGTAGAATTTTTTCTTAAAACATCGATATTTTTTCCAAAATCGTATCTGAACTCTGTCAACATAGAGTATTTTAATCAATTCCTGTTACAATTTATTAAAACCCTTTTCTTAAACACGAAATGCGGTTAAAACTCGTTTTCTAACATTGATTTTATATAATGCAAATGTATGACGTCATACCATCTGAACCCCCCTACCCCTACCCCCCCCCCCCGTCACAAATTTACGGACCCCCCCCCCCCTCCCCCTACGAGTGTGACGTCATTTATTAAGATATGCTTAATGAAACCGTTAATGATACCAAAACTTAAAATAGACAAAGAAATATTAATTTATATTAAAACCTTCTTTGCTTCCACTTTTTTTAAAAGAAACCAAAAGATAAATTGATGTAGTACAGAAATCTATTTCAGATTTTAGAGACGCAAACCACTCAAAAAATGGAACAGAAAAATAAGTACATTTTTTTTCTAAAATTCTTATGGCAATTAAAACTAATTTACACCAAAAAAATGTGAAAAATTTATAATAGAATAGGTCGTCGATAAAGTAATTTAGAAGTTGGGTAGAATTTATTTGTGGTGTCGGGACAAGGTCAAACGAAAGTCGTCGATGAGTTGGTAGTACAAATTCTGACTTTCTACTTCAGGAATTTAAACATTTCTGGTAATTTTAGGTTGCCCTAACCAATACCCCCACCGCACCCCCACCCAAACCTGTAGGCATATGTTATTTATTATTCTAAGCAATTTGTTTTCGTTTTTAAACAGCTAAATATATGTACTTTATTACGCAAATTCTAAAAAAAGAAACAACCCAACCCCAACAATTAAACAACATATTTATGCATGCAAATATTGTCAACATGTTGACTAATAAATATGCTAATAACTTCACTCATTGTTTCCTTTTCTCTGTGCACACAATATGCACTTTAGCTGGAGATTTTTTTTTTGCTTGTTTTTTTTTTTGTAGGCTACAACTTAAAAACAAAAATATTTTACTCATAAAATGTTTTCCCCTCATATTTTTCTCTCTATGATATTTTTGTTATTTCTCTTGCCCAATCGACGACTTTTTAGGTTAAATAATCTTTCTTTTCCAACAAGTCAAAATTTATATTTTTAATATTACTGACACTCACCTACCTCTTAACTGTTGATATCATCTTCTTTTACCATCAGTCCCCCAGACACATGGGGCAGATGAAGTAGAGTTCATTAATTACCTTGGCCTATAAGCGTATAGTGTGGTCAATACTATGCCAAGCTTCCATTTGTTTACCCTATCGTAAGTCAGTTACCCATCTGAATTGAGTGGACACAGGGTCTTTCTATAGATTTGAGACCGGGATCCGAACTCTAGGCTTTCAGCTTAGCAGTCGTGTGCTCTACTGTCCACCCACACCGCCAAATGGCTGCTGATAGTTCAACGTTGAACCACGAGTAAGCTGAATGTTAGACACCGTTAAGTTGCTGTTGAAACTGCCAGTAGGTTGGGTGAGCCTCAAGCTAGTTGTACGATTATTGCTAATATTAATACAATATTGCTACATAGTCTAATAGACCATTGGATGATAGCGTATCGGAAATCAAAGTACAAAGTCTTGGCCCTTTGTTGAGAATAGCCATATGTTGCTAATGTATCAGGCCCCCTCTCTCCACACGGAAGAACCTGTACCGCTTGGAAGCAGCAGTGTCGCAGGAGCTGCCGAAAGTTAACCAGAGTTGGTAATCCTATCGCCTAAGGGACTCCACTCCTGTTTGATTTCAGAGTTTTCTCCCCTGGATGGGTTGCTATCCCAAGTTGGAACGTGCTACAGACTTGAATCCGGATTCGAACTAGAGAATTTCGGGGTTAGGCGTATGCTCTACCGTTAAACCACGCCGTCCCACTGTGCCATTAATATAATGTAAATAATAATAATAATAAGACTATGTCGTAATTAATATTACGTAATTAACAGAATCAACGCAGTTCAACATACAATGAAATAAAAAGTGACAAGCAGCATTTGTTTAACTGTTTTTATTTTGTTAAAAAAAAAGTACACATATAATGAAGAGAAAATATAAAGGACATTTTATTTCAAAAAGGTGTTTGTTTTTCACTTGACAAAGTACCAAAGTGTTAGAAGGCCTTGACAAGTAAATACAAAACTTGAAAATCACACCACACAATATAAAACTAACTAGTTTTGTAAGAACTTAAAATAAAACGTAACAATCTAACATCTCATTTACACCACGGAAATGGGACAATACAAATATCGTGTAACTAACAACAGAATAAAAACATGTGTGCTTATTTAGCTTTGGTCTTTTATAAGCAATCATTTTTCTTTAACGATTTATTATTTTTCTTTTAAGCATTGACAGAAATGTAGCCAAAAAATGGTTTGTTAGCAATGACATTGAATGAATTTCTTTTTAATTGGATATTCATTTAAAACGACGTTTGCTTAAATTATATGAAAAACAATATCTAGTTGTGGTAATATCCCCTTTTGTGGTTTAGTTGTGCTTATATCCCCTGTTGAAGTTGAGTTGTGTTAACATCCCCTGTAGTAGTTTAGTTGTGTTTATTACCACTGACGTAGTTTAGTTGTGCGAATATCCCCTGTTGTTGTTGTGGTTGTTGTTGTTGTGTTAATATCCCCTGTGGTTGTTGTTGTTGTTGTACTCGCAGGCCTGTGAGCAGTCCAACAAGGTCTCGAACACGTTGCTCCCCGGGCCGTAGTTGAAAGCACACGAGTTGATAACGCTGACCTTGTTGCAGACCAGGCTCTTCCTGTCGTAGGTGTACCTGAACACGGCGTTGTAGTCGCCAGGGTTGGCGCGGCAGTTGGGGGCCAGGTAGCCACAGTTGCCTGGTTGGAAAATTTAGATTTAAAACTATTGTACTCGTTGATATACAATTTATGTTAACCATTGGTCTCATTAAAAGTTGCTACGTTCATGTATACTTAACTTGCTGATGAGTTCTTTTTAACACAAAGACAAAGTTGCTTTCATGATAAAAGGATGACGAAAAACAGTTTAATCTCAATGAGTTAGGGAGGTTAAATTATATAAATAATACTCAAGGAATAAATGTCAATTGGCTGAGTTAATATAAAGTTGAAGAACTTTAGGAAATAGCAAGGTTCGACAGCTCAAAAGATATGACAGTTTGCGTAACTTAAAGGATAGGACAAGGTTCGATAACTCAAGAGAAATCATAAGGTTCGGCAACTCTAAAAGGATAAAAATGTTCGAAAACTCAAACAAATGTGACGAGGTTCGACAACTCTAAAGAAAGGACACATTGGGCAATTTAACCTGTTACCACTGCTCAAATCGAGCGGGTAAATGACATTTATGTGCAGCTACACACATAAAATAACCTAATCTAAAACTAACACACATATTTTCTCCTTAGAATAAAACTTTAAATTATAAAATTTACCTCTATTTCCTCCACGACGGCCGTCCCCATCTCTGTGTCCTCCACCCACGGGTCCTCCGCCATTGCCATGGTGATTTCTATAATAAAAAATTAAGTTATCAAACCCTGCTGTTGTTGTCGCTATAAAGTTGACACATTATAGGCCTACATATACCGTTGTATTACATCGTTTATTTTTATTTTATTGTTTCCGTAAAAATACTATTTGAATTGAGTTTTTGCTAGATTTTATTATCAGATAGCTTTTCAACTTAGATTTAAGAAGCTGTTAGATTTTTTAAAATCATAGGGTTCATCCATGTTGTAAATAGCTAATTAAAACACAGATGGTGAGATGGACTAGAAGAAACTGCTGTAGTGTGTGGAGACGACAATAACAGAAACATAATGGTCAAGTCACAACTGGCAAGGTGTCATGGCTCTCTACAGTGACTCAATTGTCAAGTCACAACTGGCAAGGTGTCATGGCTCTCTACAGTGACTCAATTGTCAAGTCACAACTGGCAAGGTGTCATGGCTCTCTACAGTGACTCAATTGTCAAGTCACAACTGGCAAGGTGTCATGGCTCTCTACAGTGACTCAATTGTCAAGTCACAACTGGCAAGGTGTCATGGCTCTCTACAGTGACTCAATTGTCAAGTCAATCTATCAATTCCCGCACATCACTATTGCTTAGTGACTCTGACTCGCTGTCTAGTCGTAGAATCTGTGACTATCAATTTGTGACCGAATCTATGACCTTTATAATTCGATTACAAAATTATTCCTAAAAAAAATCACCGTTCTGTTGAATACACTGTTTGACACAACTTTGACTCATCTATAATTAAAACATTGACGTGTTAAACGCAGACCACTCCACCAGTCTAAAAATGATCGGTCAGAGTTTCTTTCAGGCATCTCTTTTGGAGGAGGGGGTGCACCCTTCCCCCCTTCTTTCCGAAATAGGGGTATTTTCTAAATAAATACATAGGCTACGCAATCAAATCTAACTAGCTAACGTTCTTTTGTTACATTTATAAAAGAAATATATATATGCTAAATTAAAGGACATATAACAACTAATTGGACAGTCCACAAAAAGCACATGGGAAAAAATATGACCTACCCATCGCCACCTCTATAATCACCCTGAAATTATAAAAATGTTCACGTTAATCTTTAATATAAATAAATGCACATAAGATCTAAATGTTCATGAAGTAAAATAAAAATTTAGCTAAAAAGTTTTTAAAAAAAAACAGTAGTCGAGCTCAAATTTCACAACTTTTATCATAATTAAATTAGACTTTTAAAGTTGGATAAGAATTTAAAAGTTTAATTTTTACCCTGGGCTGCTGAAAGGATGGGGCAACTGAAAGCAAAACAAAAAATAGCAAATTAATATGTATTTTTCAAATAAATTAACAGTCATAAAACTAACATTGTTTTCTGTAGACTGTGATACAACCTTTGTCTTTGTTAACATAGACGAGAAATACATATCTGATCTTCTTTACTTACCGAGAACAAGCATGAGTGCAATTATAGCAATGGATGTCATCTTGATACTGTAGAGTTAAGAAAATGAAATATAAATGATTATATTGAGTACGTCTACACAGTGGTGGGACCAAGTTAAAAATCACTACAAATCATTTAAAGATAAATAGAACCCAACGTCTACCTGTGTAAATGTTCTAGTTGATACCTGTTCGCCTGATGGTCCCAGAACTCGAGTGTCCAGCCGTTTTATAAGACTCGGCAGGACATTTACCTGTGGTGGTGTGGGAGTGGGGGGGGGGGGGGAGTCAGGTGAGGAGGACAAGATTGATGACATAACCAAACTTCCGGGGTTGTTTTGAGCTTAACGGGGCGGGGGTGTTTTTTTTTCTTTTCTTAAAAAAAACAGAGCTTAAGGGGGGGGGGGGGGGGGGGAAGGAGTTAGTATTTACTCTAACATAAACATTCGGTTAAACGGAAAGGCTGAGTATTGTTTTTTTTTTGTTTACAACATTACTTATACGCTTCGTAAAAAAAGCGTATGCAGCAAATTTGCGATAAAGCGAAACAAGAATAACCTATTTCTCAAAGGAGTAGTTGCTGTAAAAAGCTGTAGCGAGTGACGTCAGGGCTCTGTCTGTCATAATTACGCAAAAGGCGGCACTCTGGGTCCTGACATCTTGACGCATTCAACGAAAAATGTTTTCTCATTATAACTTGGAGAATAAAAACAAACAAATTTTACGAGTGGGGGGTCATGATTCACTTGAAGGTTAGCATAATTGTGGCGGAGTACTGGTTGACCTCATGTGGTCAACCACACAAAGGCTATACATATATATATATATATATATATATATATATATATATATATATATATATATATATATATATATATATATATATATATATATATATATATATATATATATATATATATGTATAAATATATATATATATATATATATATATATATATATATATATATATATATATATATATATATATATATATATATATACAGTGGCGTAGCGAGGTCGGGCGTCATCCGGTGCGGCACTTAATGGTGTCACCCCCCCCCCCCCCCCAGAGGCGTAGCGACCCTTCACGGGGACAAACTTTAAAATTTTCGATTTGCACCCCCTTCCCTCAAGTTTTCGATTTGCAGCCCCCCCCCCCCCTCAAACTTTCGTTTTGCACCCCCCCCCCCCCTCAAGTTTTTCTCTATATATTTTGCTCTTTTTTGCCTTGGTGTCACCCCCCTAAATGGTGTCACCCGGTGCGTTCCGCACCCCCGCCCCCCCTCGCTGCGCCCCTGTATATATATATATATATATATATATATATATATATATATATATATATATATATATATATATATATATATATATTGCGATAGTGTATGATATATTACGATATCGTCTTGTAGGATGTTGTGCCTATGGCATGTAAACAAGTTGTCTGTCAAACTAATTGTTGTCCAGGCGGCTGACCTAAAAGTTGACCTTCTTGTTGTCCTCAATGTTGACCTCACTGTCGTCATGAAAGTTGACCTATCTACTAACCTGAATGTTGACTTCTCTGTTGTCCTGAATGTTGACTTCTTTATTGTCCTGATTGTTGACCTCTTTATTGTCCTGAATGTTGACTTCTCTGTTGTACTGAATGTTGACTTCTTTGTTGTCCTGAATGTTGACTTCTCTGTTGTCCTGAATGTTGACTTCTCTGTTGTCCTGAATGTTGACTTCTTTGTTGTCCTGAATGTTGACTTCTCTGTTGTCCTGAATGTTGACGTCTCTGTTGTCCTGAATGTTGACTTTTCTGTTGTCCTGAATGTTGACCTCTTTATTGTCCTGAATGATGACCTCTCCTAATTTTGCTAACCTAACAATTATTCGCCTAGTTTTAAGCCCAGTCTTAAATCTCTCTACTTGTCAAGATGTGGCACATTATTCACCACCAAAACACAACAGCGTGTACCGTATACTCTCTAAATGTCACCGTCATTTAATGTCAACAAGCGCACCTTCCCCAACTAGCTAGACAAAAAATAAAAAATTTAGAGGCTCGAATTAAAAAGATTTACGACTTTATTAGCCGCATAAAAAAAATTACTGTACACAAAAATAAGCTGTTGAATCTGCACTTTGTCTAGAAATATATTAGCTTGACTCTACTGCGACTGTGAATACAAACGTACGGCCTGTAAACAAATACAGTTCATCACACTGGTTGTTGGGCAACTGACCTTATCTGAAAACAAAACCACACAAAGGTTACCGGATAAGTTACACATTTTTTAAGCAAACATGGGACTGGCTAACCTTGGAGAGAGAAACTTAATGTTACTAATTTAAAGATAATTAATTAGAAACCAGAATCCGTGTTTTGCTTTGGCCCATAGGCCATAAGTAATGTTGCTGATCTCAATTATTTGCTAATTTTTAAAAAAAATCAAAACTGCTTGTTTTTAAAGTTGTTGTAGGTTAAAACTAATAAACAGTTGGCAGATGATTATGTTTGAATAGAGATGATTGGCCCTTGCTAGTAGAGGTAAAGTGGGGTTGCATTAAGTTGAATTCGGATTCCATTCAGTAGAACGTCCCTGAGTCCACCCAGCTCTGATGGGTACCTAGCTTACGTTAGGGAAAGTAAAGGCGGCTGGGCATAGTGCTGACCACATTATCTATTCATATGCCGAAAGAAGGTCACAGAAACAGGTGAACTCTACTTCACTTTTCCGTGGTCCGTCAAGTTCGAAAAGGGAACTTTTTCTTAAAATAATCCAATATCTTCTGTAAACAAGCGATAACTGCTCATTTCTTTGGCGCACCTATACCCAGGGTGGGAGTCAGCGTGCAGGTGCGTTGAGCATGGGCAGTGGTCAGTGTAAAAAGGACCGAGTTCATCGGTTACCGGCCCTTTTATCGCACCAGCGACGGCCTGTCCCATAAGCCTTTTTGGCTTGGGATGAGTCACAATGTAGATCTAGCGACTGAACAATCTAACGGTCCTGGGATTCGAGCTGACACGGGGGAGGGGGAGAATGGGGGTGAGGGGGAATAGGCGGAGCACAGGTAGGGGTGGAGGTCGTAACGAACATGCGTTAAAATTACATTAACGTCACAGTTTCTTTTTAACAACCTTTTTTTTTATTTTAAAAGTACATGTCCCAAGCTTGAACTCACTTGTATTAATGTATGTATTATAAAGTACCTTATTTATAAATACTTGCTATTCAGACTTGGCATCAAGACTTAAAGACTTCGTTATGCTGACTTGGCATCAAGACTTAAAGACTTCGTTATGCTGACTTGGCATCAAGACTTAAAGACTTCGTTATGCTGACTTGGCATCAAGACTTAAAGACTTCGTTATGCTGACTTGGCATCAAGACTTAAAGACTTCGTTATGCTGACTTGGCATCAAGACTTAAAGACTTCGTTATGCTGACTTGGCATCAAGACTTAAAGACTTCGTAATGCTGACTTGGCATCGAACGTAGGCAAGTTTGAAACTTTTATAAAAATGTACACTGTCAACAGCAGAAACGGGCAGTCAGTCCTGCATTAATTAATTAGTGATAATTAATGTGAGAGGACCGCGCGGGCGTAATGCATTATGTCATCCAGACAAGTTTAATGCCCACTCATCTCCCTCCCCCCCCCCCCCCCCCCCATCTCCCTCAGTCGCTGAAAGTCGGTTAGCTCGACCATTTAACACCCGCGCCTACCAAAACACACACATCTGCTTGCTCGCACACACATACACCTGTACAATCAATGAGCTTCTATATCCCCAATACCAACAGGCTCTAAAAGTAAAGTAAAGGGCCTGTGTGAACCTCACATTCCGTGGGGAAGGTGAAGTAGAGTTCACCTGTTTCAGTGACCCGGGGCATATGAAGGGATAGTTTGGTCAGCACTATGGCAGGTAAAGGGGAAATCTGTGTGGACCAAACCCGACACACACACACATACATATACACACGTACACACACGTGTCCACGCCCGTACAGAAACACATACAAACGTTTACATAGAGTCACAAACATATACACACAGACCCATCGACACGGTGTTAAAGAGAGAGACACACACATATACACCTAAGCCTTTACAGAATCACACACACAGACACACATACACGGCGTTAAAGAGAGAGACACACACATACCTCCACACCTGCACAGATACACATACACCTAGAAACACAAACGCGTTTTCACAGGTTACGACACACATACACAACTTTATAGCGACAGGCAGACACATACCCACACAGACACACTCAGACACACCGATACCCACGAAAAGGCGACAGACACGCCCTGGTAAAGCTACAGTATCAACTGTATCTTCACGCCCTGTGTAATAAGTGAAATGAACCGTTCTGTTGTTGGGATAACCCATACTGGTTTGACTGCCTTTTAAAATAAAACTTTTTACTTCCCTTGCCACACACGCGATTAAGTCATGTTTAAATCAAACGAAATATATCAAGTAGAAGTCGGCAATTACATTTTTTAAATAAACAAACTATTTTTTTTAATTCGAATACAAAGATCTTGTCAAGCAAGGTGAGAGAGTTTAAGAAAACGGTCAAGCATGTAAATAATATTTATTTTTATCAAGGTTTGTGCCCAGATAGGATCTATACGACAAAGCAGTTATTTTTATTTATTTAATTTATTTTTGTCTCTGTTTCGCTGTATCTCAACTCTAAGCGTATAGAAAGGAATGTTAAAAGAACACATTGTCATATGCTTTATGTGTAGAACGACAGAGATATAAGGAAAGTGCCCCGTATTAAAGAGTATTATGTTTTTACTTGGGTTACGCAAGAGAAGTAAAAAAAACATACGGATATTGTTGGCGGGATTCAATCATCGTTGTATGTAGGATTGTAGTTCTGTGAGGTGAGTTGGACGTAAAGATCAAAACAATGTCTTATATATAATTCAACTCTTTATTAAGCTAAAATGAAAATAATTACAGAAAAAAAATGACTTAGTTGAAAACACGAAGCGAACATAGGTCCTCACTGGGCATTAGATTCATATATAAACCCTAACGTGTGACTATCTTCAGATATTGAAGGGCACCAGTTCAAAAGTTAAACGTTCTTGAGATAGTTTTATATCGTGTGTGTAGATGGGTGTCCTTGAGATAATTTGTCCTGAGATCATTTGTCCTGAGATCATTTGTCCTGAGATCATTTGTTCTGAGATCATTTGTCCTGAGATCATTTGTCCTGAAATCATTTGTCTTGAGATCATTTGTCCTGAGATCATTTGTCCGTGAGATATTTTGTCTGGGATATTTTTTCTGAGATAATTTGTCATGGAAACTTTTTTATCGTGTGGTGTGGAGAAAGTGTTTTCTGTGGAGAAAGGTGTTTGCTTTTTTTTGATGTATGTCAAATGAATAATGGAGAAATGTTAGTTTTTCAATGTTGCAATGTGCTAATATGTCTCCACATTGTGTAAATGTGTTTTGATTTAGACATAGCCTACGTGCTAATATGTCTGTGCATGTGTAAATGTGTATTGAGTTAGGTATGTGTGCCAATGTGCAAAGTGTAAATGTGTATTGAGTTATGTGCTAATGCGTCTGTGCAAAGCGTAAATGTGTTTATAGTTATGTGCTAATGTGTTTTTGTATTACGACAACACTTCAACGGATCAGCTCCATAAAGTTGAACTAAACTATCACGCCATTATAAGGTTAGACATGCATGTTGTTTGAGGCAGTGGCGTAGCTAGGGGAGGGCGGGTGGGGCGGCCGCCCCGGGCGCCGACCCTAAGGGGGCGCCAAAAAAGGTAGAAACATTAATTGAAAAGCTCATTTTAAGCTGAAGTATTAAGTTATATACAGTCAAAGTTACGAAAACAAACGACTTCAAGGCTTTTCACATTGATTTAACTGTTTTCTGTATAATTTTTATGGCACCGAAATAGAAAATCTAATGGAATAGTAACTGGTAAGAAGCTCCACAAACCTTTCTAATTTATTTATTTACTTTGGGGGGAGGGGGGCGCTTTTTCAAAGACAGGAATAACTATAAATAGAATGGGAGGGGCGCAAAAATGTATATTCCGCCCCGGGCGCCGGAATCGGTCGCTACGCCTCTGGTTTGAGGATATATGCAGGCTGACAGTGTATTATTTCTATACAGGCCCGAAACCAGATCAGTGTAGTTTAGAGATTACTTGTGTAATGTGAACGAGCTGGGAGATTAAGTAGTAAAAAGGATATGACGCAGGTGATGTTTAGGGGGATGATATTCTATGAATGTTATCAGGTTAGTGGTAGTACGGGGAAATATTTCATTTAGTCTAGAGATCTAGAACCAGCGGAGATGTGATGTTTGTTTTACTACGGCGGTTTGGGGAACTTCTCTTGCTGGGCATCCATTAAAAACATTTTAAAAGATTTGCGCTTCCCCATGTCGTCCCCTCTTCTCTATAGATCTAGATCTAGAATCTGGTCTAGACCTAGATCTACCTACAGATCTAATATTTTTTAAACCAAATGTTGATAAAGTCTAGATTTTGTTATTACAGCTACCCACTCCTCTCTCCTTCCCCCCCCCCCCCCCCCCAAGCCATGAAATGTAAACATCATTCGAAATTATACAGAGCAAATTTTAAATTCATATACACTGTAAATATCGCTAAATATTGCTGTTCATTTTTCTTTCGCGATTTCTCCTAATCTCTAAATCGCACCCCCCCCCCCCTAAAAATTTAACTTTAATAGAAATCGAGAATTTAAACTGCTGTTGTAATAAAATCTTGTAGTAGAAGTGCATAGCCATGTGTAATTACCTAGTCTAGTGGAGTTACAAAATGTATTGGTGTTCATGCTTGTTGGTATTGTAAATTTCGTTGCATTTACTAATTGTGCAAACGACCAGATCAGATAGCCACTCTTAGAATTATTGTAGAACAGACGATAGAATGGCAAGCCCCGCTTTACATCTGCTTTGTTGACTTTGAGAAGGCCTTTGATAGTGTGGATAGGCAAACAATATGGAATCTGTTGAGACACTATGGTGTACCTGCTAAGTTAGTGGAAATAATCCAGCAACTTTACAATGGATTTTCATGCCAAGTTAGCCATGCAGGGAAACTGTCTAAAGAGTTCCAGGTCAACACAGGTGTGAGACAAGGATGTCTGCTGTCGCCCCTCCTCTTCTTGGTAGTTCTCGACTGGGTGACACGCACAGCCTATGCCAGTTCTGGAAAAGGTATTCAGTGGACACTCACGGGGAAACTAGAAGATCTGGAGTTTGCAGATGATCTTGCCTTACTCTCGCACAGGCTACAGGACATGCAAGAAAAAGTTGATGCTTTAGGAGCCATCTCGCAGCGCGTAGGTCTGAAGATCAACAAAGAAAAGACGGAAATGATGAGAATTAACAATAAACAGGAGGCTCCAGTGTCAATAGACGGAAGACAGGTAAAAGATGTGCAAGAGTTTGTCTACCTTGGCAGCAAGATCAGCAAAACGGGAGGCACAGAGGAGGACATACGCGCTAGAGTTAATAAAGCCCGCTGCGCTTTCACAGTCCTGCGACCCATATGGAAAAGTTCGGCCATCTCCATTACCACAAAAATTAGGATATTTAACTCTAATGTCAAGGAGTTCTGCTGTATGGAGCAGAGACATGGAGAGTCTCCAAGGCAAGCACAGCAAAGATACAGACCTTCATGAATAGATGCCTTAGACAGATACTGAAACTGAGATGGCAGGACAAAGTGCCGAACTTGGAACTATGGAGGAAAGCTAGGCAGGAGCCTATAGGTGTGCAAATAAGAAGGAGGAAGTGGCGCTGGGTGGGTCACACACCGCGAAAGGCTCACACAAATGTTACACGCCAAGCGCTTGAGTGGAACCCCCAGGGAAAGCGGAAGAGAGGGCGCCCAAGACAGACCTGGAGGCGGAGTCTTCTTGAAGAACTGAAGCCAATAGGGATGTCTTGGGAGATGTCAAAATTAATAGCCGAGGATAGGAAGAAATTGAAGGAAATGGTGGAGGCCCTATGCTCCATAAGGAGCAAAGAGGACTAAGTGAAGTGAAGTAAGTGAAGTGAAGTGCAAACGACCAACCAAACACATTTTTTATTTCATCGCCTATAATATATATATATATATATATATATATATATATATATATATATATATATATATATATATATATATATATATGTATTCTATTAGGAAAAACTCTATTTTGAGAGTAGTAATCTTGCTGATAAGATAGCACAAGTATGAAACATAACACCTCATGGTGTGTTAACTTGTAGCTGTATCTGTAAGATATTAACTTGCTTAACTTGTAGTTGTATCTGTAAGTTAACTTGTAGGTATAGAATGTTAACCTTTAGTTTTAAATGCGGGATATTAACATGTGGGTTTATATGGGGTAGCTGTAGCTGTGTGGTAACATTTGGCCGTACAGCCTGTAGCTGTATCTGTAGGATGTTAACTTGTGTCCGTACATGTAGTATGTCAGCCTGCAGCTGTATAAAAGTGTGGTGTGTTTATGTGTAGGCCTTTATATCGATCACTTTGATATTTTTTATTGATCTCACGAATATACAGATGTTACAGTTATTATTAAAAATAGGAGTGAGATCAAAAGCTTAATGAATTCAAATTATGTTGATTAAACAACCCCCCGCCGGGTGAGGGGGGGGGAGGTTACAATTACAGGGATGTTTACTGGTATAGAAGGTCAACATGAGCTCAAATTAAAATATGAGTCAAATTCTTAGCGCTATCGACGCCCCTTCCTAAATTTTTCCGCCAAATCAACACCCCCCCCCCCCTTCCCCCTGCGATACAATTTTAGACCCAGTCCTGTCAACGCCCCCTGGTCACACAAACTTTTCACTCAACCCTACACCCTACAACAGAGTGAGATTTTTTTAAAAATCAAACATCCCCTCTCCTTGACCCCTAACCACCCCCCCCCCCCCACTCCACCCCCAAATCAAATAATATCTGTCCTATTTCTCGCAAGGCTAACCAATCTACCTCTAGTGCGCACTAAAATAGCAGCATTTCGAGAGCCCGACAAAGGCTAGATTGAGCACTTTGAAGTAACGTTCGTGTTTTTATATCAGCCGGCGTGTAGAGGGGCGGGGAGTGTAGATAAGCAAAGCACGTAAGCGAGAGTCGGATAGAAACGGCACAAATAAATGATAGACGTGGGCATTCAAGCTGCCTGATTCCCGGCAAGTGGGTTTGTTTAGATTGGATTAATTTCACGTAAACGGTGTGTATGTTGTTTGCTGTGTGTTGTTTCATAGGGTAGCTAGCTGACTGTAGTGACAAGATATGCGTAGATCTATATTCTAGAATATATCAACTGGGGTTAAACAAGAGTTAATCTTTGCTTTATTTCTGTTGGCAATATATTATGCCTATGCTTTAAACATTATTGGAGTATCTTGTTTTAATGGTGAGTATTTTGTATTTTTCTAGATTCGAAGACTTTTTATAAACTGTAGTTAAAAATATATTTGCGTGTGTGTTTATTTTTATTACAAAATTTAAGTTTAGAAATAGAGCAACACTCAGATGTTAATTTGTTTTTAATATTCGTTCATCATGACTGTTGGTATATATTTACTTGTTATGTACAACAGGAATATGCGCCTTCTCATATCAACTTTCTATAAATATAATAATGATATCAGTCCATTTCAATTCACATGCCATTAATGTAAGACCATCACAACACACCTGTCCATAATACAGGTCCAACTTGACCCACCTGCCTTTAATACATGACCATCTCACCCCAAACTGTCTAAACTACAGGTCTACCTCACCCCACCTGTCTAAACTATACAGTACCATCTCACCCCACCTGTCTATAATACATGCAAATCTCCCCCCCCCCTTTTTATACTACAAGTCTACCTCACCCCACCTGTCTAAACTATACAGTACCATCTCACCCCACCTGTCTATAATACATGACCATCTCACCCCACCTGTCTATAATACATGCAAATCTCCCCCTCCCCCTTTTTCTATACTACAGGTCTACCTCGCCCCACCTGTCTATATTACACAGGGCCATCTCACCCTAACTGTCAATAAGTCCATCTCACATTAGCTATCTATAGGCCTACTACAGGACCATCTCAAACCACAGGTCTTCCTCACATATCTGTCTATAATTCCCGAGTCCTACATTTACATATCTCACCTGTCCAGTTCTTATAGCTAATCTTTGCTTTTAACTTTAGTAAAACACTTAGATCAAACATCAACTACCAGGCCGTAGAATCAAACCAGCCGCCCCATCATGTTTTCATCGTGTGCTAGGCTATGCGATAAAATGCATTATTGATTTTTTTTTTAATTATCCGGCAACATACATCTACCTGGTAAAAAAAAAAAAAAAAAAAAAAAAAAAAAACTACATAGAATCATCGCATGGCCATCGTCTGTGGACTAGAAACCTGTAAAAACAAAGCAATTCCATTTTTTTTTTTTTTGAGTCAAGCTCCAATATTGACGTAGTGTATTGTTATTCTTGGAACGATAGAACTGCAACTCCACTAGACACGTCACACACACATTAATTTGGGGGGGGGGGGGGGGGGGCTCAAAGATTTTAAAATAATCGTACCAGTTATAATTTTTTAAAGATTAGATAAAATTAGGCACATTTGTAAATTGATTTTTCATAACGCTAGACTACATAGCTTTAAAAAAATAGAATCTGTAGCCTAGGTATATTTTTATTTTAGATTCCAGGTAGAGTTTTGATTCGCTTAAGATAAATGCCCTGAGCTAGGGCGCATGCACTTGTGTATGTTAAACACGAAGATGAAACTAATATTTACAAAACTGAGACAAATAAATAAACCGCCCCGTTGTTTATTAATCCAGCCCCCCCCCCCCTTTACGTAAAAGGTATTTGCATTTCGTTTAGACAGCGCGCATTCCTACACATAGTCAGTACTCAGGTGTTTTACAGGGAATTGGGTCGTGTCTAAAAATAGATTCCCGCGGTCGGTACTAGTGAATGATGTGTAGTACTAAACGCGACCCCGATGACGTAGGGAAATCATTGTTACACTGTGTACGCCGTGACCTCTCGCGCACGGTGACTTTGAAAGCGTGTTCCACATTCTAATCCTGCTCTCCGGGAATGTCATTTTAATTCAATTAATCTTTCCTGCATTTTAAATTATTTCAACCGAATATAAACCAAAAAATTAAAGTAGTTATGGGTCAAGGTCGATTCTATTGACAAGTCGTGTGTGGAATTCCTTTCTAAATATAAACAGTAACTTTTCGGTTGTTGTTTTTTTTATGTGTTTTATAGAACTGTTCTTCATCAGTTGTAAAATATTATTTTCAGTTTAAATAAAAATATTGAGTACAGTTTGTGAAATAAAATTTCATGCTTATCATTCTCATTCTGTGAACTTGAAGCAGACGACAGCCTAAGATAAAATGTCGACAGTGACGAAACTATTGCCGTATGGATTAGTGACTGCTGGCTTGGTCATGTCGTTCTTGTGGTAAGTAAAAAATTCGGATCAATGTATACTTTGTATTGCGTTATATCGCAGCTATGTTGTTGTCGTGGTTGCCGTATAGTTTTATGGCCCACGTTAATTGAATCCACCTTTTGACTTGTAGTAAGACGAGATTAGATTAGGATTAGTTAAATCTCGTGATCTAATCTGACGAGGCATAAAAAAATGTGTCATGGTGTGTATAAATAGATCTTTATTTAGGCCACCGTCACCTGTCCTGTTGTCAGTATTGGGCGGGGGCGGCCCCCATTCAGTTATTTCATGAATAAGGCGTAAGAAAATATGTGTGGTAGGCCTACATAATTGTTTCGTGGTTTGTAATTGCGCGCGTTTGTTTGTGTATGTTCCTATGAATGTTAGATTTGTAACGTGAGTTGGTAGCCTATATGAAACTTAATTTACGTTGGTAAGAAGTTTGGTAAATAAAGAAAAGAAAAAAAAAGAAGAAGAAAAAACTTTTTTGCGTAATATAATATGTGCAAGCTTCAAACCACATAAGGACTGGGAGCATAGAGCCTAGAAGACAAGCACGAACTGTAGCTACTTTTTAAAAAACTCAAGCTATGAAAATCCACCCTCCCCCCGTCTGTGTTTCAAACAATCTCCTGTGATATTGTAGTCCACCCAACTAATTCTTTCCCTGTGGGTTCCATTCCCCCGCCGGTCGAGTGATTTGATCGATAGCACCTGTTTAGTGATGTGATTGACATCATCTGTTTAGTGATGTGATTGATGGTGCCTGTTTAGTGATGTGATTGACAGCACCTGTTTAGTGATGTGATTGACAGCACCTGTTTAGTGATGTGATTGACAGCACCTGTTTAGTGATGTGATTGACGGCACTGTTTAGTGATGTGATTGATGGCACCTGTTTAGTGATGTGATTGACAGCACTGTTTAGTGATGTGATTGACGTCACCTGTTTAGTGATGTGATTGATGGCGATGTTAAGTGATGTGATTGACAGCACCTGTTTAGTGATGTGATTGATAGCACCTGTTTAGTGATGTGATTGACAGCACCTGTTTAGTGATGTGATTGATGGTGCCTGTTTAGTGATGTGATTGACAGCACCTGTTTAGTGATGTGATTGACAGCACCTGTTTAGTGATGTGATTGACAGCACCTGTTTAGTGATGTGATTGACGGCACTGTTTAGTGATGTGATTGATGGCACCTGTTTAGTGATGTGATTGACAGCACTGTTTAGTGATGTGATTGACGTCACCTGTTTAGTGATGTGATTGATGGCGATGTTAAGTGATGTGATTGACAGCACCTGTTTAGTGATGTGATTGATAGCACCTGTTTAGTGATGTGATTGACAGCACCTGTTTAGTGATGTGATTGATGGCACCTGTTTAGTGATGTGATTGACAGCACCTGTTTAGTGATGTGATTGACAGCACTGTTTAGTGATGTGATTGACAGCACCTGTTTAGTGATGTGATTGACAGCACCTGTTTAATGATGTGATTGACAGCATCTGTTTAATGATGTGATTGACAGCACCTGTTTAGTGATGTGATTGACAGCATCTGTTTAGTGATGTGATTGACAGCACATGTTTAGTGATGTGATTGACAGCACCTGTTTAGTGATGTGATTGACAGTACTTGTTTAGTGATGTGATTGACAGATTCTGTTTAGTGATGTGATTGACAGCACCTGTTTAGTGATGTGATTGACAGCACCTGTTTAGTGATGTGATTGACAGCACTGTTTAGTGATGTGATTGACAGCACCTGTTTAGTGATGTGATTAACAGCACTGTTTAGTGATGTTATTGACAGCACCTGTTTAGTGATGTGATTGACAGCACCTGTTTAGTGATGTGATTGACATCACCTCTTTGTAATGTGATTGACAGGACCTATTTAGTGATGTGATTGACAGCACCTGTTTAGTGATGTGATTGACGGCACTGTTTAGTGATGTGATTGATGGTGCTGTTTAGTGATGTGATTGATGGCACTGTTTAGTGATGTGATTGATGGCACTGTTTTATTTAGGGATGTAATTGACGGCTAGGCCAATATAGGTCTACCTTTTTTCCTACAACGATATACACCCAACATAACCCAACATACACCCAACATACACCCAACATACACCCCATCACAACTACCATGCGTTTTTTAAATATGAAGTTTCTTACGGCCAACTGATGTTGGTTGTGGAGTGGGGAAGGAATACCCGGACACGACATAGACGTCGATACACATTCTATGGCAGAGGGTGGGGGTGAACTGGGGTGTTGAAGGAGATCTAGAGAGGGAAAATATAAAGCGACCCTATTTTACTTGAATAATATTATCATCACCGGCCCAAAAAAATTATTTCTACCCAGGGTCTCAGCGGGTACGTTCATCGCTGTTGACACGGTTCAATGGTTTGGTCGATGACACGTTCGTTATATGGTCAATGGTTTGGTCGATGACACGTTCGTTATATGGTCAATGGTTTAGTCGATGACACGTTCGTTATATGGTCAATGGTTTGGTCGATGACACGTTCGTTATATGGTCAATGGTTTGGTCGATGACACGTTCGTTATATGGTCAATGGTTTGGTCGATGCACGTTCGTTATATGGTCAATGGTTTGGTCGATGACACGTTCGTTATATGGTCAATGGTTTAGTCGATGACACGTTCGTTATATGGTCAATGGTTTAGTCGATGACACGTTCGTTATATGGTCAATGGTTTAGTCGATGACACGTTCGTTATATGGTCAATGGTTTAGTCGATGACACGTTCGTTATATGGTCAATGGTTTGGTCGATGACACGTTCGTTATATGGTCAATGGTTTGGCCGCAATTCACGTGCAGGTGCAAGCAACATGCGAGACGGGTTTCTTCCAGGCATCTCTTTTACCAATACCCCCCTCGGAAAAATTAAGTCCGCCCCCCCCCCCCAAAAAAAATATCCCCCCCCCTGAAGAAAAAAGTCTGGAAGAAATTCTGTGTGTATGGTCAGCTAGGATCTTCGAGAAGTGACCTCAATGCACCGTCTCGATCTAAACTTAACTCATTACAACCGATGATGAAAGCGAACGACTGTGTAACAATAGTCTTCTCTATGTGGCCAGTTAATTGTGACAATAGTCTCCCCATAGTATGTTTACCAGTCCATACTGACAATAGCAGAGTGTATGCAGCACATATTAAAACGTGTCAAAAGACTGAAGGCATGCCATTAGCACGTTTGGTGTCTGACGCATGTGCCTATGTCGCAACACAAGACACTGTCATCCAATACTGAAACAATGAAACCATTTACACACAGGAGACTATTGTCACATATACCAGCCACACAGCGAAGACTATTATAGTAATAGTACTCTGCAGCTAATATAGGCCTATTGCACTAATTGCAGTACTCTTAAACACAACCAGAATATATATATATATATATATATATATATATATATATATATATATATATATATATATATGTAACTAGGGTAGTTACCATACTATGGTTAACAACGTATTACAGTCTGATGCAACTGATAACGATCATAAAGCCACGGCGTATTTTGGGAAGGATACGACAAGCGCTGTCAACTTTGACACGACTTGGCTGATGTAACAGTGCAGGTGTTCTATTAATCGGACTGATGAGACAACTGCGTAGTAATCGGAAGGCGAGATATTCGGATTGAACATAACTATGATAGAACCGAATACGATTACGAATACAAGGGATATATAGGAAGGCGACAGTTGAGAAAGGAGGCCGAACTGTAGAGTAGGAGATCAGTCAGTCAGTAGGAGAGCGGCAGTATCAAGTTGGTTATTGAACGGGTTAGCCGTATTGTGTTAATAAGGACGATGGACATGTGCATTCAGTTATGTGAAGACTAGTGAGGACTGTTGGGGGTCAATTGATCCAGACTATTATTGTGAAGCATTTCTTTTGATTCATTATATTATTGTGAAGCATTTCTTTGATTCATGTAATAAAAGGATCAATAGTGAACCTGCATCTTCGAGTATCTATACTGTGGTCGATGTTGTGTAGAATGAGTGGTTAGACTCGTTAACATTTGGCACTACAGGCAAATAGACTCGTTACATATATATATATATATATATATATATATATATATATATATATATATATATATATATATATATATATATATATATATACGCTTACCATCCAAAAGGAATACCTCGATACTTAGCTGCGACAATTTTGTTTATACAAAAACTAGAAAAACGTAAACTTGTTTCGTATTACAAACGCCCCGCGTTTCGAACACTGTTCGGGAAACGGTTCACAGTTCGTACGCCGAGACCCGATTTGTGAGTTCTGTTTGGACATTATCGACGAGTTTATCCGGTTATGTTTGCAGGCGTGTCGGCTAGATAAAACTTGATATCGATGTGTGTAGAGTCCATGACCCACGTCTGACCCTGACCCACGTCTGACCCTAGACTACACGTCGCTTGTTGAATCATAATGACAGTGTACGATTATCTATGGTACGTTGTTTGATTATGACCAGTGGTAATTGTAAAGGATTGTGCCCTTAATCGTGTCTCTGTACTGGGGTTTTAGTTAGGGTTAGGGGTCATTCTAAGTGGTAGGGGAGGTTAGATTGGTGGGGGTGGGAGGACAGGGGCAGGCCAATGAAAATGTGCAATATTTTTTAAAAAATTTAGCGATCGACTTTTTGAGTTCATTGAACTATTTTAGGAAAACACAGTGCAATGTTAACCTTCATTGCATTGTTTCTTCATTTTGTTACAGTATAGAACAACATTTGTAACGGTTCTATATTCTAGAGTCTCCCCATCCCACCCCGCGCCTTCCCAACCCGGTCCATTATGATGCTACCCTCCCCACCCCGGTGCATTATGAGCCTATCCTCCCCCCTGGGCCATTATTGGCCTCCCCACCCCGGGTCATTATGGACCTCCCCACCCCGTGCCGTTATGGGCCTACCCTCCTCACCCCGGGTCATTATGGGCCTCCCCACCCCGTGCCGTTATGGGCCTACCCTCCTCACCCCGGGTCATTATGGGCCTCCCCACCCCGGGTCAACCCTGGACCATTATGAGCCTACCCTCCACACCCCGGGCCATTATGGGCCTACCCTCCACACCCCGGGCCATTATGGGCCTGCCCTCCTCACCCCAGGCCATTATGCGACTATTACTGGCCATTGGAAACCCCCATATCCTGATAACCATGGGACTGTGAACCTTCACGTGGCAGCTCTCTCCGTAAACCTTTACATTAAAGAGAGATGAAGAAGGACCGCTCACACTTCCACGTCTTCGCTATAAATCTTCTTAAGCAACCCGTTGTTTCGCCTTTGAAACGGGACGATTAATTTGTTGCTGTTTTAATTAAGTGTGTGTAGTTGTGTCATCCCCCCCCCCCCAACCACATACACGTTGTCGATATTTTCCTAGGTTTGTTTGAGTATAGATCTGATTAAATAATTAGCAACAGCTGTGGGTTGTAATCAATCGATTTGATTGATTTTTAAATGCTAATAGCAAATATTCCAGACCCTTATTTTTTGTCATCAATACTTTAATTAAAAATAATTGCTATACTATACTGTCAACACTTCTGACTTAAAATGTATTACTATGCTGTCAATACTAAGATGAAATATGTATTACTGTACTGACACTTGTTCGATAGTATAATGTATTGTTTGAAGGTTAGGTTAGGTTAGGTTAGGTTAGGTTAGGTTAGGTTAGGTTAGGTTAGGTTAGGTCAGGTTAGGTTAGGTTGGGTTGGGTTGGGTTAGGTTAGGTTAGGTTAGGTTAGGTTAGGTTAGGTTAGGTTAGGTTAGGTTAGGTTAGGTTAGGTTAGGTTAGGTTAGGATAGGATAGGATAGGTTAGGTTTGCTTGTTGCCCCTCCTGGGACTTAGGCCGCAGACAAAGCTCTTGTTTGAAGGTAATCGTGTATTACTATTTCACATCTCCCTACGCATAAACTCATAATTTAATTATTTTTTTTTAGCCCTATGTTGGGTTTTTTAAATGTATGTCTTGTATGTAAGCAGCATAACTTAGCTTTCTGATCGTGTATACAAAGATATGCATTGAAGCGAGTTACATTATATTGAAGCTTACGGCTAAATTGGACAGTCATTACGTTACAGCGCCGCTTCAAAGGAACGGCGGGCAAAGGGAGGTAAGCCGGTACAAATTCCACGGCTGATTCTTTCCATTCACGGTTTGTTACATATACTGGCCCATTGAGGCAGCCGGCAAATGGGCCGTACAGTTTTAGGCTGTATGTTAGGCGTATGCATATGTAGCCTTTGAATATGTATGATCCGCACCCAAAATAGTATACGCAATTTTTTATCTGCCCTATGCTAATTCATGTAAGGTGATGCAATGGAATAAGTTTAAGTTTAGCTGCTCTGTTTTGTTACAATTTTATATAATATACACATACCGATATCTTTATATATATATATATATATATATATATATATATATATATATATATATATATATATATATATATATATATATATATTCATGCGTACACATAATGCACTTCCCCAATAAATGTCTATTGATTATTTTTAAATATTATCTCCAGTGACGGCTGTTTCATGTCCAAAGTTGTTAAAGCAGTAACTCTCCTCTCCGCTGGTTACCTCTTCAGGTAGGTTTAGGTGGTTATCTTTTCAGGTAGGTTTTGGTGGTTATCTCTTAAGGTATGTTTGGATAGTTATCTCTATGTAGGTTTAGGTGGTTATCTCTTAAGGTAGATGTTGGTGGTTAATTCTCCTAAACTTTAGGATTGAATTCTGAAACGAAAAGAAACTCTTACAACATTTTCTTTGTTTCGTTAACTAACGTAGTCTTTTTCTTTATGGCCTTTAAATTATGTGCATATTTTAAAAGATTTCTGAACAGCTCTCCTGATTATATTAATTTGTTAAAAATATTTTACACTTTGCTTGAACCTTCTCGGCTAGATGTATATAAATGTACTCCCTTAGCGAATTTGATGAGTGGATTTGTACACGATTTAAAAAATTCTCTACATTCATAAATGTGTAAAGTTTGTGTTTAGAAATACACACAAAAACGTTCAGGTCCCATAATTCTAAAATTTATAAATCCCATTTCACAGCCAGAGTTACGTTTCCTTAAATTGTCTTTATTTACTTTTTAACTTCAGAAAGTACATGAAAGGCGGCGTGTATCGAGGTAAGGAGAGGATAGAGGGTAAGACGGTCATCATTACAGGATGTAACACTGGCATCGGTAAGGAGACGGCCAGAGAGTTGGCCAGGAGAGGTCAGTCCAATTCAACAAAGTTTTTAATTGCTTGTTTTGCTTTTTTTTTTTTCAGAAAGATTCCTATCTATTATTAGTACTAAATAGTTTAATAGTATCTTAAGTATCTATAAATATAAATAAAATATATATTATATAAAGCAGAGTACGTTTGTCTGTCTGTCTGTTTGTCTTTTAACCTTTCATATAAAAAGCATTTTATGTTTGTCTGTGTGAGATTTAATGTAAATTGTAACTAATATAAAATAAATATATATGTTTAAACTTATGTAATTAGTATCAAGGTTTTATTTTTCATCTTACGTAATTAGTATAAATTAACTATATTTTTTAAATATATTTAATTAATATCAAGGTTATATGTTTTAAATGTCTAATTAGTATCAAATAAATGTTGGAGGGGAGAAATTATAATGGTATAAAGGAACGTAAATGAATAAATATTGTCCTTAATCTTATTGCATGTAGATAGGGCTTTCTCAACAATATTCTGTGTTAAAAATGATGAATCTTACTATATATCTGCAGGTGGAAGAATCATAATGGCATGTAGAGATTTAGAAAAAGCCAAAATGGCTAGAGAAGAAATTGTGACTGACACAGGGAATCCTAATGTCATTGTGATGAAACTAGACCTGTCTTCATTTGAGTCAATCAAGGAGTTTGCTCAAGCCATTAATGAAAGTATGTCATTTAAATATTCAAGTATTTGATATACAATTTCATTAAAATTTTATTATAATCTAAAAAAAATGAATTCTGTCCTTAGCTAAATTAATAAAGGGAGGTAAACAGTTATTCCTGGCTTTTTGTGACAAGTGTGATGGAGGGGAGGGGGGAGGTAAAAATCGTCCAAAAAAGCATGACGTCATTTATAGATGACCCCCGTGCTGTAACATGAAGCCTAACTAAAACAAGAAGATAATAAAAGCCAGCTAAGACACTGTATAATAATACATACATGCATTTTAACAAGAGCAGTATAAATAACTTTATCTTTTTAAAGTGGATCAATAAAATTATCTGTAAAATACTCAACAAATAATTTATACTTCATCATTTCATATAGATCTTTAATAGCTAAGCCTCGTATTGATATTCTTCATATATCTCTAACAGCTGAGCCTTGTATTGATATCCTTCATATATCTCTAACAGCTGAGCCTTGTATTGATATCCTTCATATATCTCTAACAGCTGAGCCTCGTATTGATATTCTTCATATATCTCCAACAGCTGAGTTTTGTATTGATATTCTTCATATATCTCTAACAGCTGAGTTTTGTATTGATATTCTTCATATATCTCTAACAGCTGAGTTTTGTATTGATATTCTTCATATATCTCTAACAGCTGAGTTTTGTATTGATATTCTTCATATTTCTCTAACAGCTGAGCCTCGTATTGATATTCTTATAAACAATGCTGGTGTGATGATGTGTCCAAAGATGTTGACCAAGGATGGCCTGGAAATGCAGATTGGTGTCAACCATTTTGGTTAGTCAATTTGTCTTTCCCGTTCACCAATTTATGTTTGATTCATTTTTTTAATAATTTCTTAAAATAAATATGTAATAACTCATTCTCTGCATGATTTTACTATTGTTAATATAGCTATTTAAAAAAATTGACAAATATATTTTTTAAACCATCATTTTGTTAAGAATAACATGGATAAATAATTTAATTAAATATCACCGTAATTGGTACGAACTTGCAGGCCATTTTTACCTGACAAATCTACTGCTGGACAAACTAAAAGCTTCCACTCCCAGTCGGATCATCATAGTGTCTAGCCTGGCCCACATCTTTGGGAAAATTGATTTTGATGACATCAACAGTACAAAGAGATATAAGCCTTCTGATGCTTACGCCCAGAGCAAGCTGGCAAATATATTACACATGAGGCAACTGGTCAAAGTGTTGGAAGGTAGGATGGTCCTAAAATAGCAAGATAATTTATATTATCAAGCTCGCTTTTTTTTTTGCCTTTATCTAAAATAAATATTATTTTTGCTAAGTTTAAAATATTATATTTTTTCAAATAATACGAAAGCATTTTTGTTTTTTTAAACATTTAAGAATAAAAAGAATGATGATAATTCTAATTGATATTAATTTTAATTTAAAAATGATAAGAGAATATTAAAAACTTTTAAAGAATACCTGGTAGTGTGTCTAATTAAAACATTTTGAGTTTTGATACATAAATGTATATGAATGGATATGAAAGAATGAAATAAAATTTGTAAGCAGATTGTTTTTGTTGAGTGTAGGTACTGGAGTGACAGTGTATAGCCTTCATTGTTTTTGTTGAGTGTAGGTACTGGAGTGACAGTGTATAGCCTTCATTGTTTTTGTTGAGTGTAGGTACTGGAGTGTATAGCCTTCATTGTTTTTGTTGAGTGTAGGTACTGGAGTGACAGTGTATAGCCTTCATTGTTTTTGTTGAGTGTAGGTACTGGAGTGAAGGTGAATAGCCTTCATTGTTTTTGTTGAGTGTAGGTACTGGAGTGACAGTGTATAGCCTTCATTGTTTTTGTTGAGTGTAGGTACTGGAGTGACAGTGTATAGCCTTCATTGTTTTTGTTGAGTGTAGGTACTGGAGTGTATAGCCTTCATTGTTTTTGTTGAGTGTAGGTACTGGAGTGACAGTGTATAGCCTTCATTGTTTTTGTTGAGTGTAGGTACTGGAGTGTATAGCCTTCATTGTTTTTGTTGAGTGTAGGTACTGTGGTGACAGTGTATAGCCTTCATTGTTTTTGTTGAGTGTAGGTACTGGAGTGTATAGCCTTCATTGTTTTTGTTGAGTGTAGGTACTGTGGTGACAGTGTATAGCCTTCATTGTTTTTGTTGAGTGTAGGTACTGGAGTGAATAGCCTTTGTTGTTTTTGTTGAGTGTAGGTACTGTGGTGACAGTGGCCTTCATTGTTTTTGTTGAGTGTAGGTACTGGAGTGACAGTGTATAGCCTTCATTGTTTTTGTTGAGTGTAGGTACTGGAGTGACAGTGTATAGCCTTCATTGTTTTTGTTGAGTGTAGGTACTGGAGTGACAGTGTATAGCCTTCACCCCGGCTCAGTGGACACGGAGCTACAGCGCCACTTCACGATCCTACAGTACTCAATTATTAAGGTCCTGTTCTACCCTGTCAAGTTTATGTTCTTCAAAACTCCCATAGAGGGAGCTCAGACAACGCTGTACGCTGCTCTGGATCCAGCTCTTGAAACTGTCACTGGGAAATATTTCTCGTAGGTTTTATTTGTGCTATTGACACTACTTTTATTTGTAGTTTATAGATCTACTATTGAAACAACTTTTGTTTAGAATAATTTTTGTGCATCATAGTTTTTGAAGACTGATATTAACTACTCAGATAATTTGCTATTAATATAATTGATGATTTAACTCTGAAACCAAGAGTATTATGTTTACATTAAAGTAGTTCTTATTATGAGCTGATATTTTAAATAAAATATTTATTTCTTTTTACTGGTCAAATTTGTTTTTGTAAATTTTATTATTTTAAAGAGAGTAAAGTAAATAAATAATCTTAATTTTCTGAAGTCGTCATTTCTTTATGCTACTTTTTACAAAAAGATTTTTGAACATTTCAGTGACTGCAAAGAAAAACTCCCAGCACCAAGAGCTTTGGTTGAAGAGGATGCCCAGAAGTTATGGAACCTCAGTCTGACAATTACACAGGAAAACAAACAGTCCTAATGCAATGGTCAAGTCGAAAGCTCTAGTGATCACACAAAGAAAAACATGGGACTCACGAATATTAAAAATATCTGTTTACCTAGAGAGGTACTTTAAAACTGCCGTATATAATTCTCTAGATCACCCAGGTTTATTCACTATCTTCAGCTATTATAGTCCCATCACTGACATCTGCCTTTGTTTACCAACATAAAATTTCAATGTGTTAATGTATGGGATTTTTTTTACTTATTACTTTTTTACTCCTCACAGATCTATTAAAAAAAAAGAATTAGCACTTTTTTCATCCTTTGTTTTATATGTCAGTATTGTTTTCTGATATTTCATTGCATAATTAGTATTTATAATGGCATAATAAAGTATAGGTAATACATATTAATCATAAGGATCTTAGGAATAAGGGACAACCATATAAGGAAAGTCAAAATATATAATGTGTGTATTGATAGTGTATGATGTGTGTGTTGATAGTGCCTACTGTATAATGTGTGTGTTGATAGTGGCTAGTGTATAATGTGTGTGTATGTTGATAGTGTATAATGTGTGTGTTGAAATTGGCTGTGTATAATATTTGTGTGTTGATAGTGGCTGTGTATAATGTGTGTATGTGTTGATATTACCTAGTGTATAATGTTTGTGTGCTGATAATGGATGTGTATAATGTGTGTGTGTGTTGATAGTGTATAATGTGTATGTTGATAGCATATAACGTGTATGTTGATAGTGCCTACTTTTTCATTCTGTGTTAAAAATTACAAAACTAAATATTAACTTAATGTACAAGAGAGACAGTTGTCACTTTAAGACATATCTCATAGAGAAACAGAAGCCAACATTTTTAATCAGAAGAAATGCACCTCATGTTCCTTGTTAACCTGTATCTATCTGCATGGGTAGCAGTCGATGGATATAGTTATATTCTGTTTCTTTAGAGTATTTCTATACAATGTTTTACTTTCTACTGTGTATGCTCTAGATAAGTATAGAACTATGCTAATAAACACGGAAGTTTTGTCCAAGGAGGCGACACAATGTAAAACAAAGTATTTTATTTTAATTAAAATCAACTTTTTTTAAAAACTTACACTTGAGTTCATCTTTTGTAATGGTATTTTGTGTTTTACCTAGCACAAACAGTACATCTCTAGTAACTGCAGACTTACTTGCTGGGCCTAGTGCTTGGGGGCCCTAAAAAAATCAGGAGCCTCAGACTGCTGCACGTGACGTAAGGGGGGGGGGGGGTTGTCGTTGATGTTGTCACGACTGTATAATAATGAAATAAATATTGAATCTTCTGAAAAGGGGTGTTAGTCTACGGAAAGTAGTAAACTAATGTTGTTTATTAAATCAACCATCGGTAATAAAAAGCCAACCATTATATATTATTAATCAAACCCAAATCCAAGTTATACCATAGTCTTAATCCTAATCATAGCATCCATTACTGTAATACAATGGTTCACACATCATAACACTCCTCTTTTAGGTAGAGTATTTAGTTTGATACCAATATTAAGAATTTCTTTTATGAGGTCGGGCGGGGCGGCCGCGCCGGGCGCCGAACCGAAAGGGGCGCCAAACGGGGAAAAAATTTAATTTAAAAGCTCGTTTTAAGCTGAAGTATTGAATTATACAAAGTCAAAGTTACGAAAATAAACGACTGCAAGGCTTTACCACGCTGATTTAACTGGTTTTTTTTTTTTTTATCAATTTTGAGGCACCTAGTTAGAAAATTTTGCGGGATAGTTACTGGTAAAAAGCGCCAACAACCTTTAAAACTATGGGGGGGGGGGGGGGGGGTATACTGCTACTGGAAATAGTCAATTATTTTCAAGTGGAGGACCGGCTTCAGTCTATATTATTTTGCAACTTTAATATTTGAAAGGCAAATTTATTATTACCAGTTAGTTACTTTTGAAGGTGTTTGTAAAAAGATAATGATGGACAAGTAAAAATGTATAGGAAAAACGATTATCAAAAGAGGTAGGGGTGATAGAACAGATAAAACTATTGTTTAAGTAGGGATGACACGATATATTAATCTATTTTGAGTGTTTTAGAAACAACTCACATAATCGAGATCAACTACCCCGTTATATAATACTTCTGAATGACGTAACTGATGTTACGTAACCTGTGTACTTTTTACGACATTCACGACAGTGAACAGTCTTCACGAACGGGGCAGAAAGAGAGCGGAATGGGGGGGGGGGGGGAGTGATTTTGTTGTTGTTGGCACAGCTGTTCAATAAATATGGAATCTTCTGAAAAAGGGTGTTAGGCTACGGAAAGTAGTAGGCCTAAGGGGTCATCCATAAATGACGTCACCCTTTTTTTGAGGATTTTTACCTACCCCCTCCCCTCCGTCACACATCGTCACAAAAAGCCAGACCCACACCCCTAAAATTACGTCACACCTCAGCCTACAACCCCTTCCCCTCAAAATTGCAGATGAATTTTTCTTAAAACATCGATATTTTTCCAAAATCTTGTCTGAACTCTGTCTATGTAGATTATTTTAATCAATTCCGATTACAATTTATTAAAACATTTTTCTAAAACCAAAAATAACGTCTAAAATTAGCTTTCTAACAGTTTTTTTTTATAATTCAAAAGTGTAACGTCGCACCATCTGAACCCTCCCCCCCCCACCTCCCCCCTCCCCCTCATCACACTCCGCACCAAATTTACGGATCCCCGCCCTCCCTCTACGAGCATGACGTCATTTATGGACGACCCCTAAACTATTAGGTTGTTTATTAAAACATCCTTCTGTAATTGAAAGCCAACCATTACATATTATTAATCAAACCCAAATCCAAGTTATAACAAAGCCCAAACCCTAATCCTTGCCCAAATTACTGTAGGTGATAATACGAAGATTCTTTCATTATAACACACCTTTTATAGGAAGAGTCTATTAGTTTGATACCAATATTAAGAGTAAGACTCTTAAGTGCGCGTAACTAACAATCGATTAAATAAAAAGTAGGGGTGACAGAACCGATCAAACCATTGTGAAAAAAGGGATGACAGGACTTCATTCTTGAGTGTTTTAGAAACACAACTCACAAATTCGAGACTGACTACCCCGTTACATAACACTTTGTAATGACATAACTGGTGTGACCTTGTTACGTCATCCACGACTCCGATGTTTAGCTGTCGGCATTATAAAAGTGTGAACACTTTTCATGAACGAGAAAGAAGGGGGGGGGGTATATTTTGTTGTGATTGGCACAACTTTAAAAAAAATATGGAATCTTCTGAAAAGGGGTGTAAGCCTACGGAAAGTAGTAGACCTAAACTATTAGGTTGTTTATTACCAGTGGCGTAGCGAGGTCGGGTGTCACTCGGTGCGGCACTTAATGGTGTCACCCCCCCCCCCCCCCAGAGGCGTAGCGACCCTTCCTGGGGAGAAACTTTCATTTTTCGATTTGCACCCCCCCCCCCCACCCCCTCAAACTTTCGATTTGCAAACCCCCCCCCCCCCTCTCAAACTTTCGATTTGCACCCCCCTCAAACTTTTGATTTACACTCCCCCACCCTCAAATTTTTCTCTATATATTTTGCTATTTTTGGCCTTGGTTTCACCCACCTAAATGGTGTCACCCGGTGCGGTCCGCACCCCCGACCTTCCCCCCCCCCCCCTCTCGCTACGCCTCTGCTTATTACACAACCATCGGTAATTGAAATCCAACCATTATATATTATTAATTAAACCTAAATCCAAGTTATACCTTAGCCCTAACCCTAATCTTTGCCAAAATTACTGTATGTAATAATACTATGTTTCCTTCATTATAACACACCTCTTATAGGAAGAGTCTATTGGTTTGATACCCATATTAAGACATTTTTTACATGCGCGTGCAGAAAATTAAGTAAATAAGTAGAGGTGTCAGAACAGATCACATTGTAAAAAAACAGATGACAAGACTTAATTTTTGTATGTTTCAGAAACACAACCCACAAAGTCGAGACCAGCTTATGCCTGGTTACATAACATTTTTGAATGAGGTAACTCATGTTTCATAACCTTTTACCTTGTTACGTCATTTACGACATCGCGTTGTCACGCTAAAAAAAGTCAACAGCATATTTTGATGCGACAATGAAGGGGGGGGGGGTGTTGGGGGTGGGGAGGGGAAGGGGAATTTAATTTTATCAACACTGTTCAATAATGCAATAATAATGGAATCGTCTGAAATAGGGGATTCAACTGCGGAAAATGAAACAGGTTATTGCATTATTGAGAGAAGTAGGGGTGTCAGAACAGATCAAAGCATTGTGAAAAAAAGGGATGACAGGACTTAGTTTACAGTGTTTTGGAAACGCAACTCACAAATTCGAGACCAACTACACCGTTACATCACACTTTGTAATGACATAACTGATATTAAGTAATCTGCGACCATGTTACGTCATTCACGACTCCGATTTTAGCTGTCAGGCTGAAAAAAGTGTGAACACTTTTCCTGAACATGACGGAAGGGGAGGGGGGGGGGGGGGATTGTCGTTGATGTTGTCACGACTGTATAATAATGAAATAAATATTGAATCTTCTGAAAAGGGGTATTAGTCTACGAAAAGTAGTAAACTAATGTTGTTTATTAAATCAACCATCGGTAATTGAAAGCCAACCATTAGGCCTATATATTATTAATCAAACCCAAATCGAAGTTATACCATAGCCTTAATCCTAATCATAGCATCCATTTACTGTAATACAATGGTTCACACATCATAACACTCCTCTTTTAGTCTATTAGTTTGATACCAATATTAAGAATTTCTTTTATGACAGGTATACAGTACAAACCATCTTTAACATAAATAGGGGTGACAGAAAAGACCAATCCATTTTGACGAATGGATGACAGGACTTACAGTGGCGTAGCTAGGGGAGGTCGGGTGGGGCGTCCGCGACGGGCGCCGAACCCAAAGGGACGCCAAAAGGGGGAGGAAAATTTATTTAAAAGCTCCCAGTGTCCAACCCGTCCATTCCCTCATGTTGTCTATCCAACCATTTACCTGTGCCACTTCCAGTGTCCAACCCGTCCATTCCCTCATGTTGTCTATCCAACCATTTACCTGTGCCACTCCCAGTGTCCAACCCGTCCATTCCCTCATGTTGTCTATCCAACCATTTACCTGTGCCACTCCCAGTGTCCAACCCGTCTATTCCCTCATGTTGTCTATCCAACCATTTACCTGTGCCACTCCCAGTGTCCAACCCGTCCATTCCCTCATGTTGTCTATCCAATCATTTACATGTGTCACTCCCAGTGTCCAACCCGTCCATTCCCTCATGTTGTCTATCCAACCATTTACCTGTGCCACTCCCAGTGTCCAACCCGTCAATTCCCTCATGTTGTCTATCCAACCATTTACCTGTGCCACTCCCAGTGTCCAACCCGTCAATTCCCTCACGTTGTCTATCCAACCATTTACCTGTGCCACTCCCAGTGTCCAACCCGTCAATTCCCTCACGTTGTCTATCCAACCATTTACCTGTGCCACTCCCAGTGTCCAACCCGTCAATTCCCTCATGTTGTCTATCCAACCATTTACCTGTGCCACTCCCAGTGACCAACCCGTCCATTCCCTCATGTTGTCTATCCAACCATTTACCCGTGCCACTCCCAGTGTCTAACCCGTCAATTCCCTCATGTTGTCTATCCAACCATTTACCTGTGCCACTCCCAGTGTCCAACCCGTCTATTCCCTCATGTTGTCTATCCAACCATTTACCTGTGCCACTCCCAGTGTCCAACCCGTCCATTCCCTCATGTTGTCTATCCAACCATTTACCTGTGCCACTCCCAGTGTCCAACCCGTCAATTCCCTCATGTTGTCTATCCAACCATTTACCTGTGCCACTCCCAGTGTCCAACCCGTCAATTCCCTCACGTTGTCTATCCAACCATTTACCTGTGCCACTCACAGTGTCCAACCCGTCCATTCCCTCATGTTGTCTATCCAACCATTTACCCGTGCCACTCCCAGTGTCCAACCCGTCAATTCCCTCATGTTGTCTATCCAACCATTTACCTGTGCCACTCCCAGTGTCCAACCCGTCCATTCCCTCACGTTGTCTATCCAACCATTTACCTGTGCCACTCCCAGTGTCCAACCCGTCCATTCCCTCATGTTGTCTATCCAACCATTTACCTGTGCCACTCCCAGTGTCCAACCCGTCTATTCCCTCGTGTTGTCTATCCATTGGATCCTGTACCTGCCTGGCAACTCTCTTTGTAGACCTAACGATCTTGTGGCATGTCCGTTTCATTTCAGTTTCCAGTTTTTAACTATTCGCAGCCAGAGTTTCTTCCAGGCATCTCATTCACCGAAGAAAGTCTACCGACCCCTCCCTCCGTACGAAATGGAATTTATATAGAAAACATGTACTTTTACCAGTGTCCGCCCCCCGAAAATATCAAGTGTCTTCCCCATCCTTCCCCCCCCCCCCCCCCCCCCCCCCCCCGCCTCCCGCCGGAGAAAAAATTCTGGAAGAAACAGTTCTCAGCAGGTAACCGTGTCAATCAATACGCAATACAAAAATTACACAGAAATCGATGTATAAAAAGGCAACAATCTCTTACAGGCAGAGGAAGTAGAGTTTATGTGTATAATCATAATAACAAATAACTCAATACAACTCCAAGTATTTTATTTTGGTACGTGTGTGTGTGTTTTTATTACTTAAAGCGTGCAAGCGTGAGCATTTTTTTTAAAGCCAGTTGATTACACAGAAAACAGCGGTGAGATTTTTAAAGGAGATAAAATCCTAGCAATGTTTAAGCACCGACGACGGACTAGTCCAGCAGGAAACCAGAGAAAGTGTTGATCACGTGATGCTCTTCTCCGTACAGACTGCCACAGTTGGAAGATTCAACGTACACCTCATCACCAGCCTCCAACAGCAGCACTGCCGAGTTAGCTATGGATGATACGCAACTTTTTACCAAACAAATCACTTACATTTTAATACTATCAAAGATGTTTTAATATATTTTTTTTTCATTTATTCTACTCTCGCACGGAAATATACAAGTAGGTCTATATTATAATAGCCTTCCTAGTTTATGTCAATAAAAATAGTAATAATGGAAGGTAGCTTTAAACAAGATTCAAAGAATTCTCAAACGTGTTAGAATTAGTGTAAATGTAAAGAATTATTGTCTTTGTATAAGTAATGCACATAATTTTGAACAATTTGTTATTTATAAACTTTGACGTTCAAGCATTTAAACAAGATGATGAAAATGTTAATATTGCCAAACAAACATGGTTGTTAATATTCAAATTGCATAACTTTTTAACTAACGAGTTCTACATTTACTGTATGTCTATCAGTGATAAATCTTGTTAATGTTAAAAATGTTTTAAAATTCTTTTAAAAAGTTTTCTTAGCCTTTATTTTAGCTTCAATAATTTCTCTGTCTATGTTTAATAGCCGTTGCTTCCAGTCTATTTTCGACTTCTGTTCTTTATCTAATCGTGCTATTAAATTAAGTGTGATTGCTTTGTTTGTTGTGGTCGTTTGATTAATGTTTTTTATTTTATTTTTGCAAGTGTTTGCTTTTCTTTCTGTGCGGTAGAGACTGCTAACCCGAAAAGTCTAGAGTTCGAATCCGAGTTCAAGTTAGTAGAACGTCCCTGAGTCCACCCAGCTCTGATGGGTACTTATGTTAGGGAAAGTAAAGGCGGCTGGGCAAAGTGCTGACACCACTATCCTTCCATATGCCGAGGTCACAGAAACTGGTGAACTCTACTGCACCTGCCCTGCAGACCGTCAGGTTTGGAAGGGAATTTTACTTACTTTAAACTCTAAATAAATGTGCTATGAATTTATGGCATCGTACAGTTTTAAAAAATGCTTGGACTCATGACCACAATTTTATTACCTTTTTAAAGCTAAAAGTCAGTTATTTTAGATTCCCTTTAAATTTAAATAGTAGATTTTCACATTTGTCCCTAACATTTTCATTATGCTATTCTGATTGTAGAGGAACTGATAAAATAATTGGCATTTTCTGTATTGCTCGAAGAAATACCAAACACCAAAAAGAGCTTTAAACGTGTGGGTTTTTTTAAATGCATCTCCTCAAACAGGTTTTGTTGCTCTTACTAATAATATAGCTCAGTGTTAAGAGATTGGATTTAAGAGTCTTTAAATATAAAGTTAACTCCCGTTTTATATCAGGTGTAGTGAGATCCAGAGGAAGAAGGTTGGATTTATAGAAGCTGTCTCTACTATGGAAACCTACCTGCAAGGGACAGCTCTTGTTTTGTATTACTGTACAGGGAAGCAACTTTGTTTTTGTTCTTCATCAGAGACAGGCTCAGTTCTTTCCCTTTGCCAGCAGCGCCGTGAATTTGGAAAAAATACACGCCAGCCTTTAAACAAGTTAATTAAAAAAGTCTAGTGACATTTGTGCGCAATTTCCTTATGTTATCTAAAAATAGCTCTGACGTATAATGTTGGGGTGCGTTCAAGCTAGAAGAACGATCGGTTTGTAGGTGTTTATGTAATTTTAAAATTTGTGACCGAACGAGAGGATATTTTTGAAAACTTTCTTCGGCAATATTGTTCTAAATTATGACAGAAATCGATTGGTACATGTTTCAAGTCGCTAAGTGGCCTGGTTGCCGAGATATGGCTTTTCCGGGAAATACATGAAAGAAACCCGGAATTTTTATGGCCTATGCTCATTCTCTAACTTGCTTAACATAATTGCTTTTGGAACTAGTCATCGATATTGCTTCGTTGAGGAGGAGATACGACTTAAAGCCCGGACACACATTCATCCATACATTCATTCATCCATCCATCCATTCCCAGAAATGACGAGTTAATAAACGCAATTCTCCAGAATGGAAATTGCGCTAAAAAAAAATGAGTTACAAATTAATATTTATTAGCGATTGAATACCTTTACTATAATTTTATTAGAGATTCACATTTTTATTTATAGTTATATAAATAGTGGTGAAGCATTATTATATTTTAAGAAAATAATCTTCTTCTTTTTAGTGCACATAGTATCTTATTATGCTGTGTGGACTCAAACATAACCAATTAATTAAAGTATGAATTTATAGCATCGTACAGTTTTTAAAAAATGCTTGGACTCATGACCACAATTTTTATACAATTAGATGTAAATAGTAAAACGTTGTTAATTTTTTGTTTTAAGTACGCTTAAACCTTAAATAGCTTCTCTAAAATAAGGGGGTCGTCCATAAATGACGTCACACTCGTAGGGGGGAGGGGGTCCGTAATTTTGTGACGGTGTGTGATGAGGGGGAGGGAGGGGGGATTCAGATGGTGTGACGTCACTTTTTTGCATTTAAAAAAAGCAATGTTAGAAAACGAGATTTAGCCGTTATTTCGCGTTTTAGAAAACGTTTTTAATAAATTGTAATAGGCATTGATCAAAATACTCTATGTTGACAGAGTTTTGACCAGATTTGTGGAAGAATATCGATGTTTTAAGAAAAATTCAACAGCGATTTTGAGGGGGGGGGGGGTGTAGGCTGAGGTGTGACGTCATTTTAGGGGGGGGGTCTGGCTTTTTGTGACGACGTGTGACGGAGGGGAGGGGGGAGGAAAAAAATCGTCAATAAAAGCGTGACGTCATTTATGGGTGACCCCTAACTTTAATAATGTACTTACTGTGAGGCATTTAAAAACACCAGTGCTGCTATCGTAGTTGCCTCCAATATCTGATACAACTTTATTGTAAATTATGACATCTTTCAACAGAACATCCAACGTTTTAGATAACCCAATTGTAAATGCGATCTTTCTGGGTTGATCTTTTTTAAAAAAAAAATACAGTTATCAAACTCACAAACGGCAAAAGAACCGACGCTTAATTTTTTTCGTTAGTTTTATTTGCTTTAAATAGCCATAAAATAAAACCTAAAAATAAAGTAATAATATAGATGTAGTTGAAATATTATGCTTTCTGGCAACTTAAATGTCATGTTACTGGAGCGACGGCTAAATTCTAGTTAACAGTCAAATTATCATAAATTTATGTTATTTATGATACACGGCAGCAGGAAAAAACAGTCACAGGAAAAATAAACCGGGAGTGATCTCCCCTAAACTTTCTCGAATATTCTAATATAAAACTACGAGGGATGGCAACTCAGGACATAGACAATATTTGTAATCCATTTTTAATTACTTAAACTTTTTATAATAGAACGGAATCTTGTAAAAAAAAGAATTGCACACCAAGTGAACGCCTAATAAAATGTGCATAATAGTGCGCAATATTATGAGTACTTTATAATTAATTTACATGCGTTTTTTGAGAAATCGGAAATAGCGTAAATTAGTACTTCCGGTCAACGGAAATTACTCAAAATTTGACAGATGGTAGAGAATTAGATCTTTTACTTACATGTGAAATTTCAATTATCTATCTGAAATAGTACTCAAGTTATAGGATTTTGAAAAATGCAAAGTAGGAAAAGTACCACTTCCGGTTATCGGAAATTGCTCAAAAGTTGATACGGATCTACGATTTTGATAAAATACTTATATATGAAATTTCATCAACCTAGCTGTAACGGTACTCAAGTAATCGTGTTTACACACAGACACACAGACAGACACACACACACACACACACAGACACACAGACATACGGACAAGATTGCAAAATTATGTTTTTCCATATAAGTGAGGTGTAAAACGTCGAGATTTGTAAAAACGTCGAGATTTGTAAAAATCTCGATTTTTTTTTTGCACGATTACAATACTTTCTCTATACTTCGTATATACGAGAAAGTAAAAAAAGTCACAGTAAAATGTGAATAAGATTTTTTTTAAAGGAATACAGAAATACATATGAACAGTCAACAACCAGTAGCGAGATTGTTTTTAAAACTTATATTTTTATACACTTTAAAGGCATTAATATTTACTATAATACATGCACATTGATCTTCCTATTAACCCATATTATCCCAAGGTCTCAAATTTTTATAATTTTTTGATATGGTTTAGCTTTTGGGCACTGAATGAAGGAATGACTATGGATTTTTTTTTAAAATCAATACTTTTTTAAATATCGATTTTTTAAAAAACGTCCCATAAATGGGACGCTAGCAACGAACGGCCCCATGTACATTTATTGAAAAATAAAATCATTTTTCACGAAATATGGCTAATCTCGCGAAAATTAAGCTGTGTACTGATTTTGTATTGTTAGACCAATGATTTAATTGTTTAGGACAGCTAAAAATACTGATAATGATCAATTGGGTTAGCCATACCATGGTCTAAAATGCAGAAATTATGTTCAAAAGTCTAGTTTTCTTTCAATCTAGCATCCATCAAAGTGAACAACACTTGGAAATAAGTAAAGCTGTGACTAGTACATCTAATTATACACACATGTTCACAAATATTGTTATTATTCATCGAAACTGTAATATAATTAAATATAAATAATTAATTTTTTGGGGGGCGTACTTGAAATTTTCAGGGGTGGGGACTTAAACTTCAGGGGAAGGGTGGACATTGGTAAAAGTATATTTTGTATATAAATTCCATTTTCTTCTGGGGGCAGAGCCCCCCCCCCCCCCCTCCTCCGAAATGATGCCTGAAAGAAACTCTGCCCTTAGTGAATTTGCAAAAGATTTTCCGGTCCAGTCCCAGATGTCATCCAGCCATCTTCTCTTTTGTTACCCTCGCTATCCCCCCCCCCCCCCCCCACAGGCGTACATTAGGACATCAGACATCTTATTTCTAGGGCACGGATCCGTCTTTGGGGGCTTGTATTGAGTGTTCATGGCTCTCATCCATGTATGCACCTCACTATGCGAACAGCTCCCAATCTAACACCAGGAATCTCCTTAAAAAGTTAACAAAGTAAAGCTGGTATCGGTAACCTTTGGAGGGGGATATTATTGGGGCATGACAACTGTACACAGCTAATTCACATTTCTGCTATATGTAGCTTAAGCCCTCTTATATGAAGAGAGTTAACCAACCCCCCCTGACTGAATTACTTCACCTAAATCGTGGCCATTGTTATTATTCTGGTTTGTTATAATTTTAATATCACGCGCTAGTAAATTTACAGCGATACTAAATTAGTTTGTATTCAATGGTATTAAATACTTCAGTAAGTGTAATTCTGAAAACTTAAAAATAAAATTTTTTTTTTCAATATTTGCAATTTTCTAATACAATAATATATACGAAAATACAGCTCAAGGTCATAATTAAATATCTATAAATACTACTTAACACCCCAAAGTCAACAGTTAACAAATTAAACAATTGTTTCACCATAAATAACCATTTAACATAAATATTTGCATCTGTGTTTCACGCTAGTGTCCAATAAATGTGACGTTTGTGTAACAATCTGCATAAATATAGGTCAAGGTCATAATTAAATATCTATACATACTACTTAACACCCCAAATTCAGCAGTTAACAAAGTCAACAATTGTTTCACCATAAATAACCATTTAACATAAACATTTGCATATGTGTTTCTCGCTAGTGTCCAATAAATGTGACGTTTGTGTAACAATGTACATGGGGCCATTCGTTGCTAGCGTCCCACTTATGGGACGCTTGTTGTACACTTGATATAACGAAGTAGTAAAAAACAATTGTTATTTTTAAATTTTTATCAGATAGAAATATGGTACTGCTACAAGTTTCAAATGTATTTTGCACTTAAAATGTTAATATTTTAGAAGATATGCATTATCCTGTGCGATTGTTTTCTTTTTTCCGCCATTTTGACAAGTCCTGCAAATCCGGAACTATAACATTTTTCTAAATAAATTTTTTTCACAAAACACACACAAATTCAATAGTTTAGCCATTTTCAAATACAATGAAACATAATTTGTGTTTTAACTAGTATTTAATAAATTTTAGCAATTTTTTTACCAAGCGTCCCATAAGTGGGACGCTAGCAGAATATGGGTTAAGTAATTATTACTTATACAAAATAGATACCAACATACTAATCAAAATATAGGCATACAATTGAAAATATTACTTTTAACGTATATTGCTTTGTATTGGTTTAGCCGTTTGATCTTAATTTTTTTTTTGTGTAATAAGTTTTGATACATTTTGGTAGTAATTGTTGAAATATGGAATATTTAGGGACATTAAATTAAATTCATTAAGTCTTCTTCCAGCTTTGCGCTAATTCAAAGTTAGTAAACGAAAAACCTAAAATACACCCTGCATATGTGAGTACATTAGTTTAAATCTTGAACATAATCAAATACAAAAAATAAATACTTCTATATATTTCTTACATGTGCTATTAACACAGCAATATAACTTCCCGAAAATATAAAAAATGTAAACATTTATTTATTGTTTATTTAATTTAAGCATATATGTTTTTCTATCAAATTTGTCTTAGTTTATACGTAGATTCCATGCAATCAAAAAGTGGAGCTTTGGGTCGTAGGAACATTTGCTGTCATATTTTTCCTGTAGTCGAATAAAAAAAAACTACCCCTTACTTATTCCCTGCATGTAACTATATAGTTTTTTTAACCAGCAAAAGTGTGGTTTGTCTTCTTTAAAACTTTGATGTACAAAACAGGCGTTAAATGATGCAAAAAATAGAATAAGTACTTGCCATTTAACTCCATGCAGGCGAATTCCAGAGGCATATCACAAGGAACGTCATTGAACGTCCCTCTATAGTTTATCAGAAGGCAGTCTTCGTTTCCAAACTGATCATTGGGCTCATCAAGATCCCATAATGACGTCATATCAACGTTTGTGCCATCTGTCCACACCCATTTGCCTTCTTGTAATATGTCATTAGCGCCAAGCCATACTTGGGAAGAAAATTAATGTATGTTTTTAATACGAGTTTTTCAAACTAACGATATTGGTTCATCTCTTTTCGGAGATGTAACAAGAATCGGAGAATTTCTCAAAAATATCCAATTTCAACAGCTGCCAAAAAAAGAATGGATGTTCTCTAGATATAAATTTGTTTCATATTTTAAATTTGAATCACACTATGGTAAAAAAAAAAAAGAATAAAAATACATATTTTGAAAATAATATTGAGGTAATATGAAAGTCGTTTTTCGTTTTTGAAAAACAAATTGATATTCAAAAGACGTAAATTATTATTATAATTATTATAATTATTTTAATTATTTTAATTATTTTAATTATTATTGTAATAAATACTTACGTTGGTTTGTACGTATAGAATTCAGTAAATTCAACTCTTCTTGTGAAGAAACTTTTGCCAGGGTCCTTTTTCTAGTAAAATTTGAGCAGAATTTCTAAAGAATAGAGCAAAGTGTGTTATTTTAATTCAACAATTGATTTTTCAAACATTTAATTGTGAAATGTTGATGGTATATTTAATGTAATATATTAATTGTAATTTAAGTATTAATTGTTTGAGCGTGTTTGACATCATATATATCTTTACTACGTTATAATATAACATTACCTCTGCGTTATCCCAAGACATTGGTGTATGGAAGATCTCGTATTTGAAAAGCTTGTCATTAGAAACAGCGACTTTGTTCAATGGAACATCCAACGGTTTTGGTATCCTGTCTATAAATGAGCTGTTTCTGCTTTGATTGAATCTGTCTGCGGGTGTTTCTCTGGCATGGGATTCGTCAGTCACGGTCGATGGCGACGATGTTGAGGCTGCTACAAAAGTAAACATAATTCTATGAAAATAATGCAGCTATGAATTACCAACAACCTAATTCCTTATTCAACACCATTCGAATTAAATAACAGTGACACGACGTGGCCTATGAAACAATTGTTTTTTAATACATTATATTACTAATAGCAAACCAAACGTGTGTGAGTCATTGACATATACAGTAAGTTTGTTGATAGAAATGTTACCAGCATTTGGCACTTCTAGCGTTGTATGTAAGTCATGATCTTGATCTATAAAAAATTCATCCAACTCTTTCAATGGTGCGGATGTTACCGTTGTTGATGGCGTAGTTTCTGGTTGCATTGTTGTCTCTGCAGAACATGATAGTGTATTTAAATTTTAAAAAAAGGAATACAGTTTTCAAATTTACAAACACTTTTGAATCTTTCTAACGTAATATGTAAACTAACAAATACACGGATTGTATCTGGTTAAAATATCAAGCTTTCTGACATCTAAAATTCATATTAGTTTAGAGCCACTCCGACATCCAACTTGTGAATTTAATAAAAACATTTTTTTTTTATTTTATGAAAAAAGTCACTGGAAAAAAAAGTCAGACAGAGATGGATCTAAGAAATGGATTTACTTGTTACAAATAGTACATTCTTGAGACAATTATATTTAAAGTGTGTTTTTGTACTTGAAATTTTTATCAACTTTAAGGCGATCGTATTTACACTATAATCGCAAATTAATATTCCCAATAAGTAAAAATACCCTTGAGACAATTTACCCGAGAGCATCAATTTTATTCAATATTATGATGCAAAAAAAAAAAAAACAACAACAACAGACTAATTAAAAAAATTTAAACAAACTTTTAAAATATTAATTTTAAAACAGTTGTGTCTTGTATGAGTTTCACCGTAGACTTTTACTCATTTTGCCTTGTCCCTCCTCATTGTGTATTAATGTCGTTTTTGTGTCCTGCTGGTATTTTTGTCTTGATCTCGTACTTAGTAAATTACTGAGTGTGGTACATGCAGTAGTAAATGTGGTTGAAACATTGTTTAAAGTTTTTGTGAACATCAAATTAAACTCATTATGTCTTCCTCCAATTTTTGCGCTAATTGAAAGTTAGTTTAAAAACATAATACATACAAGGTTTGTTAAAATATCCGTTTAAATCTAGCTAACAATGAGATTTTGAAAAACATACACACTTCTGAATATGTTACATGCAGTGGCGTAGCGAGGTCGGGTGTTACCCGGTGCGGCACTCAATGGTGTCACCTCCCCCCCCCCCCCAAAGGAGTAGCGACCCTTCCCGGGGAAAAACTTTCAAATTTTCGATTTGCACCCCCCCTCAAACTTTCGATTTGCACCCCCCCCCCCCCTCAAATTTTATCAGTCTTAAATTTATTATCATATTCTAATGCAATCAAAAATAAGTGACGATTCTTTGACTTAACTCAATGTAATTTTTTCCTATGACTTTTTCCTAGAGTTGAATTTAAAAAAAAAAAACTCTCCCTTAAGTGCTTCTTGTACGTAAATGTGTAACCTTTTTTTTTTTACCAGAAAACGTGTGGCTTGTCTTTTTTAAAACTTTGATTTATACGACAGGCGTTGAATAATATTTTTTTTTAATAAACCGGGAGTGATCTCCCCTAAACTTTCTCGAATATTCTAATATAACACTACGGGGGATGGCAACTCGGGATATAGACTTCTAGACATGATTTTTAATCCATTTTAAATACTCAAATTTTTTAAAATAGAATATAATCTCGTAGACAAATTAATTGCACACCTCGAGAACGCTAAATAAAGATGTGCATAATAGTGCGCAATATTATTAGTACTTGATAAATTTACATGCGTTTTTTTGAGAAATCGGAAATAGCGTAAATAAGTACTTCCGGTCAAAAGAAATTACTCAAAATATGTCAGAAGGTAGAGAATTAGATCTTTTACTTACATATCAACTTTCATTAATCTATCTGAAATAGTACTCAAGTTATAGGCTTTTGAAAAATTCAAAGTAGAAAAAGTACCACTTCCGGTTATCAGAAATCGCTCAAAAGTTGATACGGATCTACGATTTTGATAAAATACTTATTTATGAAATTTCATCAACCTAGCTGTAACGGTACTCAAGTTATCGTGTTTACACACACACACACACACACAGACACACACACACAGACACACAGACATACGGACAAGATTGCAAAATTATGTTTTTCCGTATCAGTGAGGTGTAAAACGTCGAGATTTGTAAAAATCTCGATTTTGTTTTTTTGCACGATTACAATACTTTCTCTATACTTCGTATAAAGGAGAAAGTAAATAAACCGGGAGTGATCTCCCCTAAACTTTCTCGAATATTCTTATATAAAACAACAGGGGATGGGAACTCGGGCTATAGACATGATTCTTAATCCATTTTAAATACTTAAAGTTTTAAAAATAGAATAAAATCTTGTAGACAAAAGAATTGCACACCAAGTGAACGTCAAATAGAAAAGTGCATAATAGTGCGCAATATTATTAGTACTTTAAAAATTTACATTAGTTTTTTGAGAAATCGGAAGTTGCGTAAATTACTACTTCCGGTCAATGGAAATTACTCAAAATTTAACAGAAGGTAGAGAATTATATCTTTTACTTACATGTGAAATTTCATTTATCTATCTGTAATAGTACTCAAGTTATAGGCTTTTGAAAAATTCAAAGTAGAAAAAGTACCACTTCCGGTTATCGGAAATTGCTCAAAAGTTGATACGGATCTACGATTTTGATAAAATACTTAAATATGAAATTTCATCAACCAAGCTGTAACGGTACTCAAGTTATCGTGTTTACACACGGACAGACAGACAGACAGACAGACACACAGACACACAGACATACGGACAGAATTGCAAAGCCCAGTTTTTCAGACTGGATTACGCATAAAACCTCTTAATTTTGATAAATCTGGATTGATAATTTTTGCCCGATTAAAATAAGTCCTCTATACTTCGGATGTGATGAAAGACAGAGGTGTAATACGGTGAACATTGTTAAAATTTCAAGTGATTTTTGTGCACGATTACAATACTTTCTCTATACTTCGTATATACGAGAAAGTAAAAAGGATGAGTACTTGCCATTGAACTCCATGCAAGCGAATTCGAAAGATAAATGACAAGGAACGTCATTGAATGTCCATCCGTAATTTAGTACAAGGCAGTCTTCATTTCCAAACAGGTCATTTGGTTCATTATAATTCCACATTGACCTCATATCAACGTTTGTCCCATCTGTCCACACCCATTTGCCTTCTTTTAATATGTCATTAGCACCAAGCCATACTTAAAAAGAAAAATAAATGTATGCAAATAATGAGGGTTTTTCTAACTAAGCATATTTGGTTCATCTCATAAGCGGCGACTTTCTCACTAATATCCAATTTTAACAGCTCCCAAAAAATAATGGATGCTCTCTAAATTTATTTCATATTCTAAATAACACTAATGTAGAAAGAATTAAAAACACAAATAATTAAAATTATATCGAGGTAATATTAAAGTCATTTTTCATTTTTGAAAAACAAATTGGATATTCAAAAAACATAAATCAATTACTATCAAAATTTTAATTATTATTGTAATATATTGTAATATATACATACTTTGATTTTCACGTATAGAATTTAGTAAAACCAACTCTTCTTCTGAAGAAACTTTGGCCAGGGTCCTTCTTCTAGTAAAATTCGAGCAGAATTTCTATAGAATATTGCAAAGTGTGTTATTTTAATTAAAAAATTATTTTTCAAACAATTAATTGAGAAATGCTAATGGTATATTTAATGTAGTATATTAATCATAGTGATTATTTTTTTTAGCGTGTTTGACATCAGCTATATCTTTACTACGTTATAATATAACATTACCTCTGCGTTATCCCAAGACATTGGTGTATGGAAGATCTCGTATTTGAAAAGCTTGTCATTAGAAAAAACGACTTTGTTCAATGGAACATTCAACGGTTTTGGTATCCTGTCTATAAATGAGCTGTTTCTGCTTTGTATGAATCTGTCTGTGGGTGATTCTTTGGCAGTTGATTCATCAGTCACGGTCGATGGCGGTGACGTCAAGGCTGCTATAAAAGTAAATACATTTCTATGAAGATAATGATTTTCCAACAATCTAACTCCTTATTCAACATAATAAAAAATAAAATTTCAGTGATTATTCGAAACAACGTGGCTTAACTGTGACAAAAAATTAGTTTTCTATAATACAATACAAAAGAAAAAGCATACCCAACGTGTGTGAGTCATTGACATATACAGAGTTATGTTTATTGAAAGAAATGTTACCAGCATTTGGCACCTCTAGCGTTGTATGTAAGTCATGATCTTGATCTATAAGAAATTCATCCAACTCTTTCAATGGTGCGGATGTTACCGTAGTTTCTGGTTGCATTGTTGTCTCTGCAGAACATGATGTGGTATTTAAATACAAACAAAGGAACGCAGTTTTCAAATTTACCAAGAATCGATATTTTCGTTAGTTTTATTTATTACTTTATTAAAGTACCCAACATTTTTGAATGTTTCTAACATAATATATAAACTAACAAAAACCACGGTTTGTATGTAAATAAATATCACGCTTTCTGACATGTAAACTTCATATTATTTTATTTTATTATTTTCAAGTATTTTATCAAAATCGTAGATCCTGATCAACTTTTGAGCGATTTCCGATAACCGGGAGTGGTACTTTTTTTTACTTTGAATTTTTCAAAAGCCTATAACTTGAGTACTATTTCAGATAGATAAATGAAATTTCCCATTTAAGTAAAAGATCTAAATCTCTACCTTCTGTCAAATTTTGAGTAATTTCCGTTGACCGGGAGTACTAATTTACGCTATTTCCGATTTCTCAAAAAACGCATGTAAATTTTTAAAGTACTAATAATATTTTTTCTATGAGATTCGATTCTATTTTTTAAAGTTTAAGTAATTAAAAATCATGTCTATATTCCAAATTATATTAGAATATTCGAGAAAGTTTAAGGGAGATCACTCCCGGTTTATTTTTTCAGTACTTTACATGTTTTATTTACAATAGAGTTACATGACTAAAAACCATTGCGCGCCTACTGAACGTGATGGCACAGCTATTGAACGTGATGACGCGTGTGGTGTGGTTGGATAGACATCAGGGGCGTAGCTAGGGGGGGGGGGGGGGGCGGGGGTGCGGACCGCACCGGGTGACACAATTTAGGGGGGTGACACCAAGGCAAAAAATAGCAAAATATATAGAGAAAAACTCGAGGAGGGGTGCAAATCGAAAACTTGAGGGGGGGGGGTGCAAATCGAAAGTTTAAGGGGGGGGGGTGCAAATCGAAAATTTGAAAGTTTGTACCTGGGAAGGGTCTCTATGCCTCTGGGGGGGGGGGGAGGGGGTGACACCATTAAGTGCCTCACCGGGTGACACCCGACCTCGCTACGCCACTGACATGCCTACTAATTCGGTCCAAATTTTAATTAATTCATAAAAAATTAATTAGCCATCCAATTAAGTCAAATTTAATTTCAGATTGCATTGTCTTCATGTCTCGACCCACGTGCCAACTGTGAACCGTATCTGTCAAGTAGAAGTGTCCGAAATTTCGCTCCGGCGTTTCGATCTAGACAGACTGATGACTGACGACAGACAGAGGAAGTGAGTTAAATAAAAGCTTGTAAAAAAAGCCAGAATAATTTTCTAAGAGATGGATTTACTTAACACGAACTATAAATTCTTGAGGTTGTTAAATTTAAAATGTGTTTTTGTACTTGAAATTGTCATAAATGTTAAGTATTTACACTATAATCGCACATTGATCTTCACAAGTAGTAAAAATGCATTCGAGACAATTAAACGGAGTTTAATATTATAATTCAAACAATAAACAATAACAGACTCATTAAATAAATTTAACCATACATTAAAAAATATTCATTTTAAAATAATTGTGTTTTGTATGGGTTTCGCTGTAGACTTTTACTCATTTTCGTCTTGATCTCACGCTTTGTGAATTACTGAGTGTGGTACATGTTGTAGTTAATGTGATTGAAACATTGTTTAGATTGTTTGTGAGCATGAAATTAAACTCATTATGTCTTCTTCCAATTTTTTGGTGCACGATTACAATACCGTCTCTATACTCTGTAAACGAGAAAAAAAAGAATGAGTACTTACCATTAAACTCCATGCAAGCAAATGTTAGAGACATATAACAAGGAACGTCATTGAAACCCCCTCCATAATTTATCAGAAGACAGTCTTCTCTTCCGAACTCATCGTTAGGTTCATTACGATCCCACAATGACGTCATATCAACCTTTGTACCGTCTGTCCACATCCATTTGCCTTCTTCTAATATGTCATTAGCGCCAAGCCATACTTGGGAAGAAAATTAATTTGTGCATGTATCGCGAGTTTTGAACACTAACTTATTCGGTTAATCTCACGAACTAGTTTTATTATTTTGCTAATCGTTTTTGTTGATCTATAAAAAACAAAAGTAAAATTCCCTTTCAAGCCTGACGGTCTACGGGGCAAGTGAAGTAGAGTTCACTTGTTTCTGTGACCTCGGCATATGAAGGGATAGTGTGGTCAGCACTATGCTCAGCCGCCTTTACTTACCCTAACGTGAGTTAGGTACCCATCAGAGTTGGGTGGACAAAGGTACGGTCTACTGACTTGTACCCGGATTCAAACTCGAGACTTACGGGTCAGCAATCCAGCTCTCTACCGCTAGGCCACTCCATTGATCTGTAAGAAGCCCAAATTTCTTGGGATTTTTTTTTTAAATTTCATTATGTTTCTGAGTCAAAAGCCCTCTGCTTTTATCCGAAATACCATCCTGACATGATATAACGAGACGCATTGACTTTCTCTACTGTCGTCAAAACTCTCAAATATTGAAATGATTATTGAGGTGATATACTGAAAGTAAATATTTATTTTGGAAAACAAATTAAATGTTCTACGGACGTAAAAGCATAATTATATTATTAAAAATACATACAACTTCGTCCAAAAGTCCTTTGAGAATTTAGCAAATTCATCTCTTCAAGTGAAGAAACTTTTGCCAGAGACCTTTTCCTAGTGAAATTCGAGCAGAATTTCTAGATAACAATAGAGGAAAGTGTTTGTTTTTTTATTTTTTAAAATTGAAAATGTATTTTTCAAACTATGAATTGTAACAAAGTAAATGGTATATTAAGTATTGTATTAAGGGTAATGTAATTATAACTTATTATACCATAGGCTATTTGTCCTACATTTGTATTATACTTTACCTCTGCGTTATGCCAAGACATTGGTGTATTGAAAATCTCATACTTTACAAGCAATTCTCCATCACTATAGTTGACACTTTGGGTTGCTAGTTTAGAGTAAAATAAAATCAAACGATTATTTTTATTTTATTTAACCTATTATTCTCTTCTCGTGAAAATTAATTTAAAAAAAAAAGTAAAACAGGATCTAACTACAAAACTTTCTTGCAATAGTCGACAGGCAACCACTTGGTGCACCTAAATTAAACAGTATCTTTGATTATTTTTATATTTAATCAATCTTACTGTAATTATATATTTTTAAAGACTTCAAGGAATAGCATTTACTGCCAAACTTCATTTAATTATATTTGTTCTTTTCTTCAGGGAATAACATTATTATTATCAGCATTAAGGCACATGAAAACGTATGCATTTATTATGTTTCTTTTAATCATCAAAATGTTTAAAAATATATATCAGCAACGAAATTATATTCATTAACACAATCATAAATATCAAGGAGCCAATATTCTACTCGCCATATTATACTTATCATATTCTACTTACAATATTCTACTTATCATATTCTACTTTCAATATTCTACTTACCATATCCTACTCATCATATTCTACTTACCATCTTCTACTCACCATCTTCTACTCACCATATTCTACTCTCCATATTCTACTCACCATCTTCTACTGTCCATATTCTACTCATCATCTTCTACTTACCATATTCTACTCACCATCTTCTACTCACCATCTTCTACTTACCATATTCTACTCACCATCTTCTACTCACCATCTTCTACTGACCATATTCTACTCACTATCTTCTACTTACCATCTTCTACTTACCATATTCTACTCACCATCTTCTACTTACCATATTCTACTCACCATATTCTACTCACCATCTTCTACTTACCATCTTCTACTTACCATATTCTACTCACCATCTTCTACTTACCATCTTCTACTTACCATCTTCTACTTACCATATTCTACTCACCATCTTCTACTTACCATCTTCTACTTACCATCTTCTACTTACCATCTTCTACTTACCATATTCTACTCACCATATTCTACTCACCATCTTCTACTTACCATCTTCTACTTACCATATTCTACTCACCATATTCTACTCACCATCTTCTACTTACCATCTTCTACTTACCATCTTCTACTTTCCATATTCTACTCACCATCTTCTACTTACCATCTTCTACTTACCATATTCTACTCACCATCTTCTACTTACCATCTTCTACTTACCATCTTCTACTTACCATATTCTACTGACCATATTCTACTCACCATCGTCTACTCACCATCTTCTACTTACCACATTCTACTCACCATATTCTACTCACCATCTTCTACTTACCATATTCTACTCACCATATTCTACTATCATATTCTACTTACCATTTTCTACTCACCATGTTGTTGAAGACATCGGTACCTAATATTTTTGACCATAAAACAATTGAGCCACCTTAGCTTGGACAATATACATTCGCATTTCCCTAGTGTTATCAATAGAAACTTTTAAATTCACTGACAAACATTTAAAATTGATTTTCAATTACTTAAATTTAATAGCTATTCTACTCTTTTTTACTTTCTCGTATATACGAAGTATAGAGAAAGTCTTGTAATCGTGCAAAAAAAAAAAAATCGAGATTTTTACAAATCTCGACGTTTTACACCTCACTGATACGGAAAAACATAATTTTGCAATCTTGTCCGTATGTCTGTGTGTCTGTCTGTGTGTCTGTGTGTCTGTCTGTCCGTGTGTAAACACGATAACTTGAGTACCGTTACAGCTACGTTAATGAAATTTCATATATAAGTATTTTATCAAAATCGTAGATCCGTATCAACTTTTGAGCGATTTCCGATAACCGGAAGTGGTACTTTTCCTACTTTGATTTTTTCAAAAGCCTATAACTTGAGTACTATTTCAGATAGATAAATGAAATTTCACATGTAAGTAAAAGATCTAATTCTCTACCTTCTGTTAAATTTTGAGTCATTTCCGTTGACTGGAAGTAGTAATTTACGCTACTTCCGATTTCTGAAAAAACTAATGTAAATTTTAAAAGTACTAATAATATTGCGCACCATTATGCGCTTTTTTTATTTGGCGTTCACTTGGTGTGCAATTAATTTGTCTACGAGATTTTATTCTATTTTTAAAAGTTAAAGTATTTAAAATGGATTTAAAATCATGTCTATAGCCCGAGTTCCCATCCCCTGTTATTTTATATAAGAATATTCGAGAAAGTTTAGGGGAGATCACTCCCGGTTTATTTTATTTAGCATTTTTGTTCCCTACATGGGGTCGGATATTTCGGGGTTTATAATGGGGGTACGATGTTTGCAGAGGAGTTTGCATGCAGGGGGGTTGTCGGGATGTAGCCTACTTTGTCAACTTAATAAATGTTAAGAGAATGTTGATCTAAGAACAGCCTTGAGTATAGATATTTACCTTGTGTACAGACCACTTGTGAGACGAAAATCATTACACTGCAGGTAAAAATGTTCATCGTGTTGATCCAGGCAGACATTTTGCCACCCTTTCTTCACTTGTTTAAGCAAATGAGTTCTAGAGCAATCAATGAGATTTAAACAACAATTAAGTCTAATCGAAGCTCTATACATGAAGCGGGAATTAAGCATACAATTTACAATAAATATAATGGGCGGAAAGGTTAAAAAGCGATATAGAATAAAGGGAATAAGAGCCGATAGTGTAACTGTTAAAATTATAAATGTATTAATGTATTATGAATAGAGTTTCTGTTTGCAGACATAGTTTCTTCCAGGTATCTCTTCGAGGGCGGAGGAGGATGTAAGTCGGAGGAGCGCCCTCCCTCCACTCCCCCCGAAAAACGTTTACCAGTGTCCCTCACTATACGGCGGTTTCGTTATAGTTTAGTTAATGCTAATAACTAATAGCTCATTTGATACTCCTGTATCAACTTGTATGTATTTTAGACTAGCCTAAAGCGTCGAATAGAAAAGGGAGAGTTACTTATAGTCCAAGCACACATCAGATATCTACTTTCGTCATCTCTCAATGGCCATGGGTGCACATCAACAAATGAGCGCCATTTCATTGTGTCTCTAGCTATAATCTCTGCTACTGTGTAATGTTAAATATCTACTTTCGAATTTTAAAATGTACCAATGATTTAAACTCTGGAAAAGAATACAATAGTTGTACTCGTTGTGACAATCAAATTATCATCAAAATTTAACATATAATGTGGTTTTCTACCAGTTTGGTGAGGCTGCAGGTTATCATTAAAATATAACAGAAAGTGAGTTTTTTGTACCTGTTTGGTGATGCTGCGTTGAGTAAAAAAAAAATTCTCTTTGAGTTACATCCGTCTGGTGGGTTTTTATTTATACTTTTTATACTTTTGTGTCCAGGACGAGTAACTGGACAGGATATAACACGCTTGTTAGAACTTAGATGCAGCGAGCTGCAATGCGAGGACGAGGGGGCGGGTAGTTTGGGTGCGGGGTACAAAATCCGAACATAATTAAAATTAATAATTAAAGTTTAGGTTTTTATTTTCGTAAACCTTTGCATTGGTAGTGTTTTTTTTAATATCGCTATGCTTGGGTTATCTTTGTTCCTCAGTAATTAACAAATGCTGTTAGGTCATTTATTTAAAAACGGTACTTATTGACGGTATTTGTTCACACCCTTCATAAGATTAACATCAATTATCATCCACCCGTATGAAATGACACTAGTGTTGAAATTAGATTTGGCAGTTAAATATTTATTCAACATTAAAACATTAAAATCTCAAACCAATGATAGCTTAGTTACGCCAAATACATACTGATCAAAGCAGAAGATAAATTACTTTATTGTACTTTGTTTTGAAATAGGCGTAACTGCGTTGCTGTTATTAATTTAATTATCAATTATTTTAATCATTTTCGGGTGTTTTTTTAATCGTATGGTTTCTATATACTTTTTATTTAAAATGCAAAAAAATATGTTTTTAAATATTAGGCCTAGTTATTGGGTAATCTGAATGTTGACTTCATTTAACATGCAATATTTATGTCAATACATTAAAAGAAAAGAAGACCGCAATACACGTAGGCCTATACAAATTTAAGTATTGATTCTAGAAAAAAAATTACATAAATAATCTTCAATTATAGACTAAAAAAAGAAATATATCTTATGATGATTTAATAACAAATTATTTAATTTTAATTATTTAAATTAGTATTTTTATCATATTCCCAAGTTTCATATATAATAATATTTATATTATTTATGAATATTTTACTATGGATTTATTTTTCAATTATCTAAAAATATCATTTCAATTTAGTTTTTGCCTCTTTCAGACTTTCACGACATTATGCTGACTTTTGCTTTGTTGGCTACACTTGAGAGTTTTGTTTTGAGTGCGCTATACTTGAGAGTTGTTTTTTTAATATACTTGTAAACGTAACAGTAAACAGGATATTTAGCCGGGATCAGAAACCTACATGTGAGGCCGATTACGTTCTGTTGTTTTGGTCATAAGAGGTTGTTGTATTCATGTTAGTTTTATCATGCACGTACTACGCACTTACATGTAGAGGCGTTGCAAGGTCGGGTGTAGTCCGGTGCAGTAAGTCAAGGTACGGATAGATTAAATATTATTTTAGTGACAATGTTTCTATTAAAGAACAAAAATGTGTTGTTTTCTTATTTTCAGTGCATTTTTAAAAGCGTATTACTACAAGGGTTTTTAATATATATATATATATATATATATATATATATATATATATATATATATATATATATATATATATATATATATATATTTAATGTTGTGTTGAGATAAGTGGAGATTCACAAAACGGAAGATACAAGGTCAAGAGCCGATGTTCATTTAGAGTTTGTTAAGGGGGAACAATCCCCCAGTTAACTGTCGAGTGAAAACAATTTTCACCACACACACACACAAAACTATTAGACATAGGCCTACAGATGTCAAGTGCGTACAGTAGTAATTATGCTCATACAGCTAAAAAAAAAAAACACCTTTCACGTGAAGCCATAACGCAAAAAGTAATTGGCAAAGTAATGTTCCTTTTTTTTACTTTCTCGTATAAACGAAGTATAGAGAAAGTATTATAATCGTGAAAAAAAATCGAGATTTTTGCAAATCTCGACGTTTTACACCTCACTGATACTGAAAAACATAATTTTGCAATCTTGTCCGTATGTCTGTGTGTATGTCTGTAAACACGATAACTTGAGTACCGTTACAGCTAGTTTGATGAAATTTCATTTATAAGTATTTTATCAAAATCGTAGATCCGTATCAACTCTTGAGCGATTTCCGATAACCGGAAGTGGTACTTTTTCTACTTTGAATTTTTCAAAAGCCTTTAACTTGAGTACTATTTCAGATAGATACATGAAATTTCACAGGTAAGTAAAAGATCTAAATATCTGCTTTCTGTCAAATTTTGAGTAATTTCCGTAGACCGAAAGTAGTAATTTAAGCTGTTTCCGATTTCTCAAAAAACATATGTGAATTTATAAAGTACTAATAATATTCCGCACTATTACATACATTTTGTTTGGTGTTCACTTGGTGTGCAATTCTTTTTTCTATAAGATTCTATTTTAAAAAGTTTAAGTAATTAAAAATGGATTAAAAATAGTGTCTATATCCCGAGTAGCCATCCCCCGTAGTGTTATAACTTATATATTGATAATTCGAGAAAGTTTAAGGGAGATCACTCCCGGTTTATGTAGTTTGTTCTTGGTTGGACAAAGGCTATGCAATCAAATCCAAAAAGAAAAGCAGGCGGAAAAAGGAGTCAATGGTCAAAACGGTGCATCACAGGTTGCCACGTAATACTTAAATGTGTTGGAGAAAATCCCTCCAACTTTACACTTAAGAACGAAGAAGCAGGCGGTGCATCATCTTATTCGTCTTTCTTATCGCCCACAGCTTCAGTCAAATAGCCAGCTCGGGTTTGTTTTGTTGATTTTTTTTTTGTGTGCGAAAAAAGTAGTGAAAGGCAGTTATTTTAATCTTCATTTCTTCTGTGCAAAAATGCTTCTGTAAAATAACATTTCACGGTATGGTGATTGCATGTCTCAATAAAAGGCACGATGAATCGTCAGTGGATTTCATTTTTCTGCTACTCTGTTACATTATTGCGTAGATGTCATCAAGTTTACATTAAGAGATCATTCTCTAACCATTAGGTCCACAGTTTCTTCCCGGCATCTCGTAGAAAAAGTCTGGAAGAAACACTGATCAGGTCTCTCTCACAGTAACTGACTGACAACAGAGGTTACCAAATAGTAAATACAAGTAAGGGACATAACAATAACCAACAAGACACACAGTAACAGTATTATTCTCTACATTTGTTTTTCCGTTGTCAAAATAAATATTCGTCCATGATAGGTCAAATTTATCTAAGAATACTTTTGTACTTCTTCTTTGCTGATTTTATTTCTGCTAGAGGTCTACATTCGTAAACATCTTACTAAAAACTTATTGACTCTAAATGTGGTTAATTATTACTTAGTCCTTGGAAATCATATTCTAAAAACCAATATTTTCCTTTCAAAATGGCCAAGTTCACGACCTTATCTACATTTTATAAGTTAATTTTAATTTAACGCTGAAAACATTTGAAACCAGCAGTTGAGGCAAAGAATGGTGAACTGCAATAAACAAAGAAATAACCGCATTACATTTCTTGATTGACATTTATAAAGAAAAGTAGCCAGCAGTGGTGGTATTTGTTTTACTAGACAATGCACATTTGCCTTTTTTTTTTCATGGATATAATAAACCATGCTTTCACAAAAATTTAATGTTTTTTGTTGCATGTTTTAAAATATTTTATTCTTATTACTTTATTTTGTACATGTCTGGTATTTTGCAATGTCGTAATACAAAATTCTTTGCATAGAACAGTCAAGAGTGTAGCATAACATATAATTTTAAAAATTAAAATCACATGCTTCATAAATAAGTTGATTAATCTAGAATGTTATTTGACAATTAACACTACAAAAACTAAACAAGTACAGTCTTAGTTATGGAACATTTGCTCTGGTCCAGGCTTCACTGACAGCCCACAGTCGCTTGGCTGCCACGTCATCTAGTGCTTGAGATGCAGGAGGTAACTCTTTACAATCACTGTGTAGTAACGAAATTAAGTTATGTAAATGGCAGGTCCAATCTTTAAAATATCTAAAACTCTAAGCCAGAAGTAATTATTCATAACAGTATATATGAAATAAATTGTTTTATGCTTTTGTTATAACTTTATATTAATTCTAGTATTTAAAATTATTTATTATGTCAATTTACTGAACAAAACACAGTAGTTATTAATTTACCTAAAATATTTTACTTTTACTGTAAGTTTTAATGTTGAGTCTAGTGTTATTATTTTATTTTAGCTGTGGTACTATTTAATCAATCACCTAAAATATTTTACTGTAAGTTTCTTATGTTGAGTCTAGTGTTATTATTTTACTTTAGCTGTAGTACTATCTAATCACTCACCTAAAATATTTTCCTGTAACAGTTTCTAATGCTGGGTCTAGTGCTAACCATTTACCTAAAACATTTTCCTGTAAGTTTTTCTTATTAGCTGTAGTACTATCTAATCACTCACCTAAAATATTTTCCTGTAACAGTTTCTAATGCTGGGTCTAGTGCTAACCATTTACCTAAAACATTTTCCTGTAAGTTTTTCTTATTAGCTGTAGTACTATCTAATCACTCACCTAAAATATTTTCCTGTAACAGTTTCTAATGCTGGGTCTAGTGCTAACCATTTACCTAAAACATTTTCCTGTAAGTTTTTCTTATTAGCTGTAGTACTATCTAATCACTCACCTAAAATATTTTCCTGTAACAGTTTCTAATGCTGGGTCTAGTGCTAACCGTAAAGTTGTTTGAGCGCCTTGTATTGGGGTTTTCATTAGAATAAATTTAATTGGGAAAAGTAGAAAACTAGAGAAGGAAGATTTTGTTATTGGGAGATGCCGTCCCAGCTCTGTTGCAACTATACCAGGATGTAAACTGTTCACTGTTACACCAGTCCCTAGAAATTAAAGATAAAAGTGGTATATATATAATCTTGAATAAGCCTTAACAATATAGAGACAAAGTTTAAATTGAAAAGAAAAAAAAAATTGATTGTAGAAAAATAATTGTTTGAACAATTGTTTTACCCCTTGTTAAGAACGCAAGCTTAGATCAATAAAAGTTTAATTAATTCTCACAAACAGTATTTCTTCCAGACTTTTTCCTCCCGGGGAGGGTGGATAACACAGGTAAATAAATATGTTTTCTATACAAATTCCATTTTGTTCGAGGGGATGGGGGGACGGGATGCCCAGAGCCCCTCTAAAGAGATGTCTGGAAGAAACTCTGCTCACAAAATATATGATACTACTAATAGAATTTGTAATTTCTGCTAAAACTAAAAGTTTTTGTTTGTCATATCCATTTACTTAAAAAAATATTGATTCAACTCTTAATTAAAAGCTTTTTCTTAAGTCACCATGTTCATGGGTTTATGGTTGAATTTTTAAATTAAATTTTGGCCAATCTCTAATGGAGCAGTTTCTGTCAAACATTGCACAAAAGTGCATCTCAGATGCCAAAGCAATAAAAAGTAAATTACTCATAAGATTTATATAAAGATTACTAATTTATTCAATAACAAAAGGGGAAATAACTAAGGGGTAGCAATAGTTCTGAACAGTCAGGCATTCACAAACTTTACACAATTTAGAGCTGAAAATACTGATACTATGCAGACAATACTCATAATCATTAATATACAGGGTTTTACAAAAATGTTTAAAGTAAAGAGGTGTGTCCATTTGATTACGAATGATCATAGTTGAAAGAATAAATATGGTGCTAAATGCTCATAAAACTTAAAAATGACTTGCTATTGCATTTTTTTTACAATTCCTTTGTACTGAAAAGTAATTAATAAAGCACGTATAAAAAATGTATAAAAAATGTAAAGAAGAAGCTTTTAAATGAACTTAAGAAAATAATGTTTATACATTTTAAATTACCTTCAGTTACTTTCAATAAAACAGTTAAAGAACCTAATACTAGACTGTACAGATGCAGCATGTTAAAAAAACATAAGAAAAATGAGCTTACAATTTATATATCCTGCATAATAATATTCAGAATGTTTTAAACTATTTCATTCAAATCTTTGGACCTTTTACAACTGTACTCTACAAGTTTGCAGTATTGACCACAAAAAAATGGACATACTGCATTTTCCTTCTATATGCCATCAGTCTGATTATATTCATTAATAGATTCCACTTTATGTAGTGGCAAAGTATGTTTTTAACTTTATTCTAAACACAAAATATCTCACCTTCTAATCGACTGACAAGCTCTTTCTGGTGCAACAGGTTTGCTAGTTTGCTTTGTTTGTATGCCTCATGTTTGTCGTAGGAGTTTGCACTGTTAAGGTCATCAAAATTGATGCTACCCCTCTTATGTGCAAGGCTTGATACTATAATGATCCGGCTTGGGGCTGAGGCTTTCAATTTATCCAACAGTAAATAGGTGAGGAGAAAGTGACCTGAATATATAAAAAGTTAACACATCGCTATCACTTAGCATGGGCATCAGTTCACCGCTGATAAGTGTTAGCTCGTCATAACCACATGTAAACAAAGAACATTTTTTTTAACTGATGCAGAAAAATAAATATCAGAATTTATTCTTTTAAAAAGTCCCACCTAAATGATTAACACCAAGCTGCATTTCAAAACCGTCTTCAGTCAACATTTTGGGACACATCATCACACCAGCATTGTTGATCAGGATGTCGAGATGCCTCTCAGCTGTTGAAGATAACCTTTTCAATATAATAGTTTATATTTTAAATTTATTTTAATTATTGTACATTATGAAGTTATAAAAAAATAATTCCTGCTTACGCTTTTTATTATTCATTAAAATAGTTATATTTAATGTCAGTGCTATGAAGGGATGGTGTGGTCTAGCGGTAGAGTGCTAGACTGCTAACCTGAAAGTCTCAGGTTCAAATCCAGGTTCATGATTCCACCCAGCTCTGATGGGTACCGAACTCAGATTGAGGAAAGTAAAGGCTGACCACACTGCCTTTTCATATGCTGTGGTCACAGAAACAGGTGAACTCTACTTCACTTGCCCCATGGACATTAAGGTTTGAAAAGGGATCTATACTATGAAACACCAGGCTAACACAAAACAGCATGTTGAAGCAGCAGAGCAAACTTAGGCTTGCATGAATGTCTCGATTTCAGTTCCCAGGCTCTGGAAAGTCTAAGAGTCCACCCAGTTCTCAATGGTAAAGTAAAGCCATCTGAACACAGAACTGACCACTCTATCCTTCTTCTTCTTCGTTCTTAATTTTTAGTGTTGGAAGGGAGCGAGCCATATCTGCCAGAGGGTTTGAACTCGAGACTTTTTTTTAGAATTTATCAACCATGAGCTTTTGCCGACTCGACTACGCCTCCAACACAATTGAGGATACGTGTCAACTGGTTATGCGCCATTGAGGCCATTGACTCCGATTTCAGCCTGCTTTTCTTTTTGGATTTGCTTCCATAGCCTTTGTCCAACCAAGAACAATCTACAAGGCAGCAGTTGTTTGATTTTGGAGTTGTCTCTCTTAGAAGAGTGGCTGTCCCCAGCTTACGAGCCTCATCTGCCCGAGGGTTCGAGATATAGACTTTTCGGTTTAGCAACCATGAGCTTTTACCGACTCGACCACGCCGACCACTCTATCCATTTATATACAATGTTCACAGAAACAGGTGACCTTTAACTAACCTACCCTAGTGTCAATCACGGTTGAAATAGCAACTTTTTTTTTCAAGCCAACATTATATTTAAAAGCCTGTTGACCAATAAAGCCCTTTATATATTGCTGTAAAAAAAAAATTACATGCATGTATGCCTTTGCAGAAAGCTCGAATAGACCCAATGGAGGCCAGGTCTAGTTTCCGACATTCAATGTTGTGGTTGGCTGTTTCTAATATGAATTCTTGCCTCACTTTTTCACACTTTTCAATATCCCTGCAGGCCATTATAATTCTCCCACCTAAATACAGATTAAAATATACATTTCAGACGTAGTCAAAAATATATGTAAAACTACATCTTCCATCAATTTTTTTAACGCTGATAAAAATTGTTGAGTGAAATACCTCTGCGTGCGAGTTCTCTGGCTGTCTCTTTCCCTATTCCAGTGTTGGCACCAGTAATAATTACAGTTTTTCCAGCTATTCTCTCTTCACCTTTGTACCTTGGTCCTCCCATGTAGTCCCTGATATAGAATACATTGAGTTTTATAATAACACTTGCATTGAAGATGAAATTTAAAATGTTATCTATCAAATCTTAACCAATTATTTAACAATACTCACTTCAATAGAACAGTACCACCAGCTATGGTTCCAATGATACTTAGAGGCAAAGTATACTTGGGCAGATGCATTTCTATGCCTAGATTCAAGATTTTAGAAAGATAGTAATCCTAGACAAGTAGCTAGCTCAGAATCATGAGAATGTTGCAAATGTTATTAATATTTATTAAACACAGTCAAAGATTCAATTTAATTTTATTGATTGGCCTATTTCTTAATTAAATTATTGGGTAATATATCATTTTAGGTACGTAAAATCAGCCGAGGCCAGTAATGTGCGACAAAGTTGCCTCATTGTTAAGGCTTTAATTAATAGAAGTATATTGTGATATATTTGTGTCAAACGTTAGCCTATAAATAATTGAATAATAAACCAAAATCAATGGCTAAATAAATCAATATAGGCCAGAAATTAACTATAAACAGCAGAGTTTGCGAGCAAGATTTGCTATTTATAATATATAAACAGCAGTCATCTGTAAAATAGAGTGGCTTCCCCTGAATCTTCCACTAGGTCTATAATTTTATTAAAAAAGAACAACCTTAATTAAGGTGGCTGCTAAAAGGAAATGGTTGCATCTGATGAAAACATCGCTAGATTCTAGTCTTTATTTAAAACTGAAAGGTTTTAATACAAACGAGCCGACCCGCTGCGTATCATACGCCGCTATTTAGTTGTTTTTTTTCTACTTTTCAGTAATTTATAATTTGTGAATTCGACAGTACTAATGCTGCCACTGAAAATATTTGCTTAAAAACACTAACCCCCCCCCCCCCTCCGTGAATGCAGCCTCCTCTTAGTTACCTCCTCTAAGTTCAAAATCGTTTCAAGCTAAATTATCTGCCCCTAATAGCCGTCACCAAACCCGTCTCTATGATTGTAAAATGTAAACAGCGTGAACCACAGCTCAGACTATGTGAGGGGGTGGGGGTGGTAGCGATAGAGAGGAAGAGAGGGGACTGTAAGGCGCGCTTGCAGCTTGTTTTCTAACGGCTCCCAGAAGAGAATTATATATTTAGATATTTAAAAACTGGTAGATCTACATGAATGAAACATTTTTGTAACTTTCAAAACATAAATCTACCTTAAAATGTGAAATAATTACTAAAATTTTTAATTTAATGAGGCACCTTCTTTTCACATCACTAGCCTCGGCCGATTTTCCATAAGACATGATAAGAGCTTTAGAATCTAGATCTAGAATCTATATAAATTTAAATTAATAAATACAGATCTAGAATCTAATAAATATTAAATAAATTTTAACTTCTAAGAAGAGTTTTCTACCCCAGTTTTATAGGTTTTAATGATTTTAAAATTTATGTCTTTCCGTCTTTTCTCTTCTACTTTTTACTTCTACACTACTGATTACTTTGATTCTAGAGTCTGGATCCAGCACATTTCACTACAATACAAATACTGAATTATATTATAGGCCTAGATCTAGATCTACATAATACATCATACATACATAGATCTAGTACATAGATCTACTACATACATACATAGACTAGATCTAGATCTAGATAAGACTCTAGGCCTATTTGGCTATTAACTCCTTCATTGACCTACAGTTTCAGTATAAATTTAATAAATCTTAGAGTAGTTTCCCTTGAGAATTTTTTGTGGTTTTGTGGTTTTAAATGGTTGTCTGGTTCACCCCATGCGTATTATCCAACTACCTGGTTTTTTTTGTCCATTAATAAATAGACTGCACACTCATGATTTTTACCTCCCCCCTCCCCTCCTCCAGACACCCTCCTAAAATGACGTTACACCTCAGCCTACAGCCCCCCATCAAAATTAAATAATTTATCGGTCGGTTAGTGGTGTTAGTGGGTCGTTGGTTGGTCGGTCGGTTAGTGTTGTTAGTGGGTCGTTGGTTGGTCGGTCTAGTTAGTGGTGTTAGTGGGTCGTTGGTTGGTCGGTCGGTTAGTGGTGTTAGAGGGTCGTGGGTTGGTCGGTCGATTAGTGGTGTTAGTGGGTCGTGGATTGGTCGGTCGGTTAGTGGTGTTAGTGGGTCGTTGGTTGGTCGGTCGGTTAGTGGTGTTAGTGGGTCGTTGGTTGGTCGGTCTAGTTAGTGGTGTTAGTGGGTCGTTGGTTGGTCGGTCGGTTAGTGGTGTTAGAGGGTCGTGGGTTGGTCGGTCGATTAGTGGTGTTAGTGGGTCGTGGATTGGTCGGTCGGTTAGTGGTGTTAGTGGGTCGTTGGTTGGTCGGTCGGTTAGTGGTGTTAGTGGGTCGTTGGTTGGTCGGTCAGTTAGTGGTGTTAGTGGGTCGTTGGTTGGTCGGTCGGTTAGTGGTGTTAGTGGGTCGTTGGTTGGTCGGTCTAGTTAGTGGTGTTAGTGGGTCGTTGGTTGGTCGGTCGGTTAGTGGTGTTAGTGGGTCGTTGGTTGGTCGGTCGGTTAGTGGTGTTAGTGGGTCGTGGGTTGGTCGGTCGGTTAGTGGTGTTAGTGGGTCGTGGGTTGGTCGGTCGGTTAGTGGTGTTAGTGGGTCGTGGGTTGGTCGGTCGGTTAGTGGTGTTAGTGGGTCGTGGGTTGGTCGGTCGGTTAGTGGTGTTAGTGGGTCGTGGGTTGGTTGGTCGGTCGGTTAGTGGTGTTAGTGGGTCGTGGGTTGGTCGGTCGAATAGTAGTGTTAGTGGGTGATGGGTTGGTCGGTCGGTTAGTGGTTTTAGTGGGTCGTGGGTTGGTCGGTCGGTTAGTGGTGTTAGTGGGTCGTGGGTTGGTCGGTCGGTTAGTGGTGTTAGTGGGTCGTGGGTTGGTCATTTAAAGAATACCCATTAATACAGAGGTGTAAAACTGTCGTGTGAGTTCAAGGCGGGGAATGGGGGGGGGGGGGCGGCAAAAAATTGTGACAATGTATAACTGGGGGTGTCATATTGTGATGATGTATAATTGTGTCGACATATTGTAACACTGTTTAACTTGGTCGGCATATTGTGAAGATGTATAACTGGGGGTGGCATATTGTGACGATGCATACCGCGAGGTGGTATATTGTGACGATGTATAACTGGGTGGTATATTGTGACGCTGTATAAATGGGGTGGTATATTGTGACGATGTATAACTGCGGAATTGGGGTAATGATTGACAAGAATAAGGCAACGAGTATCGAGTTACTAAAACAAGACTGCAAATATATCGTTCATGGCACAAAAGAAATCATCTTGTTTGCTGCGTCTCCACAGATTCTCAAGTCCGGCATCGGCCCTAAAACACATCTGGAAAACATGAAGGTATTTGTGTTTACTATACTGGTCGCAATAGCTTATTATTACAATTTTAAAGTAATTTAAAGTGAATGTGCTTATAAAAGATGTGTAAAAAACTTAAACTCATTTTTTTCTTCTTTGGTTTTATAATACAACTATATCAGCATTTTACGTTGAAAAACTAAACTTTGTGATCTGTGAATCGTTTTGTGTGAATGTTTCGTGCAGATTCATGTTGGGTTATTTTTTTATTCTATTAAACGTTGTGTGATATAGATCTATGGCCAAAATCAATTGATATCTTTTTCACGCATCTGTGTCATTGTCGTAAAAACGGTGCACCTCCAAAACAGCCCGGGACAAATTCGCCCCGTCAAAACGGCCCCGTTAATATGACCCCGTCAAATCGACCCCCGACAAAACGACCCCGTCAAAATAGCCCCGTCAAAAGGTTGGGCAAAATGTTAAAGAAGATTTATTTAAAAAAAAAAAAAAAAACAATCCCGGGGCCTTTGGGGTGCCGAAGTTGATTTTCTGTCATCCGTCTCGGCACTTATCTGCTCTGAGGGATAAGTGCCGCCATGCGACACTCATCCCTCAGACACACCACACAAACTAACAATTAAAAGCATGCTAATCTTTAATCTACTAAAGATTACATAACATCATCAACAGGTAATACTTAACCGACCATTTATGTACATTTATTTAAAATTTGGCAGGATGATAACTAAATATAATACTCAAATGAATCACATATAGCCTACTATTTAAATGGTCATCCATAAAATACAGTCAATATAGTTTCTTCCAGGCATCCACCCCCCCCCCCCACACACACACACACGAAATGGAATTTATATAGCTAAAATATCCCCCCCCCCCCCCGAAAATATAAAATGCTCCCCCGGAGAAATAAGCCTGAAAGAAACACTTACCCTTTCACGCCTAGAGGAGATGTCGGACTTGTGTGAAGAGGTGCCTAGTGGGAGGGAAGGCGAAGATTAAAGGAAATAACCAGGTTTAGATTGTTTTGTGAAAATATTAATTGAGTTATCCCCCTTTGTCCAGATTGCATTTGATGCAACTATATCTGGTAAATAGGCCCTAACATTTTTTTAAAAAGTATCATAGGGGCGCTCTCAGAAGATAGTATGCAGTTAGGAGCCCTCATTTCCTCAGGCGGCCAATATTTGAAATCAACAATAAACTAAGACCCTGGGTCGGTCAATGGGAAGTGATGGCCAATCCGCGCATTGCCCGGCCAATGCGTGTGACCAATAGGCCTATATATTATATAGAATATAGGCTTATATTGAAATATAAATAATTTATATAGACTCTAATCTAGCACAAGATCATTATTTAGACCTTAGATAATTAGGGCCTACACAGTGGCGGAACTAGAAAAAATGGGCCACCCCGGAAAAATTATATATATATATATATATATATATATATATACAGAGCCGGCGTTAGGGGGTGGCAAACGGGGCGGCCGCCCCAGGCCCCGCGCTTGAAGGGGCCCCGCGTTTCAGCAAGGCCATTGTTGCCTGAATTAGTTTGTAAACTTAAATAACCTTTGCTGAATTAAATTTAAAAAAAAAAACCAACTAAATGGCCGAAGTTGTTGGATGTTAAAACTGAGGCCAAGGCTGATGTTAGTGAGTTTTCCTTTACATGGGCTGGGACAGACCGTTATTCTAAAGAAAGACATTAGTGTCACACATCGCTGGCACGGTCGACTTGCTATTGTCCTGAGGTGACTGGAGATGGCGGTCGCGAATTAGCCCCCGACCTGACATGGGAGGTAAAATCGGGAAAAATGTAAAAAGATACCCTATTGTTTGCGGACCGTTGAAGACGTTTTTTTTTAGTGAGCAGGCGGGGGTGTCTGTAGTAAACAGTCAGTGACCTGATGATGTCTTGCAGAGGAGGAGGGGGGGGGGGTGAGCGGATGGGGACATGCCCCGGAATTCCAGAGCATTTATCCCTAAAATCATAATTTATACACTGTATGAGCATCTTTTTTGTAATTGTGCATATTCACCACGATACGCTTGATAGGCATCCATAAGGTAATTATGTTCATATTTATTTTATATATTGTCAGGTCATCTTTAAATACATTATACTTGTATTTATTTTTATATTTTTGAAGGGCATTTATACAGTAATTATGTCCATTTTCATTTTGGTAAACTTTAACGGTATTCGTAAAGTGATTAAGTACATGTTTATTTTAATTAATTGTAGGGACAGTGGCGTAGCGAGGTCGGGTGTCACCCGGTGCGGCACTTAATGGTGACACCCCCCTCCCCCAGAGGCGTAGCGACCCTTCCCGGGAAAAAACTTTCAAATTTTCAATTTGCACCCCCCCCCCCTCAAACTTTCGATTTGCACCCCCCCTCAAGTTTTCGATTTCCACCCCCCACCTCAAACTTTCGATGTGCACCCCCCTCAAGTTTTTCTCTATATATTTTGCTATTTTTTTGCCTTGGTGTCACCCCCCTTAATGGTGTCACCCGGTGCGATCCGCACCCCCCTCGCTACGCCTCTGTGTAGGGATATTCAGTATAATAGTTAAGACCATAGTGATTCTTGTTTTAAAATAGTGTGGGCACACTAAACAAATTATAAAGTCTATACTGTTTGATACATCGGGCCGAGACTGTTTTATAGTAAAGTTCTCCTGATTTCTAAAACGTCTAAATTACCGGCAGTCCGAGCATGCCATCGCGAAACTCATAAATAACATGGTTCACTAATTATAGACACGGACCTTCTCTTGTGAGAACGCGGTCTTAACCTGTAATGTAATACGTGGACGCTCTATACACACGCACCTTCTCTTGAATGGCTGCGGCCAGATCCAGTAACGTAGTACCCGAACTGATTTTTTTTAGGGTTTGGTGTACAGTTATCCTTCACGGGCTTCACCTCACCCCACCAACTGTCACCCCCCCCCCCCCCAGTGTTCCACCTTACTGAGCGTCCGTGATTACATTTGAGAGTCATTTCATTTGGATATCTATAGCTGTAAACAGTTTTTTTCACGATTCGAGCTTATTCCGAAATCTATCAATGTTTTGCTATTTTCCCCGGCATCCACACACTTTGAATGCCACTGTTAACCCTCGATAAATTGAGAAAATATCGATACTATCACCTGCCACTGTGGACCGATTTAACGTTGCTTCAAAGTGCCCGAAGGTATTAAGTCAGCCAAACAGTGCCTTCAGTACATTTGGAGTATTCGGGATTCCTTTCCCAATACGGCGATCGCCTACAGAATCTTGCAAACAGTTCGAGTCACAGTGGCATGCGCCGAAAGAAGTTTCTCCAAACTGAAGTTGATCAAGAACTATTTGAGATCAACGATGTCCCAAGACAGGCTCTGCGGCCTGTCGATTCTGTCAATAGAAAAAGACATAGCCTCCAGTTTGGACTATGATGATATAATCATGGAATTTTCCCCACGAAAGGCAAGAAAAGTAGATCTTCGTTTGTGAACGTACTGGTAAGATTTTCATAAATAAACATTAATGTAAAAAAATCAGGTTTGAAGCTGACGTTCATCGTCTCTTTAATGCGTGTCTCAAACTTATATCTGTTTTATTTTTTACTTTTCAAACAAAAAGCCTTAACAGAAAAAAGCAACGTTTCAAAAGCCCTTTTAAGTAAACAAATTATTTGTTAATCAGTGTCTTAATGTTAATACGACATTGATAAACAGCTTAAAAATACCATATATATATCGTTATAAATATTAATTCGCTTTGAGAAGAAAAAAAAAACGCCTCACTGTACATGTTTTATTTAATTATACACCAATGAAAAAAATACAAGGCCCCGCGCGGATGGTTGGCCATAGGCCCCGCGTACCCCTAACGCCGGCTCTGTATATATATATATATATATATATATATATATATATATATATATATATATATATATATATATATATATATATATATATATATATATACATATATATATATATACATATATACATACATATACATATATACATATATATATATATACATATATATATATATATATATATATATATATATATATATATATATATATATATATATATATATAAACACAATACGAACATAGAATACTCATTTCGGGCCTGATCGGGTTTTGAATAAAAAATTCAATTGAATCTAATCAAAACAACATGTCATGTGTATGACTGCATTAGTCTGTTTTGAAAATCTCTGTTTTCATTTGTGGTTGCATTAATACTGCAAATAATAAAGTCGGTCAAAAATTATATAAATCATGAAGCTTTGTATAAGTAATGCATGGTATCTCGTGTTATGTTTTTTTTAATGTTTTTCTTTATTTATATTATTAGTTTTAACTACATTTCATTATTATACTATACCATTCTTATAAGTACTTATTTTTTTAAAAATAATAATTAAGATAAGTAATTGTTGTTTAATTTGATTATTAAAAATCTATTAAAAGGAGCTTAATTATGAGCACCCCTATTTGGCTATTTGAAAAAGGGAAATAATTTATGGAAGTGGTTTGAACGTTTGCCTATCTTTCACACTACAGCTATGTGTATATTTAAAAAAAAATTTTTTTTACGCAACAACATGTCTTAGCTACTATATAATATCACTACTGTATTATATCTGTTTGTTATTTACAAAACCACTATCAAGGTGCCAGTGACGAAACTAATATATATATATATATATATATATATATATATATATATATATATATATATATATATATATATATATAACACGCTATCATTCGTGTATTTGTTTGAGACGTTTGCCTTGTTTTCTAGAACAGTGGTTATTAAATGTAAACAATGTCGGCACTTTATTTCTTGGATATTAGTTGTTGGGGCGCTAGTTTGTCAACACTACCACCGATACGAGCCAGCTTAGTTGTTGAGGCGCTATCTATTCGCTTCTTGTAAGGCTAAGAGCGGGAGGGGGGGGGGGGGGTCTGAGAAAGGAACTTAAAAGGGACAACAAAGCACCGATGTGCTTTTATCCATCAGTACCAAATTTGGGATGGTCTCAAAAAGCCGTCTTAATATCTAGCGGCCTCTCGCGCAATTGATGTTTTTTCAACAGAATTTTTCCGACAACAGCGTGTGTTTGATTATAGGAAAAAGAATATACAAGAGCGTGGGATGGTGTCTATAGACAAAGATACTCCAACCGCAGCTACAGTATTCTTTTTTTCAAAACAACCATCAGGTCAAAAATGCAAGAAAATTAATTTTAACTTAAAAAAAATAATTATGGGCGGCTTTGGGCCCCCTAAACGGCGTGGGGCCCCCCGCATTGCGGGGTCTGGCGTCACGATAGTTCCGCCCCTGGGCCTACACAAACTAGTACTAGAAATCTAGATCTAGTACTAGATTCTAGATTTTTGTTTTTATTTAGAAATAATGCTTGTGTAAATTCTGAATTTTTAAATAACACGAATCTAGATCTAGACTAGGCCTAGCAACATAAAAATACGAACTTCCTTTGTCAGTTGATCGCTTCTTTAAATTAAGTTCATACTTGATGTCGATCTAAGTCTAGAATCTAGTCTAGATCTAGATCTAGATATAAATTATTCTAAATACTATTAAGTCGGGCTGTTGACGGTGCTGCCATGTACTAGTCTAGTTTGTAAATCTTGATTAGATTATTTATATGATTACAGATATTTATTTAACTTTAGAAACTTAGGCCAGGGGCCTACTTCGGCTTAGAATGGACACCAGCGAGTTGACGAGATTCCTTCCATAATGACAATGTTGTTGACATGAAATAAAAACGTGCTTTTTAGATTTAGATCTAGACCGTAAAAAAAAAAAAAAATTTAAGCCTAAAATTAATTTAGAAATGTTATATTTTTAGAATATGGGACGGAGTGGTCTAGCGGTAGACCGGTAGAGAGCTGGAGTGCTAACCCGTAAGCCTTGAGTTCAAATCCGTGTTCAACTCAGTAGACCGTTCATGAGTCCACCCAACTCTGATGGGTACCTAACTCACGTTAGGGAAAGTAAAGGCGGTTGGGCATAGTGCTGACCACACTATCTCTTCATATGCCGAGGTCACAGAAACAAGTGAACTCTACTTCACTTGCCCCATAGACCGTCAGGTTTGAAAGGGAAACTTTACTTTTTACTTTATATTTTTAGAATAAATGCTATAAAAGTTGCAAATCCAGAGAACTTGAAAATAATTTGTTGAGTTTAACAGTTTAAGGCTACATTTCTATTTATTTTCATCAAGCCTAAGTTATAACCAGATGTTTCACTTTCGTAAGACAAATATTGATTGGCTGTACAGTAATTTAGTGATCGATAACTATTTGTTTACAAAACTTTGCAGATCAACTTTTTAAACAATGCAAATTTTTTTTTGCTTACAATGTGTACAATAAAATTTATGGCGGCCTATTGAATAGCAGGATGCCATTGTTTATGTCCCCATTACACGTGAAAACCAAATTGTTTTTGCTTTTTTTTTTTTATTTAGTTACCGAAAATATTCAAAACATCAGATAGCCTACATCCAATCTTTAGTAGGCCTAAAGTCCGAAAAAAACCAGACAGACAGGATTTTTAATTTTATAACCATATTAATTGTAACTATGCCGTGCATGATTTTTAAATTAATTTATGGACCTCTCAAATACCTTTGAGACTTTTCTCGCTGGCGTCCAATAAATTAATAGTAGTCCTAATTTAATAGATTTCTAATAATTCTAATAGAATAGAATAATTTTTTTTAATAATAGACTAGCCTAACCTAATATTTATAAATATTTGGGTTTCTAATAAAATAGCATAGATTACTAGATTAGCCTACAGATCTAGTTACTAGTAGTAGTAGGCTATAGATCTACGCCTTAATAAAGTTAGGCCTAATAATTATTATAATAATTAATAATTAGGCCTACAGCAGTACAGGGTAAAACTCATTTTAGCATATTTTATTCCCTGCTTCACGTTCATCTCCAGTTGAGCGTATTTTATTGTAAACACAACCAAAACACTAAAATGTTTTAATGGTCTACCTCTACAAGTCTAAACTCTACAGAGTCACACACATAAAAGGTCGATATTTTCAATTATTTTGAGTCGCTTGCACGCCGACCTACACTTAATCATACTTAATGAATAATAATTCATTTATCAACTATTAGGCTATTATGCCCCCTACTAGATCTAGATTTATAAATATCGTATCTAATAACTAAAGAATTTTAAAGATAGTTTTGATCTAGATGTACTAAAGAAATTAGATCAATTAATTTTTTAGTGCTAAAAATGTTCATTATTCATAGGTTACTCATACTGTGATTAATTTATTGTTTTAAATGTCGCACCCTTCTATTCTAGTTAAGTTAAATTCTAGACTTCTGGACCAAAAAGTAGATCCACAATTCTACCCCTTCTGCTGTTCAAATGGAGGCAATAAATTCTTTGGTAGCTGCATTGGACATTGTTATGAATCCACAAGCTACAAATGATGAAAGACAAAAAGCTCAAAAGGTAAAATATTTTCAATTTTAAATCCTATATCGTAAAGCAGGGCACTAAGAGCTGTGTGGTATTAGGATCCAGTTAGCACCCCACCCCAACAAAACTTACTTCCCAATTTACTTCTGAGGTAACAACCACATAGAAGCAGAGGGTTCTTCTTATATAATTTAGAACCCACTTGGCCCAGCAGAGACATGATGAAACAGGAACAATCCCACTGCCCTTTCCTCAAAATTTAATAGCTAAATCTACATGAATACATTCATTTTGTCCAGAAAAGTTTTATACATTTTTTGTTATGTGGCTCTAGTTGCCTCAGGTGAATTCTTAAGAGGAGCAATCAAATCACCCCTGCCCCCACATTAACCCACCATAAAAGTTCTAATCCTTTTGTAGGTAACATAAATTACTGTTCTTAGATCTCAGCCCAGCAGAGATGGCATGTTATGTTATATATGACCATGGTCCAGCAGGTAGAAGATCATTAGATCTACCTCTGCCCAGCTCCTCAACATTCCTCACCTCCTTAAAACCATTATGTAATCACCATGAATTGTCAAACTTCTTTATAGGTAACTTAACATGGATTGCTGCTCTTAGATCTCAGCCAACCAGAGATAGCATCTTTTATGTAATTTATGACCCTCAGGATCCAGCAGGGAGAACAAAGGGGAAATCAGTATCACTGCTCTCCCCTCAACATTTCTCCCCTACATATCATGTTATGTAATTTATAGCACACATAGCTTATCAGGGAAAGCATAAAGGCAGATGAATTAGTACCTCCCCTTTTTACATACAAGTATACAAAAGTCTTACCTCAGAATTGGAAGATAATACTTAATGCCCCATGGCCCGGCTTCACTTGCCACAAATGCTGATTTTGGAGGTATGGCTTTAAAATCAAAGCTAAATTAAACCACTTTAAAGTAAATTTAATAGTCTTTGTTACTATTTTTGTATTGTGTAAGTTGTGTTAAAATAATTTTTAATATTAGAAAATACTTGGATTAGTAAAAATCTTTAAAAAATGTACAGGTGCCAAAAAGTGAGGCTCTTAGTGCCCTTCTTTTTCCCTTTGTTTTTGAAAGTGTGTGAATAAAATTATTAGCCGAATATTTAAACACAAGATATGGCCTATATTAGATTAATACATTTTTTCTAATCATTACAATATTTTGACTTATTCAATAGTTATGTGAAGACTTTAAAGACAATACTGATCCTCAAGAATGTATTAAGTGTGGGCTTCAGCTGGCCCGGAAAAACAATTCTCCAATGGTTCGACACTTTGGCTTGCAACTTATAGAACACTGCATCAAGTTTGTCTTTTTTTTTTTTAATTAGAGATTATTGTTTTTACATTAAAGTTGAAAGTGTTAGTATTATTAATTATTATCTTGGGTGGTTATTTTTTTTTACCAGTTATTCTTTATATATATAACTGTCCATGTCTTAGCTGATATAAGCAGTTAGCTTTTGAACAATAGTACAGTACAACTATTCTGCACAAAAGGTATTTTGATTACTAAATAATATTTCTCAGGTATCGCTGGGAAGAGGTTGAACATCAAGACAGGTTTCAGCTGAAAAGGAATATTTTGCAGCTAGTGAATGGGGTATGTTAAATAATTTTTGCTTTTTTTTCATTATCTTATGTAGGTCACACGGTTTGGGGTCAAATCCTATAACTCAGTTATGGCATATTATTATGTAAGCTATTTCCTTCAAGCTATGTACACTAATATCTGTACTTCAATCTAATTAGATATTAAATAAGTTGTTAAAACTTTTTGTTAATGTTACAGTACGTAATAACAAAACATAAAAATAAATTTAAAAAAAGGAAATTACTGGGTGCTAGTGATCAGTCTGGTGAGCTGGTGTTCAAGAATAATGTTCAGGTATCATAAGGTTCAGGTGGATGATAATTAAGTGCAGTTGATACCAGAGAAAATAGTCAGAGATGTATCTTTTTGCACTTTTAAAAAAAATCATGGCCCATTTTTTAAAACTGACATTTCAACAACAAAAAATCTGGAGTTGCAATTATAATAGTAGAAGATTTTGTTTTTATTAATGAAATCACAAAGTAAGATCCAATCTGTAATATATTAAAAGTTATAGGACCTTTTTTTTTAACTCTAGGGCACCCATGACATTTTAGAAGAAGCACAGCATATCAAAGATGTAATATCCAGAGTTGTTGTGGAGATAGCTAAAAGAGATTGGCCACAGTGCTGGGCAAACCTGTTTCCAGAGTTTGCTCAGATTTGTGATAAAGGGGTGAGTCCAGACTTTTATCTTTTTAGTAGTGTAGTTACAAAACCCTGAATTTTCTTATAGAAATTTAGGCTGATTATAAAATTATTATTTTCAGCGGAATTATGACCCCCATTGTTTTGTCAAGTGCTAGCATGAAATATCATGCATTGTGCATAATAGAAATTGTACTAAAATTTTTACTCTATCATTATTTTGTACTGGATTTTCTTTTATAAAATAGTTATCTATCCTTTCTTACGAACTTTGGGTTAGATAATAAGATTATTTTGGTTCTTTTAACACTGGCAAAACTGGGAAGTGTGAGGTCAAAACCATACCCATTCTCCTATACTTTTTTTGCTTGTCAGATACCAAACTAGGGGCAATTCTGGATAACTGACAGGCTCAAGACTCTAGGAATGAGCTTTTGCCTGTTCAACTCTTTCATAATTAGAGATCACTTTTACCCACTAAAATTAGTTTGTTTTTCTTATCTCAGGTGACACAGACTGAGATTGTGTTACAAGCACTTTTAAGACTCGCGGAAGATGTTGTCCGCTTTCAAAATCTTCCTAGTGGTAGGCGAAGGGAAATTTTACAAGGCCTGACCTTTGCATTGCGGCCATTATTTGAGTTTTTCCTCTCTACACTAAATGAGAATCTCAAGGTTTACAGAGCCCAGGTACCTGTATTGGTTTGCTTCTTTTAAGTAATTTGTTGTATCCATGCTAATGTTTTAAACACTATATTTGTTGTATCCATGCTTATGTTTTAAACACTAGATTTGTTGTATTCAGGCCTATGTTTTAAACACTAGATTTGTTTTATCCATGATTATGTTTTAAACACTATATTTGTTGTATCCATGCTAATGTTTTAAACACTATATTTGTTGTATCCATGCTTATGTTTTAAACACTAGATTTGTTGTATTCAGGCCTATGTTTTAAACACTATATTTGTTGTATCCATGCTTATGTTTTAAACACTAGATTTGTTGTATTCAGGCCTATGTTTTAAACACTAGATTTGTTGTATCCATGCTATGTTTTAAAAACTAAATTTGTTGTATCCAGGCTTATGTTTTAAACACCTAGATTTGTTGTATCCAGGCTTATGTTTTAAACACTAGATTTGTTGTATCCATGCTGTTTTAAACACTAGATTTGTTGTATCCAGGCCTATGTTTTAAACACTAGATTTGTTGTATCCATGCTTATGTTTTAAACTCTAGATTTATTGTATTCCGGCTTATGAGCTGTATAAAAGTATTAAAAGGCCAATATGTTAAAAGGAATACAACATGTAATTTACTTTTACTTGACCTAGACAATATAAACTAAACTCTTAGAACTATTTTTTTTTGTGTGCAAAAGAGCATAATTTTTAAAAATTGATTTAATTGAATTACAATTTCCCTCTGTAGGCTGGTCTGCCCTCTGAAAGGGCACTTAAGGTCTGCCAGTCTGTGATGGACACACTAACAGCCTACGTAGACTGGGCCCACATAAATCACATCATCGATTCTAACTTGCTACCTTTACTATGTTCCCTTCTGTTAGACAAGGAGCTGTGCCTTAGAGCTTCTGAGTGTTTACTGCTTATTGTTGGCAGGAAGGTTTGCTTACATTGTACCATTCCATTTAGAATAGCAAACTAAAAAAAATGTGATTGTAGTTGACAATTTTTCCCTCACTGGCCTTAATAAATAGTATTACTCTCCAATATTCAGGGCAAGCTAACAGAAAGAAAACCGTTGATGATATTATTTTCTGAAGAGGCTATGACAGTTTTGCTGCAGGCAGCTAAGTAAGTGTAATGTAATATTTTATTCAATCTGCTTTAGGAGAACTAATATCTGCATAGTTTGATGGGCTATGGTTGAATTATATGCCTCTTGAATGTTTCACGCAGCTTACTAACATGGCATTTATTGGATAATATTTTCTCTTTCTTCAGTAATGCTACAGAACACATCACAGAGTCCACCAATTTTTTATTTTTGAAAAGGCTTTGTGAAATTTTATTAGAGATTGGCAAGCAGCTGTGTACTTTGTGGGTAAGTTGTGGTATAAGGCAGTTAAAGATTTTTTTAAACAACGCTTACACAATCTAGATTGATTTCTTTTAAAATGTTTACTACTGTTTTAGTATCTTTACAAAACTATGTTCTTATTTTCCTATATTGTTAAAATTTCTATTTAATGTCACATTATTCTAAATTTAGAATATATGAAATTTTGAGTGATTTCTCAGTTGTGCAACTGTGTTTGAGTTGTAGAAAAGATGTGGACTTAAGCTTACTTAAATGTGAGAGTAAACTTTTAGTAATTTAAAGTGTCAGTTAAAATAATAATGTTTTTTCATATTTTCCCCTCAAATAACTACTTTTCTTTGTTCTTAGGGGTCCGCAGAAGACACAGGTCAGCCTCCAAACTTTGAAATGTATCTAAAAGCATTGCTTGCATTCACTCAGCATCCTAGTCAAGTAAATTCTCTTTATATTTTTATCTATTTATTGAGCAATTTCTTTGCTGTGTTAAATTTGGTTTAACTCATTTCCATTCTTGCTTTGCTAAATATTTCTCCTTGATTTTATCCACTGGTGTTGATTTTGAAAATTACTGTTGCTACCTCTATAAATCGGATGTTTTCATAATGCACCACATCAATAGAAATGTTAACATTTTCCTACCCTAGTATGCAAAGTAATTTCAAATCTAGCATTAATGTTAACACAATTCAACAGCATGTTGTTAACACGCTCACAATTTTGTCAAAACTTTGTAAACAGCAACATCACAATATCAGTTTTCACTGCTTGCCTCTGTCTCTTCTTGATATTATTAAGACTAATATTTTGAAGAAATAAAAAAATAATTATAAAATAAAATAGATTTCTAATTAAATTTTCTCTGCCTATTCACATTTTTAGAAGACTGTGTTTGTGGTTGATAAGTAATATAATATAATGGTAATCCCTGTCTAATCTCTGCAAGCTAAACTAAAATGATCCTTATTTCTGTTAATGTTTCAGAGTCTACGTCAGATGATTTATACCATGTGGTTAATTTTTTTAAGACATCCAATAGCATCAAAGGACCCTGTATTTCAGTGTGTGGTGCCTTTACTAATCAAATGTGGGATGGATTGCTTACTAAAGGTAGCTATTATTTTATTAAATAGTCAAGTTTTTTAAGTCTGCACCATATGCCCTTTGTTGTATTTTTTGTATCAACATGAAAAAAAATAAAGGACATTGGATAATCATAAAAGTTTGTAGGTATAGTATTAGTATGTAGAATGTTTATGTAGACATAGTAAACTACATCAAGTAAATCTACAGGTTGGCTTCCCTAGTCAGTACAACTCAGTGAGCTGTGACTACTCCAGGCTAGAGTTTGATTCTGATGAAGAATTTAATGTTGTTCTTTCTAGTAAGTTTGAATCTATTTACAGTCAACCCTTCTATACCCAAATAGAAACTAAAGTGTTATAATAAAGATAGCATTTAGTACTTATCTTTACATCATAAATTCTCCAGGTTTGCGAGTTTCTGTTGTGGATTCAATTAGAACCATGACCCTGATGGTGCCCATGTTAACATTTAACATAGCTTCCTCATGGTTGACTGAACTTCTTAGTAAACCCATAGAAATTGGCAGTGGTGCAGGTAGGTAAAAAAAAATATTACAAATAAATAATTTTAAAAAATAATTTGCACAAATAGATGCATTAGTATAATTCAATTTTTTTTTATAACAAAATATGAATTATTTTTCTGTAAGTTTATATTATTTATTTTGAATTTTCTTTGAGTATTGTAATCTTCTATTCTGATAGATATCCTTTAAAAAGTCTTCTGCTACAATTATCACATTTTTATTATAGGTGCAGATAAAGGAATCTGTAACCTAAGTTCACCATCTTTTATTTCGTGGGATGCCTGCAGTGTGTTCCTTGAGGCTGTAATGTCAAAGCTGTTTCTTGGAGAAGGGGAAAAACCCAATGTTCAAGAAGGGATTGATCTTCTTCATAGAGTGTTAGAATATCAAATGCAGGTTAGTTAACCAGCTTCAAAGCTAAGAATTTAGACTATTTTTAAAACTAATGATTCTAGTCACTTAAATTTTTACAACTAACACTTTTCTCAATCCATCATGTTGCAAAGTGTAATCTTAGTTGGCATGTCACTGTCTAAAGTGTGGTGAGGTTTTTTTTAATGCAATGAGAATATGCATTTAGCCAGAAATTCAGTCTTTTATTCAGGAATCTCTACTTTTTTTCTTTTATTACTGTTTATAATCCTGAAGTAAGTTCGAAATCTCATAATTTTTTTTCTTAAGCTGATTATCTTGGAAGATTAAAATTAACATTTGTTCATTTATCCTATGTATTTTTCTTACCCAGGATCCTCTTATTCTATCTGCTGTGTTATCATGTATTTCTGGGTTGTTTCCATTCTTGAACTACACACCTAAAACTTTGCCAAGAGTTTTAGCCAAGGTAAGCCACTTTGATGTTTAATATTTTCTTTTAATTAGTAAATAAGAAAAGTAGATGTCATTTCATTAGTTAAACTTAACCCTTTGAGCCCGGGCCTCCCTGACCTAGTTTCTCCCATTTCCTGAGCTCCCAGGGCCAGACCAAATTTTCACTAATCTGCTTCCAACTTTGCCTATAACTTTTGAACCGTTTGAGATAATCAAGCCAAATTTGGTATCCAGACTCTGGATCTAACAAGAATGCAGCAAGATTCTGAAATTCTTTCTTTATTTTCTTGTTTTACTATGTTTGAACAGAATAATGTGTATAAAACGAATACATAATTATTTTTTTGATAGAACATAGAAGAAACCAATTTACAATTAGTAATTGTTTTGTTATTATTGATACCTGGCCATACTAGTTCATCGCCAGAAGTCCACTTTTGTGTGATAACTTTCAAAACAGTTATCACTGCCGGACCCGATGCAAAGAAAAACTTCGCATGTTTTGCACAAGTAAACATTTTTTTTCATTTCGGCAAGTCTTTGCCCTTGACACCACGTGCATCAGAACGTACTTGAACAGTTTCATTGTCACTGTCAATTTCAATGTCACTGTGTTCAGTTTCAAATTCAACGTCACTATCATCACAATATAGACCAGGATTATTATCTACTTCATCAGAATCAATAAGTAGTTGTATTGCCTGAGATGCAGTCATTCTACTTCTTTTGTTGATATTTCGGTCTTTTTCTTCATCTTTTTCACCAACTTTATGTGATGAAGTCGACGGCTGTGGCTCAGCTTTTCGTTTCGGCGGCATTGCTACGAAATGTAAACACATTTACTTTCACTTTTCCTAAAAATCAATTTTTAAAATCATAATCCCTCACTCAAAAGACATATGCGCAGTTTTAATCAGTCTTCCGCTAATTATATTTAATTAGACGGTATACCGGCCGCAAGGAATATGACGCTAGATCATCGGGCCGGAAAACCGGCTTTTCGGACATATATGCCTAATGTTGAAGCCGGTTTACCGGCCTAGCGGGCTCAAAGGGTTAAGGTAGATAATTTGAAAAATACATTTCTGCTGTTTTCACTTTTAGTCTAAGCATTGATCTTATTTACAAAATTATCATGGTTGATTAGTTAAATAGTTATCGTTTGCACTTGATTGCTCCAGATATTTGATGCGGTGGTCTTCAATTTACCTGGCCAAACCAAATCTACCAGATCTCAAGCTGTCAAGAATGTCAGAGTCCATGCTTGCTCTGTTTTAGTTAAAATATGCAAGAACTATCCTGATTTACTCCTAGTAGGTTTAGCCAGCTGTTTAGTTTATTTTTTTATTTATTTATCTATGTTAAACACATCATTAGGACAGTAAGCTTGATTAACTAAACTGTCAGTATTTAACTTAATATTGGATTAGAGCTACTTTTCTTATTTGATAAAAAGTTTATTTTTTACAATAGCTTTTTTCTGTCTTGCTTCAACTTAGTTAACCATTGACGTTGATTTGAAGTTAACTGGAAATGTGTAATGTAGGTGTTTTTCAAAATACATATTAATTTATGTAATGTTTTCTTGTTTGAAGCCTGAGTTTCGGCACTTGTATAATTGTGTGAAGCAGCTGGATAGCGATAGAGAACAGTTGAGTCAGATGGAAAAGATTATCCTTATAGAAGCTCTCATTATTGTTAGGTATGGATGCTGTTTGCTTGTTCTCTTTATTACCATTTTTTTACAAATTACACATTTATTAGATTATCTTTTTTTAATGAGTTTAATTAGTTTCAACAAATTAAATGTGAGCTATGTTTAGTAAAAAGTTAACAAATCTTCATACCCTTATATAATTATACCCTGACATCATATGTTGAGGACATCAATCAAATCAACCTCAAATATAACACTGAAAATTATTTCAAACCAATTTCAGCAATCAGTTTCATGATTTTGCTAGCCAGTCCGCATTTATTGAAGAGGTTATAACTCCAGTTAAAGGGCTTTGGTCATCTGAAGACTTCAGACGGTTAGTTACAGTTTCCTATATTACTTAACCTACAGTGGTATAGATGTTTTAAATATACTTTATTACTGCTTAGTATTTATACAGTTAGACAATTTCTTTCAGGGCCTTCAGTTCTCCAGCATGTTTCATGTCTTATGTTGGGCTAGACCAGGCAGCAGTAGAGCCAAGCAGTGCCGACACGTGTGGCATCAACAGGTCACATGTAAGTTCTAATCTTTAGCTTAATCCTTTAGCTTAATCCTGATAGCTTAACTTTGTGCTAGATCATATGTACATTTGAATCTTGTATCTTGAAAACCTGATAGTTTAACATTTTATATCTAATTTTATGCTAATTTCAGATCACATATTGCATTAACACAATACTAGCTGTAATCAAACGTAGCCAGTGGCCAGAAGAGTTTTCAGTATGTATATGTTTATGTGTGTCAGTGTTGCTTTGCTTTTGCTCAGATTCTTTTTTATTGAGCTGAAGTCATTATAAATCTTTAGTTAAATTATATAATTATTTTTCTAGTTTTTAGTTTAAGTAACTGTATAAAATAATTGTGTGAAGACATTATGGTATTTATCATATTGAAACTAAATCTTGTATAACATTTATTTATTCCCAGTTGGCAGAGAGAGGAGGATTTGTTGTACAAGGGGACTGTGGTCAGTTCTTGCGGAATCCTGCGACCCCATACATCTGTCCACTATTAGATAATCTAATTAATTTATTAAAGTATGGGCGCAATGTTCAATGTTTTTTATATGTCGTATTTTCTGTTATACATGGATTTGTTTAAAAATTTGCTATCATTCATGCATACTATTGACTATTTGAAATAGCTCATTTATACTGCATACTTTTTATGTGCAGCCTTTAACATTCAATGTCTTGTGAACTAAATCCTTTTTCTCTTTATATTAGAACTACCTGTTGTCTTTTCAAACCGGAATACCTGGAACTTCGTCATATTGACTTTACTAAAGCATATGACCTGATGGAGCATGATAGACTTAATATTTTAGGTGAGAAATATTTAATTTGATTAACTAATGAAAAAAACTTAATGAAATTTCATTCCCTATTAATTATTTTTTGCTTTCCTTTATAGGTATCCCCCCGGCATGTGTAGATAACTCTGATTCATTGGTTTACAGACATCCTTTGGAGCGCATGCAAAATTTTATTACTGCAGTTTTTGAATATGGGTAAACATTTTTTTTACAAGCTCTACTCCTCTCTTAAATATTAGATATAAGTAACCTCATTATGGCAGCTTTCCTTTATTATAACTTGAAATGCATTTTTTTTTTCAGCTTTCATATCCTTGGTAATGCAAGTCAGTGTCTAGGAGCAGAATTTTACTCAGCCCCTGGATTATCTAGAGTCATCATAGATAATTTGTTGGTCAACTTCAAATTACTGCCTGACTTTAGAGCCAAACTATTTATACGTATCCTTTAGCATAGTTTAAAAAAAAAATTTCAATCCATATTGTGTTCGTGTGTGATTAGTGAAATATTAAAATGTTAATATTTAATTAGAAAAAAACACCCTTAACAGAATATCTCAGGCAATTTTATAAAACCTTTTATGCTATGGTGCCCAAAAGAACAATATTCAACAGTAGCTGTCCCTGTGCTTGCTAGCATTTGTCCAGATATTTATAAGGTACACTTTGAATTTTAAGCATATTTAAATCATATTATTTCTTGAACATTAAGCACATTGTAGAAAATAATTTCTATAGTTTTTGTAGTGAAAATAAGTCTGTTATTTTTTTTTTATCTATTAGAGGTTGTCAGCACGATGGCAGGTGATTAATCAAAGAGTTGAGATTGAGTAAGTTTTTTGTTTTAAGAAGTTAAAAAAATCAAAACAATTTAGATTTAGGTTAGATTTTGAAAGGTTTTCTTTACCACAGCGTTTATATTTGCAACATGTATACTATACACATTACGTGGGAAATATGTTTTCATTCAACATTAATGTACTGCATTTCTTTCTAGACATGTATAGTATACCATGTAAATAAGGTGCACCAATGAGAAATAGAACATACTAGTAGTTTTGGTGAAGAAGCTGTATGATGTCATAGTTACTGATCTGATTAATTAAATATTTTAGAGCGGATCATGAAGATGCTGATCCAGAATCTCAAGAGGTTTTAGAAGAGCACATAGTACGACAAATGACTAGAGAGTACTTTGATCTATTAAGTAAGTTTTTTCTTTTTAGATGTTTTTCTATTATTTATTTTATTTAATTTACTGGAAGCATTTTTGGCAGAAATTCTGAAACTAGTGCCAAAACTATTTAAATATTCATAGAATTTAAAGTTGAATAATTTTTAAATCACACAAGTTAAATAACACCACAAGATGTAGGGTACTAATGAAAAGTGTTGTTTAGGTTTGGTACTGACTAACAGAAGTGTTAGTGCAGAAATCAAGGAGGAAGTTGCTATGGATGATGGGGATGGATCGAAGCAGTCGGGGGGTTATCCAGTACAGAAGGAGCTTAGTGAGTTGGGGGTGATGATTATGGCTACGCAGGTGAGTAGCCCCTTCAAACCAAAAAAAAAAAGTTTTGAGATTTGCATTTTCTAATTATTTGTTATGGTTGTTGTGAAAATTTTTTCAAGAAATTAATTTTACATACCACACTCTTGCCAAAATGTATAATTATTTCTTTATTTAAAAAAATTAAAATTGTATATTGTTTGAATTTTGTTTCCTTAGGATTTATACCCATCCATTATTATGTGTGTCCTTGATGGGTTTTCCTGGGCTGATACCTATACCTGCAATAGATGTACTCAGATGTTGTGGCCACTCTCCAAACAGGTATGAAACTTGCCAGGACACAATAATAAACACAACATAACACTAAAAAGCTGTGTCAATAATCAAGAACAAGGCCATCAAACATCCTGGAAGTATTAAAATTTTTGTTTACAGCTAGTTGCCAACAACCAGATGTCTGAGGACGCTGCCCAGCAAGTATTTATGTCCATCCTGATAGGTCTACAGATCCATGGACAACATGAGGCCTGTCAGTCAAATCTTCTAACACTGGCTTTTACATTCTATGAGACGCTTGTAAGTTCATAGTAAAATATTTGACAAAAAAAACCTACAGGCTTTTGCAGTATTTTCTTGTTGGTCTCAATTGGACTAGTCCTCTAGTTAATTCTATCTAGTGAAGACTACTAGGGGCATATAATAAGTTTTTAAACTATTCGAACTAATGGGAGGTAAAAAAAATAATTAAGAACTTGCTGTTGGCTGTAAAATATGGTCACGGGTGGCTGCTGTTTAAGGAGCAGACAATCGTCTTTTAGATATCGCGACCTACTGATGGTGTTTTAAAGCAAACATTTTTAGTCTTGTTGACTTCATAAATAAATTTCAAATGCAATGAAAATAAGAGAATAAAACTTATCTGCTTTCTTTCATAAAAAACTTTGGTCGCTCATGAGATCTTTTACATATTTTATCTTCAAAAGCTTTTATGAAAGAAAGCAGATTAGTTTTATTTTCATTGCATTTAAAAGCTTGTTGCTTTAAAGGTTTTTTAAATTTGTTTTATTAAACTTAACTTCTAGAGACTCAAATACCCTGCAATTACACATGTTCTCAAGCAAATCCCTGGCTTGGATCTACAGCTGATCCAAGTGAGTATAAGCATTTCATCCTCAAAATATAACATTTTATTTATTTCTGAGACTGTAAATAGATTAAATGTTTGCATAAGTCTTCTTCAACTACTTACCCAATTTTAAGTTGCAGTTTTTAAGTTTTAATTGTAGAATGCTCACAATCATTATACATATGATATTCTTAAACTTAGATTCTCTTTTGTCATAAACATCACCAAACAATCTTTTTCAAAACTTAATGATGTTTCACTACACCATCCATTAAATGTTTCAACAATAATAGTAAGTTAGATCTTCGTGTATAGGTTTTATATTGTTAGTTTGGCTGAAATTTATTCTAGAACCTTGAAGATGAGTTAACTCAACCTCCAAAAGCTGGCCTTGATAAGAAAAAGAGAGAAAGCTTCAGAAAGATTCTGGCAAACATCATCGGGGTGAGTTGATGCTTGTCATTCAATATTTCATTGTTCTAGCCTGCCTACATGTAATCTAATTTACATGACTTTTATTACTTCTAAACTTTGAGCTTTTGCTGAGAGCATTTAATATTTAGGATTTGTGTCTTGGTATTTGATCCAAGTGTTGAGAACTACCTTTAAATAAATATCAATGTATTTAATCTTACTTTGTATATACTAAAGTTCAATCAATAAGAAACTTGATCAATGATGAGTGAGAGAAATATTTTGAGCAGTATGAATAACCATAAGCTAGAAAAAAGCAAGTAGCATTCGTATACTCCTGTGCAAAAGATGTATTTGTTTAAATACTAAGTTGGATAAACTTAGTACAGATGTTATACACCTGAAAAACATCATTTTAAAAGTTTAAGAGAAGTAGGCCTTGATTTTGTTTTGTTTTTTCTTTCTCCCAGAAAAACGTTGGCCAGCATTTTAGTCGCACCACACAGTACAGCATTTTGCCTCGCTTGTTTTTAGAATCTCGCAGACCAAAAGCCATACAATTGGATGAAATCGAGACAGAGAACTTGGGATTATGTGAGCTTTTCTCCCCTGCAACTGATTAATTCTTGTTTTTTTTTTGACAGAGAGCTAGAATATCTGACAGCTGCATGACACTATAGTTCAGTGCATCCAGTATAATAAGGGCATTTTTATTATCTGCACTATGTGCAACAACACAACATGTATATAGTGAAGATATTGAGAAGTTTGTAGGTGAAAGGTTTTTTTTTTTTTGTGTATTGTTTTACTTTTTAATGTCTTGGATCGATGATATTCCAGCTCTCTAAAAATATTGTTTTAAGAACTTTTTTTTCACTGAACGGTTTCTGTTAGGATTGATATTTTGAATATTTTGATTGTTCAAAAGATTATTGTATTTTTGAAAAAAAATTATTCACTTTTATTTTTTATGAAAGTTGTCTACTTTTTAGTATAAATTTGTGTCAAGCAAAACTGTTTGTCAACATTATGTATTGTTGCTGGAGATTTTTAGGTAATTATCAGGAATTGTGCAATAGACAATCTAGTTCAGTGGTCACTATCCTGCTTTATGTCTGTTAATGTTATTACAAAACTGGCAGTAAAATCAATATTACTTAGGATATGAAATGCAAACTTTAAAAATTGAAGTTGTTTTATTGACTTAGTATTTGGGGCCAACATGATACACTTGAGGAAAGTGACATCAGTTAATTTTAATTCCTCCCCTTCTCAAAAATGAATTTTTCCCACATTAAAATTGAAAAACCAACTAAATTTTACTTTAAACGAACTAGCATATAGAATAGATTTTACTGAATGAGTTTTTCAAAAATCAAAATAATTTAAAAGCATTTCTCCCACCCACCAGCAGTATGCATTTACAAATATATTTTATACAATTTTCTATTGTAATAAATTCCTGAAAGCCTAAATGTTGCAAATGTTTTTTTACCTTTGTTTTTTTTATATAAATAAAAGTTTATAATATATTCCTATTGGTTCTCTTTAAAAGAAAATGACTAGAAAGTTTACCTTGTTGTCAAGTTGTACATTTCTCAAATAAATTCACTCATAAACATTACATGTATACTATTTTATTGAGATTTTGAGATATAGACTAAACACAACCACATCCACAGTACTCTAAAAAAGTGTCAATATTAAACTAGTAATGCATGTCAGCAGTACAGTGGGTATCACATAGGTTGCTAGAAGAGATTTAGTATATTCTCTAGTCTTTCAAACCTTTTTCGTGAGTAGATCAACTACTGTTGCAAGAACTATTTTAATTACTATGTATTGAAATTAAGTAAAAAAAAAAAAGTATTTATTACACTTCATGAGGTTAAGGTAATAATTCAACAGTCCACAAAAGATACAAAACTCCGTAACATTGTTATTGCTTTACAGTTGATAAAAAGGTTAAGTTTGCTAATAAAGAAGCAAACATAAATAAGTTTTTAAAAACTTCCAACATTCAAAATTATCTGAATTGTTTGAGCAAATTATTCTAACATTTTAACTGTAACAATATTATGCACCTTGCTTCAAGTTAGCACATTTATTATGGAACAGAAAAATATCAGTTTACTCTCACTGAATTAGTTTTCATAGAATTTAATATCAAGGTAATTATGAAGATATGAAAGGGAAAAGACAGAGCAGAGATCAAAAAGATGCAAGACTAATTAATATCAGATATTTAAAGAAAAGGGTAGGGAGGAAGGAGGGAAAAGTTACAAATTTCATAACATATTCTGATAAAATCTTGCTATTGAAAAACTAAAACAGCACTAATCTCATTCTGGTATGTATGAAAGTTAATGGATTGAACCAAGCTAGCCTACAGCACCATTTCATACACACGCGTCACTAGGGTTATATCAACTTTATCACACATTTACATCACCTATTCATGGTGAACCATTCAAATTTCAGTTTCCCAACTTACTGACCTCTGCATATGCAAACAGTTTTTTCCCCTGTATTCACATTTTTAATAATACTAAAAACAAAAACATAATTATTCAAAACATTAAATTCATACAATTTTATATGCAGTAGGTTAATGCCAGTGAAATGAACATTTAAAATGAAATTATGTAATACAATTATTTGTCTTTAGTAAACTAATACTTGTTTCCTATCTACTGATCAGATTAGTTAGTCAACAAAGAAACAAAAATCTGTCTACTGTCAACACAGCTGAGAGCCATATACTGGAAGAAGCTGACATTCTATTTCCAATCCACATGTTGGAGGATGTTAATGTTCTATCTCCACCAACAAGTCATCCCCTTCTAGTTTCATGTTCTTGGTCACAGAGATGAGCTTAACCTTGCCTGCCAAAGGCGCAGTGACCACCATCTCCATCTTCATGGCACTCAACACCAGCAGTGGTTGACCCTTTTCCACAACATCACCTTCCTTCACCTTAATGTCAACCACAGTACCTGGCATTGGAGCACCAACTGAACCCAACACACCTTTTACAGCCTTGGGATGTACGTGCATCTCCTGGAGAAATACATCAATATGAATAGTAAATTACCATCTAACAAAATATTTTTGTCATACCAGCAAATAAAACATCACTAAAATGATTTTTAAAAAACACAAGAGAAAAAAAAAAAGTTAAAGTTTATCAGACAATTGTCATCCAGTGCTGATATTTAATAAATTATTAAGTGAATAATCAAACATTTAAATTTCTTTTTTTTTTTTACAATTCATTTCTATTTTAAATTTAAGATGTTCTGTTACATGTTTGCTTAAGTTCATTTTTAATTACCGTGATTTATTTTTATTCAACCAAAAGAAATGACGTGGATAGTTTTGTAGAAGTTAAGGACAAATCATTTTAGTATTGCCCTGTGATGAGCCAGACAATAAGTCTCACCTTTTGAGCAGCAGTATCTTTGACTCTCACAGATCTGAGTTGGCCGTTGAGCTCAAAGAAAACTTCCCTGGATCCTGTCTTGCTCAGATCACTCACAGCTAATGTGACAATAGATAAACTTTTGCCTTTCTCTAATTGGACCTGAAAAATACAAAAAAAATGTCCAATTAGCATATCAGTACAGAGCATTCACCACCAGAGCTATTTTATTTTTGAAACCTGTATTTGCATCAAGGCTGGAAGGTCACCAACAATTTTTTTAATGCAAACTTTCCTTTGTTAGGACTCCCTTTGAATTTCCCTATTTATTTTAATAAGAATCTGGTTTTGATGAGGGAATATGGGCTGGTTTAGAATACTGAGAAAAAACTACATCTGTCCTGCAAGCTTGCTACTGCTTACAATTCTGTGGCGCTAGAGAGAATGCTTAACACTTACCATCAGTGGTAATTCAGGTGGTGCTTTCTTTGAAAAAGAAAATGCAAGAAAACATTGGGTGATTTGTTACTAAATGACCAGTAAACCTGCTGAAGCTTTGTAATTATAGATTAACATCTTTGTTCTTGACTGGATGGTATCTCCTCCAACATGTCAGCATGTTATGTGCCATATAGGCTTTACTTCTATAGCCTTTGTCCACTTAAGCACAAACTACAAGGCAGTACTTGTTTGATTTTGGAGTCCTTTAAAGCACAACAATTAAAAAAACCAATTTAAACCAAATATGAACCAAAATGGAAAGTACAATTTAATTACCTCTAATTCTGATGCCACCTTTGGTCCTACTAAAAATGTTTTAGTATCTAACTTGTCTACTGGTCCAAATCTACTTTTGAAGTCTAAATACTCATCAGTGACCTAAAAGAAATAACAGATGCAGGTTTAGTCTTGAATTATTCAATACTTTTATCATAGAAAAAAAAAATTCTTTTTAATTACATTTTTTTTATTTCAACTCTGCTTTAATTTAGTTAAAACAGAAGCAAAGAAAACCTGAGTTAATATAAGAAAAGAAAAAATAAATTGGTTGTAACATTTTTCCAGTTAAATTTAGACTTACTTTTGGGTACAAAGCAGCACTCATGACATCCTCCTCTGTAATCAACTGGTCATACTTGTCTATTAGTTTATCTCTAATTTCTAAGAAGTTGATAGGAGGTAATGTCTCTCCAGGTCTGCCGCTAATTGTCTTAGCACCTTTCAGAGCCTAGATAAATAGTATGTAAAAAAAAAAGCTAACACAAAATTTTAATCAACATGTTCAACTTATATTTTACTTACCACACTTAGAATGAAAAGATGCAGTTTAATTTAGTTTAAAAAGAAACATGTTATTTATTGGCCATATAACTAAGGTGAAACTAAATACAGAAAGTTAGTGCATAAAGTTATTTGCATAACAGCTGTAACTCCTAATACAAAACACACAAAGAACTAGCCTGTGTTCTCAGGGGTTCTGGATAGCCACCAGGGGGCTCTCCAAGATAACCCTGGAAGTATTCCACAACTGAGGAAGGGAAGGAGAGTTCTGAAGCTTTTTCCTGCACATCCTTAGCTGTCAGCTTGTTCTGGACCATGAATTGGGCCATGTCGCCTACAACTTTGGATGATGGGGTAACCTGAAAAATTGGAGGCGCTTTTTTTTTAATAATCAATAAGTTTTAAACTAACTTCAACTTCAATCTACTGATACAATTGAATTAATGACAATGTCCAATAAAAAAACGAATATATTTAGTGTCAAACCTTGGGTAGATCTCCCAAAAGCATGTTAGCAACGGAGTACATCTTCTTGATCTCCTCAAACTGGTCAGCTAGACCCAGACTGAAGGCTTGGAACTGCAAGTTTGTGTACTGACCACCTGTGTAACAATACCAGCACACACATTTTTACAATGTTGAGGGAAACATAACTTCTTTGTTACATCATTTTTTATACAATAATTAACCCTTCATATTTAAAAAACAAAATCAAATAAAAAAAACAAAAAAACTGGATACCTGGAATTTCATTCTTGTAAATATCAGCGTTGCCACTTTTCATTGTTACTGTACATTCAAATGGACCATAAAGGTTTCTGGCTTGTTCCCAATAGGCTGAATATTCAGATACTCTATCCAAGCTGAGACCTGTACAGAAGACATTTATGTGATTTTAGCATAACTTTAGTAACTATATAAAAAAAAACTATAGTTAATAATCTCCCTTAATTTAAAGTGAGCACTTGCTTACAATTCAATGGCAGAGATTTTTTTTAACAAAGCTTTCTAACCATACTTAAACATTATAATTTTTTTTATTTTTATCAGTTTTTTTAAAGGAATTATAGGTACAATAATAACTCAAAACTTTCTATGAACAATAATGGCTATTGTTTTGATATTCTTATTTTCCATTATTAGGCAATTAAATTTTCATATTACTTTGAAAAAAAAAATAGTTCAAAAGTATTAAAGGTGGTTACATTTAGTAAACGACGGCACAGTATATAATACAACACAATTTAAACAAGCTCTACACTGACCAGTGTCAAGTTCTGTTTTTTCCAAAGAGGCAACCACAGCCCCCATACTTGGTTGTGAGGTGAGACCAGACATGGAGTCTACAGCCACGTCAACCACATCAGCACCAGCCTGGGCTGCGGCTAACATGGAGGCCACACCAGCTCCGGAGGTGTCATGGGTGTGTACGTGGATTGGTATGTCAGGAAATTTATCCTTCAGTGTTTGGATCAGGAGGGTTGAAGCTTTTGGTTTCAGTAGACCGGCCATGTCCTAAAAGTGGAACAACCATTAAAGTATAAGTATTTAAACAGTTTAAGTGATACTTTGATGGATGGTATAAAATTATATCAGTGTCCTAGAGGTTAAGAAATAACTAAAGAATTCTGCACTCAACCCTTAATTAAAAAAGGTCAAAGCAGCCTTTTGATTGTTAATATTCATTGAAATGCAAGTGTCATAAATAAATCACTTAATGATAACAAGAGACATAAATACAAGATTTCAAAACAAACACTGAAACTTAACAACAGAAACATAAAAGACTAAGTGTGAAATGTATTTTTAACACAAAAAGAAAAAGATTTCCCATTATCTTAAAACTAAGATTGATTATCCAGTAAACTACTAAAAATAGAGGATAAAATTCCAACAGCCTTAATCAGTTTTTAAATTTTAAAGACCAAAAAAAAAAAATGAGGATTACCTTAATACAGAGAACATGTGTGCCAGCTTTCACCAGTTGATCAGCCAGCTTGACGTAGTACTCCAGGTTGTATTTCTTTTTGGTTGGGTCAGAGACATCACCAGTGTATGACATGGCAGCCTCCACTACACCACCTGCATTGCGGGGGACACCCAGGTGTGAATGTTAATAGCAAAAAAATTAAGGTATAGATTTGTACTCTGTAATTGACTGACTCAAATTTAAAATTATTTTTAGACGATTAAAATTTAACCAACTGCAACTTTGAGGTGCCTTAAAATCTCAAAGTGAAACAACATTTTTTTTATACCTGCATTTCCTGCAGCCTCCATGCCTACAACAATATTGGGTACATAATTCAAAGAGTCAAAGATTCTGAAGATGTCCATACCATTCTTTACAGCCAGATCACAAAATCTGAGAAAAAATAAAAATATTACAACTTGTGTTATTTTAAATTTTCTAAGAGAGAGTAGCTTTCATGACAAAAACTAGATACCAAAACATATGCATTAAAAAAGAGAAATACAAAATAACATCCCATGTTCCTTTACAGGCACATATAATAACCAAGCAGAAACTTTAATATACTCAATAAGTAATTCAGTACTTTTAAAACAAGAATAACTTTTTTAACAATTATTTTATTTTCCATTTTAGGTAAACGCATTAGGCCTATAAAATTTTAAAAATAATTGCTATAAAAATTATTGAAGTAATTTTAAAGATTTACTTAGAAAATTGGGTAGCTTCTCTATAAAAAGAAGTCTGCATCCTTAGACATGAAAAATATATTCACTACTACATAGCGTGCTAGTAAACAAAAGTAGGTATACAATTTTAAAAATGTAAAACTAACTTGTGGACCACATTATCAGGGTAGTTTGTGTAGCCTACAGCATTGGCACCACGTAGAAGCATTTGGAACGGAATGTTTGGGATCAGCTGTCTGAGCTCTCTCAAACGCTCCCATGGACATTCGTGAAGGAAACGCAGCGCAACATCAAAAGTAGCTCCTGTAAAATACCAATTTTAAAAACTTTTATTACTAATTGGAGAAATTTAAATGCTAAAAATTTACTGCTTACTATAAATACTTTGATGCATTTTAATCTAATGATTGAAAAAAAATATAAGCTAGAATTATTGCTAAAAATAAAGAAAAAATTTGGTTCCAACCTCCCCAGTTCTCTGTGCTGTAAAGTGGTGTAAAGTTGTGGGACAAGAAAGGAGAAATCCTCTTCAGGTCAAAGGTCCTGACCCTGGTGGCCAGCAGTGACTGATGGGCATCTCGGAAGGTCGTGTCAGTCAGCAGAAGGCCCTTGTGTTCTCTGACATGCTTAGCAAACGCTGCCGGGCCTTTCTTCACAATAATATCTCTAAGACCCTCTGGGGGTTTTGAAGCTGCAATCACAAAAACAAAATTGATCATGTCCCTTGTTTTTCTTAACAGAGTAAAACAGTTGTTGATAACAAATCACTTCCTGGTCAATGGGAAAACATATTTTTAAAATAATAAAAAATTTCAATCTAGATAAAACAGTTAATTCTAAGAAATTTTATCCCTTTACCTGTTAAACAGAGAGAAAAAAATGTAAACCTCAGAAAAGCCTTTTTTTTTGTAAAGTGTAATACAGGTAGATAAAAAAGACAATAGACCATGTGATAGTAAAAGTTAAATTTTAAAGAGTAAATAATACCCATAGAATATGATTTTTCTTCTCCATTAAAACATTTTTAACACAGGGTCCAAAATTACATAGGCCTACAATTTTGCTTACACTTTCTGATAAGCAGGCCTACCAATTAAAAAAAAAAAATATTAATGGTAAAGGCAAATCAGTTATAGGCTGCATGCATGATGTGATAGCTGATAAAACTCTTTATTAGGGAGTTCTGTTAATTTCTTTATGTGTGATTCATAAGATAAGTATGCAATATTAGATTTATTAGGCCCCAATAAAACCATGGATGCGTTTAGATAAATATTACAACAGTACATCGTCCGAGTGCAAACAATATCTCAAATGGTGCTGCCTGACACACGTTTTTCTCCTTTTGAAAGCTTTATAGTTATAATTTTTTTTTAAAGTATTACATTTCATTATACAGACATATTGTTTGAAGAAAACAGAGAAGACATGAACAGAGATTTTAGTTCCAGGTAACAGATCACAATTTACAAAACAAGTCAGATTAATTTAGACCAGCACAGAATGTACAGTGAAGTACAGAGGAGGATAGAGTGTTTGCATGCATGTTTTACTAAACAATACATTTCTATAGGGGGGGGGGGATAAAACATAATACTTTTTTCTAGAGTAAATAAATATATAACCAATACCTGATAAAATAATCGGATTCAGAAAAAATTTCTACAAACAAAAAGGTTTTTTTTTCTATAAACACCTACACATAAAGAAAAAGTTTTTGGGTTGGGCATGGTGCATAAGTAGGAGGCATAACTCATGATGGCACTTAGAACAAATTTAGACCAGAGTTATAACTGGATCATCTTACCCTTGCCTCTTTCATCTGAAACAGTGAGAGGGGTGGGGACAGGCTGGTATGAAAATGATTTAAAGGGCGTGAAATGTTTTTACTTGAAACAGCAATGAATAAAAATGGTATTATCCACCATGCAATTCTGTTAAGATAATAATAATAATTTTAAAACTAAAATAAAAAAGCGTGTTGGTTACATTTTAATTACCATAATTCATACTGCTTAGCATCTATTAATGTAAATAGACAACCCATTATATACATGTAGATTGCTAAGGTAAAGAAAAGCAATTTCAACTAGTTTTCTATAGAAAGGTTCAACACAGTGATCAACCACATGTCTAAAGCTAGTGATAAAGTGCTGGCAGATTGTCAAGTACTTTCTACTTCAAACATGAAACAGGAAAACTAAATAAAAACAACAGAGGTTGTTGACTTCTTAAGTTTTACATAATATGAATGTGATTTCTTTGAAAATAAACATGAATGATTAAAAATGTAACAAATGTGTTAGAATAAAACTATCCTGATTACCTAATGGCACACTTGGGACTGTGGGCACAACTTCAGTTGGTTTCAAGTTTGTCCCCAGGGGAGTAGATGGACCGTTGACCATGATGCTGCCCAGGTAGTGCAGCAGCTTCTGGGCCCTGTTCTGACTTGGGGCAAAGTTGAACAGCTGAGGGTGCTCGTCAATAAATGTTGTGTCCACTGATCCCTTCAGGAAGGTCTCGTTTTGTAAAACGTTTAACAAGAACGGGATGTTGGTCTGTAGAGAAGAGAAAGTAGCATAAGAACTATACAAGACATTCCAACCTATGGTAAATTTTATTTTTTTCATTTTCGATAAACCAAAACACCAAAGCATGAATATTAGAAAAAATAAATATTAAAGTTTTTATTTTACATATGAAATATAAAAAAAAAAGATACAGAATATTAAAGCATAATACATTTTTTACACCTAGTACATATAATATTAACTGTAAAAGAAAAGAGTACCTTGACACCTCTGATTCGAAATTCCCTGAGAGCACGAAGCATTTTTGCACATGCAGCTGGGTGGTCCTTGGCATGAGCAATGACCTTTACCATGAGAGAATCATAGTAAGGGGATATCACTGCACCAGCAAAAGCAGAAGCACTGTCCAGACGGATGCCCATACCTTCTCCACTACGGAACACCTTAATTGGTATTAGAAAATTTGCATATAAAATTTCATTTTCTGCATTTTAGAAAGACTACAATAATAATTAAGAAAAACAAATTTGTATACATTTACCAATCTGATATATAAAGAACTTATTAAGTTTAATATCGTTCTTAAACAAAATGTAAAAATTAACAGTTTATAAATTAAGAAGAAAAAAGTGTACCTCAATTCTTCCAGTGTCAGGCTGGAAGTTTCTGGAAGGGTCTTCTGTTGTCATCCTGCACTGAATAGCACAGCCGTTCAAGTTGATTTTGTCCTGGGTTAAATTCAATTCAGGTAGCGTGTAGCCTTCTGCTACTTTTATCTGAGCTTGAACAAGGTCAACTCTAGTAAGAATGATAAAAAATATGAGGTAACACTTTATGAATCTAAAAACTTTTAAAAACAGGTATTTACATAATGTAAAAAATTTTTTTTCCACTGGTTCATAGTCTGTATTCCTCAGGATAAAGTGGGACGACAAAGTCCCGAACAAGGAAATATGGCGAAGGACAGGATTAAACGACATTGTCTCAGAAGTTAGAACGAGGAGATGGAGATGGCTGGGCCATGTCCTACGCATGAGCAAAAAAAGACTCCCCAACATGGCGCTGAAGTGGAACCCACCTGGAAAGAGAAGTAGAGGAAGACCACTGGGAACATGGAGGAGGGAGATGGAAGAAGAAGTACAGGCTACTGGCAAAACCTGGCATGAACTAAAGTGGCTCGCCCAGGACAGGGTGGAATGGCGGAGATTTGTTGTTGCCCTATACTCCACAGGGAGTGATGAGGATTAAGTAAGTAAGTAAGTCATAGTCTGTATATCTAAATAAATTATCTCTGTAATTAACTTTCTAATTTAAGGGATTTTCTGTTAGGTAAATCTAAATTAGCTTACAAACACACTTGTGTTTACCTACAATTTGTTATTTTTTCTGTAATTAAAAACTAAAAAGCTACACCAGAAGCAAAGTAAAAACTGTATACAATATGATTGTTTTAAATTCTACTGGTTATATTAAAATTTTAAAACAATTTTTCAATTATAAAAATGAATACATCATTTTTTTAAATTGTATCAACTTACCCAGTGACCTGTTCCGTCACTGTATGTTCAACTTGTAGCCTAGCGTTGACCTCAATAAAGAAGTACTGGCCATTTTTGTCCAGCAGGAACTCTGTTGTCCCGGCGTTCTCATACCCCACAAACTTGGCAAGCTGCACTGCATCTCTGTTCATACTGTCACGAATCTTTGGGTCAAGCTGGGGGGCTGGAGCTATTTCCACAACTTTTTGGTGCCGACGCTGAACTGAACAGTCTCTTTCAAACAAATGGGAAACATTGCCAGCTCTGTCACCTTAAAGGTTAAAAACAGAAGTGCTTAATTTATGATAGAATACAACAACACAGGAGTACTTATGACAGAATAAATACAGGAGTACTTATGATAGAATACAACAACACAGGAGTATTTATGATAGAATACAACATCACAGGAGTACTTATGATAGAATACAACAACACAGGAGAACTTATGACAGAATACAATAACACAGGAGTACTAATGATAGAATACAACAAAAATAAAACAAATTTTGTATACAATAAAACATTTTTTTTTTTAAATGAACTAAAAAAAGGTAGCAGAATACGCTACCTATAATTTGAACTTCAATATGTCTAGGGCTTTCAACAAACTTCTCCAAAAAAAGAGCTCCATTCCCAAATGCAGACAAGGCTTCAGAGTAGGCTCTGTTGAAATTTTCTGTAACTTCCTGAGAGTGGAGATGAAATTTTCAAAAAATAAATATTTAACTCTTCTAAAACAGTCAGTTATAATAAAACACTCGTACATAACTAAAATATACCCTGACTCATTCCCTTCATTTTTTTCTCTATAGAATATAGTCATGTTTAAAATATTCTTAGTGAACAGAATCTGATTTACTCAGATTAAAAGACTGATTCTTCTAACTCAAAAATAGTTTAGATTTTCATGTTCAAATTAATGTGTTTAATATTAATGACATGAATGTGGAAATCTTACATCTAGTTTCTTGACCACCCTCATTCCTCTGCCACCTCCACCAAAAGCAGCTTTAAAGATGACAGGCAGACCATGTTGCTTGCAGAACTCCATGGCTACGTCTGCTGATACCACAGGCCCGGGGGTGCCAGGTACCACACGCACACCTGTGATGATAAGAAGATGTGTAACAACAACAGGTACTATGTATTGTTATAGTTATTAGGTACAACAAACTAGAAGATGTATTACCATGAACACATACAAAACATCTTGAACTATTAAATAACAATAGGGCTAGTAAGTAGGTCACCAACCAGTTCTATGGCTCATGCAGGTTTTATTGAGCCATAGAACTGGTTGGTGACCTACTTCCCAGCCCTATTACAATAAACAATATAAATATCCTAGGTCTAAATACATTAAACACTTGTTAAACTGAGTAATGATAAAATTTCCTGCCATTAACATCCCTTACCTGCGTCTATGGCCGCCTGCCTGGCTTCAACCTTGTCACCCATTTTGCGAACCACCTCAGGTGAAGGCCCAATAAACCTGATCCCAGCATCAACACAGGCTTTAGCAAAGTCAGACCTCTCCGACAAGAACCCGTAGCCTGGGTGGATGGCATCCACATCATTTTCCTAGGCAGGAAACAAACAGCTAAGTTGATCACATGGATGGTTTTAAATACTTCATATTTGAGCAAAAAGAAGTTGATGTTTGAGTATTACAAGAGAGAACCTGTTAAATCTTTCTAAAATATAGAAGCTGTTTCAATCTAATTTGATGCTGTTTGGCCTAAGACAGGTAACATTGATAAACAGAACAAGTGCTGGTGCTAAGCAATAAATATTTAAACTCTCAAACTAAAGTTTTGTTTTTTTTTAAATTTTATTTAAGTCGCATGGGAGAGTGTGTTTCAATGGTAGAACATATGACTGCTACCCCAAAAGTTTAAAGTTCGTAGAACATCACTGAGTCCACCCAGCTCTAATGGGTACCTGATTCACGTTAAGGAAAGTAAAGGCAGCTGGGGATAGTGCTAACCACACTATTCCTTCAAATGCAGAAGTTACAGAAACAGGTTAACTCTACTTCACTTGCCCCATGGACCTACACGTTCAAATGGGAACATTTTATAAGCATTAAAGATAATACTGTTTTAAACCCCTGAGCATTGACAATATAAGAAATACTGACCTGTGCTATTGTAATGATCTCAGGTATGTTCAGGTAAGCTGCTACTGGGGCCATCCCCTTCCCTATCAGGTAGGATTCATCAGCCTTTTGCCTGTGCATCTGATTGATGTCTTGCTCTGAGTAGATGGCCACTGTCCTAATGTCCATCTCCGTACAAGCTCGAAACACACGGATTGCTATCTCTCCTGAACATTAGATGAAAACAAAAAATTAACGCTGCAATATCAACTATTTTTTAAAGTCTGTTTTGATATGGAATGGTGGACTTGGTACATTTCTTGTAGAACCACCTTAATGGGGGTTCTAAATTTCTAATCCAAACCATAACTTAAAAACATTGTATTTCTCTCTATATTTTCACACTAATAACAATGTATTTCTCTCTATATTTTCACACGAATAATGTATTTCTACATTTTCACACAAATAATGTATTTTTCTATATATTCACACAAATAACAATGTATTTCTCTATATATATCACCTAATGACAGTTAATATTACCATTGTCTTCATACCTTACCTCTGTTGGCAACCATGAGCTTTTTGATAGGTTTGATATTCTCCTTGGTGCTTGTAGACTGTGGCCTCATGTCAGGTAAGGTCTTGGACAGGCTGCTGCCATACAGCGAGGTGGCTTTAGTGGCCCTGGCCATGGAGGTGGACGCCACATTGTGCAGGCTGCACACACGCGTCTGCAACCGCAACATTTCTCAATGTCCTAGTGGTCAGCACTTAGGACCGGCTTGACGTGTCTTGGGGTGAGGTGTTATTGTAGTATGGTTGAGGACTGTATACCTGCTAATAAAACAGAAAATTTATGTTCACATTTTAATTAATTTTTATAAAGATTACACATGGTAAACCTTTGTTATCTATTTGGAAATATATACAAAATATGAAACTGAAACAAAACAAACTAAAAAATAGATCCAAGTAACTTGAATAAGATTCTAATACACATGATTTAAAATTAATAAAACTAATGTTTACACCAATTTAAATGGTTGTCCTAAATTATTTGCAGTTAATTTTAATGAATGAGTCACACATAAATTTCAAAGTCCAAGAACAAAAGAACAGAAGCAAAAAATAAACTGTTAAACTAGAGCATCTGTGATGAGAATGAAGTTTCTCACATTAAGCTCAGCTGAGTGGGCTAATGACACCGCGAATAGCCAATCATTAGCAAGTTATCTGGCAAGTTACTCCCTGGCAATGAGCACCATGTCAAAAGATTCCCAGTCGACAGGTGGCAGGTAAACACAGTTTAAAAACTTCTCACCACAGGTCAACGTTCCTACAACAAACAGCTGGTTTTTCTAGCTTATCTCTCATTGTCAACAGACCGTTATCAGACAAACACTTCGCTGTGACAATAAATCATGAATTTTAAAAAAACACCCCACTTTACATCATGATCTTCTTAGGTAACAAAATATACGGCTCAATTATAAATTGTATAATCTCTTGTTTAAACGTATTAGAGATTGTTTTTTTTTAAATGTAGCAAACTTTTGATACAATATTCAATCGTAAGTTGAAGCTATTCTCGATGAGCTTTTACTTATGATTCCGTTGTTTTTTTTTCAAACACAAATAGCTAACACTTTTCAATCAGCTATGTTTCATTTTGTATCACCAATTAGATTCTCCATGTGATAGACTATTTACTTTAAACACCAACGTGTTATAATCTATGTTTTAAAAAAAAATGCTGGGTTAAGCTGACCTCACAGGTCAACGAACATGTTACGACATCAGTTTTAGGACAGAAGGGTTATCAGGCAGCAGCTTTAGCTGTGGAGTATACGCTCTACATACCCGTTCACTGGTGTAGGGCAGTACGCATGCGAATTTAGACGCAAAAAACTGCCATTCTTCCCCCCCACCCACTCACTCAAACGAAGTCACATACTTCGAACGCGCGGCTCCACTCGAAAAAAAAATCATAACTCAAACGAAATTATAACATGTTAGTAAATGTTAATCAAGAAAAATGTTACAACATGTTATAATGTTGTAACAAGAAAAATGTTACAACATGTTATAATGTTAGTCAAGAAAAAAAAAAACTTCATTATGACCGTATGCTACCTTAATCGAGAAAAAAATTGCGACAATGCCCCCGTCCACAACCCTTCAAACGATAATCGATTTAGGCTACTGGATGTTATTAAATTTAACGGGATGACCCTTAGTTGACCCTTTATAATCACATGATTTTAGTCACTTGCTCGCAATATATATATATATATATATATATATATCAGAGGCGTAGCGACCCTTCCCGGCGCCCGGGGACAAACTTTCGATTTGCACCCCGCCCCCCCCCCCCCTCGAACTTTTCATTTGCACCCCCCCCCTCAAACTTTCAATTTGGCGCCCCCCTAAGGTCGGCGCCCGGGGACATATGTCTCCCCCCCCCCCGCCCCCTCGCTACGCCTCTGATATATAGCCTATATACATATATATATATATATTATATATATATATATACACATATATATATATATATACATATATATATATATATATACATATATATATATATATATATATATATATATATATATATATATATATATATATATATATATATATATATATAATTATATTATATCTATAGACAAATGGTGCAGCTCTGAAGGGTTACTTGTATACGAAATGAATGCATGGATGGGATCCGACAAGCTTATTCAGCAAGATATGCCTGACCTAGTGCACCCACTTCCAACCAACCACCTGCCACACAGACACGCACACTGATGTGGTGGACACAGACAACAACCAGGACACGGCAGCTTTCTCCAGCGCAACACGCCGGCACGTGGCAACAACAACAACAACACACACAACAGTCACATGTCCGTCACTTTATGGTGTGCTTGTTGTTTTTTTTAACAGATTTTTAAAAAATGACTAAAATAACAAAAAAAAACACCAAATATATGAAAGCTAAGGTTTTGATAGAATTGGAAACATAGCCTTAGCATGACCTCAATCGTCACCGTGACCTTATATGACCCCAATCCTAACCCTGACCTTAACGATAGCGACGAAAATAACTCAATACCAACGTTATGGCACAAGCCAAAAATTATGGATTTTAAAAATATGAGCTGAAAAAAGTAGGCTATAGTAGCTTATCAACTTACGATGTTTCGTAATCATAAAGAAAACCATAAATATAACAGTGTCAAAGGCAAACAAAACAGCGGCAGGATACGTTACATGTATAATAATACTAAAATCATAATATATATATATATATATATATATATATATATATATATATATATATATATATATATATATATACATAATTTAGGCAGGCAGACAAACAGACAGACAGACAAAGATAGAAACCCACCGACTCTTACAATATCCACACCATCAACCAGATCCGGTAGTGATCTGACTCAGCTAAAACCGATGGGTCCGAGACAACAATAACCACTTAGAACAGTGATAGATCCTGGTTTGGGTTCAAAAGTTCGACCAAATCTAAAAAAATTGTTTAACCTAGTCTGAATTTTCTCCCCGTATTAACCACTCTCCTAGAGATGTAATCCCATACGTCAAGAGCAATTAGTCCAACCTAATTAGTTCATTCAGAAAATGTCCTCATGAGAAAACTAGGACAAGGCTGTTAAAAGTCTTTTAAAAATGTAGGCCTAAGCGTATTGTTTATCGACGCTAAATAAAAATATGTATAAGACATGTAGATCTACCTATCTTTCAAGTAATTTATTCTATTTTACCATTTACGCTTAAAAACTAAGTCAACAATAACAGATTGTAAATAATGTGACGCTTCATTTAAACTAGTTATGGGTTTAGAGGGGAAAAGAAGGGATAATAAACACAATAAATATCAGTCAGCAAGTGGGAACAAAGGGGGATAAGAGACGTTATCAGCCCGTGTAAATATAGTTGGCTTTGATACAGCGCACTTTTCGCTCCGCTACCAAACAGGACGTATATCGAGGACAAATCAACAAGTCTATTTTTATAACACTTCTCCGCTTCTTTAAAAATAACAAAGAAATTATAACGCCGGATTTGAAGAAAATTTTCCCCCGTTGTGAAAATATTTTTAAGATTGGTATAATGTTAGTCGAGATTTGTTTCAAACTCCATACGTAGAAAGGCAACATCGAAAATCGTATCGGGGCATGCAAGAATGTCGTTGTTATTTTAATCAGACTCTAGTCATGTAACTGTACGCGTGATATAAAAATATTCATCGCTTTAATCTGTGAGGAAGAACGAATAATATTATACTAGAGTCTGTAACAACAGACATGAACAATGTCGTGAGCAATATTCTGGTACAGTCAGTGGCGTAGACAGGATTTTGTCATTTGTGAGGGGTGGAAAAACCTTTTCTAATATACAAACAATATATATATATATATATATATATATATATATATATATATATATATATATATATATATATATATATATATATATATATGCAGATATAAGAATGTAAAATTATGGTCTTAAAACATTCAAAATTTTGAAATTGCAAACATAAAGTGTGACGAACTTTATAAACTCCATACGTAGAAAGGCAACATCGAAAATCGTATCGGGGCATGCAAGAATGTCGTTGTTATTTTAATCAGACTCTAGTCATGTAACTGTACGCGTGATATAAAAATATTCATCGCTTTAATCTGTGAGGAAGAACGAATAATATTATACTAGAGTCTGTAACAACAGACATGAACAATGTCGTGAGCAATATTCTGGTACAGTCAGTGGCGTAGACAGGATTTTGTCATTTGTGAGGGGTGGAAAAACCTTTTCTAATATACAAACAATATATATATATATATATATATATATATATATATATATATATATATATATATATATATATATATATATATATGCAGATATAAGAATGTAAAATTATGGTCTTAAAACATTCAAAATTTTGAAATTGCAAACATAAAGTGTGACGAACTTTATACATCGAAAAGTGAACAAATGCGAGCATTAGCACAAACAGTACATACAGGGCGCCACAGGAAAATGGACTCGATGTAACCTACCAAACATAGAAATAGGTAACTAAACTAACACACCAGTTTATCATTGCTAGAGCAGCAAGGATCTTACCCTAACACATCCTACCTGAACAATGAAATAGACAACTGTAAACACTTAAGCAAGAAGAGTGTTTATGTTGATTAAGGTGCCCTTCTACGGGGTGCAAAGTCTAACCAAAAGTACTGCCAAATCTATATGCACAGTCATGCATTCTAATGGTCATGGTCCGATGGGGATACTATCTGCGCGCTGTCATCTCAGGACTAATTTAGGACATAGAACTTGTTCAAGGCACGAAGTTACAGTTTCCTGTTTGATTGGTTCAAGGTCCAAGCTATTTAGCTGAGATAACGGCTTCTAGCTGCGAGAATAGCGATGTCATTGACGCACGTCCAGGAGAGCATTAAAGTTCACTCAACAGCTGATGTAGTGATAGCGGACTAGAGAACAACAATGTCTCATTTTAAGATAGAAATTGAAGATATTGATAGTATATAGCAGGGATCTCCAAAATACGGCCTGCGGGCCGGGTGCGGCCCGCGAGGTCCTCTCATCCGGCCCGCGGAGGTCTTTTGTCCACGACGGAAAAAGTATTTGGCTGCGGAACTTTGTCCAGAAAATTCAAAAAACACGGCGAAGATGTCTTGAAGAAAACTCTGGGTCTGGCCCCCGTACTGATATTTGATAGTTAATGCTGCCCTCGGGCTGAAAAGTTTGGACACCCCTGGTATATAGGAATCATAGCGAGCTAGATATAGGGGATATAAATAGAACGCATGCCTCATACGGGGTTAGATATTGAGATAAAATAGAAATCACAGAGTGCTGGATATAAAGAATATACTAGCAATCATGTGAGCTAGAAATTATGGAAATAGAAATAATAAAGGAATCTTAATGAGTCAGATAAAGGGAATATATTAGAGATAGAATATCGGATTCATAGTGAGCTAGAAATTGGTGATATAGAAATAAATATAAGTTTATGGGGATATAAGAATCAAATTGATAAAGATAAAATATGGGAATTAGGAATTATAGTGAGCTAAACTGAGAGAGTATGCGCATCATAATACTAGAGTAAACAGTGTCTGGGATAAAGCTGTATTAGGCATGCAGTCAACACAATTCTAAAGAGTAAAGCTACACTATAGTAGTAAACAATGTCTTAAGGTGTGTGTAAAGCATTAAAAAGTGATATATGTAACAGTAAAAAAACTACCCAGACATACCGCTACAGTAAAGTAAACAAAATGTTAAGTGCAGAGCAACTCAAGTAAATAAAGTCTTAAGCGTAAAGCCACCCCTTAGTAAACAGTTTTATGTGTGAAGCTACACTACGGTAAACAAAGTTATTGCGTAAAGCTGCACCATAGAAAACAAAGGTTTAAGCGTCTAACTTCCCTACGGTCATCACAGTTTAAAGAGTAAAACAACACTAGTAAACAACATCTTACAGCACACCAAATCCAACACACGAGTAGAACACACACACACAGGCAGATAGCTCCAGTTATGAATGCAGTATGCGAAAGTAGAACACGAGCCGTAAATTGGCATGCATGGTCTCACATGACTTCACGCCGGTTACAACAGTTCACCACAACCTTGCGGGTTAACCGTGGCGTCCGCTAAGTTTGGCTGATAGAGAGGGGAAAAAATTGAGCGTGCTCAGGTACGTTGCACAACGGCAGCTAAACTCCAATAAGTGAGCAAAATCACTTCAGACATAACCGGTTCTGTTAGTTAAGAATTAAGATTATCCTTTAAAAACGTAGGTTATTACAGTATTCATGCAAGATTTGAATTTATGTTAATACGATATTAACGGCTAAATATGTCAATATACAGAACACCACGAAATAGTTGTTCAGGGGTATATTCAGGAATTGTTGGGAACCACTGTAAAAAAAATGCGATATCAGCAGGTAGTCGGAAAGTGCCACACACACAAGAAAGTGCACCTACACTTCGGAATTGCGCAAACAAGATACGGGAAGAATTATTGTTTTAGACCCTGACCTTTACGCTTAAAAATCATTGAGAGATAAACGATATTATTTTGTCGTGATATAATACGGTTAATCAAGGACGTGTTGTTTCTTTTTTAATCAAACGTCAAGGCAGCTTAATTGATTAGTCAACAGCTAGGGTAAGTGGGATAAAAATAGCCGCGAACAGCGGGTATTTTTATGAGGAAAATAGTACCCCTACTTATAAAGTGTTGTCAGACCATACCGTGCTTTTTTACTTTCTCGTATATACGATGTATAGAGAAAGTATTGTAATCGTGCAAAAAAAAAAATAGAGATTTTTACAAATCTCGACGTTTTACACCTCACTGATACTGAAAAACATAATTTTGCAATCTTGTCCGTATGTCTGTGTGTCTGTCTGTGTGTCTGTATGTGTGTAAACACGATAACTTGAGTACCGTTACAGCTAGGTTGATGAAATTTCATATATAAGTATTTTATCAAAATCTTAGATCCGTATCAACTTTTGAGCAATTTCCGATAACCGGAAGTGGTACTTTTTCTACTTTGAATTTTTCAAAAGCCTATAACTTGAGTACTATTTCAGATAGATAAATGAAATTTCACATGTAAATAAAGATCTAATTCTCTACCTTCTGTCAAATTTTGAGTAATTTCCGTTGACCGGAAGTACTAATTTACGCTATTTCCGATTTCTCAAAAAAATGCATGTAAATTTATAAAGTACTAATAATATTGCGCACTATTATGCACATTTTGTTTTGGCGTTCGCTTGGTGCGCAATTCTTTTTTCTATGAGATTCTATTCTATTTTTAAAAGTTTAAGTTTAAGTAATTAAAAATCATGTCTATATTCCGAGTTATATAAGAATATTCGAGAAAGTTTAGGGGAGATCACTCCCGGTTTATTTCTTTTAATTTCTTATGTGTGTAATTGTCCTGCCCAGCCCCGTTTCAATTCATTACCCATGAGTCTATAAACCCAAATCCTAAACATTACCCTAACACTGTAACAGTTGTACCGGCAAGAATAACAATCGCGGCTCAAAATTGTAATGTTAAAAGGTGGTAGGTATCAACTTCGTGTTGTCAAGACTGGCGATTTATATCTTCAATACTAAGTCTTTAACTCTTACCAGAACTAAACTTTACATTATCCTTAAAACTAGCTGTATCACAGCATCTATGTCCTAACTGTTTAGCCCAAACCCTGACATCTAAACCTTTAGCACTAAGTCTAAGCATACAAGCCCAAACATCTAGGTCCTAAACCTTTAGCACTAACTCTAAACAAGCTAACCGAAATAACCTTAACCTAGTATCCAAACGTTCGTTAACGATGACCTATGAATGGCAACAGAGTTGTGCTAAATGTGCCCGCCCAGATGTTTCAGAACATGAACCCTACCGAAATAACTTTAAATGCCTTGATCTACAAATTTTAGTGAATAGTATGCAATTTTACTCATGCTATTAAAACAGTTATCAAAAGTAGTTCATATTTAAAGTCTACTAGAAAATCTTATTTTAGTGCTTATTAATTTCCATACTAATTTCGGCTTTTTAATTCTATGGGGGTCGCGGGTCACTTAATTTTTATAAAAGGGGGTCGCTACTCGAAAAAGGTTGGGAACCACTGATCTACATCTTCTAAAACAAACCAGGCAGCTGTAAGTAGCGCTTGGCTGAACACGAGATCTCAGTAAGGAGCATATGATTTCAAGGGCTGTTAGGGCAAGGGTACAGGGTCATAGTCAACTAGTTGATGGTGTCTACCCTCAAAGAAAGGATAAGGGGATCACACTTTAAAACAATTTCGGACACTATATCTGGATAAAATTGGATACAAGATCACATATTAAAACTATAAAAGTTGACACGAACAGGTTGTTTATAAATGGGATTGGCTTGTATTCCGCGATTCACCGATATCAGCAATCTAAAAATAAACAGGGGGAGTTGGGGTTCACGGGTCTTGTTTAACGAGAAATGCGTGACCTCTATTATTTAGATACGCCAAAACTGCTATGTGACATGTTAGGCGTCTAATGGGCCGTTGACTACTGCCTTTCTTTCTGGATTTGCTTCCATAGTCTTTGACCACTCAATAATCTGCAAGGCGGCAGTTGTTTGAATTTGGAGTTTCCGCACCTAGACGGGTTGCTTTCCCCAACTAACGAGCCTCATCTGCCCGGGATCCGAACTCGGGAATTAAGTATTAGCAATCATGCGCTCTCCCGTCCGACCACGCTGCCCTCTCATGATGTATCTAAATAAGCACGGATATGATTATCCGTGCTTAACACTGGACACAGCTTGTACAAATTAGCAAAACAAATTTTGTTCAGGGTTGTCCGCTAGTCTTTTGTGACCAAACCAAACAACATGCTGTATAGCCTCAGCATTGAAAGCACCAGAGTGAGATGTAGCCGATGGAATCAACATCCTAGACAAGCACGTAGGTTAGGTGGCGCAATACATTTCATTGGCTGTACACGTTGACCAGTGTTTCTTTCAGACTTTTTTCTCCGGGATGGGGGGGGGGGGGGGAGCGCACCTTAAATTTCCGAGGAGTGGTGGGGCGGACACTGGTAAAAGTATACATTTTCTTTATAAATTCTATTTCGTTCGGCTCCGCTTCCCCCCCCCCCCCCCCCTGTAGAGATGCCTGAAAGAAACTCTGACGTTGACATTCGTGAATAAATTGACAGAGGAAGCTTACATTAATAAAAAGTAAGTTAAAAAAAAACTGAATACCATACGTACTTCCTCCAGAAATCAATATTATTTATGCGCAACCTGCAACAACATAAAGTATCTCTCAATATGTTGCACCATTCAACAACCGTGTTCAAACGTCAAGAAAAATGAGCCAATATCTCTCTCAGGTCACCGGTGTTACATCACCCCTCAAACTTTCCCCAGGGCCCAAGTTTTCCATTGAAGAGACATCACGCGAGCCACGTCAGCTGTTTTCAGATAAAACTTATCAACATTCCGCTGCTGGTACACACCTCCAGGTCACGTGGTACGGGGGGCAAAAATACACCGGTTATTTCATCAACAGTGTGACTAATCGGTCACGTCCCAAACCTGATCGGTTTATCTCAAGGATATCGATCTCAAAAGTACAGGTAGTGAAGATATTGTTTACGTCACACCGCCAACAAACAACTACCGGGGATTTACTGTGTACTGCATATGTATAACAAGCTTTATCACGCCACAGAAAACTACATCACCATTCGCGTTTAGCCACAGACGGACTTAAATCGATGGATGAGTGTGTATGTATTATTATAATGTAACACGACAGCTTCACGATTAACATATTAACACAACAGTGGGCAGCTACAAAGAGAAATGTGTACCTTATGGTAAAGGTCAATACAATACATACAGAATCCCTTAGATGGGGGTGAGGGGGCGTATACTAAGTGCGCCTGATCAACTTTGGTAAGGATGTTTAGTTGATCCAAAATCAATAGCCTGGGAGAACAAGCTTAGACCATGGCTATGAAACACATGTTAACTTAGTATTTTATATAAAAACTGTATTTTTTTCAGTACATTTTTAATATTGTTAGAACGAAAAACAGTAGGTCTATCAGTCGCGGGCACATGTCGCAGACATGTAACGAACGATTTCCGGTTTCCAACTGTGCGACAATGCAAAGAAAACAATAAGATCTACCTGTAGGGTATAGAAACTACACCTTTTGAGTTAAAGCTTGTCCAATCCCAGGCTACAATAGGGCAATACTTTCCTCTATCCAATTTAAGGGGGCCGTAGCTTCGTACGTACAAACGATAGGTAGATTTATTCAGGATACTGGGGTTACAGGCTACGCATATGTCCTGGTTGAGCTACAGCCTCAGGTTATGTCCGTGCCCCCCCCCCCCCGAAGAGATGCCTGGAAGAAACTCTGGTGGGGCTACAAGGTTCAGGTTAGGTCCCAGTGGGGCTACAGGTGTAGGGTATGTCCCATTGAGGCTATGGTATTTGCAATGGGGCTATGGTATGTCCCAGTGGGGCTATGGTATTTGCAGTGGGGCTATGGTATTTGCAGTGGGGCTATGGTATGTCCCAGTGGGGCTACAGGCTCAGGGTATGTCCCATTGGGGCTACAGGCTCAGGGTATGTCCCAGTGGGGCTATGGTATTTTCAGTGGGGCTACAGGCTCAGGGTATGTCTTATTGGGGCTATGGTATGTCCCATTGGGGCTGCAGGCTCAGGGTATGTCCCAGTGGGGCTATGGTATTTTCAGTGGGGCTACAGGCTCAGGGTATGTCTTATTGGGGCTATGGTATGTCCCATTGGGGCTGCAGGCTCAGGGTATGCCCCAGTGGGGCTACAGGCTCAGGGTATGTCTCAGTGGGGCTATGGTATTTTCAGTGGGGCTACAGGCTCAGGGTATGTCTTATTGGGGCTATGGTATGTCCCATTGGGGCTGCAGGCTCAGGGTATGTCCCAGTGGGGCTATGGTATTTTCAGTGGGGCTACAGGCTCAGGGTATGTCTTATTGGGGCTATGGTATGTCCCATTGGGGCTGCAGGCTCAGGGTATGCCCCAGTGGGGCTACAGGCTCAGGGTATGTCTCAGTGGGGCTATGGTATTTTCAGTGGGGCTACAGGCTCAGGGTATGTCTTACTGGGGCTATGGTATGTCCCATTGGGGCTGCAGGCTCAGGGTATGCCCCAGTGGGTCTACAGGCTCAGGGTATGTCTCAGTGGGGCTATGGTATTTTCAGTGGGGCTACAGGCTCAGGGTATGTCCCAGTGGGGCTATGGTATTTGCAGTGGGGCTACAGGCTTAGGGTATGTCCCAGTGGGGCTACAGGCTCAGGGTATGTCCCAGTGGGGCTACAGGTTCAGGGTATGTCCCAGTGGGGCTCAGCATACGTATAATATGCTTACAAATATTTTATTTTAATAACACCTGGATTTATTTAATGAATAAATCCAAAGATTCTATATTATTTAGCAAACAGGTTTAAACATACAAGGAACTCCAATTAGCATAGAAGTCAAGAAAAATTGCAGTCACATTATATGAATGATATAATTTACAGATGTTCTAATAAGAAAATATAATGCTACAAATAGGCCTACAACTTCATCACAATCTATGTTTAAAAAGTGATAAACAGAGATATTAATATATAGGCTAATAAACAGATACAATATTGAAATAAGTATAGAATCTAGGTAGATATGGAATGAAAATTAATGTAGTTGGGCAGATTAATCATGCGTAATGGTGTCAGTAACGTTTTTATAAGCAACTGTATAAAGATTATAGTTTATAGCTGAAAAATAATCAGGCCTAAATATTAAAAAAAAAAAACTAGGGCTAATGAATACATTTATTATGTAGCCTAAGTTTAACATAATCATAATAATAGGTATTTATGTTACTAGTAACTAGTATGTTCGATTGTAGACTTGTATGCATATAGCCTACTAGATCTATGTAGGACTACAAATGAAAATGTTTAAAAAGCAGATATCTTGAATCTTGTCACCTTGTGTGTAGTGTAGGCCTATTATATCTATTTGGTTTTTTTATTTTAATAATAAGATAAGAGTAATAAGACTATTTATTATTTAGTTAGAGTGAGTGTGCTATTATTTATTTATTTAATATTTAGGCTTTATCAGATGTATTATGAATTAAAGGAACTCACAATAATAATTCTTTAACTTAAGACTTAAATTTAAATGTCTAACAACAAAAACAACATTCTTACCTGAGGTTCAACAAAGCCAGCTTGAGTCTGAGTAAACTTCACAACACTTTCAACTGCTTTCTTTATCTTTGCCTTGTCTACTAAAAACTAAACAGTCTCACTAGAACTAGACTAGCTAATAGATATAGACTAGATTCTATGTCAACTATTTGAAGTTAATAATGACTGCAATAATTCATGCAGTCCCACTTTCACTTTAGTCTTTAGTTCACTGCAGCAATATAAAATGTGTAGATCTAGATCTAGTTCTGAGTGTGTTTAGTTTTAGGCTAAAACTTTTAGCTTTAGAGTCACTCTTATGTCATTGTTTGCTGCACGACTAGCCTGGGGTAAAAAATCATAGGCCCTAGATCTAATTGTTATAATTTTGACACGTGTAGTGTGTGCACACTAACACAGCATGAGTATCAGATCTACGACCTACGTGAGTGTGACTTAGGAGACAAGAGTCAAGCTACTCGATTCTTTTTATTAAAAAAATTTTTTTTTAGACCTATGCCCCCTAATTCCTAAAGTCTAAAGTAAAGTAAGCGCTAAATTAATAAATTATGCATTAAAATCTAGAGCTTATTTTAATGTTTTAATACTAGAGAATAATTATTAATTTATTACATTGGAGGCCGATAATTCTAGATCAATTCGTTTTTGTCAGTGTTACACGGCGGCGAAAAAAAATTCTTTAATCTAGGTTAGCCTGAGTAGACCTCAATACATACGGTGACCCTGTTTGTGGGTTCAAGGACATTACTGTTTTTTTTTTTTCATTGGTTTACAAAACAATAACGTATTTACGACATTTGCCAAATTTTTTCATTTTTTAAGAGATGAAATACGTTGTTTTTGTATATTTATTCATGAAAACATTATTCAGTTAAATACTTCTAAATATTCAAATATGAGTTGTTTTAAACGTTTATAACGGTGTAGCCTACTAGAATACTAGATCTATGCCGTAAAAAGAGCGGATGTCGAAACAGCGGAAGTAATAGAAGCAATATGGACGCCCTCTCGGCATTTCAAATATCAAATAGTCAATATTTTATAACTAGTAACAAAATATCAATGACATATATGAATTAAATAACATAATAGTCAGTTTTAAACAGTACGTTTTCTTTTATTCAAAACGTTTATATTTTTAGCACTATTTATCTCGCACTGATAGGTCTTTTTTACTTTAACTCATGACGCTCTGGCTCTGCCGCTCTACTCTATTTTTTTTGTTCCTTCGTTGCATGAGTACTAGACACTAGGCCCTAATAAATAATTGTTAAATGAGACAAATTTTTATGAACACATAGATTTGTCTACCATTCTACCATTGTTAACTAGAGGAGCTTACACTTTTCGGACACACATAGCGAAAAAACGCAACGTAAAAATTCCATGCGGTCTCATTCAGTAACCGCTTAACATAGAAAACAAAAAAAAGTATCATATCTATCCGCAACCATTCTACTTTAATAATGTGTGTGTCATTTTGTATTCATACGCATAGAACTTAAGCTATTCTTGTTATAGTGACTGGGGGGTCTTAACGTGTGTTCGAACACATGTAATACAGTTTTACATGTGTTCGGACACCTTTACCCGTCATCGGACATAGCACTTTTTGTTCATTTAGAATAATTTAAAGTCAATTTAATGAATAAAAACATATATTATATGCATTTATATTGTGTTATTGATTGTTTGTGAGGTAATTTTAATAGTATAAAACCTTTTTCCCACACTCCCAAAGTTCATCCCATTCAGCCATTGCGGCTCGCGCAGTACGCTGCTAAGCCAGCCAGGTCACATGATTCCCCCTCCTCTTTTGCATTCCACTGCCTTCTTGACCTTATTTTGACCCTTTCCCTTCAATAACCAGCCCCTTTTATGCTCTAAATTCTTATTTAATAATATTTTTGTGTTGCTGTCCGATCCCATGTAAGGCCAAATAAGTTAGCGAACACCCCTTTTTTATTGTTCAAGCACGAAAAAACCCATTAACCTTGACATTTACGATGTTCCATACATATATAGAAGCTATTTATAGTGTAACCTTTTAGCTAAGCAGTGATTGGTTCAAGTTTTGCCCCTAAGTCCAACCCTAGGTCACTTCATCCGGCTGGTGTAAAAATAGAAATGTGCGTACCATGCAACGTTAAAAAATTTCTAAAAATAATTCTTGAGAAAGGAAACGGAAGTACTTGACACGGAAGTGTTCATAAATGAACAGTTTACGTGCAGGCGCCGTGGTTTCGCGTGAGACATGCTAATTAAAGTTTCTATGAGCCAAAAACCGACGAAGTGTTCGGTCCTACGTAATTTTTGGTGTGTGTCCGAAAAGTGTAAACTCCTCTATAATCTGTATTGAAATTCTAGTTTTTTTAGTATGAAGAGTTATCTTTAGGCCTAATTTTTGGTTTTAATTTTGAGAATTCTGGCTTCTCTCCCTTCTTTAAAAAAATTGATTTCAGAATAACTTAAGCCTCATCAAACTTTGGTGCTGCATAATTTAACTTTGTCATTATTAATATATTAGGCCCTATATAGTATAGGCTAAGCCAACCTTGATTAAATTTTTACTACATTGCATGTTTAGATAGTTCAGTCAGGTTATTTGTTACTTTATTTTGCTTTTAGTAGGCCTAATTAGTTTTTTGGTAGGCGCTATAGAATAGGCGTAATGACTAATGCTAATATAAAATATAGGCCTATCAAAATATATTTTAAGTGAAGTAGTTTTTATACGTAAGAAGACCCATCTGAATAAAATGATATCTCAAATTTAAAATCAAATTAGTTGTCCTAAAAGCATTGGCCTATACATTTTTTGTGTGCACAATGAGTTGATTTTTGTGACAAGTGCTCATGAGCAAGTTTCTGCATTTTTGCTTACTCTTACAATCAGTTACTGTATAGCCTAATCTAAATGTGCAATTAAAAATTTATCAGAATTTAAAGATGGCTGCTGAAGATAGACGTCACCAGATGGAGGAAAAAACATATGCAGTATTTACAGCAGCATCAGTTAATGCTATGGCGGAATCAGCAAGGCTGTCTCCAATACCTCATGATGCTGCTGTCTCTTTAGGAGAAGATGCTAGCTACCGCCTCAGACAAGTTGTGATGGTATGTTTGTATACCATTAAACTGTGTGTTTGTGTTTCATAAATTATTTTACATTAAGCTTGGGATGATGCTGAAATACAATTTTTTTTAAATTGAAGAATAATTTCCAACTGATTTTTTTTTAACAGCTAGCCACCCAGTATATGAAGCATTCTAAAAGGCGCAGGCTTGGTACAGAGGATTTCAACAGAGCTGCTAAAGAATTAAATGTTATGGTTAGCTAACTTGTGTTTCAATGTTTTAATGTACTATATTAGCTGTAAGTAATTGTAAGGTTACAACTGTTTTTTATGAGTCATTTATATTAAATGTTTGAGTCTTTTTTTCTGTTATTTAAAAATTTATAAAATATTTAAGTTAAACCACGAAACATACTTATTATTAACTTATTCACCAAATGTTCCTCAGATAAATTTATTTACATTACCTTTTCATTTTTTATTTATAATTAATATACATGTTTATTCTTATGTGATTGTCTCACTTTAAATAATAAAGTTTAAATAATAAAAAAGAATTAAATTAGTTTTATATCTGTTTGAATTTCTGTACAACATTAAAATATTAAATTTCCAGCCTGTACATGGACATGGGTCACAAGATCCAGTTAGTTTTAGACATCTAAAAGATACTGAAATGCATGTAATAGAGGATCCAGAGGTCAATTTGGTTGATATTGCCTTAGGGAGTTATGTTCCAAAACAGATAGGTCAACCATCAATTAAAGGTAATAATTTTAAAATAAAGAATACATTCTTGATAAAAGAGTTATTTATATAATTAAGAATGTGTTTCTACTGATCCAACTATTAATAATTTCTTTTAAAAACTACAGCTCACTGGCTTGCAGTTGAAGGTGTCATCAAAATATCACAAACTGGAACTTCTAATCCTCAAGGTTTGCTTAAATAATATAAAAAGCTTTAGTTAAATCATTAAAACAGATTAAAACATATGCCTTATGTAAAAAGAAATACATTTCACTTTCCATCAATGTTTATATTATTACAGGTAAGGTAGGCAGAGACATGTCAGCAGTACACCTGAAGTATTACAACTGTTTGACTAAAGCCTTGTTGAGTGCAAATGCTGAGGCTAAGAAGGTAATGTCTGTTTTAAATGTCAGCTGTTTTAGCTTTCAAACTAAAGCTCATTATATTTTTAACACAATTTTTTGCACCAAAATGATGTATTTATTTTGAAATAGATTGAATTACCAAAAGCAAATTTGAATAAATATAAGTGTTGTTTTTTTTTTTTCATTTCAGAGAGCATTACAAGATCTAAAAACCAATTCGAACCTAGTCCCAGTGTTACCGTATCTAGTTAATTTTGTAGCCAGTGGGGTGAGTATCTAACTTTAGACTATTTAATAGTTTATTAATCTTCATATTAAAAGTGCATAGCTTAATATTTATTATGCTATTTAAGGTGCATAGCTTAATATTTTTTGTGCTATTTAATGTGCATAGCGTAATATTTTTTATGCTATTTAAGGTTTTAAAAACTCAAAAATTATCTTGTATTTGTAAAAGTAATGTACGATGCAATGCTTATGGTGGGTTGGTATTTTGTTTCAGATAAAGAGTATGAGCCATGATGTTGGGCATTTGACAACTCTGTTGAACACGGTTAGAGCAATGCTTCACAACAGATCACTCTACCTTATGCATAAGCCATATGTAGGTTTACACGTTTTAACTTTATTTCCAACTATTTATTTTGTTGTTTAAACCAATTTAAATTATTCAAACACAGGGTACTTAATTTATACTAATTGGAGTTAGATATGTTTATGAATCCAGACCAGCCATGTAATAATATAAGCTTATGATTGTATTCTTGAGAAGATCTATTTCCAAATTTCTATTTAAATCAGACTAAAATTTTAAAGTTTTACTTTCTATGTTAAGTTTATTTTTAAAAATTATCCTCTTATCTAGTTTGAAACAAAATACTTAATGTTTTTGTTTTGTTTATGTTGACAGTTGACCACCATAGTTCAAGGTGTGGAGTTCTGTGTGTTAGATCCTCTCGCAGCTTCTATGAATTCTGTCAATGACCATTGGGTGCTAAGGGACTATGCAGCTAGACTATTAGCAGAAATAGTGAAGTAAAATTTTTAATATATCCATCGAATTTGATTTTTTTAAAAACTACTAGTATTATATGCATTATGAACATCTAACATGTTTTCATTTATAATCATAAAAACTATTTTGTATTTTTTAGTCGATGGAATAGTCCACAAAACCATTTACGTTTCAATACCATAAAGTACCTAAAAGAAATACTACATGATACTACCAAACCATTCTACTCACATTATGGAGCTATTATGACTCTCATAGCTCTTGGTCATAAGGTAAATACAGTAGCTTTTACTTTAATAGAAACTTCAAAACTTTTTCCTTGTCTTAGTAATTTAGAAGAACGCCCTGAACCCTTCTTTTAAATATCAAATAAAAACTTTTTTAATATAAAACATAAAACTTCTGTACCATTGCAGGCTGTAGAAGATATAATTTTACCCCACTTGCCAGCTTACTGGCGTCACCTCCAAAATGCCCTAGAAGATAAAACAAGTGAGAATTCTGTCAACACTGCTGATTCTCACAAAGTTCATGGTGCTCTGAGGGTAAGATTTACTTTCTATTTTCACAACTAAAATTTGTGAAAAAAAGTATCTTTTATTCACAAAATATTTTTTTTATTTTAAGAATTTAAAAAAAAAATCCATTTCCAGCTTGCTGCAGAGAAAGTTCTGCGTAAATACATCAGAAAATTCCAGGAGTTGGGTAATACAGTGAAAGAGAAAGAAGAAATTTCTGAACTGCTACAAGCAAGTGAAAACTTTATTGGTCAACAAGAAGATTCTCAAACTTCAGACAGTATATCTGATGAAAAACATTTAAAGGAACTTTATGCAGTAAGTTTCTTCTTTTTCTACCCTGACAGTTTTCAACCAAAGTCCTGTCTGACACGATTATTTTTTAATTAAAAAAAAATTTCTTCTTTTCTTTTAAAGAACCTCTACGAATATTTTGGAGACAGCTTAGCACATTGCCTTCCCTTAGTAGAAACTCATAATGTATTTAAACCACTAAAACAAGAGAAACGAGTAAGTTTGGGAGACCAGTACTCTGGGAAAAGTGGAGAAGAGCTGCTAGACAATCTTATGGAACAAATTAAATTACAGGTCAGTATTTAATGCTAGTGTGAATATTTTTTATAGACTTATCCATCATGTTTGGAAAAATGTATGAAACTACATCCCGAAAACTGTCACAATCACATTTTACATTGTTATACCTTTTTAGTTGCTTATCTTGTTTAGTTTTTTTAATAATTACATCATTGAAGTTTAATAACTGTAAATTAATCATTTTTTGTTTTGTTTTATTGAGTAAAAAAAAACAAGAACATTTTAGTTTTAATCAATTTGTTGTAAAACTTTTAGAAAACAGAGAATTGAGGTTGGTACAAAGTGATATTTTGTTCATAGTTGGGGATTGACAATTTATTACATTTTGTGTGCTGGTTTTTAAATTATTGTTCGTTTTAACCAACTGGTTATTTGATTGTTAACACTTTTTAACAACTAATTTCTATATTGAATTTTTTTTTTACATGATAAGTTTATTGTTGACAAAATTGTGTTAAATAATCAAAAGCTTTTCTTCATTAAACAAATTTTGGACTCAGAGCTCAGCATTTATTTTAATTTTACAAGAATTATTTTTTTTCTTCTGCTAGTGAAATTCTTATTGACAACAGAACGGTTAAGTTTATCATTTGTTAAGAAATCTTTACGTTATTACATTTCAATTACCTGTCTTTTTGCTCTGGTTTTTACATGTTCAGTAATAAGTTACTTATTTGTAGGAAAAGTTAGAGCAAGAGAGAAGAGAAAAAGAACTGCGTGAACAAAAAGAGCGTGAGAAAAAAGAAAGAGAACAAAGAGCCAGACAAGCCATCGAACAGATGAAACGAGAAGAGGAAGAGAGGAAGAGAAGACTACAGAGAGAGGAAGAAGAGCAGAAGCGTAGACGTTTGGAGATGGAGGAGTCTGAGAGACAGAAGAGGTTAAAAGAGGAGGAGGAAAAAAGACAAATGAAATGGGATGAGCAAATCAAAGAACTGAACAGAAGCAGGACTAAGCCACAGGTTTGTGACATTATATTGTGAACTTCTTCTTAGTAACCCAATCTTGATTCATATAAAAAAAATAAGACTGTTTCAGTAAACTATAAAAAGTTACTTTACTACATACATTATCTGCTGTAGGTAGCTAAATTAAAGGTTAGTATTATCAAATGTTATGGAATATCGGTAATTGTATGATCTGGGTAGTATCAATCTAAATACACAAAATATATGGTAATAAACAGCATTTCTGCTCAAAATATAAAAATATAATACTACAATTTTTTTCTAATATCCAGTGGCAACAAGAAATTGAGCTGCGCAGAATGCAACTTGAAGAAGAAATCCAATATAGTAGAACAATCGAGGCTAAAAAGAGACAGGAAAAAAAAGAAAGGGCAAAGCAAGAGGAGGAAGAAGAGAAACAGCGAAAACAGAGGGAAATTGATGAAGAACTGCGGAGGAAAGAAGAAGAAGATGAACAAGCTGGAAGAAGCAGAGTGGGCTTGAGGCGGAGAAAGCCTGTCAATTACACTGAGAAAGATGAGGATATATCTGATTTGTTTGAGGATTCCAAGTCAAAAGGTGCCAAGGCGGCAAAAATTCCAAGACTTAATCCACTGTTGCCCCCTCATTCAGACATCTCTGATGACTCAGATGGAGACAGGCGGCTGGCAGCTGGAATCATAAGTCCTGCTACTGGTCTCATGAGTCCCTCCTCAGCTGAGGCCATGGCCGTCAGCAAGGTCATTGACCCATCCAAAGGCCTACTCAAGCTGAAGATCAAACGCCAGTCCAATTACGCTTCCACCCCGCCTCATCCGATGTCAGCCACGCCACAGCACGTACCTCAAGCCTACCACTCTCCCTCCATGCTGAGTCCCATCTACTCCCCACACTCTGGGTCCCACTCAACTCCTCCACCTCCCCCAGTCAGCGCTTCTTACTCTCACAAAAGTTCGTCTGGCTCAGAAAAAGAAACAAAACATAAGAAAGGCAGCACTAGTAGTAAACACTCGCGGGCCTGGAGTACCGGCATCCAAGACATCTCTGATGCAGAAGAGCCTGTCTTTGAGCCAGTCAGCACCATCCCCCCACAGCTGTATTCCCCTGGAGCTGAGAGCAGTGGCTCAGACTCAAACCCCCATAGAAAAGCTTTAAAACTTACACTCAAACTCACACCAAAAGATTCTGCTTCTGAGTAGGTTAAGGTTATAGTTTAGAATATGTTTAAGTTGAGCAGTATTAGTTAACATATTTTCATTTATTTTTATTTTAATAACTTTGAACATGGATTAAGAAACATATGATTTAAAGATTATGGTATAAATATGGTAAAAAAAGAAAAATTGCTTTTTCCTCTATGTTGTTCAATTCATTACATTTTTAACCCATCTTGTAATGTATTTTTTTGCCTGTGTTTTAAAAAAAATAATTTCACATATCCCGTTTATTTTAAATTTGATTTAGACATTGTAGTAGTTAAATATAGTGAATCTATCCCGTAACCAGTTTTTTTGTTTGTATCATTACAATTTTTTGTAGTTGTAGGGGCCAGTGTACAGCTACAACCACTAGATGATTTGTTCAATTGTGATAAATGTTTGAGGAACTTATGTTTTATTTTTTCCTCGTTTACTTTTACCAATGGTTATGAATGTGTTACATGAGGGCATATGTTTGGGACCATACAACTTCATTGTACAAACTGTTCATGTGTTTCTTATGAGTTTATGCTCACTTTGCATGGGTTGTTAAACTTTTAATCAAACAAAATCTCCACATACTAATTATGCAATGAAAGCATTAAACTATGCATATTTATTCTAACATGTTAGTGCAACTTACCTTGCAAAGAAATAATAGCATTTGTAAATTTGTGATGAGTAATATTATTTAAAAACTTCATATAAAGATTAGTATTTAATGTTTGATTGTTTATCAGTATTTGTTATAGATTTACAATTTAAACTAATTAGTAATAAATTTTTAATGTATTTGGCAAAAAGAACCTAAGGATTGTTTACAAAATATTTTTTTCTTTACACAGATTGTCAAGTGCCTGACTTTAACAATACTATTTATTACTGTTTAAAAGTGAATACTTGTAAAAATGTATTTTTAAAGTGAAGCAGTTACTTTATATATCTTGCCAGCCAGTTGTCCAATTCCAAACTTATTTTTGCACAAGGACAATGGTAGATTTTAATTTTAAGTCACAGGAACATAGCTGGGGTGTCAAACAGATATGAATACAACAATGCCAACTGGTTGTATAGGAAACAGCTGTGTAAAGGAATGGTGTAATGTGATGTTCTGAGCTAGATTCAAACTATGCAGGAGTACAGTAAAGTAGTCGTGCCAAATTATGAATCTTGCTCGTTTTTACAACTTACATTTATTGCTTTTTTTAATTAGTTGTGTATTACTGCATGCTTCAAAATTAAAAATCAATAAATTTGTGTTCATTTCAAAATTATAAATTATGTACTTAATGAGAAGTTTCTGTATAAATTGTAAATGAGTTTTTGTTTGAATATAAGAAGTTCAAAAACCTTTCAGACTTTTTTCCTCCGATTTTACATGCTTGCTACAAAAAGTTCAGTATCCATAATCTTATTGTATTTGACATCATTGGAAAGCTGGATGTCTCATGTGTTTTCTGTCATCTCAGAAAGTTTACAAATTGCTCAAAAAGGGTATTTTTGTGACCTTTTGCAGTTTTTCTAATTTTGCAGTCTTTTTAGCACTAAAAAGCCTACTACTTCAGTATGTTCTTCATACAAAACTTGTCAGGAGAGAATTGTAAGGACTTTTATAGAAAAAGTTTTTAAAAATGCTAATTTTAAACTTTGCACAAAAAGGTGAAATTGTTAGAACTATGTGGAATTCTGACCAGTAGCTCTATCAAAATGTCGTTTACTTACTGAAATGAAGCAGTGTAAATTTGATTGTAATATATGTTTAAATTAAGGCCTAGCGTTTTTAAAAGTAGCAAAAAATTCAAAATGGCAGGTTTCAATGACAACCAAAATTGTTTTCAAACCCCTTTGCAGTTAAATACCAACTATGATAGCTCCCAATAATTGACATGAGTGCAGACTAGTTTCTTTAATGTTGTCAAAACTTGTCCGGTCAACTACTAAAGCACTGGGTTTCCCTCTTTCAGTTGAAAATAATAAATAAAATAAACATGCAAAAAAACCCACAAAAAAGACTATGCAACTTTTATTACTGATGAATATAATTGGTCAAAAAAAAAAAATACAAAATCAAACATTACAAAGGAAGGCTGACATTCTTACATTATATACAAGTGTTTCAGATCCTAAATTGACTTAAATTTAGAATATCGGAAAATGTTTTATTTAAAATAAAAGGGTTGAATGTAGTGGTCAAGGAGTGTATCTACTTGACACGGAAAAGGACTTTTCTTTGCATGCGATGCTGAATTTCACCTCTACGAAGCAGCAGCGACAAGACTTTGTGGATAGCTCTTTCCGGATATTTCTAAAGAAAACAATACATTTTTTTAATTTGACAAATAATAAATGTAAATATGAGGCAGCTCTTTCGAAATATTTCTAAAAATATTTACAATATTAATTTGACAAATAATAAAATAAAAGCAAATATGAAACAAAAATCAACAAGGAACCTATCTTAAGCTAGCAAGATGCTTTAGCAAATCATTCACTAATGCACACATCAATTGTGAAGATTTTTATAAAATTCACTAACCTGTCTAGTGAAGTCTTGAATAATGGCATGCTCTGACACCTGTGAACCTATGACAAATCGTCTCTTAATCTGTTTTTCAATTCTGCTCAGCAGTTCCTGATCCTCCTCTGTTGTGAAACCTTCTGCACCTGTATATTTATAACAGGGCAAAAAAAAAATATTTTAATGGCAGAGTACGAAATTCTTTAATCTGTTCAAATCGTTTTCTTCTTCTTCGTTCTTAATTTTTAGTGTTGGAAGTGATCGAGCTTTATCTGCCAGAGGGTTTGAACTCGAGACTTTTTTTTTTGAATTTATCAACCATGAGCTTTTTGCAGACTCGACCACGCCCCCATCACAATTAAGGATACGTATCAACTGGTTATGCGCCATTGAGACCATTGACTCCGATTTCAGCCTGCTTTTCTTTTTGGATTTGCTTCCATAGCCTTTGTCCAACCAAGAACAAACTACAAGGCAGCAGTTGTATGATTTTGGAGTTGTCTCTCCTAGAAGTGTGACTGTCCCCAGCTATAGAGCCTCATCTACCCGAGGGTTTGAACTCGAGATTTTTCGGTTTAGCAACCATGAGCTTAACCGACTCGACCACGCCGACCCCTATCTGTTCAAATGAGAGCTACTTTTTTATCCTAAAAGTAAGTAGGCCAAACTCGTTAAATTCTAAAATAATGCAACAGGAGTTGCTAAAATATTGAAAAATATTATTAGAAAAAAAAATCTTACCTGCTAAATTACCAGAAGTTGCAGCATCTAATGTAGATACCTGGAACAGTCTTAAAGCTTCATCAACATCAGCATCTGTGGCAAAAGGGGTCAGTCTCATTTTGGCCTGAGACTCTGAGATTCTAATAATAGCTTCCAATTGTCTATAGAAATAAATAAAAAAGCTTAGCTACTAAGTATTTATATTATTAAAAATGTAAGAAGGACATTACAACAAAGCTCAAGTGAAGATTCAATACAACATACCTCACAGTAATTGGAATGCTGATTTTTTTCCCAGTTTCCCTCTCGTAGTCACTAGCATTATTTCTCATCAAGACGTAACGATTCTTCAATTTTTCTGCAGCTTCCTCTGACAATCTGGGCCCACATTTGCTAAGGAAGAGAAAAAAGTTGATGTAAACTGACAAGACCTGACATTTTTCACCCTCACTGCAACGTCAACTTAGAGTAGCAAGATATTCTAGAATACATCAACAAAGCCAAGATGGTTTCACACAATAGTAAAGGATTAATTGGATTAACCAAATATTCCAGAAGAAAAATGAACTTACTTCCTACAGTAAGCAATATATTTTTTCAATGTGTTGAGTGGGATTTCTCCTTCTCTAGCCTCTTCTGTGTTTTGCAGCGCATTGAGATGAACGTTCATCACATGCTTGGCTAATGTCTAAGGAATTTACAACCAACATTCAAATACAGTTCACAACTGAATCTGTTAATTTGTGAAGAGTAAACGGCAACAATTTAAAAAAATCACTCACAATATCTCTTGCTTCATCATGTTCATCCTTGACTATGAAGATCATGTCAAACCTTGACAAGATGGTGGGCATGAAATCAATGTTTTCTCCACCTTTGGTGTCATCCCAACGGCCAAAAACAGAGTTAGCTGCAGCTAACACAGAGCATCGAGAGTTTAATGTTGTTGTAATGCCAGCCTAAGGATAGGTGTCGTAAAGGTAAAAAATAAATGGAAGACCAAGTGAAAATAAACATAAAAACAATATACCAGGGAAATTAATAATACAACTAAGTACCACTGAAAGAACATGAAAACCAAACCCACCTTGGCTATTGATATCGTCTGCTGTTCCATGGCTTCGTGTATAGCCACTCTATCATCTTCTCGCATTTTGTCAAACTCGTCTATACAAACAACACCACCATCTGCAAGAACCATGGCTCCACCTTCCATAACAAAACCTCTCTGTAGGTATTAAAATGAATGTAATAACAGGCAGGGTGCACAAAATTAATAAAATTTCAATATACTTTTATATTTAGATTCTTTTTCACCAATAATTCTAGGACAATTCATATATTAGGAAATGGTTAAAGTATGTATCTCTTTAAGAGTGGACCCTAATGCTGAGAACCCCCAAATATTTCACTATTGAAATCTCAGTAAAATGTATTAACCAACTCTAGTTTTGAAGCCGTAGGGTTAATGAGATAATAACTGATCAGTTACTTTTAATTGTTTATACAGACTTGAGCAATAAAAAAACAGACTGCCAGATAGACAGAAAAACTTACAGAAGATGGGTCCCTGATTACAGAAGCTGTTAGACCAGCTGCACTGCTGCCTTTCCCTGATGTATAAACCTGAAATTGTTTTCAAAAAGCCATTTTAAAAAATTAATAAACAATTGGATTAAACTGGTTAATTTAGATTTTCCACCTACAATTAGAACATTATTTATTTAGACAGACAGCACTTTTTAACGCCCAGCAGACGATTGATTGGTTTATGTCCCATTATTGTCATGTGACTTTGAGGTCATAAAAATGATAATAAAATTGTTTTTTTTCAAGCATAAAAGTTTTTTATATCAAAATAAATGATGAATTAATCATAATCTGCAAAAAGTATTATTAATTTTTAACTTATTATATATTTTCGAATACGAAAATTAATGCTATCGCGCGATCGGCGAGACGCCGCCATCTTGCCGACTTTGCATTCATCCTCGGTCAGACTTCATGGAAAATGGAATTAGATTCTAATTATCTGCGTGAAAATGATTTAGATTCAAGTAACGAAGAAGTCTAAGACCTTACTGATGTACTAGACACTGGAGATAATGAAAATAAAGTCTTGAACGCAATTTTGAACTCATTCTCTACACATCGTAAGTAGCACGGTTTTTATCGTTTTTTTCTACTAAATTTTGTGGCGATTTTTATAAATTTTTCCATTTAATTATATTGATTAGTTATAAATGTGTAGTTAAAAGAACACTTCAATCATTTTACTATGCAAATAGCCTGGTTTCAGTTCATGGTATATGACAATTATTAAATAATAGTAGTATTCGTAGCAGTACTGTCTACCGTCTAGAATGTAAACACAAATCAGCTGATCACACATGACTGTAATAAAAACTGAGTTTTCTTTTGTTACAAGCAGTACTGACTTGCACTAACTTATTAAAAATCACTTATCATTTATGTTGAAATTAATATATGTGAAAATATTAAATAAAATCCATATTTACCATTTTTTTTCTTTTCAACAGAACTGAGAAATTATAGATCTAAAGGTAAAAAGGAGTGAATGGGTATTCCTTATCAGCTGAGACTGTTATTTCCTGAGAAAGAACCAGGAATTGAGCTGGCTGAGATGAGGACAGGAGACAGTACAATGAAGTATATGTTTACTCAAACTTACTGTTTGTAAACTCTACAGTGGATATTGTGACATGCATTATGTCAATTTACCAATAGCTATGTAACGTCAAAGCTACACAGATAACCTATCTCTGTCTCGGGATGGTTAAATTCGACACCTGATTAAATCTTACAGGTATTATGGACTATATTATGGGATATATGTTGGAGATTATCAAGACACTCATTTTGACAGATTCTGAAGCAAGAATTTACTCTATGCTCTACAATGGACTGCGGCTCAAGCTTTCATATCACGCTATTGCTTCAAAGCTGTCATGCTTTTTGAAAGATGAACTATCAAGATACCGAACATACAGAGGACATATTATACAAATAATGCATCCTACTTACATTAAAATTAAGTGCAGTCAATTGTTGTAGCTTTATACAATATTTCCATAGATAAGACAATGGTGAATATTTAGGAAGAATATTTTTCTTGACAATACATTATGATTGTGGATAAGCCAACAGTAGGGTATGCAATTATGAGCTTTGGCTGATCACTGACAGGTTATACATATGGTTTTGTTTTTTATATTTTATTATTCTGGTCAGTGGGCAAGATGGATTAGTTTATGTGGTGGATGAAAGTGATCAGTTAATTAAACTGTTATGTCCTTCGGTAAACAATTAAGTACTAGAACTAATTTTTTTCACCTTTGAGATATAACTAAAGTTAATTTCTATATTTAATTTCAAGATTATTGAGAAAAGAATCCAGATATCTTAGAATTAAAAATTCCAACAAGGTATTGCCAATTACACTCTTCATGAGTTGGTTTGAGAGTTAGGTAATATTTCACGTATCCATCCTGTTTCTTTGGATTATAATCCACCATTATTTTCCAATTATTCTATAAATCATACATAGCATATCAGATTAGCATAAAGTTTATAAATTGTTATTGTATTCATTAAAAAAATTAAAAGAATAAAAGTTAAGTGTCTATAAGTGTATGCGGTACTATATGTTTACAAAAAGAAGGAAATTGTTTGTGTAGTTATCACATATGTTCACATTATTTATCAATTGAAGATCATAAAAAGAATCTTTTTTAATTTAATTAGAAGTACTGCAGATATTTCAATTTGATCTTTTCATTATATTTACTTATGTGTGTGCTTGATTCCATGTTTACCTATGTTTGCCACTTGTAGTGTAGAAAGTGTTTGCCGAAGCACCAATTAGTGTAAAAATGATCATAATGTCATTTAATTTGTGAAAAATCCATTTCTAGACTCAGTGCATTCAAAATTGGCATAATTGTACATATATGGTTGCTGTACAATAAAATATACAAATTAACTATATAGCTCTTATCAGTTATTTTTTTTCTTCTTAGGGACTGTTGATTTAAAGTTTTTTTTTTGTTTTTTTAAAAACTAAACCATCAGATTTTAGGCTACAAAACTAAGACCAATTGTTAACACCTAAATCCCTTCTCTGATATTAAAGTCAAGTCAAATACCTACACAATGATATATAACACATGTGTGTGCTGATGTTCTAACTTTACTTATGGTCAAAAGAAACAAGCATACTGCTGGCTACTAAAAATATCACTAAAAACCCTTAGTCTGTTAAGAGTTAATTGCAAATGTGCTTGTTTAACTATAGAGCACTCACTCCGATGGGGGAACAGCGTTCCACGAATTTCAGCAGCTGAGATTTGGCTGTTCCAGGGTCACCTAACATCAAGAGGTTGATGTCGCCTCTTCTTGTCAGACCATCAGGCAATCTACAATTTAGTTTAAAAGTATTATACATTAATTTTGTTTAATTATAGACTAATAAAAATTTGAAATTCTTAATTGAACTACACCTAATGCTCACAATTAAGTTACAGTTATTTAGCAATTAAATCAATATTTTTTTCTCTGTTAACTTAATTTCAAGTTATTGGCTAAATAAAAAGTTTTGGGACAATAATTACCTTTTTCTGGAACCACCAAAAAGCAAACACGCAATGGCTTTCTTCATGTCCAAGCTCCCGTATATTGAAGGTGCAATGCTTTTGGCAATGGTTTCATAAATGTTTGGCGAGGCAGCCAGACGGCGAAAATCATCTTCCTCAGCAGGTGTCACTGGGGTGCTGGCTGTCCTACCTGTGCCATCTGTATCAATCTTCACCCCCACAATACGGAAGTAAGGCAACCTAATGCCTACATTCACTTTATCTCTGTTGTTTCTCTGAAAGATTGATTTGCTTATTTAGAAAATTATACTCAGAGCATTGCTGTTTACTTAAGTAATATATCTATAAAATGTGTAATAAATTTAAGTATAGAATAATAGATACCTTGGAAGGCTTGGCGGTTTTCTTTATGGAATAAATTCCCATGATAGTTACTCTGTTCCCTGGAACCACACGATCACACAAATACCTGTAAGACAAAAATAAATATTCTAGCTGAATTTTTTAAAATAAACGCATCTTGTAAAAATTATTACAGGTAACTAATAAGTTTTTTTAAGAAAACAAAATTGTAAGTTAAGTTATGAACATTATTCAAATCCAAGTATTAAAGCTAGACAGAGTATATTTAAATTTCAAACAGGTCTCACCTATCACAGTAAAGCTGTAAATGACGTGGCAGCTCCCCATTGGGTACATCTTCAGGTGCCTCTTGTAGCTTTAGAGTCTGGAAATCCACACAGCGACACTTGTCAGGAATAATGAAGAAAGGATCAACAGGACACTTTGGTCTGCCTGCTTGCTCCCTACACAAGAAGATGAATCAGAATGACAACAAACTGAACAGCCATAATTAGAGTACAATATAGTCAGACAGCTTTTACTCTAAGAAAAAGATTAATCAGAATAACACAACAACCTTTTTTTTAAAACAACCATAATCAGAGGACACAATTAGCAGAACTTACGTATTGCATTTCCTGGGCAAAGCATAACCCTCAAGACCAGGCTTGACTTGGATATTGTTAATGACATTGGAACAACTTCTGCACTGGATGGCAAGCCTTATGGCTTTAGAACGGATACCGGATGCAGCTATGACAATGCCAGGAATCTTAACCAGTCGAGACATCTGGTCAGACTAGTGAAAATAAATTTTATAGATATTATATCAGGTTGTAACACAAAAATAGTAGTAACGAGTCTTTGTATTATCTTTTTACTAGGAAAATTAATGGCAATAAGGATACATAATCAGCTGTAACTGAATGACCTTAGGGATTATAATATAAAAATAAATTATATACCTTAAGTGCACGAATTCCACAGGCATTAGAAGCAGAAGTCAACATAACTTGAATATCCTCAACTTCCTCTTCTCCTTCTGGTCTTGGCCTTGTAATTTCATCAGCCACTTCTTTTGCAGCATCTTCAAACTACAGTAATTAAATCAAATAATTATTATCAAACATTTCAAATTTATTAAGTCAAATTCCTGTCAAAATGAGTTGTGTTTATTAACTTATCATAAATATTTAGGCCTACTGAACCTACTTATGCTACATTTGAAACTTAGGTTAACAGAAAATCTAAAAAAAAAAAAAACAAATGTAAACTGTAATTTATATGATATTCACCAGAGGTAAGTGCTCAGATGGCTGTTTGAGCAGCTTCTCAGCAAGGTTCTCATCATAACTGCTGACATCATCTAGGTCAACTTCCAACCAAAACTGCTTTAGATTGTAGTGTCGCTTCAGCTGGTCACTAAAGTTGAACAAAAGTTTAGTTAGGATTTTTATTAGTCTCAATCAATTAAATTCCAAATAATTGGGTATGTCTAACTGGTAGGCCTATTTGTCTGATCACTAATAAGATAACACTTGTAAAAACTTGTAGTACAGTACAATTTTAGAGATGGAATGGAATAGCTTGCATATAAATATAATATAATTCAACCCAGTAGGCCTAACTATTATCTTGGGTTTTCTAACCACATTTTGATTTATGACTTTCCTCTCACAAAAATGAAGCTTTGTCACGCCTAAGTTAAATGATGAAAAAAGATGGTGTTGGGTCATGCACTTGATGTACTCAATGTACTGAGATGAACACCACTAGACACAAGGGTAAAACCTAGCAGGACATGGAGAGAGGGGGGAGATGTACTGCCAACAAGCAACTGGCAAAAAGCACAATGTAGTCTTGGCTAACTCTTGGCCCTTGATTGGCAAATTGCCTTAACTAATTTTAAGAATTCAAGACAAGATTCAAGATAGTGTCTGGTAAATGTGACACACAATTTAATAATTTATTAATGTGAGAAGTGTGCAAAAAATGGACTGTCAAGTGACATTATGATTGTTTTGCTCTACTGTACTCTACATATACTCATATAGATCTACAACCCTCATCTGATTGGAAGACTTGGTGGGGGTAAATAAATTGTACAAATATCTACAAAATTTAGCCGTAATTTCGCAAGTATTAGGTATGTCTCGCATTTTACCGCTTCGCCGTTTTCAGACCAGTAGAAGAAAGAACCGTTTGGAGGACGGCCTCATGTCCCGTTGAGCCGCGATGGAAAGATGATGAATAAGTATTGCTCTAGAAGTCTAGATTCTAAACTAGATTTCTAGATAGAATCTAGTAAAAGTAAAACATACCGGTAACGATAGGAAAAGTTGCCTTCGTGGAATTCTCGAATAAATTGCTTAAAGCGGCGCTTGACTTGCTGTCTGTCAATCTGATTTTCATCATTTTGGTCTTCAGGTCCAAAATTATCACTATAAAATATACCTGCATCGTCAAATCCAGGCTCCATATTTATTATTATGATTAAGGATACCTGATTTCTGATTTAGAAGGTTTTAATCAAAGTATTAATACCACTAATGTCTAAATATGATGAAAAATAAAGTAACATAAATGGGCGCCGATATTTTCCCGCAATTTACCTATCAGGATATCCGTTAGCTTTGGATAACAAAAACAGTTTCGCTCTTTTTATAAATTAATTATTTTTCTTAACAAAGAGCTAGAATGTGCACACTGAGTGTACCCCCTTAAACATGAGCTCCCAAGTACTAAGTAGGCCTAAATATCGATTCTGTCATTGTCAAGGGGGAAAAGTTGGTTCTTATAAAAACACAACTGAGTAAGAACTAAAGAACTGAGGGTTTTTTCTGCCAGTATTGCGGTGTGTTAAGGTCGGTATGACGATACTATTTGTATATGCCAGGATAAAGGATTTAGGTTTTATTTTACATTTTAAATACGGCGCGCTCTTTGTATCGCCCTTCATCATCACAAATCATAACATAAAATCACCCACAGCTCCTAATTCGATGTCACATCCTACTTCTAGGCCTTTGCAAATCACGCTTGGTTTTTTTTGTAGGGGGTATAACCAAACAGGGACGACTTTACAGTAAATATTAAATCAGTAGCTTCCCTTTGTATGGTAATTATCTTTTAACGGTAAATCTAGAACAAATATTTATTGATAAAAATATTGTTATAAAATGCTTTTTAAAATGCACCACTATTTCTTAATTACCCACCCCTCCCCAGTGTTTCTTTCAGACTTTTTCTCCGGGGTTTGGGGTGCGATTTAATAAATGGCTTGTTGTTCAATATTTGTTTCTGTTATGGGCAGACCATGAATGACTTCATGCTTTTCTGAATAATTCCCCCCCCCCCCCCCCTCAAACCTTTTCCCGTTGTTATATGTCGTTGCGGCTGAGGGGGGGGGGGGGGGGGAGAGGGTGATGTGCGCCCACTGAGTACTCGGCGCTAATGGACTAAAAAGATAACAATAGTGAATAGTGTATTGTACACATGGGATGAAATCACACATCACTCATTCAAAAAAAAAATCTGCTAAGTGCTGTACAATCACCGGGACAGGTTTGGTAAAACAAACATCAGACCAGGTGATAATGTCACTGGGACTCTCAGTCTGGGTCTAACGAGTTGTCCCCCCTCCACTCGAGGACTTGCAGCAGTTGTATAATGATTGTTATTGTCACGGTGGCGTTGCGCAAGATTTTTTGTTTATCTACGCGATAGTTTGTGTGCTAGTTTTTTGCGACCGACTTTTTCTTAGTGAGCAAAGTTGATGAGTTTATCTGCGTATCTTTGCAGGAATACATGGGCAAAAAGAAAACTTAGACAAAAAGAAAACTTTGACACAAAGAAAATACAAAAAGAAAACTTAGACAAAAAGAAAACTTAGACAAAAGAAAACTTAGACAAAAGAAAACTTAGACAAAAAGAAAACTTAGACAAAAGAAAACTTAGACAAAAGAAAACTTAGACAAAAAGAAAAGACAATAAGAAAACTTAGACAAAAAGAAAACTTAAAAAGAAAAACAGTATTATTGCTGAACTAATTTAAAAAAAAAAAATTAAATCGCTCACAGATCCACACTTTTCCATTACGATCACTGAAGGCTCTATTGTTATTTTGTACTTGCGTAATTCTACAATAACATTATTTATTATATCTCAGCCTTGACCATATCTAAGGTAAATTTTTTGTTTTGACTATTGCGCAACTATAGACGTCGGAACCTTTTGTTACCGCTGTAAACACAGAAAAAAAAATTGCTTCTGTGGCTTATCTCCCTTTATTTCGTAGATACGCCGTTACGTTCTACCACTGTTGAGATTGTTAGTGCTAAGTTGAAAGCTGACATTTCTCGAGATGACATAAAGATGACATAAAACATGACATTACCATCCACACAGTTAAAACATGACATTTCTCTTCACACAGTTGAACTATGACTTTTTCCTTTTCCTAGTTAAAACATGACATTTCTCTTCACACAGTTAAAACATGACATTTCTCTTTACACAGTTAAACCATGACTTTTCCCTTCACCCAGTTAAACCATGACATTTCTCTTAACGCAGTTAAAACATGACAATACTCTTCACACAGTTAAACCAAGACATCTCCTTTAAACATTAAAACCATGACATGCCCCTTTACACCTCAATGCAAGACAACGACCATTTAGGAACCACACATATACCCGTGAATTGAAGGGGTTTGGCACACATTTTGCCTTTTTTTTTATTAACAAAAATTTTTTTTAGAGCTCTGTGGCCAGTGGGCGGGCACTTGATGTTTTCGGGGGGCGGAGAGGACTACAGTTAGGTGGGGGGGGGGGGGGGGGACACACTGGTAAAAGTATATGTTTTCTATATACATTCCATTTCGTTCGGGGAGGGGGCGGTAAAGATGCCTTGAAGAAACAGTGCCAGTGGCGTCGATAGATCTGGTGACACCCACTGCAACAACTCGGGACGTTAGCTCCCTCCACCCCTTCCCTCATCTATACACATATTATATAATGGGCTAAAAGTAGAGGCACTATAGTTTCAGACTACTCCATAACGTGTTACACTTTGCATGAGGATTAAACAATAGTAATGTATTATGAAAAATTGTCAAGTAGTCCCTTAAGTAGTATCACCCGGCTCGGACCACAACCCCCCCTCCCCACCACACAGTGGCGTAGGCAGGGGGAGGGGTTAGGGGGGGGGGTCATAACCCCCCTCCCTTCCCATAGACCCCTCGGTATATATATAAAGTATGAGGGGGGTGCAAATCAAAAGTTTGAGGGGGGGGGGTGCAAATCGAAAGTTTGAGGGGGGGGGGGGGGGGGTGAAAATCGAAATTTTGTTCCCGTGTAAAAATTTGACCCCCCCCCCCCCCCTTGAGACGATCCTGGCTACGCCACTGCCAACACCCCCACCGCCTCACCCCGTAACGCTACAGTCAAAGCTGTTTGTAAATGACCTTGAAATGACGTAACAGGTGCCAAAAAATTCAGAACAGACTGCAAGTTCCTGAGAGTAAATATTTTAAACAGAAAATAAACAGTAGCCGGTATATTCCCCCCCCCCCCTTTCCAACGGGTGCTTTATTATTTAACAATCTCTGACGTCACAGCCAGCCAACAGAAATGTTTACCAATGGCTGGAGCTGTTGAGCATGGCGGGAAATCTGCCATAAAGTCGTCAAATTAGAACTGTTGTTATGGACCGGATCAGCTGGCTCGCGTTCTCGTGTTTATGGCAACCCGGCGGCCACCGACCACGTGACGTCTAAATATAGCCTCCCCGCGACATTTTTATTGGTCTTTATTTACAAGCAAAATATCAGCCATCCTGTGAATTACTGGTAATGGGGGTTCCGTTAGAAATTCTTTCGTTTGAAAAAAAAAATTGTTTGAAATTTTACCTTCAGGCTTGTTTTTTTTTGTGTTCGGATAAAATGTTTTCTTTAAGAATAGTAACCGTAACTTTTTTGTTTTGCCTACCTTGCATCATTTTGAAATTATCATCGGCCTAATGTTGACGTATGGGTCATGGATTTGACATCACGTTTTTTTTTTACGATTTCTACCTTCCACCTCCCCTCCGTCACACATCGTCACAAAAAGCCAGTCCACCTCCCTTAAAATGACGTCACATCTACAAATCATCCCCACCCCCCACCCATTAAAATGCTGTTAATTGATGTTTTTTTTAAACATCGATTTTTTTTTCTAAAATATTGACTTAGCTCGGTCAACAAAGTATTGTAATCAATTTCTATCACAATTTATTCAGTTTTCTAAAACGCGAAATAAGTGCAAAAGTTCAGTTTCTAACATTACTTTTGTTTTAATGAAAAAAGTGTGACGTCACACGATCTTAACACCCCCCCCCCCTCTTCTTCATCCCACATCGTCACAAAATCACCCCCCCCCCCCCTCTTTTTTTTCTCACCCAACGAGTGTGACGTCATTTATGGACATCCCCTTTATCTGCACTTTGCATTGCAATATTATGATTAAAAACAGTATATGATATAAGTTAAATAGGATGGGTTTGGGGATTAGATATAGGATTAGATTTAGGGGTACGTTTTAGATTTAAGATTAAGCTTACGACCAAGATTATTTTTAAATAAGCCGTAAAGTCTCGCGTCCACATCAAACAGTTGCGAGATTAGGTAATCACGTTGTTGTGTAGGCTCAGCTATTTTTATGACAGCTTTGAACAAGGACTTCACTCCTCACTCCTGTGATACTTTGACCTTTAAGCACCAAAGCTGGTGGAACCCGGGCTGATAGATTTTATTGATTTTGTCTTTGAAGCTGAACAATTAAGCCGGTGTTCAAAGTTGGGTAAAAAAATGTTAACGCCGCACTAATCTGTGTGATAGTCGTCCTACTTCTTATATTCTTGCAACAGTATTGCTACATTCGTTTGTTTTTTTAATTCTTGCTACATTTTGACTGTAATTTCGCTGTATTCTCGATAATTTTCGGCTACAAGTTCGATATATTTTTGTTTTATTCTTTTTACAATATGGTTTCATAAAAACTTATCGATATTATACATACACAAAAAATGTAGGCCTACGTATGTTAATAAATAGAGTGTAAAACTACTTCGTGGTTTTTTACTCATCGCGGCCCGTTCTGGTCCCTATTTGCTGAATGATGGACAAAGGCGTAGCGACGTGGGGCGGGGGGGGGGGGGGGAATCTACATATGTCCCAGTGCGCCGACCCAGGGGCGCCAAAATAAGCTCATTTAGCTGCTGTTTGTAATTATAAAATAAAAAATATATGGGGGGGGGGGCAAATTGAAAGTTTGTCCCCGAGCGTAGCGAGGGGTCGGTACGCTTCTGATGATGACTATGTAACCAAACTCAGTTTTGTCCGTTTTCAAAGTGATAAATGTTAAAGAAATTTGATGAACTTACGGTATGATTTTTTTCATAACCAGGATCTGTATTAAATTTTAAAAAAGAACAACACCTAAATAGGTAATAAAGATGGTTTAAGCTTTAGCTAATGATGATATTGATGGCGTGGGATGGTGTGATAGATAGAGCCTTGTCTAGTGGCGTGGGGTGTGGGGATTACTAGCCTGGCAGTCAAATAAAA